CCCCCCCCCCCCCCCCCCCCCTTCTCTCTCTCTCTGCCCTTGTTCCATGCCATGCTCACTAGTAGTATTTACAACTTGTCGGCCTTTTCCTTTAATTCCTCGGCCAGCCGAACCAAATATGCCCTGACGATGTCCTTCGGGATCATGCCCGTGTCCAGTTCAAGGCCAAGTCCTCCACTCCCGGATTTTGCTTCTGCTTCTGCTTCTGCACTGTTGTCGGCGGCGTGGCTACCAGGTGCTTCCTGGTCCTGGGCCTTTTTACCCTTCGCCTTGCCCCTGCGCTCGTGAGATTTCAGCGTGTGATCGTCGTCAGGGTTGGCATTGTCGGTCTTGAGGAAGCGGCGCACAATCCTTTCCACGTCCCTGCGCCCGTCCTCGTACGCGGCCAGATCACGGTTGCCGTACACGTCGCGGCCCGCGGCGTACTTGTGCGGGTGCAGCGTGCGGAAGAAGACGTTGATGGAGATGTTTATTCTCGAGTCTGAGTCCGACGAGTGCGAGTTTGAGTGCGAGTCGGAGGTTGAGTTTATGTTTGTGTTCGTGGGGTCGTTTGCTTCGTTGAGGGTTTGAAGTTCCCTTGGTTTGCTGTCTTCGGTGGAGATGGCTTTCGTTGAAGAAGGAGAAACGAGTTTTGGCTGGGATAGGGGTGCAGTTGTAGATGCGGAAGCGGATGTTGAAGCTGAAACTGATGTTGACACTGATACCGATTCCGGCTTTGTCGGAGCAGGTAACGGCGTCCCCGTGTGCGCCCACAATGGTGGAATGTACAACGCCTCACCGGGCCTTAGAATAGCAATGTGAGGCTTCGTATTTGGCACGAATCTCACTGTATCTTCCCCTGAGCTTGGCTGTTGAGGAAACGCTTCGAAGATGTCGATGCTCGACGTCGTCGAGCCGGGTGGGAAATTCAAATGCTTCAGATCCGCCGGCGGGAACAGGATAAGTTTTCTGGTACCCCGAATCTGGAAGAGAACGTTGGCCATCACGTCGTAATGTAGCCACATATTCACATTGGCGCTGATGCGGAGAGGACTGCTGTGCTGGTTATTCTGCACAAACGAGAGGGCAGGAGGGATGTGGAAATCAGGAGCGAGCTCGGGCCAGTCGGCGGAAAGGTCGGCAGGTAAGGTGGTTGGATTAGTGCTGGAAATGGAACGGAGGTACATGTGCGCATTCGGGTTTGACTCCAGCTCGTGGATGAACTCGTGGAATGTCGTGGTCTTGTAGGCGAAGTCTTTGCGTTGGAAGTTCATGGTTCGGCCTGGAGCGGAGTGGACAACGATCGATTTTAAAGGCGGAACCTTCGCGAGGAGATATGATGCTGTCCAACAAGATATGCATTGACCAATGTCCAGGCCTAAGAGGATTCTTGGTCTGCCCTCCTTCAGCACCTGCGTGAAATCCTGTTCAGAGCCAATTCTGGCATGCTTCACGGGAGTTGAGACGCGTGCCGCCAGCGCATCTTGTGGCGTAGGCTGAGGGTCACATTGTCTCGTTTCTGATCTCACCATTGCCCAGTGCGAGCTCAGTCCCGCTTCTCTATCATATAGAAGCCAACAGCCAGGGTTCCAATATGCACCGAAGCTGAAACAAGTTGCGCCGCCACCAACAATCAGAGTAGTCTGTCTCGCAGTGTAGTGCGTTGAGTGGCCGATCAGGAAAGGACGCGGGACATCTGGATCTCTCTTGGGCAACACACAAGCGACCCTGAACTCCATCTCCTTCTCGTAATCGTTGAAGGCAGAGAAACTACCCACGATGGACAGAATCTCGTAGTCTTTGGGTATGCAGCCATGCTTTGCCACTCCACCGATGACCAAAATCTCGTCTCTGATGACGCTATACGAAGCTCCGAGGCGGTTCAGCCAGGGCCAGATGCCCGCAGAGGCATCCAAGGCTGTCGAAACCCTGAAGCTGATTCCCGTAACTTTGTTGTCCCGTATGATCAGTCTCCATTTCCATAGTCCCTGGCAAATGACTCCATCTTGGCGCATTCCACCGAGAAGGAGACCATGATTAAAGCCTAGGCGGACAAAGGATGCCCCAAACCGTGGCATAGGGTCAGCTTTGAGACTGCGGAGAACTTGCCAGCCGTTCTCTTTGTCCCATAGCAGACAGTCAATGGCGATTCGGGTCGCCGAAGTTTTCCCTCCGAACACTACCACACCATATTGATCGTAGGGAAGTACCACGGCCGCAGCTCTATGGCGAAAACGGGGTTCCGGAAGGTCATGGACTCTCTCCCACTTCGAGTCCGTTTGAAGCCAGCAATCCTTCATGGGCGACGAAGGTGAACCTCGGCCGCCAACGAGAAGGTTCTGGCCATTGTGGAGTGTCGTGATAGTATGGCAACACCTGGCACCTATTTCTTCCGGTGGGACTGAAGGATACGGGAGTGTCGAGTCTGTCGATGTGTAAACGGAAGTGGTGGACAATCGACCACGAAGGCCAACTCCGCCGTGCAGAGCTATAGCATCTTGACCGGGGACTATAAAAGCCGACCCATGATGGGTCCGCCCTTCTTTCTCCGGATTCGCGGAATATTTGTATGCGAACCATTGCGTATTATCTCTGTGGGGTGAGACGGTCCTTGCTGACAGGTCTGACGCAAAACTATCAACTGATGCCCTCCTGGATCTCTGTTGCTCTGGCATGAGAGGTTCGGGACCTGTTTGTGCTATTACTAGGCAGTAATGAGATGCGAATAGAGCGAATTCCTCCCTATATCCTCGGGTTAGTCCATGAGGTGATCCTTGGGCTGAGGCCAACTCACCACTCATCGAATTCCTCAACCTCATCCAGAGAGATTCTCTGAGATGGGGACAGAAATCTGGGGTCGGCCCAAAGCTCCCATAAATTCTGTATTTCAACATGAGGGAATCCAGCGTCCTGGAAGCGCAATGTCTGAGTGTGACAACCAGGATATGTTAGAACGGACCGAAGTGGAGTTCCTAGTTTCGCAAAGTGCTTCAACATGGCCGCTGTAAATGGATTGTCCGGACGATCCGGTGACTGCTGTTCCAACAGGCAGAATGTTACATCTGAGCACATTAGTGATTTCGTACTCCACCAGGCAGAGATCGATATACCTGGAGATAGCGTAGAGGTCCAAGCGATCAGGGCGTCCGCATCCTGAGTGGCCATGTAGGTAATGCTGACTTCGGCGAGACATAAGACAAGACATTGGTCGATATCGACAACCGATCGTAGAAGGCGCTCCAGTCTTGGAGGATTTCGTAGATCACACCCGATTGCGACGTACACGTCCGAGTCTAGCACCACACCCTTCACCGCCTCGGTGTCCGACGTCGTGGAGATCATCTCTCTCATTTTAGGAGTATGCAGAATGATGTCTCGCTTACTGATCATGAGTTCTTCGAAATCGACGTCGATGAATTTGGTATTGGCGCACAAGTCTGCATGGTGGGCCATCCATTGGAAAGGAAGGGGATCGCTACAACAACAGTAAGCCGGGCTTGATCAAGCAGGGCAGACGATTGGCGTCCTTACTCACTAGCCACAGCCCAAGTTAATAACGACCTTCTTCAAGTCTGAGGGCTTCTCCAGAAACTGTCGGATCACCCAGTCGATGGCTCTCATGCGAAGCCAGTATCCTCGGTTGATGGTGGGAGAGCGGCGGGTTGGTTTTCTGACAAAGTAGCGATAAAAGTGTGGTTGAGGAAGATACAGTTTCTCAACGCTTCTTTTGGAGACAATGCTGCTGTTGTTTGTGCCCATGACGAGACCGGCATTTTTTTCCATGGGAATCTCATCGCTTTGGCTTCCTTCCTGGGGGGACATTGGGGAGGCCATCTTGATCTCCATGGCCCCTGTGCAACATCTCAGAGAGAGAAGGGAGGAAAGGGATTGCAATAAAGTAGAGTAGTCCTGCGTACCTCGCAAGGGTGAGTGAGTCACTTGATGCAATGAATGAGAGAAGATTCAAAAGTCACTTGCGATATTCGGCCTTGGCACTGTATGCATTTGTGATTGGTCCGCGCGAGTCGCCTGTCGGGCCGGTTTTATGTGCCGCCATTTTCCAACCTTCTGCTGCTTCTGCTACATACACTACCTACATATGTAAGCAATCTTGCTCTCCACTCTCCACAGGTATTACGGCAAGAGGTGATTGAAGGCTGAGGAGAAGCTTCTAGAAACCTGCCACTGCATTCGCTGCATTTCTCCAAAGAAGGACAGCATAACCAGTAACTAGAAGTCACTGCAGCACAACAAGACCACGCACAGCATCATCATGGACACGCCTGAACCATCTCTAAGGGTACTGTTTCATCAAGCAAAGAAGCAGCAAGAGGGACTGGACAGTCTCGACCCTCGGAGTGCAGACTTCAAGCATGCACTTCAATCCATCATCGACAACCTCGAGCAATGTCGCAACTTGATTCGAGACCTGTCCTTGTTCAGCACGAACGAGGAAGTAGAAGACATCTCTACCCAAGACCTACAGTATGTAATGACAGAACATGACATCCCTTGTCCGGTTTCTCTGCTAAATTCAGCCTCAGATATCTGACGGTGGACTGTCTACTGGCAGAGGTCAAGATCAAAGGATATGGCGAACACCGGCAGGTGTCATTGCAAGACGCGGCGGAGCTGTTCGAACACTTCTTGACCCGGCTAGATCAATACGGTCTATTAGGTACCTCGGATCGGAAACTTTACGAACGCTACCTCGAACAACGTAGTTCGTTCAGAATAGTCTCCTCGAACAGCCCCGAGGAAAAACGCAGGATCAAGATTTCTCGCTTCCAGGAAGAAAAATCCTTGAAGCAAAAACTCCAGGTTTGTACCCGTCTATTGTTGTCAAGCCGGCGAGGTCACTGACCGAACAAGTATCTGAGAGACGAGTCGCAAAAGGCAAATGTTGATGATGAGACTATTAGGAGCCTGTATCTGGCCGAGATTGCTTTCTTGGTCAACAAGGCCTTCTCATCTTTGGATATGATAACACAGGAATTGGAAATTTTGTCTCAAATGCGGCACGCTGAGCCAGTCAAACCAGGTCCCCCACCTCCGGACCAGAGATTTCCTGCGCGACCTGAAAGTTATTCTGAGCGTCTAGATGGACCCGCCGCAATGGCAGGACTAGCAAAGCGAGGAGGTCCCTTACTTAGCCCTAGCGGAAAACCTCTTCAGCCATTTACCCTAACAGACAAACGGACCCAATTGCGACAAGGTGTGTTTAGGGCGGGACACAACCTCCCGACCATGAGCATCGACGAATACCTCGAAGAGGAGCGGCGGAGAGGCGGCATTATCGACGGTGGAGGAAATGCTAATGCGCCTCAGCCCGAGCCCGATGAGGACAATATGGAGCAAGTTGACGCTGCCACGATGAAGGCGCGAGAGTGGGATGAATTTGTCGAGGCAAACCCGAAAGGTGCTGGAAATACATTGAACCGGGGGTGATCTGACTAGCTTCAATGCGACTAGTCAGCATTTGCTGTAGACTGGATTCTTCCAGTGGCAAATCGCAGTTTCAATTCCAGCTCTTGCATGTGCCGCCCTCTTGAGGGAGAAGCAGCCGCGCGGATTGAAATGGAGCTCGGGGCTGCTCCTGATTGCTTAATTTCATTTCTCTTCAAGGTCTGCGACAGTGGTTGGCCGCTTTGCTTTGATGTCCGCGAGGATTTTGTCCGCCCCTCTGCGAAGCAACTCTGCCGCAACATTGGTTCCAAACACCTCCGCATCGTTCTGACTATGGACACTCTCTGTCATGTCGATTTCAGCCTTCTCCTGGCCATCTGTGCTGACAACGATTGCTTTGAGCTGCAGAAGTGAGCGACCCTCTTCATTCTTGATCCACGTGGTCTCCACTCCCAGCGGAGCACTGCATCCGCCTTCCAGAGTCTTCAATAGACTCCGCTCGCTCGCTGTAGCAAGGTGAGTTTGTTGGTGGTCGATCATGTTCAACATGCCCTGCACGCGATCGTCAGACGACCTATTCTCAACGCCAATCGCTCCCTGTCCAACAGCATAAAGCATTCCACCATTTTTGGAGTCTAGGTATTGACTAATCCGATCAGTGAGTCCAAGGCGAATCAGTCCGGCAGCGGCGAGGATTAAAGCATCAAAAGGCCCATCCTTAGCATCGAGCTTAGCTAGGCGAGTGCCGACGTTGCCCCTGACATCGACCACTCGTAAATGTGGATATTTGAGCGCGATCTGGGCGGTTCGTCGGATGGACGACGTTCCTACGACTGACCCGGCAGGAAGCTCCTCTATGTTGCAGGATTGTCTTCCAGCTTTGAGGACGAAGGCATCTCTAGGGTCTTCCCGCGCCAGCACCGCGCCTATCTCGCAACCCGGAGGCAACTGCGTTGGGACATCTATGGGTATGGGTTAGTCTAGCCGACCATGACCCAAGTATCCGCCTCGGGACCATGTGCAAACCTTTGAGCGAGTGAACTAGAAAATCTAATTGTCCTTCGACCATGAGAGTCTCCAATTCGTGGGTCCAGATATTCTTCACAGGCATGTCCTTGAAGGGCGTGATTTTGTCAATGTCGCCTGCTGCAGTATCTCGCGCTTTGATTGCATAGACGTTCTCAGGACAGGCGGCTACCAACGCTTTGACGACTAGATCCGTCTGCACGAGAGCGAGTTTGGATTTTCTGGTCCCGACATTGAACGTCGCTTTGGAGGCCGACTCAGCGTTGCTGGCCGCAGCGTTGTCGCCTGAGACGACCGCAATAGTTGTCATACTTTCCCGTGGCAGGTGTGGTTTCTCAAGCTAGGACATGACAGATGCAATAAATCTTTGCGGACGAAGTGAGTCGAACTCGGTGGGATATGCGCGGAGCCTTGCCGCCGAGCAGCTCCGAAAGTCACGTGCAGTCACGTGTCATGTCCCACCGAAGCCACCCCCCTTGAGCATCCAAGATGCCGTGCCTCGGCAAGCACCGTCGATCCCCATGGAAGGGAAGGTCGGTACGTACAAGCATACATCGAGCATCTTCCATGCAGCGACACCAAATGACGATGCTGCCGAATCAGTAATCCAACTGCGCAGGATCATTAACAATTCCATCCTTGCCTCCGCCACTACCCTCCCTTTCACTTACTTCCTTCCACCTCACTGCCACTCCAAGATGGGCTACACAGCCAAGGCAACGATACCTCTTATTCCCCTTGCGAAGGATTCCGTCCTTCTGCCCGGTGTCACTCTCCGCATCTCAGTGTCCAACCGTGCCGACATCCCTCTGCTCCTATCGTCAGCCTTTCAACGCGCTACCAAGTCGAGATCCGCATCGGCTCAGCTGCCCGTTGGCTGCGTTCCTGTGAATTCGCCTTTTCTGAGCCCCGATGGCAAGGAGCTGCTCGACAGCGCTGCAAAAGAGAGTAGCCGGGACTATGACTATGCCGACATAGATCCGGGCAAGGCGAGAAAGAAGGATTTATATGGGTATGGCACGCTGGCTAAGATTATCAGCGTCCAGGGGAGTCCTAATGCCGATCCGTATTTGCTTGTGGAAGGAATCCAAAGATTTAAGATCGACAAGATTAAACATGAGAGACCATATTTTGAAGCCGAAGTAACCTTTTATGAGGATGAGGTTCCCGACCTCAACGACGGTGACCTCCGGGCCAGTTTCACTCGTCTCAAGCAACGATCTCGGGAGCTTTTGACGCTGCTGCGTCTCTCATCTCTTTTCCGTCCGGCATCTATGGCGCTTTCCCCTCTGATTGTTCGCCGCTTCGAGTTGTTCATCGCTAAGAAAGACCTTTCGCAAGCTGGCCAATTGGCCGACTTCATGACGGATATTGTCGAAGCAAGCTTCGAGGAGAAACTGCGAATTTTGAGCACCCTAGATTTGCATGAGAGACTGGAGCGCGTCCTTGCCTTACTCAACAAGCAGATCTCAGGCATCAACGGAAATATTAAAGTCACCACCATAACCTCAACAACCCTGCCGTCCAATATTGGCGTTGACATCTCCGATTTGAATCAGAAGCAACGGGAAGCTCTAGCGAGGCGGGCAATGTCTGGTCTCAATGGCATGACGCCACCCGGAATGCCTGGCGTCAACCGAGGTGGTGATGATGACGAGGATAACGAAGTAAACGAAGTCGAGGAACTCAAGAAGAAGGTGGCTGAAGCCGGCCTGTCGCCCGAGGCCCAAAGAGTTGCCGACCGTGAACTTCGGCGACTGAAGAAGATGAACCCAGCCAATGCCGAGTATGGTGTCATTCGCACCTATGTTGAAAACTTGGTCGAGATACCCTGGACCAAGGTCACGGATGATCAGCTTGGCGCCGATACCCTGAAACGAGCTCGAAAACAACTTGACGACGACCATTACGGGCTGGAGAAGATTAAGAAGAGATTGCTTGAGTACCTTGCGGTCTTGAAACTGAAACAGTCGGTTAACGCCGATGTCGATCAACAAATTGCTCGACTCACGAAGCAGCTCACACCACGGCAAGACGGCGAGGAAAGAGAAGTCGAGCAAATCCCAGACAACGAGAGAGATGCAGCGACTGCCAAGCTCCATGTCCTCAAATCGAAGCGCATGGTGGACAAGTCTCCAATCCTCTTGTTGGTTGGACCGCCTGGCACAGGCAAGACGTCTCTCGCAAAGTCTATCGCCCTTTCCCTCGGCCGAAAATTCCACCGTATTTCCTTGGGCGGTGTTAGGGATGAAGCAGAAATCAGAGGCCATCGGCGGACGTATGTGGCTGCCATGCCAGGCCTGATTGTTAGTGGCCTGAAGAAAGTCGGCGTGGCCAACCCGGTCTTCCTCCTCGACGAAATCGACAAAGTGAGCACGAACAATTTCCACGGCGACCCTTCAGCTGCAATGCTCGAGGTCCTTGACCCAGAACAGAATCACAGTTTCAATGACCACTATGTCAACATCCCCATCGATCTAAGCAAAGTTCTCTTCATCGCCACCGCCAATTCTCTAGACACCATTCCGCCGCCCTTACTCGATCGAATGGAAACGATTCGCCTGGCTGGCTACACGACAGTTGAGAAACGCCACATTGCCAAACAACATCTTATACCCAAACAAATCCGGACCAACGGTCTCTCCGAAGGACAAGTCGTCATCCCTGACGATGTCGTGGACACCATAATCACAGCTTACACACGTGAGTCTGGGGTACGCAACCTTGAACGTGAGATCGGAAGTGTGTGTCGTTACAAGGCAGTCCAGTACGCTGATGCCCGCGACGCTAATGACACGTCGAAGTATAACCCTGTCGTGCGCGTCGAGGAACTGGAAGAGATTCTCGGCATAGAACGCTTCGAAGAAGAAATCGCCGAGAAAAAATCTCGTCCCGGCGTTGTCACTGGGTTGGTCGCCTACTCATCTGGTGGGCAAGGAAGCATTCTCTTTATAGAGGTCGCGGATATGCCTGGAAAAGGGCGTGTGCAGCTCACGGGGAAACTGGGAGACGTGCTTAAAGAATCCGTCGAAGTTGCACTTAGCTGGGTGAAAGCTCACAGTTACGATCTAGGCCTGACACACGATCGAGATGAAGATATTATGGAGAAACGTGCCATTCATGTCCATTGTCCTGCCGGTGCGGTGCCGAAGGACGGACCAAGTGCCGGATTAGCTCACACCGTTGCTCTCATTTCGCTGTTCTCTGGCAAGACTGTCCCGCCAACCATCGCTATGACGGGCGAAGTGAGTCTCAGAGGGCGGGTCCTGCCCGTCGGGGGCATCAAGGAGAAATTGATCGGGGCCCATCGCGCTGGTGTGAAGACGGTCCTGTTGCCAAACGGAAACAAGAAGGATGTCAAAGATGTGCCCGAGGAGGTGAAGAGGGACTTGAAGATTGTGCATGTCAAGTAAGTTACTTATTTCCCGTTCGCCCTCCCTCTATTCCTATCTACGAATTCGTCTTGTGCTGTGTTGTCTTGCTGCCTTCCTTACAACCGCGAAGTAGTAGAGTAGGATAATATCCACTAACAATTTTGTCTTCTGCAGGCATGTCTATGAAGCCCTTCGCTATATCTGGCCCGATTCGCACTGGGCCTCGGACCGACATTTTGCTGAGATTGAGAGCAGATTGTAGCTAGCTATTCAGTCCAGGCCACCGCTGTTAGTTGGGTGCGCGAGGCAGCCAAATAGTTTTCTGTTGGGTTCCAGGGTTCGTTCAGCAAGCAAGCGTCAACCTACCCTTCTCTCCATAGTGTATAGCTTTGTACCCTATTATCCCGTGTCATCTTCTCCATGCCGTGGTTCACGTGGCTAGTTATGGTCCAAATAGGCGCGCCGGTGCTTTCAGGAGCCTCCCCATCTTACAACAATGTGACCGTCTGGTGCCGCTCCAATTCAAAAAGCGGTGCACACGAAGTGTTCCTAGTAGCTATACAACGCAGAATACTTCGTGGTGGTAATGTACAAGACTTCGGGTTCCGTCCGCTTCCGTAGTAAATGCAGATGACAATGTTTACGTAGATGTATTCGTCGGTTGTGATGGTTGCGAGTTGGCATTGGAGGTCCCCGACAATCCTCGCATGGCTCGCCAATCGTCCGCAAAGTTCTGCCACGTCGGCGCCCACTTCATCTTTCCCTTGAGCAATTGCTGCGCCTGTAGCGCGATTGCTTTTCTGTGGTTCAAGTCAGGGTTCATCATACCCCATTCCGACTCTTCCCGGTTCTTCGCTACGATGGCTTTCATGGATTCCCAGTATCGTTCGTGCTCCCACCTGTTAAGATAGACTGTGTGTCAGCAGGTTCCAATTGACATGAAAAAAAAGGGAGAAAAGAGAAAAGGCAAAGTCTGGAGGTTTCTTACGGTTCTAGGTCCTCTGGTTCTGCGGGATAGACAAAAGGTTTGGCCAGGAGACATGTCATCTTCTTTTTGCTGGGCGGGCGGAACAATTGACCTTGAGAGTATCTATCTCTGCCGTCTTTTCTTTCTACCTTTTGTTGTACAACCACGCTGCGGATGTGGAGGACATCGACGCCATAGACGTCTTTTAGGTAGGCTCGGAGGTCGATCTTGTTGAAGTGAAGTGGTACATCGAAGGCTGCGTAGCGAGGACCCAGATGCGGCGTACGCATCAAGACTACGGCGTCCTTGGGGTCGGGGCTGAGATAGTTTGTTAAGACCAGTCCGATAGAGAGTAGATAAACTCACAAGTAGACCTGCCGGCGCATGCTGAGCGGGACATTATGAGGAGCTGCGAAATGCCGGGCTGGGTCCATCAATATCCGAAGGATTGTCGACTTCTCGAAGTTTATTGAACCGGCAGCGATGAAAGACTTGACATCGCTCGAAACTTCACGCAGGCTGGGGTGCGTATCCATGAACCTCTCCAGATTCTTCCTGTCCAACTTCCACCATTCCAGATTTAACCCGTCTTTGCGAAAAACAGGGTTGAATGCTTCTTGCTCTTCTGCATTGAGTCGATTCCATGCAGTCCTCTTCCACTCTTGAAGTTTGTCTTTACTGACCAGAGCATGTGCTCGGAAAAAAGGGAGACCTTTGCTGGTCTTGATGCGCCGTTTTGCGTTCCAGAGTCGTGGTCCGTTGCCGTCTTGAGGATGTACCCGATGCGTCAATAGGATTGGAGGAGTCCGCTTGACATGCACCTTCGCACGAGCTGCAGTAGCACGAGGCATCGTGCGAAGCTGGGCTGAAGGGAAGAAAAGCAGTGCAAGGCGTCGGGGCGCTTTTCACTCTCAATGGGAATAAACTGCTTTGCGAACTTTTGGGAAGCTGAAGGCACTCTGTAGACAGGGAAGGTGCGCCGAGATTTTAGAGCCTCGCGCAAGACATCAACCACGCTCCACTGCCACCACCAGTATTGCCCCCGGAGGCGCGCTGCCGGACATTATTTTGGTGGATCACCAATTCACCCTTCAACCTATTCCGTAAGCTCCTTGACGCCTGGATCTGCCCTGCCCAAGCCTTGCCCCAACTCTGTCCAGCTTGTATTCGCAACATCAGTGACTTTGCTCTTCAAATTCTTGGAAGCCTTCCAGTCACCTCCTCAGAGCGCGTGGCCTGACCGACAACGTACCTCAGTTTTTTCCCAACTCTTTTTGGCCACTGAAGGCCCTGGTGCAAGATGGCGCAGGACGAGAAGAAGCCCACCGCTGCAGACAAGGGTAAAGGCAAGGCGGAGGATGTACCAATGTCAAACGGTGATGCAACGGAACACGGAGATAAGAAGAAGGCAGATGGGAAGCATGACGAGCCTGCGGTTGAAGAGCTGAGTGAAGAAGATCAACAACTCAAGAGCGATCTCGAAATGCTGGTTGAAAGATTAAAGGAAGATGATGCCTCGCTCTATAAGCCTTCAATTGACGCCATCAAAAACTTCATCAAAACATCGACCTCCTCCATGACAGCCGTCCCAAAACCTCTCAAGTTCCTCCGCCCTCATTACGATGAGATTGCTGCCCTTTACGACAAATGGCCTGCTGGTCCCGACAGGGATTCTCTCGCCGATATGCTGTCGGTGCTCGGTATGACATATGGAGAAGAGGACAAACTGGAGACTTTGAAATACAGATTGTTGTCAAATAAATCGGACGATCTGGGGTCGTGGGGCCATGAATACATCAGACATCTCGCACTGGAGATTGGCCAGGAATACCAGAATCGCTTGACTGACGAACGAGAGGTCGGCGACCTGACGGAGCTTGCCCTTTCCTTGGTGCCGTATTTCTTGAGCCACAATGCAGAAGCGGATGCTGTGGATCTATTGAGCGAGCTCGAGATGATTGAAGAGATCCCTCGGTTTTTGGATGAAAATACCTTTGCGCGGGTCTGTCTGTACATGGTCAGCATGGTCAATCTTCTCATGTACCCCGACGACGTTGCCTTCCTCAAAACTGCACACGATATCTACGTCAAATACAACAAACTCGCCCAGGCCATGGTGTTGGCAATCAGATTGAATGACCACGAACTCATACGACAAGACTTGGAATCAACAGATGATGTTGCATTGAAGAAACAGCTGGCATTCCTGATTGCTCGGCAGAGAATATCAATAGACGTCCCATCCGAGACGAAGGACGAACAAGAGATCGCCGAGTGCCTTGGAAACACTCAACTACCTAATCATTTCAAGACCCTCGCAAAAGAATTGAACATCCTGGAGCCGAAGGTGCCGGAAGACATCTACAAGACACATTTGGAAAGCGGCCGGGGGAGTTCGGCTGCTGCAGATTCGGCTAAACACAACCTGGCGAGCGCATTCGTCAATGCCTTTGTCAATGCAGGGTTTGGCACAGACAAACTGATGTTGGTAGAAGGTGACCAACGACCATGGGTGTGGAAAACCAAGGATGACGGCATGCTCTCCACCACGGCATCATTGGGCATGCTCATGCAATGGGACGTAGAAGGCAGCTTAGACATCATCGACCGATTCCAACAATCGTCAGAAGACGCAATCAAAGCTGGTGCACTTCTCGCGTATGGCATCGTCAACTCAGGTGTCCGAATGGAGGGTGACCCTGTCATTTCACTTTTGAGCGACGACGATGTTCTTCAGAGTCCGAAACCCTCGACAAGAATGGCTGCCATCATGGGTCTGGGACTGTCTTATGCGGGCTCGAACCGAGAAGATCTGCTGGATTTCTTGCTACCCATCGTTGAGGACAGTGGCTCGGAGATACAATTGTCTGCCATGGCTGCTGTGTCTCTGGGAATGATTTTCGTTGGTTCGTCCAATCATCAAGTCGCCGAAGCGATAGCAACCCAGATGATGGATGACGACCGGCAGAAGCAGCTCAAGGATAAGTGGGCGAGGTTCATGGCTCTTGGGTTGGCGCTCCTCTACTTTGGCCGACAAGAGGAAGTCGACGTCATCCTGGACATTTTGAAGGCAGTTGAGCATCCCATGGCGATGCCAACAGCAACTCTTGCATCTGTTTGCGCCTGGGCTGGAACTGGAGCCGTGCTTAAGCTGCAGGAGCTTCTCCATATCTGCAACGATCACATTGAAGACAAGGAGGAGACGATAGGAGAGCAACTCGTGCAGTCTTATGCTGTTCTCGGCCTGTCCTTGATTGCCATGGGCGAAGATGTTGGGCAGGAGATGGTGCTACGCCAGTTTGGTCATCTAATGCATTACGGAGAGGCCAATATTCGGAAAGCTGTGCCGCTCGCCATGGGCCTGATTAGTCCCAGTAACCCCCAAATGAAGATCTATGACACCTTATCGAGGTACAGCCACGACAATGACAACGACGTTGCTGTCAATGCCATTTTCGCGATGGGTCTGGTGGGAGCAGGCACGAACAATGCTCGTCTTGCGCAGCTACTACGGCAGCTTGCCAGCTACTATCATCGAGATCAGAACTCGCTGTTCATGGTCCGAATCGCTCAAGGTTTGCTTCATATGGGCAAGGGCACCATGTCTCTGAACCCCTTCCATACCGATCGACAAGTTCTGTCGAGAGTAGCTGCGGCGGGTCTCCTGACGGTACTTGTCTCTCTCGTCGACTCGAAACAGTTCATTCTTGCCGACTCACACTACCTTCTCTACTTCTTAGTTACAGCAATGTATCCAAGATTTCTGGTGACATTGGACGAAGAGCTGAAACCGCTTACGGTCAACGTGCGTGTCGGTCAAGCGGTGGATGTCGTGGGGCAAGCCGGACGGCCACGAACCATTACAGGCTGGCAGACTCAGAGTACACCGGTGCTGTTGGCATATGGTGAGCGAGCCGAGCTGGAAGACGAAGAATACATCTGTTTGAGCAGCACGTTGGAAGGACTGGTCATCTTGCGCAAGGTCAGTAGTACTCCAAGCATCCATGCGTTCTTTTTCGCTAATGTCGTGCAGAATCCGGAATGGGAGGCCACAAAATAGAGGGCTTTGTGGGAATCTTTCACATCTGCTGATATCACCTTGGGGCCTAGGCATAGGCGGAGGGGGACGGTCCTGGAACGGTCCAGAAGAGTGTCCTTGTACCATAGATAATCTAAGAGTGAGAGGGCGAACACAAGGAGTATGCATGTGTTGTCGTCGGGCATCTCAAACCCCTTTGCATCTTGCCTGGTTCCTTGTGTTTTCAATATCCTATTAGCAGCAGCAACTCAATTAGAGTCGAGTCACGTGCGGCGCCGAGGGCTGACTGCATGGCGTCATCGGTTATTGGTCGGTGCAAGTCTGCAGCGTCTGCCACGCATCGCCGTCACATCTGCGCATCTGTTTCACTGTTCATCCTGCATTCCCTTGTTGAGCTGGCACTGCACCACGTGTCGAAGATGGTGTCGCGACGGTGATTCGAGGACCCCCATCATAATGACCGCGCAGTCCATATCTATTCTGTATTCCTAAGCCTCGCGGTTCAAGGCGCCCTCCTGCCTCGCCTCGCTCCTCTCCGATCAGAAGATGCCGCCCGATCCTCGCATCGCCGCGCTCGACTTCGACGCCAATCGAAAACGTGGACGCCGGTCATCGGGCTCGCGTCCTCGAACTGACAGTGGTGACTTTGATTTCATGGGCCAGGTCGCCCAGGAGATCATTGAGCGAGATCGCATAGCAATGCGCAGGGAGGTGATAAGAGTCCTGAGCTTTGTTTGCGCTGTGCTCAGTTGGTACGATGCACACACGGGATGTCTGGGGTAGATCAAGAGCTCACAGTTCGCATATAGTCTATGTGCAGGATCAATCACCTCATTCTCCCTCTACGGCGCCCGTTTTCTCCAGGACCTGCACTATTCGCAACTCCGGGTCAATGCGGTCTCCATCACCGCGGAGTTGGCCATGTATCTCCCAGTCCCTCTCTTTGGCTATCTATGCGATCGCTACTCACCACCACCACTGTCGCTTCTCTCCTCAGTCCTCTTTGGTGCTGGATACCTCCTCGCTGCATATACATACAAATCAGGCCCGCCACCCGACGCTACAACAAAACCAGGGAACGGGTGGCCTTTCGGGGTCATGATCATAGCCTTCATCGGCATTGGAGCGGGAACAAGCTGCATGTACCTCTCCGCTGTGGCCACCTGCGCGAAGAACTTCGCCAACGCAAAATATCGGGGTTTCATGCTCGCTGTGCCGATTGCGGCATTCGGGCTGAGCGGCATGTGGGAATCACAGGTTGGAGCGCACTTGTTGTATGAGAAGCTGCCCAATGGTCACAAGGGAGAGGTTGATGTGTTCAAGTATTTCGTCTTTCTAGCTGGAACGTTGATCGGCGTCGGTCTTCTTGGGACGTTGGGATTGCAGATCGTGGATGAGGAAGAACTGATTGAGCACGGGGTGGAGAATCTCGAACGCAGCGGTCTGTTGGATGAGAGCGAATTCTACCACGACACTTCTCGTGCCCCTACCCCTGTGAATTACGGCACGATTGGATATGACGAAGACTCTGGCGACGGTTCTGGCTCATATTCCGACGACGACATGGACTCCGAAGCCGAACGAAACCTCTCCGAATCTCAGCTCCTCAAGAAACACGAACAAGACCGCCGCTTACGCAAGAAGAAATATTGGCTCCTCAACCATGCCACGCACACATTTCTCACTGATCGCACAATGTGGCTTCTTGCGGCGGGGTTTTTCCTCCTCACAGGGCCAGGAGAAGCATACATCAACAATCTCGGCACAATCATCCCAACGTTGACGCCGGAGAATTACAATTACTTAGATGGCGACGAGATGGCAAGTCCTCCCGCGGGCCACGCAAGTATGCACGTCTCCATCATTGCCCTTGCGTCAACTTTCGCCCGCTTATTCACCGGTACATTATCCGACCTCTTCGCTCCTCCTTCGAACCCCGACTCACCTCCCAGCAACCGTGTACAGTTTTCTCGCCTTGTTCTTCTCATTCCCTCGGCATTCCTCCTTCTCCTCGCATTCCTAAACCTCGCTCTTCCGGTGCTCACTCCCCAGCATCCGAGCTTGTTCCTACTCTCCTCTTCGTTGGTGGGGTTAGGATACGGAGCATGTTTCAGCCTCGTGCCCATCATCATCTCCGTGGTATGGGGTGTGGAAAACTTTGCGACGAATTGGGGTGTTGTGGCTATGATGCCTGCTGGAGGTGCCGCGGTGTGGAGTCTCGTTTATTCCGCAGGCTATTCTGCGGGAAGTTCGCATTCTCCTGATGTGGAGGACGGGGAATGCCGAGGTTACCTGTGCTTCGGGGTGTGGGCTTGGGGATGTGCGGCGAGTGTGACTTTGGCGATTGTCTGCTGGTGTGTCGCCTGGAGGGTTTGGAAAAGGAGAAACGTGGTCGTGTAGCACGCGGCAACAACGGAATTTGAGGTAGAGCATGGGAGGATGAGAGTCGACGTGAATGTTTCGATCACTATTTGTTCCGAACCAGCAAGATCGGGCAGTCGGCGTGGAAAGGGGAAGCAGCCTGCAGATATCGACGCTCAAGATCAAATGGGGGAGGATGCCGAAGGAACACGCCCATCGAGACAGCCCTGCGACATCCATGTGCGCGTGCGTTGAGTCCAGGGAATTTGTACCTTTTGGGGTCATTACTATTTCGAGACCCCCTTTACACTGACCTTTTTTTTTTCAGAGGGTTTTCTGCAGCAAGCGAATGCCGCAATAAGCATTGTACGGGGTTTTCTGGTCTGCATTGACTATATATGGCGATGGCGTTCTTGGGCCGGACTGTCTTGGACTGGACTGGACTGGGGCTGTCGAGGATCGAGTGTCATTCGATCCCAAGCTTGACTCCGTATCATGGATATAGCACCGAGTATACACTTGATACAGAAAAGGGGAAACCTGACCTCGGGCTCTAAACACGAGACCCTTTATTCGAACAAAGTGCTCGAGACGCGGAATAAGTACAAGTAACAAGTACGCCGTACGTATGACATGGCCCGAGGGAGCAAAATCCAAGGAACGGGGAACGAGGATCAAGGATCAAGAATCTTGCAAGGCTTTCTCTCTCTCTCTCTCTCTCTCTCCCTTTCTTTCTTTCCTTCCTCGCTATAGTACCTTCGGAGCCCTCCCCTTTGCTTTGCCTTTCCTTTTTCCTTAGAGTTCTCTTGTCTGGGATTTGAGGGGCCGTTGAATTAATTGTTTTGATTTCCTATCCTTGCCTTCGCATGCTCGTTCGCGCCACTGCGCGCTGCGCATTCAATGTCCCTCCCCCAAGGCGGTAGGGAGGCGAGTCCTTTCGCACATACATGGGTATCTTTTTGGATTTCATTATCATTATCTCCTTTCTTTTCTCCGTCGTCCTCTCTCCCCCTCACACGCATACAACCATTCATGATTTCAGGGATGGGGGCAGTTCATTTCCCTTTTCGCCACTTTTACCACCATTCGCCGTTCCGTTTTGGGAGCCCATGATGATGAGATCTGCTCGGTTGGTTCCTTCCAGCAGGGATCTTTTTTTTCTTCTTTCAATCTCATGTCAGTCAGGGCTTGCCTTCCATATGTGTGTGGTGAAACCTCATATACCGAACGCATCAAATGCAGTCAGTGTATGGCCCTGTTCCCGCCTCGATCCATTCCGTGCAGATTTCCCCCAGCTCCATGTCGATAATGCGGGCAAAACTCAGGATCTTGAACCAAGACCACAGCAAATCAAACCAAATCCCAAGCCGCGACGCCAGTAAATCCCATCCCAACTCGTCCCTTGCCCTCGCGAAACTCCACGACGCTAAGACCTCTAGCATCTTGCCTATTCCCGAAAGTCGTAACTGCGAACAGCGTGATGGTCTGCCCTGGTGCCCCTAGCTGGCGAGCCGGGATATCCACCACCCACATGTCACCACCCTGTCCCATGGCTCCGGGATAGTATTCCACGGGGACAAGATCTTTATCTCGACCATCAACTCCATTGACCGAGACAACGAATACAGGGGGTGGTCCTTTCCGCGTATGTCTGTCCAGCGTCCAGTGCGCACATCTGAGACCGAATTGGAATCGAACGCTATCAGGTTGTCGAACGTTGATTTTCCTTGCTCGCGGGTACACCGTCTTTTCGCCAATAGAATAATCTTCTTTTGCGTTCGTGAAAATCGTGGGGCCTTCAACCATGTCAGGCCAGGACGCAGGGTCAACCACGATATACTCCTCCCAGCTCAAGCGCCGCCCTTCACGGAGGAAGAACAGATCCTCATTGCCTGGGAAATGCTTGACTGCGAATTCTTCGTTCGACATGGTGAAGAAATCCGGGTTAAATTTAGCTATGTAAGGGCGACCTGCGCCTTGAACATAACCTGCTCCCCAGCATGTGTCGATGAGTTTCCACTCTTCGTTGTCGATCTTGACAGCGTTCCATGCGTGGCCGGCATTATATGGCGGAAGGGGAGCTCCTGGCGGGATGGGATTGAATCCGTAGCCTTTGCCGTGGCCTGAGATGACGACAGATTCTAGGCCAGCGTAGGTAGCTAGGTTCGTAAAAAGGGCAGCATAGCCTTCACAAACCGCCAGTCCACTCTGTAAAGTTGACTGTGGCGTGGAGCCTCTTACGTTGTTGTTGAAGAAGCTCACAACATCGTAGGCAATGTTGTGATGTAGCCAAGTAAAGATGGCTCGTGCTTTGTCCGTGGGTGACGGAAATGGAGAAGTCAATTGATGGGCCAACGTTTGTAACGAGGTCACCTGAGTTCTGGGGAAAAGAGTGGCTTGGTGATCAGGGCCAGAGAAGTCCCGGCAGACTAGACAGACACTGGCCGCAGCCGATAGACCACCGTTTACCGAGGTTGTGTTTATAGAAAATTTGGGCTTAGTCGCCTGGATGGCTGAAAGATCTGGTCGAGAGGATTTAGGAACTGGCGGCGGAGCTGACTGAGTATCTCTCAAATGGCCAGTCATATCCTCTCCCGACGGGAAAGGTACATTCTCTCTCCGTAGCAATGGTATTACATGCTCTCGTAAGGGCAGTGGCACAGGTTCCCTCAGCGGCAGTTGGACTGGCTCCATGACTGCGACAGATTCCTGGTGATATGGTTGCTCTTTTGGAGTATGGTAGAAGAAAGCAGCTTTCTTCGCTTTTTCTATTGACTCGACCGAGGGCACAGGGGGCATCTTCCTTGGCGGAGTCTCTCCGGCGTGCTCCGAGTGTTCAGCCTCGTGTTTGCGCGAAGGCAGTCTTGGGGGAAGGGACGGTCGCGGAGGCGGAGTAGGTCTAGCTTCCACAGACGTAGCTGGGGTGATAACTGTCGTGCTCGAGAGAGCTCGATTGACATATTTGGGGCGGTCCTCCGAATGTTTTTTGGTGGCAATATGTGGGTTACCATTCCGGGGAGGAAGGGCAGGCAATTCGCACTCGCCCCATGCAGGTGCTTTGATTCGGCTGCCCGAGTCAGTAGACTTGGTGCGAGCGGTGGTGGTTGTGGCCTTTGAAGAGGACGTATTGGATGTGTCATTTGTACCACTGGAGTTGGTCGACGCTACCGAGGCCCTCCTCTGTTCTTCAAACGGGGGATTTCGACAGGGCAGCGGCGGAGGCTGTTTTCTCGCCGGAGGCTGAGGTGGAGGAGCAGGCAGATTACCTGGTCTGGAGTCGGTGATTGACCCATTGACCTGTTCTGGCGGGTTGTTGATGGTGTGTTGTTTGACTATCAGGGGACGCCTGGAAGGGACAGGAGGAGGAGGGTGAGACGAGGGTCGGGGCGGTTCTCCAGGAATTCGACCAATATGGGCAGCATTCAATGCCGCGATGCGCTGTTGAAGGGTCAGAGTGACAAAGGAAGGATCCTCACTCATGGCTGCCAGTCAGAATGTTGTAGCCTAGCGTGGAGTGTAGGGAGGACAAGAGAATGATGGTCGTCATCTCAGGAATGCCATGACTTAAAGCGAGCGGAGGATCGAGGCACAAAACGAGGGTGAAAGTGAGAGCGACATGCGACACAAAGCACAAAGCACAAAGCACGCGGCATTGCGCAGGATGGCGGTTGGGCGGTTGGCCCTGCGCAGCCTCCAGGAAAAAGGGGCTGAGATGGCACGTGAAAGTGCACGTGAGCATTCGCCAGGGCCAAGGGGAACGGTGTCCTACTTTGTATACTTGTAACTTTCTCGGCTGTTGATCGTGAATCTGAGTGCTTAGGTATCTGTGCTGAGCCAAAATCTATTATCGGCTTGATAGAGGCTCAAAGTTGTGACAAAGGCCTGCTCTGGCAGCTTTCAGCCTTGTCCTGGCGGGGTTTCAGCCTCGTCCGGAGACTGGAAACATGTGATGGAAACATGAGGCTTCAGCGTCAGCTGTGACCGGAATAAAGATCTTTCACAATCCAAAGCAAACTTGTAACTTTGCCTCAGCAGTAGGACTCATGCTCAACCTCCTGTTGTGGCCAGTTGAGACCCGGAGTGTGCCAACACGATATCCCTCGGCCTTACGTTACAGGTGGGTCAAGGTCGAAACAAGCCATGCATGGAGGAGCCAGGGTTCTAATATTGCCATGTCAAAACCATTCTAATACAGGAAAGAGGGCAGTCATGAATTTATGTGCACGCCAATCGTCTGTGACAGAGATGATATCTTTGACAATTGTCTAGACCGAAGCTGTACGTGGACGGCATGCGCCTGAACTTTGTTCCGAAAACACTTACCGATCCTACCCAGGAAGTAGACCATTGTGTAGGGAGTACTTTCGTCACGGCGGAAAATGCCACTGCTCTCGGGCATCCAGACACTCAACACCGTCCGGAAGACTGCTGCCCAACAGGCCGAAACTGGCCGTCCTCCTTAGGATTGTTTATCGCGTCTCTTTCAGCCTTGTGCCTCTGCACTCCGCACAAGGCTGCGCCCCCCTTACTACATTCAACTGGCCTACAGCATGGTAACAATGGTGGACAGTTCAATGAAATGGTTTTTCTGCTCGTCCGCGAAGCAAGAGCAAGCATTCGATCGAAATTCGATCCGCTGGAGGGGAAACCACTTTTAATGCGGACTGATTGGCGGGCCAAGCATACATGTCGGACCTCCTGTGACCTCTCGTGTTCGTATCCCTGAAGGTTGTTCAGCTCCCACCAGGAGCCCAAGACAAATGTCCAGGCGCCCTAAAGCAAATAGAGTGCTCCAGCGTCAGCATCTGCTGCCCGTTGCCAGCACTCCTTCGCAAAAATAGGATGCCAACCAGGCAGGGAAAGCTAGGTGAGGACATCCAGCTGCATCCGAGCGAGGAAAAGCGTCAAGTGTTTCACGGAAAATACATGGCCTGGATTCTTTTCGAGTCTTACAATACAAGGCTAATTACATTTCATTTCTCCGGAGCTCTAAATGACTGAGCTGAACCAACACTCATTTTCGTCTTCCCCACACAGACGCTCGTATTCTCTGCCCAGTCTTTCGTGTAACTCGATTTCCATGGCCAATGCGCAGCAGGAGTGCTGGCACGAGCCTAGATGCCATGGAAACGACAAGAAGAGAATATGAAAATGGAAGTTTTTCAGCTCCAGTTACTGCAGCAATCCAAGATCTTTTATGTCTGGTTTGCTACTTATTGAGGTCCTTCTTCTACTTCTCTGGCACAGCTGCTAGGACTTCTGACAGTACCTGCGCCTTCCAAGTACCAGTGCGGAAGTTCCCTTGTCTGCCTCCAGGAAGTCAAACATGAAACCCTCCTTTCTCTTTTTGCTTTGTCTTGCAAGCAAGGTGCTCTCATGGGGCGAACTAGGTCACCGCACAGTCGGATATCTTGCTCAGATGTACTTCTCTTCTGAGGCTGAGAGTCTGTTCGACGAGCTCGTGCGCCCGACCGAGTCATTTGACATCTCCGATGGTGCAGTCTGGGCCGACGATCGGAAGGTGCAAGGCAGAATGCCTTGGTCAAAGGCGTGGCATTTCATCGATGCAAAGGACAATCCGCCAAGGAGGTGTAAGGTGAATTTCAATGCCGACTGCGATCCCGACAAGAAATGTATTGTCGCAGCCATCACGAACTTGGTGAGCTCTTCTAACTACTTTTCTCTACATCTGAACGTTAACCGACATGGCTTTCCTGGCCGGCAGACCACCCAAGTCAACAACCCGCGTTTGAAACGAGATGACCAGAGTGATGCTCTAAAGTTTCTTCTGCACTTCCTCGGCGACGTCAGCCAGCCCTTGCACACAGAGCAGAAATGCCGCGGAGGCACGAAGCTCATGGTGCAATGGGGCAAACCAGGTTCCAGGGAAGAGAACCTTCATGAGATCTGGGACAAGTTCATCATCCAGAAGCTCCGAGAGTATAAGCAGCCGCGGGAGAGTGACCCCGGCAATGTTTACGACAAACAAGTCTCAGTCAAGTGGGCGGCGGACCTAAAGGAAAAACTGGATGATGGCAGCATAGACGTAGCCCGGGAATGCACGGACATACACGAGGCACAGAAGTGTGCACTGGAGTGGGCGTCCGAGGCTAATGCGTTCATCTGCACATACGTGCTCAAGGACGTCGGTATCAATCTCGGACCTGATCCTTGTGAGCAATGCTGCCTGTGGGACTGGCAAGGACCGGCGGACCTTTCCAAGGGGTACTACGAGGGAGCGGTCCCCATCGTTGAGGAACAGGTTGCTAAAGCCGGGTGGAGGCTTGGACAGTGGATCAATGCTTTGGCGGAGCAGCGAGTCAACATGAAGAGAGCTGGAGTGGCGTTCGGCGATGACGTGTTACAAGTGCAGCCCAAGCTGGAAATGTAGCCTTGAAGAGAGATTCAGGCTACGTTTGCAAACCACCCTTGCCACAGAGTGGTCTTGGATTCAGATGGCTTGCTGCTCCAGACAAACGGTCGTTTTCTGAAGTGTCAGAGAAGTCTCAGTGTAATTCAGACGATCGAGTCTACCAAAATAGGAAGAAAAGAGTCTCAACCATGCCTGCGCCGGTGTTATATCCCTTGTCAAGAGCTTGTATAGCTTTGGTAGCTTTTTCGGGCGTAGTTATGGTGACAAGGCTGATGGCCCCTATTTGACGGCCCTTAGCCTGCCGCACGAATACATAACCCCAAAAGGTGCCCAGGTGGGGTCAATGCTGTCTGACGGGCTTCCGTTATGGCTGCTCACCCGTTCTCCCCAAGTCTTCCCTGTTTTTCCGCAGACTCCTTTTTTGTCAGACGAGTTTTTATAGTGTCGTACTTAATGCCCCACGCTCCACATCTGGACTGTTCGCTTCCAGTTCAATCTGCCGAAGACATGGTGGAGTAAAGCGATCTCAGGAAACTAAAGTACTCGGTACATTAACTCGTCTAGATCCCCATGACCAAGCATCGTCTCGATTCACCCATTGCCTAAGATCCAACACATCACTTTACCGGGCTCCAAAATGGCCTTTCAGCGGATCTGCCTCATCGGCGCCTCTGGTAACCTGGGAAGTCTGATCCTCAAACACCTTCTGGCTTCCCCGCAAAATTTCAAGGTCACGGTTCTGTCACGCAATTCTTCCGCGGCAAAATTCCCAGACACAGTCGCCGTCGCCCGCATCGCCGACGACTACCCCGTCTCCGAGCTCACGAATGCGTTCAAAGACATGGACGTGGTCATCTGCGCGATCTCCATGATGGGAATGCACGAACAGTACAAATTCATCGACGCCTGCCTCGCCGCGAAAGTGAAGCGGTATTTCCCCACAGAATTCGGCCTCGACGACTTGCCGGACTGGCTATTGCAGCTGCGGGACATGTTCAAGATCAAGCACGACGTGCGCGACTACTTGATCTCCAAGCAGGACACGGGTCTCGAATGGACGAGTATCTGCTGCAACGCGTTCTTCGAAATGGGTGTCGCTTCGGGATTTTTCCAGCTGGACTGGAAAAACAAGAAGGCCGTCCTGATAGACGGCGGGGAGGCGAAGTTCGTGGCGACGACGTTGGATACGGTTGCGTTGGCCGTCGTGAGGGCGATCGAGAAGCCCGAAGTGACGAAGAACCGGATCTTGCTGGTCCAGGATTTCAGGACGAGCCAAAAGGAGATTTTGGACGCCATACAGCAGAAAGTCCCCGGATGGCAGGTGGAGAACGTCGAATATGGGTCCTGGCTGGAGAAAGGAAAGGAGCAGGTCAAGAGCGGCGATAACAGCGCGCTGCCCAAGTTGACCTTTGGCACGTTCGCGCAGGGAAATCAGTACGAAGGGAGGCCGGAGTTTGGGAACGAATTGTTGGAACTCCCGACAAAATCTTTCTCCGAGGCAATGGGGATCTTTTGGAAGGAATACGAGAGTCGTTAGAAAGAGTAGAAAATGTTGACGGTACGTGATCCAGGCCGCCCCGGAGGTACCTGGTAGTAGGGCTCGACAACGAAAAACCGCTGAATTAGGACACTCTGGGTCAGCATGGGCCTTTTGAAAGAAAACAGACTTTCTGCCTCAAGGGTCGATATCCCGAGCTTGTCACATATCGGTGCACATAGATCCGGTACACAGTCAATCGAGTGGTAGAAACAGGCCACAGTCGCAGATCGGCCTGTTGCTCACCCAAATCTTCCCACACCGGTAGCAGAATTCGGCCGAGCAAACGCACGTCATATGGTTGCAGCCTTCTCGCCTTTCCACGAGATGTCCACAGGCCGGACAGAATTTCCACTTCTCTTTGGCGATGAGCGCTTTCAGCTTCTTGTCGCGCTTGCAGAGCCCACCGTGTTCTTTCGCCCTGCAGCCCATACACATCCTTCTCTTACAAAAAGGGCACTTGGCGTAGTCTTCCTGGACAAGAATTCCTGGAATGTAGGCGAGGCAGTCCTCCCATGGACAATACGTGGGGTTTGCCGTGTGAAGCTCTTGCAGCCACTGAACGAAAACGTCAAGGAAGTCTGCGTCCATGCCACCGTGCTCGCGAATCACCTTGAGAGGCACGCTCTGGCCACAGCACTTCAGCTCGTTTCTGGTCCTGAACATATTCCGTAGGCCTTCTGTCAAGCCCGCCGTTAGCCGAAAGGAGTAGTGGCCTCTGGAGCAAGATGGTCAAAACTTGCCGTGAAAGCATTCCAGACAGAATGAATGGCGACATTTCAAGCCTACCACGTCGACTCTGAAGAACGGTTCCATGCACACAGCACAGTCGACTATATCGAACGGTGAATGCTCGGCGCCATTTTCCTGGTTTCCTAGATCCACCCTTTTTGCCCTAGCTCGAATGGCCAAGTCTCTCAGAATGGCGCTTCTCCTGGCATTTTTGAGCTGGGAGGCCTCATCTGCATCTTCGAGTTGGCGGATATGCGCTTGCAGGGCTTTATGCACGACCTTGAATTCCTCGATGGCGTCATAGAGACAGACATTTTCAGGGTGATGGACTGCCCGGACACAGGCTCCCAAATAGACGGCATTCTGCTGGACTTCTTGCTTTGTGCTCTCCACGAGGTTGTCGACTCCCAGAACATGCGGAGGTGAGCGAGGATAGTCACCGAGGACACGGAGCAGGAACGAATAGCTAAATGGAGGAAGTTTGATGGACACCGTGGTGTGGTGGGCGTCGGAAAAGGTCGCAACTATGAGGCCTTCACCGTAGATGGCGTTGAGGGCATGTATCTCGTCAGCCAAGGCAGCGTTGTGGACCAACATGCTCACATCTTGAATCGGACTTGTGATGGGCTCGAAGGCGAGTTGGTCAGCCACCTGCGGAGGCAGTACGAGACAGGCACGGCCAGGTGATATAAAAATGCCACTCCCTTGTATTCCATCCTCTACATACTCCGGAAGGATTTCCATCAATGAGTCAGACAAGTCGCTTGTCCCAGCCACTGTTCCTAGTCATTGAACAAGTGCCTGGGGCCAAATGCAAAGTTCGAGGTCTATGAGTCATTCATCAGGCCACAGAGTACTCAGTGATACAGGCTGTATGCTACCCATGTAATAGCTGCCATTCCAGGCTTTGTGAACCCCAGGAATACCCAATAATCGCCCAAAACCAGGCAACTTTCCTGTTCCCCTAATTCTATCCTTCATATAAAGACGAATACAAGGGCTAGGCCCCATGATGTCGTCCTACTTTGACCTGTTCATCAAGTCTGTAGCCGGCACAGAAATACCACTTTCTCGATCCTTTGTTCGTCGAATGTCCTTTCCGTACTTAGTTGTCCTCGATATTGGGACTGTACGAGGCGAGGCACAAAGATAGGTTGCTGGATGCCTAAAGAAAGCGGTAGGTCGGTCCCAAATAGGTGCCAGAGTGGGCCGGTGAGCCACAACTGTAAGGTGATTGGCCTGCAGGACAAGGCTGAGGCCACATGCCCACACAAGGTCTAAAGAACAACGAAAGACCTCCCTTATTCGATCGAAGTAATCCCCCCTGGGGATTGTCTTATCTTTATTTAGCAGAAGTTGTACCTGATCTGTCAATCATGCTCGTACATAGTTGTATCCTCGACAGTGGCCAGTTTGCCGTCATCATTGCCCCTTCCCTCGTCTAAGTATAGGAAGATTGTCGACACTTCTTGCAAGGAGCAGATCACATCTACTTCATCTCGAATGTCTCCTGAGCCACCTCGTGCTCCTCAAATTTGTTCTTTTCTATGGCTTCAAGATCACCCCGGAGTCTCGCTTGTAGCACGTGCTTGTACTCTTTCTTCGCGAAGAGCACGTCGATCTCCTCCAAGCTAAGGCCCTTTGTCTCCTTGACGCAGAAATAGACAAAAGGTACGGCCAAGACGTTGAAGACGCAGAACAGGAGATAGAATTTCCATCCAGAGGCTTGGATTCCCATCGGCCCAAACTTGACCACGATAAATGTGATGATCCATTGGGTGAAGACACCCATGGAAGTGCCAATGTGACGACTGTGGACGGAACGGTTAGCTTGAGAACAATCATGTAAGAATGGTCCTGTCCCCGGGAACGGGTACTCACACATGGAGAGGTGCAATTTCTGGAACGTACTAGGATATCACAAGTCACCACTTTTCCATTCCGTCGTCCGGGGGAAAACACTTACGATCCACGGAGCATCGCACCATGAGGCCCCAAATGCAAACTCAAACAAGAAGATGCTGACCACGGCCAGCTTATTGGAAGAGTCATTGTTTACAGCGAGTCCGATGGTGAACAAGATCATAAACAGAGAGCAGAAAATAGCACCCCATAACATGACTGGTCGTCGGCCAAATTTCTCTGTTGTATACACAGTCGAGAATGTGCCCCCCATGAAGAGCAAAGTGACGCCACCGCTGGTGATGGCAGCCTGGTTTTGAGACATCCCAAGCGAATGAATGAAGAGATATGTCGCGTAATACGAGACGATATTGTTGCTTTGCATTTGTAAAAATCTCAAGTCAGCGATAGTACTTAATGAGGCCAGTGGGGTACAGGTCGAAATCTCTCTCAATGATCTTGAACTTGAGAGGTTGGAAGGCGCCCCAAGAAAAAGGTCTCTACTCACCCATCCATTTGTTGGAAGAACTTTCAGACGTCAGTTCCAGTCACTTCTATCTCGGTAACGGGTTGTGGGCCCACTCACCTGAACAAGGACACCCAGCCACAGCCGCCAGGTCGTATTGACCGGGGAGTTGTCGTAGAACAGGTTCTTGAAATTGAAGTTGTACTCTTTCTCTGCTTCCAGGGCCGCAAATACGTCGGAGCGTTGTTTGGTTACCACCTCACTGTCCACTGGAACAGAGTAGATTCGAGCCATGACATGATCGGCGTCGGCAATCTGGCCATTTGCGTAGAGGTAGCGAGGCGACTCCGGGAGAAAGAAGATCATGGCAAAGGTCAACAAAATGAAGACGACTTGGAAAGCTATGGGTAAGCGCCAGACTGCCTCTGTACCGGGATAACTGCGAATCATGCCGTAGTCGAACCAGTAGGCGATGGTGAGACCTAAGATGACTATCGAGAGTTGAGTCGCAATCAACGCACCGCGAGACTTTGCTTTGGCTGTTTCGGCAACCCACACGGGCACCATCACCGTGATAATGCCCATCCCGAGGCCAGCAATGACACGTCCCGAAATGAGATACGAGGTCCCATGGGCTCCAGCTTGCAGTCCGGCACCAAAACAAATGAGGATTCCCCCAATGACAACAAACAGGCGGCGACCAAGCATCTGCCCGACGAAACCACAGATAATACATCCGGTCAGGCAACCAATATCGTAAATCGCCACGATTGTGCCCTGCAAATCTGCAGCGTTGGCATTGATGTGATTTGCGGACAGGAAAGTTGGAAGGGAGATGAGACCTCCAAGGACGCCTTGATCGTATCCTAGGATCACGCTGTTAGCTGCCAAGGTCATGGCAGACTTTCGAGACTGGAGATACCGAAGAGAGTGAAGGCCCATGCTGAGCACAAGGTAATAGCTGCCTGGAGCCAAAATCCCTTGAGAGATTGAGCGTAACCTCTATTGAACGCCGACATGTTGATGGGAATCGACAGTAATGATCACGCAGATCTGGGGAACAGGAGTCCTGGAAGATGATAGAAGGAGACAATGGGTATTCGCCGGATATATGCAAATTGCTGATCTGATCTGCTTCGGGAATCATCTTCCCATGGGGACTGCTGCGTGGGATAGCTTGCATATCCTACCCACTTTGGAAGACATCACGATGGAGAGTTCTCCTCGCACCATCCGGTTTATGGGCTCCGGGAAGTCAAAGCATGAGTATGGCCTAGTATACCACCGAGGCCGATCAGGAGGTTTTCCGTCTTTGTGCGGGGATTTGTGGAGTGTCTGCTGTCGTCTTGTGTACCTAGTAACTCCATACCGAAATGTTGTGGAGCGGTGGAGTTCCTCGTCCTAGGACAACGCACAAGGCCCTATGACACACGGGGGCCCCGTTTACTCAGGCTCCTGACTCGATATTTTGGTTGTCATATGCTAGTAGTAGAAGGACGGTGATTAAATTTGGGGCAGATTCAGGGATCTGCGACATACCGGGGATGGAGCGGCATTGATCAGTGCTCTTGTTGTGATAGGTGTAGATTTCCCTACCTGTCAATATCATTCTTCTGATAACTGTTTCTCATGCTTTCACCTCTGTTGTTGCCAAATTGATGTACGGCCGCACATAACTCACAATGTTGACTTCCAGGGTAGGAAGAGAGTTGGAAGAAAGTTCAAGGGACGAGGCGTTAAGAACTTAGAGTTAACCTTTCATCCCACGAAGCGCCGGCAATGCTTCGTAAATTCTAATCTGCCGTATTGGTTAAGATTATAGAAGAGGCTTAGCCCAGCTCTACCAAGCTACCGTATGGCAACAGGAAAAAGGTACAGTGAATGAAGTATGCAATTGGACGGTTCAGCCAAACATTTGCTGCCTTTTCACCGGATGTCATGAAAGCCGCCATCATTGACCACTAGCGACCCGTTCATGTAGCTGCTCTCGTCACTCAACAAGAAGCTCACGACATTTGCCTGTTCCTCAGCAAAAGCCATCCTTCGCAAGGCAATGGCTTTGCTGACTGGAGACTCTTGGTTTTCCTTTGACCCGATTGTCCCTTCGGCGCCCATCGAGTGCTCGACCATTTTGGTCAGAGTCCACCCCGGACACAGTGCATTGACACGGATCCCGTCCGGCCCATAGAATTTGGCTCCGTTTTTGGTCACTCCGACCGCCGCATACTTCGAGGGAGTATAAGCTGCGAGACCGGCAGCTTGGAGTCCTGAGATGGAGACAACGTTTGCAATGGCACCACGTTGTCCTGGGATTTTGTGCGGGCATGGTGGTTCGAACGAGATCGGACGAGGAGCCTGGGTCTTCATTTGCAGCGCCTGGTATTTCTGGCACAACCAGAGGCCCCTGGTATTAATGGCATGTGTCCTGCAACAGTCAGGACTTTCAACTGCTAGGCCCAACAATCTAGCCCTCGCACCTTTCAAAGAGCTCTGTGGTGATGCTTTCTTCTTCAGACCAGATGGACTCGCAGATTCCCGCACAGTTGGCAGCGTAGTCGAGCCGACCCGTCCACGCTGTGGATGAGGCTATCGCGTCCTTGACCTGTTGCTCCTGAGTGACGTCGAGTTTGAGAAACCTGGTCTTTACATTCCACTTCTTGGCCACCTCGTCTGACACCTTTGCGCCCTCTTGTTCGTCCATGTCGGCTATAATGATCGAGATGCCACGGCTTGCAAGTTTGTGGGCAGTGGCTTTTCCTATGCCACCACTTCCCCCGGTGATGAACGCCACACGCTGAGCCATGCTGGCCATCCTCTACAACTGCTAAGAATTCAAGGGAATATACCTAGGTGAAAAGCTGATGAGGTCGAGTGAGCCGTCATGTCGAGCACCTGCCTCCGATTAAGAAGGATCGCACAGGCTGCACCGTCAATCATGCCTGCTGGTCCTCACACTTGACAGCTGCACCACCGTGGAGACGGTTGTCTGCAGGGGGAATGGAGACCATGCACACAACTGCGGTCTTTGAGAGCCGCGGGGAAGATGAGCAGGCCGAGGGTGACATGGAGCAATGAGCAATGAGCAATGTCCTACCCAGTATGTACCGGCGCCTGGCAGACGCATCTTGGCAGCCGAGCTGTCCACTGCTGCCCACCGACCCCAACTGCCCAACGTCCTGCGGCAACGGCCCCGCATGCACATCCGTTGCCTGCCTGCGCTGCTCTCTCCCTTGATTCCTACTCGATCGCCAGTGCAACGAAGACGGACTTATTGATCTGCTGCTCGTGGGCCCGAATCAAAAAGAGATTGATGCACAGACCCTAGCACAACCCCCAGATTAAATGCTTACAAGTCCAATCTTCAACAGAAAGAGCAGAATGAGTCTCTCCTCACCCACCGTCCGAAGTCTCCATTCCACGGGAATCAAAACCCGGCGGGCTAGCCGAGAGATCACTGCGATAGAGCCTGGGGAGCCTCTCACGCACATAGAGCACCTCGCTAATGCATCACCGAGCGATGACCCCGCCTGGAATCCGATATTCGAACCATTTCCTTTACCTTGGTCCCCCTGTATCGCAGCAGCCATCGATCCGACCTTCAAGAGCTTTGTGCTTTCTCTTCACGGGATTTCCTAGTCTTGCTTTGCAAAACCCATCAAGCCCTTCTTGATAATTGACTCAATCATCGAGATGGCGCGTGTAGAGACAGATTTTGATGCTCTTATCGTCGGGGCAGGCTATGGCGGCATCTACCAGCTCTACCGGCTGAGGGAGATGGGACTGTCGGCCAAGGTGATAGATATGGCAAGCGATGTAGGTGGGACTTGGTATTGGAATCGTTACCCTGGCGCAATGAGCGACACCGAGAGCTTCGTCTATCGATTTTCATGGGACAAGGAAGACTTACAGACCTACCCCTGGACACATCACTATGTCAAACAGCCTGATGTCCTGGCATATTTGGAACATGTGGTTGAGCGTCATAACTTGCGCAAGGACATGCAATTCAACACCGAACTTCTCTCTGCGATTTGGAACGATGACGCCAAATATTGGCAAGTGGAATTGAGTACCGGAGAGAGTCTAAAAGTACGGTATCTGGTCACCGCATTGGGTCTCCTGTCGAAAGCCAACTACCCCGACATACCTGGCATCGATACTTTCCAGGGTCTGAAGGTTCACACGGCGAAATGGCCCCAAGGACTTGATCTTAGTGGCAAGCGTGTTGGCATCATAGGGTGCGGTTCGACAGGCGTCCAAGTCATCACCGACATAGCTCCACGGGTCAAGTTTCTGACCTGTTTTCAGCGACATCCTCAATACAGCGTCCCCAGCGGCGATCGACCTGTCGACCCTGCCTACCGCCAATGGGTCAATGAAAACTACGACGCCATTTTCGACCAAGTGAGAAACTCGGCCGTGGGCTTCGGCTTCGTTGAGTCCACAATCCCATACAAATCCGTCGCCTCGGCCGAAGAACGCGAAGCCATCTTCCAAAGCCTCTGGGACGCAGGTAACGGCTTCCGCTTCATGTTTGGCGGCTTCAACGACATCACCACAGACAGGGAAGCCAACGAAGCAGCCTGCGCCTTCATCCGTAAGAAAATCCGGGAAATCGTCAAAGACCCTGAGAAGGCCCGCAAACTCCAGCCGCACGATTACTACGCCCGTCGGCCGCTCTGTGACGGGGGTTACTTTGAGCAGTTCAACCGCGACAACGTGGACGTGGTGCATCTACAGGAGACCCCTATTACACGCATCACCGAAAAGGGCGTGCAGACCTGCGACAAGCTGTACGAGCTCGACGTGCTCATCTTCGCAACGGGCTTCGACGCCATCGAGGGCAACTACAACCGCATCCGCATCCGCGGCCGTGGCGGCCTCACCCTCAAGGACTACTGGGACCCAACCGGCCCGACGAGCTACTTGGGCGTGTCGGTGCCTCACTTCCCCAACCTGCTGATGATCACGGGTCCACAGGGCCCGTTCACAAACCTGCCGCCCGCGCTCGAGGCCCACGTCGACCTGATTTCGCGCTTGATCGGCCGTGCGGAATCGCTGTGCAAAGCCAGTCTAGACTCTGCCGCGACGCCGCCGGTCGTCGAAGTGACTCCTGAAGCCGAGAAGGAGTGGTGTCTCGAGTGCGAGCGCATCGCCGAGGGGAGCCTGTTCAAGGAGACCGCCAGTTGGATCTTTGGCCAGAATGTACCTGGCAAGAAATACGCCTTGAGGTTTTTCTTTGGCGGCCTGAAGGCCTTTTATGACAATGTCCAGAGGGTCATTGATAACGACTACGCCGGTTTTAAGGGTTTGGGACAGCGAGCTGACGAAGATGACGCAAATGGGAAACCGGCGGCGGCGGTAGAGGCGAAATCTGTAACGGCACGTCTGTAAGACAGCTGACCTTCGACTTTGGAAGCGCAAGACAAGAAATCATTTACAGACTGATCAATAGAGTCAAGTCTTCAATTTATTTATGGATGCCGAGAAAAAAAAAACTTCCTACCCTGCGAAAGCCCGTAGTGATAACGAAAAGCAGAAGCATCTCTGATTGCTTCAAAAGCAATGAATCAAGTACAATTTCGTAATGAGTCATGACCAAGTTCGTCTCTGTATCAGCTCATTCAAAAAGCCCATCCATTCGTTAATGGAACTTCCAAGCAACAGTCGTCGCTTGCGAGTCTTGTTGTCATTTCAATTTAGTATCTGCTGCCACTGCCACCCCAGCTGCTATTGCCGCTGCTGTGATGCTGCTTCTTCTTATCCTTCAAAAAGTCTTCGGCGACACTCCCAAGCAGAGCACCTCCGATAGTGCCCAAGAAGCCGTGACCAGCCTGTTTACCCAAGAAGTGGCCACCGAAGCCGCCACCAATGGCGCCGAGAAGGCCACGATCACTCTCGGTCATCGGAGGAGCTTTTGGATCGTAGTTTGGCGCATTGGGGTCAGTTGACTGAGGGGCAAACTGGTGGTTGGCCACTTCGGGTGGCAGGCTTGTACCTTGGCCTTGTTGATGTTGACCCCCTTGTTGGGCCATTTGGGCTTGGTAAGCCTGATTTTGGGCATAGGCATCGTTGCTGCCGTATTGCTGAGGAGCAGGGTTGCCATAGTATCCTGCGTGGCCTTGTGGGTTGCTAGCGTCGTAGGCACCGTATTGGTAGCCAGCTTGACCATGCTGGAAGCCGCCAGCTTGAGGCGGCCCGAAGGAATCTTGTCGGCGAGGTGGGCCAAAGCCTTGGTCTTGAGGAGGATACTGTTGGTAGCCTTGCTGGGGAGGGTACTGTTGACCGTATCCCTGCTGAGGGGGATAGCCTTGACTACCCCCATACCCTTGCTGAGGGTACTGTGAGCCGTAGCCCTGACCGCCACCGTAGGAGTCGTAGGGACCAGACATTGTGGATGAGATGAGGACGAAAGAATTTATAGCTGGAAGTCTATGGTGAAAGTGATTGATGTCTGAACAGGAAAGGGCAGGACAGATAGATCGATGAGGAAGGGAAGATTTATACGAGGTGTGAAGGGTGAGAAAAGAGCTTGCGCAGCTTGAAGGAATCTCAGACCGCAGACTGCGAGATGCGCGGTTGAGGACGTTGGTGAATGCGGACTCAGCTCAGCAATTATTCACTCATTCACCGAGCGCAATGCAACAGCTGAGCCCCGCGGCAGCGAACAGAAGGACCCCTCTTTGCCCCCGTCTCAGTGACCACCAGCCAAAGAACTTGCCCATTTCTGGGTGCCTCGTGGCCTGTGAGTGGTCACCCGGCTGTTCTTTCAGGTGGCTCTCGGGGTCCACATGGCCTTTCCGGGAACGAGTGATGCCTACCCAGTATTGCCCAGGCCCCCCTCCCCCAACCTCCTCTGGCCCTTCGGAGGCCTTTCGTTTACCCAGATGTTTCGGCCGACGCTCCCCTATTTCTCCGGCTTGGCCGCACATTTGAGAACTTGTGGCGGAGTTAATCACGTGGCAGTCGTCACACCTGAAACGCCATCATGATTCATCACCTCCAAAGGACCTCCCACCTTGAGTATTGTGGCGCAGTCTCTTCTCACAAGCGGCGATTGGACGACAACAACCAAAATCCCCATCACGGACATCAACGGTCGTAGGCAACACCTCGGTATTTTCCCAATTCCCCTGGGCCTTGACCCCAACCAATACTGATTTCCCGCGAGATAGACTCCATCATGACTGTGCAACTCCGCGATCACTGTCGACGCCCTAGTCCGCGATTCAACTTGCTCGAAATGCTAGGTCGTCTTCTGTTCCTCCAGTTCGACCTTCCTGCTGACCGTTCTGTCCTGCTGATCCCGTAAAAGATGGCGACGTATGACTACAAAGAGGCCTCGGCAATAGCTCGTAAGAGGAGAGCCGCTAATATTGCTGCTTTTCACAAGACTCCAGCATGGAACGAAGCGGACCTGCCTAAAAATCTGACAGAGTATGCCCTCAACTCTGACTACTACACCGACGAGGAGCGTCAGATAATTCAATCAGAGGCCGACGAGATCCTTGACAAGATCAGAACCAAGACATGGACCGCACTACAAGTCGCAAAAGCCTTCTGCAAGGCATCCGCCTTGGCCCAGGAACTGACCAACTGCTTGACTGAAGTGCTGTATGCAGAAGCGATTGAACGAGCAAAATATCTTGATGACTACCTCGAGCGCACAGGGAAGACTGTTGGTCCGCTTCACGGACTACCCATCTCGCTCAAGGACTGTTTTGTGACAGCACCACATCCTTCCAGTAATGGAATGGCGGTATTCGCCAACGAGCCTCTTGAAAAGGATGCCTTGCTGGTCACCATTCTGCGTGATCTGGGTGCTGTCTTCTATGTCAAGACAAACGTCCCGGTCGCCATGATGATGGCTGAAACGAATAACAATATCTGGGGAGAGTGCCGGAATCCTCTGCACAAGTTCCTCTCTCCCGGGGGCTCCAGTGGTGGCGAGGGAGCTCTCATAGCCTTTAAAGGCTCGCCGTTAGGGATTGGCACAGACGTTGGCGGCAGTATCCGTATCCCTGCTGCATGGTGCAACATCTACGGCTTGAAACCCAGCTTTGGTCGATATCCCCATTATGGAGCCAAACCAGGTATAGCCGGACAGGAGTACATTCTATCCGTCAATGGGCCGATGGCGAGGTCTCTGAAAACACTGCAGCTGTACTCGGAAGCTCTCTTATCTGAGGACGTGAGACCCTGGGATCATGACCACAAGTGTCTGCCCATTCCTTGGAGGAAGAACGTCATTCAGCCATCAGGCCGTAAACTCCGCTTCGGTCTGATTGGTGTCCATGATAGCCTTGTTCATGTTCACCCGCCGGTGGAGCGTGCTTTGCAAATGACCCAGGCCGCCCTTGAGAAGCAAGGCCACGAAGTTATTCCCTGGTCCACCGAGGATCATGAAGCGATTGTGAAGGTATGTATTGCCGTTGTTCTCCGGACTGTGTCATTCTTTCATTGACGGCCCTAGAATCTCCAAGCAGCTTTCTTCGACCTTGGCGGCGCCGCAATCATGGACCTTATCACACCTTGGGGAGAGCCTGTGTTCCCGAGCATGGAAGGATATGCATTGGCAGCTGCCGCAGGTGAAGGCGAACTCGGACCGACCAAGATGCGAATGATGAACCTCCGGCGCAATGAATTGCAAAAGGCTTACCTTGACCGCTGGAATGCGACTGCCGCGGACGGAAAACCACGATTAGACGGCCTCATCTGTGCCACTTCTCCATGGGCAGCTCCCCGGCTGGGTCAAACCCAGAGGCAGAGCTTATATGTTGGCTACACGGGCTTTGTAAACTTCTTGGGTAAGCACCGGACTGGTTCCTTTCATCGCACCCCAATACTGATAGAGTCAAATTAGACTTCTGCGCCTGCACTTTTCCAGTCACATTTGCAGACAAAGATCTTGACAAGGCAAGAGATATGAGCACCTTCAAGCAGTTGAGCGAGATTGACGGCAGAATCCAACAAGATTACGATGCTGAGTTCTATCATGGAGCACCAGTGGCGTTGCAGATTGTCGGAAGGCGACTCGAGGAGGAGAAAGTCCTCGAAATGTGCGAGGTCATCGACAACTGTCTGAAAACGGTTTGAACAGCTATTAGCTAGCTCTATTAACGGGAACTATGTACCTTGTAAGGCAAGGCGCATTCACGAATGATTTCATTTTCGCCTATGAATCGCCACTGCCTCGTTGATCAACCGTGAGCGGAGCAAGCCCTTAGTAGTGACACTCTCTTGAACCTTGCGGCTTCAAATCTACTTCACACTAGACGCTACATACTCTTGAGTATTCCTTTCTTCCTACAAGCCAAATCACTTTCGCTTCGAACCCTCAGGCTTACTTTGTTTCTGGAGCCAGCCAGTCCGGGGAGTCAGTATCCCCAAACTCCTTACGTGCAATGGTTATTCTTCGCGCCTGAGGTTGATCGGCAGGATATTACACTCCGCGGACTCATAGACAACTAGGCTTCTGATATAAATATGCGAGGCCAAAGCCAAGTCAGGCTCTTCGGTCGCCCTTCGGTCGGTGCTCGTCAGTCGTATCTCTCACTGCGGGATCTGGTCCTTGTAACACGCTCTTATCCTACCGTCTCTAAGGCGAAATCCTGGTAGAGCAGAAATGAGACTAGGAACAGAGTGGAAATCAGGTGAAGGAAGGGTTGTGTCCAGGCGTTGCGCGGTGCAGTGGTGACAAGAATATGTTTGCGCCGCTGCCGCTGTCTACCAGACCATTCAGCTGTACACTAACCGAGCCCCCATTTCTCCCGCCAATCTTCAGTCTTTTTGTACCCTCATCATGGTCTTTCGTAAGTGATAATAAACTCCCAGCCCCGTCTTGAAACCGCAATGCCTCCAATGTTGCTTCAAACCGATCCTACCAAAGTCATGGTCTCCGACATTCGAAGTCGCGTTGGCACACTTTGCAACCCAACGCTGGTACGCAAAATCACAATCACTGGGTGCTGACCTCCACACGGCCTTCGTTTCCGGGAGTCTTTCCAAGAGTAGGAAGCTGCATTCTATTAGTGGCGAAAGGCAATATCGGAAAAAGGGGAATTGAACTTACGAGGTATGTGATATCGTCCCACGGATGTCTATACAATCCAGTGCGCAGCTAAAGGACCGTTAACGATTTGTATACACAAAGGCATTGATGGGCAGAACTTACTCTCTTTTGATCCAGGTAATGGGCGATGAGACCAATGGAACGACCCAAGACAAACAGACCGTTCAAAACACCAATGGAGAGATATTGCTCGGCTTCTTCGGCGGAGAAAGAACCTCCGTCCCGGAGCAAGTCGACGAAGCAGACAGCAATACAACCATCAACGTTCAGGATCAAGTTATCCTTCTTCGAGGTAGTCACGGTCTCAACGGCAATAGCATAATCCAAAAGCTTATGCGATGGGAAGTGCTTGAGGACAAAGTCCTTGACAAGTTCCACACGCAAATCAGGGTTGTTGCGGGACTTGATTCGGTGACCGATACCAGGGACTGAACAGAGTTAGCCACTAATCTGCGAGCGGTTGAAAGTCTAACATACTGAGCTTGTTCTCTTTTCTCATGGTGTCAACAAACTCTCTGGGAGACCAGCCTTTGTCAAAGGCCTTGGTGAACTCCTCGGCAGCACCATCCAAGGCACCACCAAATCGAGAGCCAATGGTCAATAGACCAGCGACTAGCGAAGAGATCAAATCTTTGCCTGCACGCGCAGTGATGATGGTGTTCATGGCACCAGACACGGCCGGACCGTGATCGGCAGTCAACATGAGCACCATTTCCAAGAATCTGCTGGCGTAGGCAGGAAGGCGGCGACGGAACCACAGAAGAGACATGACACCGCCAATACCAATTTCCTCCTTGAAGACGTCCGAGATGGGCATACCCGCGTAGAGCAATTCCTGGCCTCTGTCGTCGGAGATGGTGGAAATGAACGAGGCAGGCTTTCGGATAAGCCCAAGTTCTTGCGCCCAGGCATAATCCATGGGGATCTTGGGCACGGCTGGCTCAGGAGCAGGCTTGATAGTGCCTTGCTTGACGAGTTTCTGGTAAAGGTCACTGAGGACCTTAGGCATGTCTTCGAAAGTATCGGGGACGTAGAAGCCGGCCTCTCTCATCTTCTGGTTCTTGACAACAGCGGTTTCGAGCTGGGAGTTGGCCGAAGCACCAGCGTGACCGAATTGAACTTCGGTCTTGAACATGCTGGCGCAAGTTCCAATGGCCCAGGCGACAATGGGCTTGGTGATTTGACCATTCTTCACAGCCTCAATGACTCGATACTCCTCGACACCACCAACCTCACCCAGGAGCAAGAGGATCTTGCATTCTGGCTCTTGTTGGTATCGGAGGAGGTGGTCAATGAAGGAAGTTCCAGGATATCTGTCACCACCAATGGCAATACCTTCGTAAACGCCATCCGTGTTTTGTGAGATGATGTTGTTGAGCTCGTTGGACATACCACCGGACTTGGAGACGTAGCCAACGGAACCCTTGCGGTAGAGCTTGGAAGCAACAATGTTGTCCATCATACCGCCAGTGTTGCCAATCTTGAATGCACCAGGCTTGATGCCACCAACAGTGGCCGGGCCAATGATTGTGATTCCCCTCTCCTTTGACTTGACCATGATCTCACGGGCACGTCGCTCAGGGACACCCTCAGCAATAATTGCAATGCTGCGGACCTGAGGAATCTCCATCAGTTCCATAGTAGAGCTGTAGACGGATCGCGAAGAGGCAAAGTTGACAATGGTGTCCACATCGGGATGCTTCTCGAAAGCTTTCTCGACGGATTGGTAGACTGGGAGGAGAGTCTCGCTGGTACCCCAGTACATCTTGCTGACGAATTGACCGCCAAAAGTGTAAATGATACCGGCCACGGAGGGGGTCTTTCTCTTGCAGATGAAATCAAAGTCCAGCATACCCTGGACTGCCTTGGGCTGCATGCCACTGTCCGCGCTGTCAGGTCTCCCTCATCTTTCTACATGTCCAATGGGTAACTTACTAGATGAAACATCTGGTCTTGTTGTGGAACAGGGCATTCTGGGAAGGACTCAGTGCTCTCGAGGGAGGAGCAAAGCGGCGAATGTTGTCGTTGGCGGAGAAAGGAGTCTCGGAATCTATGCTGTCGCCATTTGGAATGTCAATCGTAGGCACCCCGTTGCTGGCAGCGCCCGCTGTTGCAGAAGGCATGGCGGATGTGGTGTTCTCAGGGGAGTTTTTACGGACTGGGAGGCCCATTGTGTCAGCAGCTGAAGAAGAAAACCCAATGGATGAGACGACAACAGCGCAAGCGATGAGAGACAAAAGAATTATATTCCACCGTCCCTCGTTTATCGAGGAGAGTATAACAGGAGGGGTGTGAAGGGGGGGAAATGGTCAAAGGAGTTGACGGGAATCAATTGAGACTTTCAAGGAGACTTACAGTGGGCGAGGGCAGTTGTTGAGTATGCAGAGCGAGCGGAAGAGATTGAAGCAACGGCAATTGGAATTCAGCAGAGAGATTCAAAATCGCCGACGAGGAGAAGAAAAAGATGAGCCCAGTTGAATTGAAGCCGGCGGTGGTGGTGGATGGAATGGTGTTCACTTTCTCAGGGTACAACAGGGTTGCCAGTGCGCAATGTGGAGAGCGAAGATGATGAGCGTGCGTGACTGGATTAGGGATCGTCTGTTGAGGCAGGTCCGGTTAGTTAGCTGCACGACCCAACCAAGGGAAGCTCCTGGGCGGGCGCCCGAAAATAGGAATGGCGGCCCCCAAAGTTGTGTTGAGGGCAGCATCCAGGTGCATCCAGGTGGCATTACCACGCCCACCAAGTCCAGCACATCCCGCTATCGCCCAGCAGTCTCTCCGGGCGGTGAGATTTTTAGTGGGGGGCATCTGCATGGACCACCCACTGTCGCCACACAAGCCTTTCAGCCATGTGCGCTATCGACAGCCACTATGCCCTCCTGGGCTGCCCGGATGTTGGAGAGGCTGAGACCCCCTTTACAATGACATTCCCACATCCGCCGAGTCTGCAGGGTGCGGGCCTGAAGGACCATTGAACTCCCCCAAACCCTCTATCGATTGGAAGGAAAAGGATCTTTCTCGCGTGCCCAACTATTCGGAGTCCGGCCCCCGTCAGAAGTGCACGTCGTATCTCGTACTTAGCCCGGTGGAACAGCCGTGCATTGGCGCAGCCTTTACCCGACTTCCTCCAGGGCAATTATCTGTCCAGATTCACCGAGGCCACAATAAAACGCTCCATCGGTGCTCGAGACTGAACCAACAGGAAATTTGGTGCCGATAGTCGCCATCGTCGGCGTCTGTGTGACCTTGATCCACTGACTTGAAGAGGTAGTTGGGCACCAATAGATGAAGCGTTGCGATGACAACTCGGCATTGGAATTTTCGTCGACAGCCTGCAGAACGAGGCGCAACGTCACAGGCTCATGAATTTTTGGCGGTGACCGACAGTTGGGGATTGTCGGTCAAACACCATGACCATGGAGTACTTGGTAGAGGCGACGGCGATTGCGGGCGGTTTGTCCCTGGCGTTGGCGCGGATTAGCAGCCTACTAGCCTACTAACCTTAGCTTCCACACCCTAAACTACATGCTGAGATGCCCCTCGATAAGTTTAGCACGCCTAGTCCCACGCCCACAAAGCCTACCCCTGCTCCCAACAACCCACACTCCAGGGCCCTAGCCTAAATGGGATCCACTCAGAAAAAGTCGAGGGCAGCATTGTATCCCTCCGAAGGCCAACAGTAAACTGTGCGAGCGAGTAGCAAATCTGGCCCCAGCCGTTCATACCGTTTCTCCTTACAACTTCACGCTCGCACTTTTCCATTCAGCAAACTAGACTTGATCTTCTTGTCAACTGTCTTTGCTGTGCTCTTCCTTCCGAAATCTGTCTTCTATCTCAAAAGCCAGGACATCTTCTCAAACCAATTCCCCCCCCCCCCTGAGCCCTTCTCGCCCTTACCCCTCACCTCACCGCCGCAACAATGTCAGCAAAGTCCATTCTTGAGGCCGACGGCAAGGCCATTCTCAACTACCACCTAACTCGCGCTCCTGTCATTAAGCCTACTCCTCTGAAGGCTTCTGGCGTTCACAACCCTCCTCCTAAGTTGGCCTCTATCTTCTTTCCTGAAGACCAGTCAGTCAAGACCGTTTTGGACCAAGCTGAGGCCACTTATCCCTGGCTCCTCCAGCCCGGCTCCAAGTTCGTTGCAAAGCCAGATCAATTGATCAAGAGAAGAGGAAAGAGCGGTCTTTTGGCCCTGAACAAGACATGGACTGAGGCAAGAAAATGGATTGAGGAGAGAGCCCGCAAGGAGATCAAGGTCGAGCACGTCATAGGCACTCTTTGCCAGTTCCTCGTCGAACCCTTTGTGCCCCATCCTCAAGATACTGAATACTACATTAACATCAATTCCGTGCGAGATGTGAGTTCCAGCAATCATATGCGTGACCTGCGGCGGCAGATAGGCTAACTGCAACCCCTAGGGCGACTGGATCCTCTTCACCCATGAAGGTGGCGTGGATGTCGGTGATGTTGATGCAAAGGCCAAGAAGATCCTGATCCCAGTCGACCTGAAGAAATTCCCTTCAAACCAAGAACTGGCTGCGACACTGTTACCCGACGTGCCCAAGGGTGTCCACAATGTCCTGATCGACTTCATTGTCCGCCTGTACTCCGTCTACGTGGACTGCCAATTCACCTACCTCGAAATCAACCCCCTGGTCGTCATTCCAAATGCCGCAGGCACCTCCGCCGAAGTCCATTTTCTCGATCTTGCCGCCAAACTCGACCAAACGGCTGACTTCGAGTGCGGTGTGAAGTGGGCCATTGCCCGAAGCCCCGCTGCTCTTGGTCTGCCCGGTGTCAAAACCGACGGAAAGGTCACCATCGATGTCGGCCCGCCAATGGAGTTCCCTGCGCCCTTCGGTCGTGAGCTCAGCAAAGAAGAGAAATACATTGCGGACATGGACGCGAAGACTGGTGCTTCGCTCAAATTGACCGTTCTTAATGCCAAGGGCCGCATCTGGACCTTGGTCGCGGGTGGTGGTGCTTCGGTGGTGTACGCCGACGCTATTGCTTCCGCCGGCTTTGTCAGCGAACTGGCCAATTACGGTGAATACTCCGGCGCCCCGACAGAGACTCAGACGTACAACTATGCGAGAACTGTTCTGGATCTGATGCTCCGAGCACCCATGCACCCCGACGGCAAGGTTCTCTTCATTGGTGGCGGCATTGCAAATTTCACAAATGTTGCTTCAACATTCAAGGGTGTCATCCGTGCACTCAGGGAGGTGGCTCCCGTTCTCAATGAGCACAAGACTCAGATCTGGGTTCGTCGCGCTGGTCCCAACTATCAGGAAGGTCTCAAGAACATTAAGTCGGTGGGTGAGGAGTTGGGTCTGAACATGCATGTGTACGGCCCGGAGATGCACGTCTCTGGCATCGTACCCCTGGCTCTTTTGGGCAAGACCACAACTGTCCCCGAATTTGGTGCTTAGATGAAAAGATGATGTTTTGATGGTTCCGTGTCTTTTGATCTAGAGCATACCAAGTTATCACTACGACCTTTTGACGATGGATTGGCGTGGGGGTGGGCGACGGAAAAAGAGAGGTTGCAGGCTAGGTATGTTTCTTTACTGGAGTTCAACTTGGCGACTCTGTTCGTGGTGGAAGCATTATGTGCGTGGGTACCGTGTACGACAACGGTTCAGCTGTCGTTTTACGTCGTGCAGCAGATGCCATGACAACTCGAGTAGAAGACCAAGCAAGCGACTTTGTAAATGAACAACATTAGACCGAGACGGTAATGACATTCTGCTTCCAGCAATTGTGTATCTGTGTGCCGGATTGCATCTTATGTGATCATGGCGTAAGCCATTCCGACCTTTGCTTCACGTTTCAGGTGCTTGTGTTATAGCGCAACTCTCAAAGATTAAATAGCGCAAGGCTACGGCCCCTTTCCATGAAGCCATTTTGTCCAGAGATCCAGTATCCTCGAGAACATCGGCCAGAATGGACTTTAATTCCCACATCACACACTTCGTGAAGTCAGGCCACATTCATGGTACACATCCTGCAGAGTCATTCTCATCGACACGTTTACCAGCCGCGACATGATCGAAGTACCCAGCCAGCACATCCCCTTAGCAAAGCCGGATCTCAATGCCACAGCTGCACCAAAACAAAGGTAGCAGAAGCCTCGGTGAGGCGCATCATCTTGCGGACATTTCCTCGGCTTGAAATCTCCGGGAGTCCACTGTCCGTCGTCGCATCATCCACATATCTACTGCCACCACATTACCATCTACTCCACCAGAACAACCCGTCCGCTGCTCAATTCGTCAATATACGCCATCTTCCCGCATCCCTGGCTCTTCGTACGATCTTGCTCCCTCAACAAGACAGCGAGGACTTCGACGGGCGGCTCGAGGCCCAGGGTATTTGCGCGGCGCCAGCGTCGGAGACGAGGGATGCCGATGCACGGCCCGTATTGAGAGGAGAGGTCGAAGTGGCGAAGGATCTTTTCGTGGAGGGAGAGGTCGGATTGGTGGACTGCCCATACGATACAATCAGCCATGGGACTCAAAAGAACGGGGGGTGGTTGTTTACGAGATCGATTTTGTAAGGGGATTGCGGACAACATCGTTGCTTGGGGGGTATGAAACGCAATGTGAAGGTGAGAGAGGAGACGACAAGTGTTTTCAGCAGTATGCGAGAAGGTATGCACATGCGGGACATACCTCTAGGAGCAAGCCGACTGTCCTCCTCCGCCTGCCAGTACTTCTTCAGTTGCGCATCCGTGACTTTCTCGGCCGCAAGTTCACGCTCATCCTTGCCTTCTGACTTGGCCTTCTGCTTCTTCTTGGATCTCGCCTTCACCGCTACCTCCTCCTCGGGTTCTGCATCTGGTTCTAGATCTTGTAGGCTCTCCTCCGTTTCTTCGGATGCTGATTCATTTTTCACATCTGTGACCTCTTCCGGTTCCGTCTTCAACCCATCATCTTCAAGCTCGGTCAACTTCTTCACCGAAGCGGCGTGTTCGTCTCTCTGGGCTTTCGCGCTCGGCTTTGTCACCCGTGCGGACTTGTTGTTGAATGAGAGGGTTGACTGTAAAGGGTTGTGGCCATGACGAGTGGCGGATTTGCGACCTCGGGGCATGTTGCGCAAGATGCAGGGTGTTCCGTCGACGATTGTGTGAAAGGAGTGCAGTGTAACTAGGGTAATTGGTCTACTTGGTAGAGGTTAATGGGTGTTTTCTGGAGATGTTGTTCGGAATGAGGATGTATTGGTGGTGAGGGTAATATGCTCAAAGGGAGGGCAGGTGAATGACGTTCTTCGGCTGCCTCAGCAACCAGCCATAAGGTTCCAGTTTCAGCCATATTTGTTGCCGCCTGAATCATGCGCTTCTGGAGCTCGCTAACTATTGGTGGCTGAGCGCGCGTCGCCAATGAAGTAGCATCAACCCCACGTGTTTCTCGGCATCACTTTGATCACTTTGAGAATCGCTGCGACGGCGCCGCTTCCCTTCTCTCACGCTGCATTTGGTACCATCTATGCATTATGGCCATGTTTTCTGCGAGATTACTTGTGCTTGGTATCACTTGCAGGGCCCTGACCAGACACAACACAGGATTGTCGCAAAAATATACGTCCCTTCAAGAGTAGGCCACAGTTCCCGCCGCCGGCGAGTTCCCTGTCAACATATAGTCGATCATGATATCTTGTGCCTCTCCAACACTATCGACAAATACCAGCTCCCATGGCCCTCGCCGTGCCTAGTCGGCAGCACACTCCCCCAATCTGACGCTGGACATTGACCACGCCGCCGTACGGGGTCGCTAGGTCCCACATTGGATTGACTAGCAACACCGGCACTGAAGTATTGCCAGTATCCAAGGGCTTGGGCGCATTAGAAACGCCTATGTGTTATTGCGGACAATAAATCATCCACAGATCTCCCTCGACAGCGCCGATAAAGTCCGTTCCCTCAGAGGCTTCCGTCAATTCTCGCTTAGCGATTTGACGTTCGGCAAATTCGGCGTAGGTTTCGGTGGTGGGCCAGTCGTTGCACCCGATCATACAAGACCAGAACGCGGACGTTTCTTTCGTCTCGATAGTGGTGGCCGACACGGAATAGTTGCCTTTCGCCGATTCAGCAATGTCTGGGGCCAAGCTGGGGAAGCTGGTCGTGTGGTCGAGTTCGCAGCAGAGGGCGCTCAGAAGAGTCTGGCTGGTGACATTCCGGTGCCACTTTCCACTTTAGACGCATTCCGGCGCGATGACGGGCTTCTGGTCCAACCGCTTGGTCAAGTTTTGGAAGAGTGTTTTACGTCCTGGCCGTACAGCGCCGATGACTTGTCGGTGCTCGCCCACTGATAAAGAAATCCGCTGCAAGTCCGAAACTGACGGTGGAATGGACAATGACAGTTTCAAGCCAGCTTGTGTGATGCAGCACACCGTCGAGGATCCCGTCCGTATGTTGTTGGGATAGAGCTGAGCGTGTTGCTGACCGCGCTGGGAGTCTTCGACCATGTCAGAATATGCCAGCCTTACGGCACACTTCCACAATCTCATCCTGTAGTAGTAGCGGATGGTTCTCGATCTGATTGATTGCAGGGATAATGGAAGCGGAACCTAGCAGTTCCTCCAGATACCCTTTGGAATAGTTGCAAACTCTGATGGCCTTCACCATACCGGTCGACAATAGCTTCTCCATGTCCTTATATGTATCGACGTGGGACCGTTCACGCACCAAATCCCGAGACCCATCTGGTAGCGTGGGAAATTTCTCGTGATTCTCACTCGGGTTCATCGCAATCGGCCAGTGTAGGAGGTAGAGATCAACATACTCTAAACCCAGATCCCCCAGGCTTTTGTCGAGATTCTCTTGCACCCTCGTGCGGTAGGTGCACCAGATTTTTGGAGTGATAAAGATGTCGCTCCGCTGCAGGCCTGATTCCACGAGGCCTTGTTGAATCCCTTCACCAACCTCTTTCACGTTACGATAACAATAGGGGGCGTCTATTGTGCCGATAGCCAGACTTTATGGCATGAGCGACAGCTTTCTGGACCTCACCGTCTTTGCTCTGCCAGGTACCTGCTCCCGGGTCAGTTTGAAAGGGGAAGGTTTGTGAATGTTGTCACGCGCACTTAGGGCAATCGCCGGTATGGAGGCACCCGTGTTCAGTTTCGAGATCGAAACTGTCATGTTGATCGGCTCAGGATCTTCTGTTGATGATTTCCCCCATAATAGTCTGAGGCCACAATGACTTATGAGGGCCTCAACACTGGAGCCTGGGCCTTCTAGGGCCAGGAGCATTTTGCCTACTTACTTATTCTATGGCTTCGGGTATTTTGTTCACTTAATATGGACTGTATTCGCTCACTACCTAGCTGGGACAAACACATACCCTACCTAACCCCATTAGGCAAGTGTTCACTCTATTTTGTTCACTATCCCTTTAAGGTTTCGAGTGATTGCCAGGGGGTTAACCATCATGGTCTTCTTCGCTAAATGCGAGTTAATTGAGATTACCATCTACGTCAATAAGGAGAGGCTGGTTCCCGACGGCCGGTACTCAGTACTCAGACAGCACAGCCAGCGGCCCTGCGACAGGGCCTGTAGAACTAGGAACCCCTCTGTTATTGGAGGCTATCCGTGATTCGGTAAGGATCCCTTACTTGGTAAGTTCCGCGCGGATTCCCTGGAGTCCAACATATCTGGGGACTTCAGCTGATGAAGCACTGGGCGCCCCCGTGGGGCGGTGCACAAGAAGAGGGAAGAGTATGTCGGACCTTTTGAGCGATTTGGTGCTCTTGGTTGCGCGAGATCTTAGTTCTGCAGACTAGGATCAATCAGAAGACGATATCTCGTCAAGAAGAAGGTCACCAGCTATGAAGGTCACGCTCAAAGGCAAGAAGATTATTGTTACAGCTCTGTTTACCCACTTAAGGTTGTATTGTCATCATCATTGTTAGTTCGTGTTGCCGTGGTCGTCCCGCTCACCGTCATCATAGGTGGCGCCCGCGGCATGGGACTCATTTTTGTGTTTTCAGTGAACGCACGGGGCTGACGAGAGTCGAAGCAATTTGAAACATTTTTCCCAGCTCAACTGGCAGCCAAACATTGCATGATGAACCCCCTGGACCCGAATACTGGAAACAGAGACAACATCGTGATGATTATTTCTTCATCTGCTTCTCACCTTTGCCCAGGACAGAAGCTCTCAGTGTATGCGGGCACCAAGGGCTCTGCAAAAGTCATTGTGCATCCAGATTGCCAATGGATTGCCCAGTTCGGGCATTCGGGTCAACTGTATCAGTCTAGGGTGAGATACCATATCTACGCAGAACTTGTTCGCAGCAATTGATGATATGTGCGAAATCAGGTATGTGAATACAGAGATGAATGCAGAAATCGTCCGCCAAAGGCCGGAGGTCCTTTACTATCTCAACGAGGCACCCCCCATGAAACGGTTCGGTCAGCATATGGATCTAGCTGGTGGATTAGTGTGGTTGATGCCTGCGCTGCAGCATGTGTGACCGGGGTTCATATTCCAATCGATGGGGGATGAGCACGGGGATTGGCCTTACAAGGCAATTGAAATTGGTATTCTGGCAAATAGGAGAATCCCAATATGTTACTTGGCAGATCGGGCGTCTGAGCTAAAATGAAACCGAAATGCCGCGTTCCCGACGAAGTCGTCCTACTGTAAATTGCGTTGATGATAGGTAACTGATTGATGATTTCACAATTTCTTCGCACTGCAAGCCCTTGACATCTAGATAAAAAGTCTTTTAACAGCGAAGCAGTTCGGTGATGTTTTGGCGGATCACATCTCCGGCCCATTTGATCTGATCCAAGCGGGCTAGTTGCCGGCGCTGGGTGACATTTTTGAAGGAGGAGAATGTACCGGAACGACCATCTTTCGGTTTGGGTGAATACATGGTTGGGCTAAAGCAGCAAAACAGCAAGTCAGATAAGCCCCTTTGGGATAGCATCCGGCTTGATCGATCGAGATTGAATTTACCCGTGGTAAGTACCACTGACGGCGGCGGGCGTATTGAGTAACCTTTGCCGCCGTTCTGGCCATGACCAGAATAGCCTGCGCAGCGCTGCAGCCGTTGCGAATCACGGCCACCTTGTTACCCTCCCATTTGAGACAGTGCGCCCACGGCGGAGATGAGGATGGTGGCAAAACGTGAATTGGTAATGTTCATTTGGAGGTCCTTCAGGAACACCTCCCATTTGTTCTTGTCTTCATGCCACTTGGCTCCCAGACATTCAATACTGAGGTGGAAGAACGGACGCACGGCGAGACGATCCCTTCGGCGTACTTGGCACAAAGAATCGTCACTGACTTTGGCGAGAACCGCCAAAGAAGCAGGCGCCCCCGGCAAGTTTCAACGTGTTTCAATGTCATCACCACTCTCCATCTCGTGGCCGAGGTGGGCGAGGCGTTGTGTACCAACAAGCTGGTTCGGAAATTGAGCTTCACCGGCAGTACAAGAATCGGAAAGCTTCTAACTCGACAATGTAGTGAAAATCTCACCAAGCCCTCTCTAGAGTTAGGCGGAAACCGCCCGTTCATAGTGTTCGACGACACCGACGTGGACAAGGCCAAGGTCCGAAACGGTGGCCAGACGTGTGTGACCGCCAACAGGATCTTGGTCCAAGCTGGGATCCACGACAAGTTTGTATCCGTGTTGATTGAGAAGGTGAACGCCCTCAAGGTTGGCCCTGGTACTGAAGAAGGTGTAGACATTGGGGCTCTCACGCACGAGCGAGCGGTTTAGAAGGCCATGAAGCATATTGTCAGTAGGTGACTCGGCACAAACAAAACAAGCCCGCGACGAAACCCTCAAAACTCACACAAATGCAATAGGCGCCGTCGAGCAAGGTGGTAAAGTTGCTTTGGGTGGAGGCCCACTTGATACAAATATGGCTTGCAATACCATCACCTGAAAAGAAGAATTCTTCGCGCCGATTCTGGGTGTTTACAAGTTCGGGACTGAAGATGAAGGCATTTCGCTGGCCAACGACTGCGACATTGGCCTTGGCAGCTTCATCTGTACCTCGAGCATCGCGCGCAGCTGGCGTGTGGCTGAGAGGGCGTCGAGGGCGTCGAGGGCGTCACTAGCCGTTAAATCGACCGTCTAGAGAGCCCTAGAAATAGTTAAAGAAATATTTAAAGAGCGCGGCGTTTCTGGGGATGCGTGAGTCGACAAATCTCACGGAATTCGACGGCTCCGCTTATCGCCTGAGGCTTAGTGGTGATGGATAATCTATTTGAGAATCGTGACGCGACCTCTTTGTGGGAATATAGAGGCCATCGACCTCGTATGCCGCGGCAAGTTACACAGCATCCTGTTAGGCGCCATAGTTGCCACAGGGCAGTAACATGAAAGTAAAACTATTACAGCCAAATGGCGTTCAAATCCGTGACATTGCATGTATTTTCAAGTCGTACTACTGGCTTGTACTGGGCAGTAACCGATTGGATGATTCAGTGTCACAGTGAAGTCGCATGTGGGGGACAACGGCAAAAAGCTGGCTATCGTGGAATGTCAGCCCATTTGTTACAATTTCAATTCGTACCTCGCACATCTCGTGGCCAGCGTTTTCTTCGGTCGGCGCCGAAAGGAGACGGCGAATAGCACTTTTCTTCTTACGATAAGTAACTTACGGTTAGAAAAGGATATATATCTACCCCAGGATCCTGTTCCTGGATTGAAAGTCGAGTCTTTCTCGCTCGATTGACCACTCTTGGAGTATTACCTTTGTTCACTCTAAGCCCGGAAGCCAATCATGCCTGCTATTACCTTGTCCAATGGCGCCGCTCCGGCGGCTGACACTTCCATCGACTTACCACTGTTCGACATCTCGCAAGAGTCACCCGCGCTGGCCAGAGAACTTGTCGAAGCTGCTGCAAAACATGGATTTCTCTGGATCTCCGGATCACCAGCCTCATCGACGTCGTCAAACAGCGGGGACAGAGTCACACACGATCTCGATGCTTCCACTGTCCAGAATGTCTTCAATATCGGCAGCCGTTTCTTCAAAGAAGCCAGCGATGCCGAAAAATTGGCTTGCAAGATCACGAAAAATCGCGGCTTTGTCGACATGAAGGTCGAGAATTTGGACCCGCAGAGCCACGCGAGGGGGGATTTCAAACAGTGTTTCAACCTCGCAGAACCCGAGCCCGAGACGTCTGCATGGCGCCAACCACTGCCGCCACAGTTCTCAGAGCCTGACGCGGACGCTGCACTGCGCGACTTCCACGCGCGCTGCAGAGCCATGGCCACACGGCTTCTGCGCTTGATCGCCATGGGCCTGGGGATCGAAGATGCCAACTGGTTCGTCCCGTGTCACGACCACTCACCACAGACAGTCCGCCTGCTGTACTACCCTCAACTACCCTCCAACACGGACTATAACGCCGAAGCCGACATTCGAGCCGGCGCGCACAGCGATTATGGCAGCATCACTCTCCTCTTCACGCGACCGGGCCAGCCTGGGCTGGAGATCCTGAAGGACGACGGCCAATGGGCCCGCGTGCCCGTTTCTCCGCCTGGATACCACGACCCTGCCTTCCCGCCTATCGTCGTCAACATAGGCGACCTCCTACAATTCTGGACAAACGGCCTCCTCAAGTCGACGGTTCACAGGGTCGTTCTGGTAGAACAAGAAGATGCGGCCGCGTCCAATAATGGACCTGCATCCACGAATCCGACCTCAGCTTCCGGCCCGTCGGGTCACCTCGGACGCGACCGCTTCTCCATCGCCGTCTTCGTGCAACCTGCCGATGAGACCGTGCTTGTCCCGGTCCCATCACAGGCTGTCGAAGCCCGGGCCGCGGCGTTTCGAAAGGCCGTCATCGGACGAGGCGGCGGCTCCGCCACGGCCGAAACGCTGGGCAAAATGACAGCCGGAGATCACTTGCTCGGCCGCCTTAGAGCTACTTATGGCGTTGCTGTGGCTGGGTGAAGAGAGGGGAAGGTAGGTTGGAGGATGTCGTGGAGATGATGTGTAGGAGCATGGTGCGGTGGAGGCTGGTTGTATGGTCAAACATTTTGCTCGAAGCGGCGACGGCAACCGCCAAATACGGCAGGAAAATTTTCCTGCAACTTGCATTGAACTGTACAAGTACATAGTTCGGGAGGCGGGAGGACCCCTAAACTAGACTATGGTGCAAGCCGCTCGCCGGTTTCAAGCCAAAAAAAGTGGCCCAGCCGAACTGATGCGCACCACCCAAAAATTCGTGATATGATTCTCCTACAAATCTCTCTACAAACATAGCTCATTTTCTACTAGCACACCAGGAACTATGGCGCCCTTGAAGGAGATGGGAGAGTCCGTTATGTGCATATAAATCATCTATTCTCGCTGGTATTGAGCCGCCCATAACAGTTGAACCCCACACTTATAGGAGATTAATGACGTAGTGGGTGGCCCCCAGAATGGGGGCTCAGCTATTTGTCCAAGTACATAGCAGCTCTCCACGCCTTCAGAAACATCACAACGCCTCCTCGTGTTGATCACAGAAGAATCTCTCAGTATATAAGGCTGGGGTTGGGAAGCTTTTCTTAGCCCCCGAATCATGCGTGGCTATCCACCATCAATCGAGATAGGTGAGCAAGTAAAAAAGTCCCAGCTCTTACCATGCCAGGAGGACCCATCGGGCGAGGCTGCGAGGCTTATCGAGCTCACCACAAAATGGCGACTCCTGATATCTAGCAGTACGAACTTGAAGCAGCATTCTTTTCTCACGTACTGTTGAATGCAGTGCAACCTGCAGCAACCGAAATGCACGCGTTGCCGGAAAGTCCCAAGACCTTGCATCGGAGCCGGCGAACAAAGATACAAATTCATCAATAACGACAGCAAATACTCACGAGGAGTATCTTCAAGTGCTCTGTCCGGAGCACACGTAGTACCTCCAGAGCCGTTGTCTCGGGGGTTGAATCCTTCATCCGTGTTCGGGGCTAAGAGTCCGTCTGAACGCTCGGACGATACATCTTTCCATTCATCTTCTTCGACTGAGATGGTTTGTCGATTCATTTGCGGCTCTGCTCGTGGAGGTACGAGAAAGGCAGCACGTGCAAGCCTTCGAAGAGTCTTGATCCTGCCCCCTACAGCTGGGATGTGAAAGAGAGGCTCGCAACTAACTCTGTTGCGCACGGAGCTGGAAGAGAGTTTGGTAAGTACCTCGAACAGGAAATTAATCGTCCCGAATTTATTGTCTGGGTGGTTACCTATCTTCAGAAGGCTGGTAAGCTTTCCTGGTTGGCTCTAACGGTGGACGAGGATACATTTGTCGAGGGTGGAAAGCGCCTCAATCACCATGTTCAGAGCGTTGCCGTCCGTCTTCGGGAGTCTTACAGTAGGGTGTTTCCTCCGTACTTCCTACACATTTGGGGTCCCAGCAGTGATGAGACGCGCGAGCAGGTAAACCCCAGCTTGACATGGAGCGGAACCGCTCTCATATCTACCGCCCTAGGCGGGTACCTACTCCGTACATCTCACGACATCCGCGGGAAGACCGATATCAACGCTCCATGACCATTAATTTCTACCTGTACACAGACAGGGATAGAGAAAACAATGTTTGCGGAGAGTCAAAGACGGAGTCAACTTAGCGTACAGCAATGAATGTCATCATCGTGAGAGCTCAGTTGGTGGAAGAGTCGTGAGTCCAATATATCCGCTTGCCCTTTCCCCCTAACGGCATGATTGCAGGGTGATGAGCTATGTCTGACCTTGACAACCCCCAACGCTCTTCTCAGCCGTTGCTTGCACCAGCCTTGTCCTCAGTCCCATCGGAGCGCCCTGCCGCACGTCCACTCGGCCCCTTCTCCAAAAAATCCACTAGGCGTCCCGCCCACAGACAAACCTCGCCCAACAGCTTCGTCTTCTCCCGACTCGCAACGCATTCCCTCGCGTAAGCCTCGTACATCTCCTCGTATCTGCTTTTCGCTTCCTCGATCTGAGACCTCAACCACTCGCTCTCCCTCTCCACCTTGTCTTTCGCCTCTGCAAGTTTCTCGGACTTGGTCTCGAGAGCAGAGAGCCGCGGGAGAATACCATGCTTCACCCACGAGAACAGTACGGTCGCGTGGTAGATGAAATCAGCCTTGTTCGCCTCCGTAAAGGGCGACGACGCAAGATTTTCGAGACCTCCGGACCAGTCCTGGAGGCAATCCTCGGCAAGGCGAGCAAAGGAAGACGGTGTCGTGTAGAATTTAGAGTCCGTCGACTTATTCTGATTGTTGTCTCTTTTCACTTCCTGGTCGATATCGTCGCCCAAGCCACTGTCGGATAGATCGGCCAGCTCTTTCTCGAGTGTGGGACCTTGCATATCGGCGAAGACGTCGGACGACCCGACGGCATGGCAGTGACTGACATGTAGAGAATGCCGGACTGGAAGTGAGGACATGCTCAAGCTGACCCAAGGTAGAAATCAGCTGGAAGTGAGATGCTGATATATTGCCTCTATCGGGCTTCAGAGGCGAGCTGTTGTCAGAATAATAGCTTTCCTTCGTCTATGTTGTGGGAAGACGCGGTGAGATGAAAGACTTGGGATGAGATAGATGTGAAGACGACGCTTTCAAGGGGTTGAAGGGGTGTTACTAGAATGGCACATATGGTTTGCCCCTCCGTAAAAGGTGGAAGAATATGGAGAGATCGATGGTGAGAAATAACCTCTCAACTTTCGTTCACAGTGGCAAATGTACATCCCAAATCTCCGTCATCTTTTATCGTGGATGCAGTTCGAGGCCTTCTTGGCCATGCCCTGCCACATCTTCTGTTCCATCTAATATCTCGTTTTCATTACTGTAATCATCTGCGAAATTAGGCCTGCTATCGTCTTCAACAACGCTCGTCCATCCACTAGCAGTCCGAGGAGCCAGTCTCAGCCTGCCACGAGACAGGTTGTTGATCTTGTCTGCGACGTAGTCGCCAATCTTGCCCAGGAAATCGATGAGCCGATTGCGTTCTATTGCACTGTCGTCCCTTGAAGCCGCGGAATGCTCTTGGGCCTCGACCTTAAACTGATATTTCAAGCAATCTTTCACAGTGACCAGCCCTTCAAGACGGCCATGGTGGTCGACGAGGATGACGCGTGGACCCATCTTCTTGAAAAGTTCCAGGACTGTCTCAAGAGGTAGGCGGGGATGGACAGATATAGGAGCCGCATCGACGAATGGGCTGAAATCCACACTGCGTACTGTCGCCGAATCTAAGGAGACTGTTGGACTGAGTGCTGCGGGTGTCTCAGTGCCATCCTCTTGCTCGGCTACAAAAATGCATTTGGCATCTGAAGCCAACGTGCCCTGCTTTTTTGCTCGGTCAATCGCGAATTGGAGTTCGGTCCTCCCGATATAGCCCACAAGAATTTTCGAATCTGTGTCTTCCACAATCGGAAATCCAGAGTATGATGTGTCATCGAGTAATTTTCGTATGGCTTTGACTTCCATTCCTGTTGCAGGAACCATGGTGATGTTACGAGTCATGACTTGAGACACAGAAACACCAAAGGAATGTTCTTCTTTGTTGTCGAGGAATGGGAAGCCGCTGAACGAAATCATGCGATCTGCGATGCCGGTTTTGCTGAATCGATCTCCAACCGCTTTCGTTACACCGACCACAATCATTGTTGGAAGTATGTATGTCAGCGCCCCAGTAAGCTCGAACATGATGACGGTTACTGAAATCGTCAGATGCATGATGCCGCTGAGCGCTGCCCCCGCTCCCAGAAAGGCGTACGTGCCTGGGGTGATGCATGGCACATCAGGTTGACAAGCGGAGAAGAATCTTGAATCAGGAAATGTCTCATACAGCCACTGTACAATCATCCCCAGCATGCGGCCAAATGAGGCCCCGATCGCCATTGACGGTACGAATATACCTGCCGGCACTTTACACCCGTAGGAAATGATGACAAAAAATATGCGCAACAGAGTCGCAACCAGCAAAGACCCAATGAGGGAGAGGCGATTCTTTGCTTCGCAAAGTCCGTTGTAGTCGTAGTCACCCTCACATTCGCGAAACAACATCTCCATCATCTCGGTCATGTCTATTCTGAGGAACATGTTGGGGTAGCAAAGAAGAGCTGTGGCCCCGGCCAGAATGACAGCTTCCGGAATGGCGAACTTGGACAGATGTTTCTTTCTGAATGCTTGAGCTTTGAGATTCCACTTTATGACGAAGGCCCCATAAAGTCCACCAAAGATGCCAAGGATAATGTAGAAGAATATCTCAAAAAAATGCCAGTCTCGATCGTATTTGACGGAGAACATGACAAGCTGACCAGTGCGGAAGGGGTTCATTGCACTCAACACGGCGGTCGCAACAAGAGCACAGAAGTAGCTCCTCCACAGCGTCTTGAGCGGAAAATAAGACGCCATCTCTTCTAGAGAGAACAGCACGCCTCCAATGGGACTGCCGAATGCGACGGCCACACCAGCGCCGGCGGTTGCCGTCAGGATCTCTCGTGTTTTTGAAGCACTCCGCTTGTACTTGTCGAAGAATCGAGAGATGACGTTTCCCACGCACACTGCGTAATGTACACTCGGTCCCTCTTTGCCCACGGAGAGCCCGGAACCGATGGCTAGGGGCAGGCAGATTGACTTGATGAAAAAGGTCCAGAAGCCGAGAAAGCCCTTCATGACGAAGCCGGCAATGATGCATTTGATCTCGGATATGCCGGAACCGGCAGCGTATGGAGCGTACGACTTGACTAGAAAGGCGGAGATGAAGGCCAGGAGCACGGCGAAGATGGCGTAGACGAAGTAATTGACGAAGGTGACCGAAGTCCATCTCTTCCACTCATCACAGCCTTCCTCGGAGCCATAGCAGCAGAAGCCTTGGTTGAGGTACCAGGCGGTTGTGCAGTATCCCATCTTGATGTCGGACAACCACTCTGTGATGATATTCAGGGCAGCAGCATTGAGGCCGATGACAATCCCAACCAGAGTGATGACGATCCAAGCCTGTGCAGCATCGTATGACTCCCACAGTTTGCGCCGCCAGCCCAAGACACCGTCCCTCTCAAAGAACCTGGACTCTTTCCGCCGGGCGCGTCGCCGCAGCTGTTCTTGAGCCGCGTCTTGGACCCAGTCAATCGTGGTGAAATCTTCATATCTTTTTATCTCTGCAATCTCTTCTGTAATGGCATGTGCCGCCGGCGCAACTCGAGGAGGACCCTCGCCATTTTCGAGGCCGGACAGGGATGACAGCCTCCTGGAAAGTCGCCTGGCTGAGACGGAGGGTCGACGGGCAGAGGGAGAGGCAGAGGCAGAGGCAGAGGCAGAGGCGGACGCGGAAGAGGAGACGCGCGAGGTCATAACATCAAATCAATGATCATGGCCGACGGAGCAGATCTAGACGGTCATATTCCCTGCGGCGGCTGGGCGATGGTGAGCGAGCAGTAATCCCAACGTTGAAGCACAGCCTCGAATGTGCTGCAAATCCACCCAATCGCCCGCCTTGCCTATTTCGGACGCGCCTAGAATATGACATATTACTACTATCACGTTGAATGTCTCGACGCGACTTGGATCCAAGACACTCTCTGCCAAATCGTCTCCGTGCCCAAAGGAAAGAATTCGACCTTCACAAATCTTGGTTATAGCAGGGTCTCACACTTCTCCACGACTAGACGCGTCAAGCAGAGTCTACATTGATCGATTGCTACCTCACACGCGTCTTCTCCTCCCCAAGAGAAACCCTCGAGGCTGTTCGAACAAGGTTTTTTTACCCCTCGTTTTGTTTCTCTTATCGACACGCTCCGAGTTTTCAGGATTCAAGCAGAGGCCAATTTGGGAACCAACTCTCCTCCATTGGAAATATACCTCAAGAGAAGGGTAGCGCTGTCATTTTGTCAAGACTATGCCTTACAACAATGCTCCCATTGAACCTCCAGAAGAGATAACTGGCTCGACCCCCCTTCCTCGTTAGTCATTACACGGAATTTCTGTTGTTACAACGCGGCTGACACCTAGGGCCAAGTCGCGCGAGTCAAGAAGATCATCGCCCAGGATGACGATATTGCCCAATGCTCTAATCCAGCTGCCTTCGCCATATCAGTGGCGACAGTAGGGTTCCCAGTTTCTCCGTTGTCAGATCTTCGAGGGGCTAATTCCTTCTCCAGGAAATATTCATCCGCTACCTAACCGAGCAAGCACATAACGTGGTCAAGTCAGAACGGAAGCCAAGGAGGAATATTGCCTACAAAGACATAGGTAAGAAAACCGCCGAAGCATCCGCCACCAGCACCAGCATATGTCATCCCTCCTGACAACGTGCAAAAGCCACGGCCGTTTCCAGAATCGACAATCTCGAATTCTTATCCGACACAGTGCCCAAAACGAAGACATATCGCCAGTTCAAGGAGGAAAAGGCTCGAGAAGCAGCAGCCAAGGCTGCCTCCTCTGCAGGGTCACTAGTCAACGGCGTCAGCGTCAACGGCGAAAACGGCAGCGTCTCGATCCAGACTATGATGAAGAACGGATACCAGAACGGCGCTGTCAACGGGGTCGGGGTCAATGGCACAATGCATGAGAGATCAGCCACCGCTCGTCCGTCGTCGTCCGGCCATTCGCGCAACCACAGCCATCCCGACCCGGTCAGAGATATCGAGATGAGTGGATAGGTCGCCAATAATAAGTCGAGAAGCTGCCACCTTTCCGTCCAAATGTCTCGATCACAACCCAACCCGCCTCGACCACGTTCTTGGCGGTCCCATGGAATTGCACCAACACGCACGTTCAAGGGAATCACCTGCATTTTTCGCCAAGGGGCGTTTATCAAGCCCCCAAAAATTCACGACATGATGAGTCGAATCGCATGGGTGGCGCTAGAAGGGCGTACGGTATCTATCGGTCAGTACGGAGCAAAGCGCCTCGCGATGATGTCCGTGCCACTGGCAGAAACACACGAGTAAAGGACGGATCAAACCTTGAAGGATGAGCCCCAGTGCATCCATTGCAACACAATTACAATATACATTAGTTATGGATCTATTTACTCCCTAGCTGCGTCCTGCTCTACTTGAACTTCAATTTTCAACCACACCACATCCCTCGGCCAGCATCGATGTGTATTCATCTCCCTTTGATCAAGCACAGCATTATCCAACCTATTGCAGATCTCGTTCCTGCTCAACGAGCAGAATCTTGTCTTGCTCGTGCGCTGTTCCTCGTCGATGCTTGGATGCGAAGCCCATACATTACACAATCACACCTCACTTCTGCCCGGTTTCCGGGATATATACATCGTAGAAGCAACATCAGGCAATTGACCTGCGTGTCCCCTCGAGAGCGCCACCCTCCATGCGTTCATAAATATGAGGACCTATCGTTACATTCATTGTTGTTTTCTCTGGTTGACTTCTCTTCCCACGTAAACATGTCATCCAACACTCCGCCATCGACAAAAATTCATAAAATCATCAATTGTGACCATTTTCCCTTTTGTGCCCTCTCGATGGCCCAAGTCCCAATACTCACTGAATAGGTGGAAAGGCGTTAACGGATCCCCAGAGTTCCATCATACGAATAGTCAGGCAAAACTAGCAGCTCGAGGGGCAGGCTTTCCCATCCACGCTGCAGAGTTGGCCGATGTCCCTCCGGCGTTAGCGTCTGATTCTGGTTTGGAGACGATGCCGTTTGTCATTGGGGACTCTTTTGGGTCATTCTTAGAGGGGAGCGTCCTCCGTCTCTTGACCACGAGCAGATCATCAGAATCGTCTTCGTCTTCTTCACTCACTTTTTCCTCAAAGAAATCCGACGGAAAATAATACGGCGCCCAGAATAGGCCACGGATGGGAAAGTCTTCAGGTCACTGTCTTCCCCGTGCCTGACTGCTGTTAATGGAGTCCGTTGTGAACAGAAGTCCAGCGGCGGTAACCAGAGAAATCTCGAGCTTGGAATATTTGGAAGTCGTGGGTTCCACCTCGGGATTTTGGCCTGGTGATTTGGATCCTTCCAAACGTGGACTAAACAGAAGCATGATTGAGTCCCGCGTGTTGGGGAACGAGCTGATACTGATGGGAGCTTTGGGAGATCAAAACAAGTGGCAAGCAATATGAGGCCTAGCCAATGCTGCGAGGTGATGCTGGATTCTGCCGGTGTCAGAATTTTGAGATTCGCAAAAGCCTTCATCTTGAACATAGAGGTGGTCGACTTCCTCGAGCATTCCTAGCCTTGTCTGACAATGTCTCGTGGGGTCTTTGTTGACAGGGTCTCGAGATAGCCACTGTGTGGCAAACCACCTGAGACGCTAGGCATTTCACCAACTGTGCCACCTCCCTCAACACCGTTGTTCTTCCGATCTGTGGTAGGATGGCGACGGAATAGGAGGTTTCAGGAATGGCCTTTAGATCACAAGCCAAAGTGTATATAAACAGGCAGAGTCTCTCTGAATAGTCAGGGGGACAGAGCACAATCAAGCAGATAGATCCACAACTGTTCTGTTTACAACAAGTCCTTCCGACTCTCTTTCCTTGACAGTCAGATAGACACTTCATACAGAAAAGACCTTACCAACAACTCTGGGTCCTTGTGACCGTCTTCTGCCTGCTAGCCTGCGTTTTTTTTTTACATGGACATCAGTCGAACCTACCATTTCGTGGTCGACAATAAAATCCTTCAAGGACTTGTCTGTCCTGGTCCTGAGAAGGAATCATGTACGCATCCATCCAACCATTTTCCGTTCAATACATATTCATCATACTCGAGTAGGATTGGTGGTGGTGGAGTTGCGCACAAGTCGGCGAATGCTGTCGAACAGGTCGGTATCCTGAGAAGCTGCATTGGCTCAATTTTAGAATGTCGCCGTATTGAGATCCGCAGCCCTTTCGCTGTCATGTCTGGCTGAGCCTCGTCAACGGCCAGAGAGGCCGCCTTATCGAAACTTGAATGTTGGTACCCTGGCATGTCGAGTGACGCTTGTTGCGGTGGCATTTTGCCGCGAGATCTTTTGGTTTGCAATATACGTCCTCTATTTTCCAAGAATCCCTCTCTGTCATTACTGTTTCTGCCTTACTCGGCTGAGCTCGCTCTGGCGCGGCCAGTTTCCATCGCGTCCCGACTTGATGTAGCGTGGAGCAGTGGTGCCAATTCAGATGATCTCCGGAAGTTGGGATCCGTCTTAACAGCAGTTCCTTGAGTTCTCCGTGCGGGAGATAAGCGAAGGGGAAGTCTGCTGGTCGCATCTTCTTGTACGCAAAATTTGGAGACAGCCTAGGCAAACATATGGGAAAGCAAACCGCGGTGGTTCGGATAATCACATCTGGGTGATCTCGTAGTTCAAGGCTGTTTCTGTGTTCGTGTTTGTTAGATCTTCAGCCGTGATGGATTCTTCACTTTCCAATGCCGTTTGGAATAGCGAGGCGGCACACGCTGGGGGTTCGAGATAAGGCCAATAGGCCGGGAACTGGTCGTGTATGCCATTCTAGTACTCACCTGTGCCGCCTCGACTCTGCTCACATTGTACACACGAAATCCTGCATGCAGTGGCGTCCAACCCTACATGGAGGTCCCAAACACTCCAACCAAACACCCTCGTGTCCCGCAAGACGTCGGCATCCAGATGAAACTCTGGCATAGAAAATTGCTTCGCATGGGTAAACCATCATGGCCCTAACTATAGATGGAGGGTTGACTGGTGGGTCTTGGGCAACAGTCTCTATGATATGCTGTTATATATCCCAATACGGCTTTTGACGCGAATGCCATCACTTGAGCGCGCATTCTGCGGCTATCCGCGGCTATCTGCGGTCTGTCAGCAGGGTCGTGTGGCCTGCGATCAGGAATATCTCGTGGTCTCGCGCACAATTGTGCCTTGCTCGATGAGTACAACGACTCGGTAGGTGTCAGATAGGTTCATTCCCTATCAATTAGTAGGAGCTGGAAAAGGATTACTCAACGCACGTAGCTCGGATGGCTATGGCTTCCAAAACCGGGATGGGATGTACTGCTTCGGTGAAGAGATTACCAGAACCAACGATGCCTCGAAGATGTCATTAAACCTTGGCATCTCGACCTGGAAAGAAGCAATATGGTTTCGGTAGGAGCGCACGGCTCAGGAAGCTGGTCCATCTTGATGGCTGACCTTTTGGCCCGCGAATGATCCTTCCACAGGAAAATCAACTGTGAGGTGTGACGGGCCAGTTGGCTCACTAGAACCTTTCCCGTGAGCTCGGCGGGTATTTCAACTCAACGACGTTATAACTTGTTCTCGATCGACTTGAGCTCGGCATCACAGCTTGTGAAGGTCTTTTAGCTGCCTGAATACCGAGTTTTCGGGACAGGAGCATGGAGCGTTGAGAAATGTTTAGACGCCTTTAAAATGGACCACAGTGGACTCCTCCTCAACGCTAGATTTTCTCATTGAGGGTCGTGAGGTTCCTGTTGTAAGCGACCCGCAATGAGCTAAAGCTAGGCGCGTTGAGTGTCGAGGGAGGTAGAGCATGAAGGGCTGGAGAGGCTGAGTGCTACAGTTCGGAAACGTTTGGTCATGTGATCTGGAGCTCCCGGCCAATTAGCGTCGATGCAAAAGATCATTTCTTGGCGGGCTCTCGGGCTCCTTCTCAATTGCGCCTCATGCAACAAGCTCCAACATCTCCTCGAGCTTCGACTTCGACAACCGCAACCTCTCTTCTCTTCCATATCCCCAAGATGCGTCCAGTCACGACATCGGCAGGCTCTGCCCTGCGCACTTGGACCCGGCACAGCCTTCCTACCAGCTCCTCATCCTCGGCTTCCTCCCAGTCCTCCCGTCTTGCCATCACAGCTTCAAACATCCCCCAAAGACGACTAGAATCCTCCGGAGCAGAGACAGCAGGTAGCTCCAGCTTCCAAAGCCCATTTGGCAGCGCGCCCAAGTATGATACGCGCAAGATCCCCAGCTTTAAGACATACGAGTCCAAAAATTCCGAGATCACCAATCGAGTCTTCCAGTACTTCATGGCCGGGTCAATGGGGCTGTTGGCTGCTGCGGGAGCAAAAAATACCGTGCAAGGTATAGACATCCGAGTTTGAGCTTTACATGCACGACTCCCGGACCTACCACACTGAAGCGGCGAATTTGTGGTGCACAGCTAACCAACCTACGATGCTGCATAGACTTTCTAGAAAACATGTCCGCCTCCGCCGACGTGCTGGCCCAAGCCAAAGTGGAAATCGACTTGGGCTCCATCCCCGAAGGCAAGAACGTGATTATCAAATGGAGAGGTAAACCCGTCTTCATCCGTCACCGTACCGAGGACGAGATCAAGGAGGCGGAATCTGTTGAGTACGTCATGGTCTCCTTCATTCTACAACACCTTCCCTCTAAGAAAACTTTTTATGCTGACCATCGCTCGCAGCATCTCGATCCTGCGTGACCCTGAAAAAGATTCCGACCGTGTCAAGAAACCCGAGTGGCTGGTCATGTTGGGCGTCTGCACACACTTGGGGTGCGTCCCCATTGGGGAAGCGGGCGATTTTGGTGGCTGGTTCTGCCCTTGCCATGGATCGCATTATGATATTTCGGGACGAGTGAGAAAAGGACCCGCGCCGTTGAATTTGGAAGTACCCGAATATGATTTCCCAGAGGAGGATAAATTGGTCATTGGTTAGGAGAGACACCAAGATGGAAAGAGAAGCGGCGGACTGACCTTGTTGCCCTTCGTGGTTGGCGTGTGGCACCTGTCAAGAAGGAAGATATCCAGCCGGAAGCGAGTTCTAGGACGCAAGAGAGTTACTGTACATATTAGACGGCAAGACGCTAGGAGATGCCGGACACAGGCGATGGGACAACATCCAAGAGTATACCTTTATGAGCTGTGTGTAGGGAGCAGGATCGACAAAAAAACCGCCTATATATTTATTTCTGTTTACCCGCATCGCTATCTTCTCTATTCCGGCCCTGCATCTAACGAGGCTCCTTTGTGCAATTGGTTCTCGTCAGACAAGATGTCAAAACACATCACTGGATCCAAGCAGGCTCTCTAAATGCCGGACCGGGCGGCAGAGAATCCAAATCCAGGACCAACCATGGTTTTCTTTCGTCCAGAGCAAGCTCCATTTACACAGGTAGACCGGTACCGACAGGGATCTTGTACATATCTATTGGCTGACCAGGTGGAAGTTACGTCCCTGTGCGAGTTGCAATGATTAAGCATCTGAGATATGGTATGAGATCGGAAATTTGGATATCATATCTTTTGTCAGACAGCCATCTCTTCTTTCTATATCGTATCGTACAATCGCCTGCTAGCTCCGTCTATATATAGTAGAGACTATCCATCGTATGTAGGTATCCCCATAGCAAATATATCTTCGCTCCTGACTACTAACAAAGGGCCGCTTTCTAGCCAAATCATTCATGATTGGATGGATGGATAGACGCAAGGATAAACGGACAAATATGTACAGACAGGCCTTGTGGCCCCTCGTTCCAGCTCCCAATAACTCACTCTGAGCCGTTAGGTGTATGTACATATTCATACCCTACCGGGGCCTGAGGAGTACAAAAAGGAGGCCCATAATTGCCATTCCGCCTGCCACGCCTTCCATGGCCACGGTGGTCAATTCCCTCTGTGAGACGAGGATCTTGTGGTCGTCGCTGAAGAGTGCTCTCAGAGAGTCTTCGTACCAAGCCAGGGGAGAGTCAGGAGATGTCCAGCGCGAGGACCCGTTCACGGGCTGTGGTGGCATTTCTTCGGTTGGAACAGCAAATGGGAGAGTGTCGGGGGAGCCTGCGGGCAGAGTTCCTTCAGCAGCGAGTTCTTGTGCTGTTAAAGATTCGGCGACTGCTTCAATGTTCGACAATGGAGGCGGCGTTGGAGCTTTCTCCTCAGATGTTGCACCGGTAACAGCATCGACGATCTGTTCCGCAATATTATCCGCTACCGCCTCGACTTTCTCGCCCGGTGTGAAGCTCGCTGCAGCCTCCGCAGTACTTTGATTCGGCTGTAATGCTGCAGTCTTGGTCTCTTCCTCCCTTTCTTTAAGTGCTAACTCCACTTTCTCTTCGAAGCCCTTCACCAAGCGCTTCCTTCGCCATGGTTCCAAGACGATTTGAAAGATCAGGAACAACAATACATTGATTCCCATCAGTCCCCATGTGCCCCAGGTGGACATCTGCCTTATCTTATCACTCCAAATTTGTTCTTCATGATACCTAGCCAATATCGCCTTCGCAAGTTTCGTGGACGCCTCTTCATACCGGGCTTCTGCGTCACTTACTTCCTTTTGCGCAGCGGTTTCGGCTTGCTCATTCGCGTGATCGGACCGATATAGACTGGTGAATCTCTCCAAATCTGCGGGCGACCACGTATGTTTGCGGTGCAGCAAATCATTGACTTCGCGTTGCGTCGTACTCCGCTTAGCAATTGCTTCGCTGTAGCGCGCCCGAGCGTCCTTCACGGCTGCACGACATGCCTGGACCACAGATTCTTGGTGTTCTATATCAGTCTTTAACACTTCGATCCCCGAATAACCTGTCAGGTCGTTTAAGCGGCGGGAGGCTGTAAAGACGTGGGTTTGGAAGTTATCCATGAAGTGGGCGAAACGATGTTGAAGGTCGGAGAAACGAGAGGAGATGGCGGACGGAAGTGTGTTACTGGAGGAAGAGGGCTGTGCCGGTTCTGGTTCTGGTTTATCGGAAGCCGTGTGTGCCTCATATTTGGAGGTATGTACTATTGAGGACTCTGGGATGGTGTGGACAATGGTTTCTTCTTGAGGATGCTTGAGCTTATCCTGCATGTGCGCCGCTGTGTCTGCTCTTGACTCGAGACTCTCTTCTATTCGACTCTTAGCATCCTCTATTTCCTGGCCAATTTCCGGCTTCTTTTCGCTATAAAACCGAGTTTGACAAGCTATTCGCGGTCGTTGGCGCGTCCATGGCTGTGCGCTTGGACGCACCACCGGGGAGAATGGACGGGGGCATGTGAGAGATCGGTGGACAGGCTTGGCGGCTCGAAAGGCGGACCATAATGTCTGGGACAGTCGTAACGGAGCCTGCTGCATCGCGAGCAGCAATCTGATCTTCACATCCACCGAGGCTCGAGGACAGACTGACTTGTCAGTCGATGGGCAAAGGAAACAGCTTCCATTGATCGGCGAGATTTTTGCAGCGAGGAAGGTTTGCCGGCTCCGAAAAAATGGCGGCATCAGCCGGGCCGCGGCAGTCGATCCGCTGATGTCATCGCAGTAGTGCGGAGTATTACGTCTTGATAGCGCAGTCTTGGCCGGGATTCCTCTTTCGGCCATGCCACCAATCCATCCTCCCCGCCAAAAAGAAAACGATCCCAATGCTGGCCATCTTAGAGGGAAATCTCTAGCCTGGAGCCATCGTCTGTGCCCAAGCACGCAAAACCATCCAACCGCAATCGGGCTTTACTGCACCAACTCTTATTACATACCCCCCATCCTCTTCTATCGGTCTTGTCCCGGCTAGGTGGTCAGAAAACGGCAATTAAGACCGACATATATACATATCTGTCACCGTTCTATAAGCGCCTTTTTTCCCTGCACTGAGTCTCTATTCCTCGTCCGCCATCTTACACCCTCGACCGCATCTTAGACAAATTCTTCAAGATGCCCTTCCCAGAGACTCTGGAAGCCAAACCTCGGGTCATATTTTTCACCGACTTCGACGGCACAATCACCCTCCAGGATACCAATGACTTCATCACAGACAACTATGGCATGGGCTTCGACCAGCGGCGCGAGCTCTTCCGCGCAGTCATCAACAAGACGGACACGTTCCGTAACACGTTCCAGCAGATGGTGGATTCCTGGAACTTGCCGTTCCCCCGCGTCCTGGGGATCCTGAAAGAGAACATCAGCTTGGACCCGGCATTTAGAGACTTTGTGCTGTGGGCCCGCGACATGAAAGTGCCTGTCATCGTGTTGAGTAGCGGCATGGCTCCCGTGCTGGAGGCCCTGTTGAACCACCTGTTGGGCGAAGACCTGATGCAGGATCTGGAGATCGTGGCGAACGCGACGCAACTAAAACCCCCTGAAAATTCGCTCGACAAGCCCGGTGGCTGGACGATAAAGTACCGTGACGACTCGGGCTTTGGGCACGACAAGTCTCTCACCATCCGCCCCTACGCGGACGCCATTGCCAAAATGCCTGCGCAAGAGCGGCCTACGCTTTTGTACGCGGGCGACGGCGTCTCTGACCTGAGTGCTGCAAGGGAGACGGATCTCTTATTTGCCAGGGAAGGAATGGATCTGGTGACGTACTGCGAGAACGAAGGGATCCCGTTCACCGAATTCAGCGGCTGGGACAGCATTCTCGAAGAGACAAAGGACATCTACGAGGGGAGGAAGACGGTCAAGAATCTAGCCGAAGAGGGCTTGAGGCGACACCGGACCAATTCTATGGAGTCAAATGCGATGCCAAAGCCCACAATCAGGTGAGCCGTTGGCCGGTGAATTGCGGCGTTGCAGGCCTCGACATGAATGGGACTGGGGGCTGCAGCTTACAGGATCATGCGGGCGAGATCATAAAACGATTTCGGGATTAGATGGCAAAGATTAACGGCGGGATAAAATAGAATAGGCAGCGATAGACTTTCAATACATATAGAACAGCTTGATTGAAGAAATCGAGGCGAATATATATTCGTTGCCGTAGCCTTGGGACTGGATAACACCGTTGTTCTCTGTCTTAACAATACGGGAATGTGCTGTTTCGCCCAGAACCATCATGAATGCTTTCCATCATACTCGCTCAAAGCCCTCCTCAGCACCTCCCCGTCCCTGGGAATCACCCTGACCGTGTACCGGCGCGGGACGCTCACAAGCTGCGTGGGATCCATGACGCCTCTGACGGGATGCGTCTCGACGGCGCCGGCGCCCCCATCGGCGGGGCGCAAGTCCGTGATATCGAACGCGCTAATCAGCCTCAGATAGATGGTGTACATCTCTCTGTTCGCCAGCAGACTGCCGGCGCACATCCTGTAGCCCAGGCCATACGTGAAGAGCGGCGCGTCAGGGTTCTCGAGCCAGCGCTCGGGCCGGAACATGAAGGGGTCCGACCACACTTCCGGGTCCATATTGCAGGCCCAGGCGTTGAGGAACACCACGCTCCCAGACGGGATCGTGTGGCCGTTATACACGACGTCCTTGACGGTGGCGCGGGGCAGACTGAGGCGCAGCACGGTGTAGTATCTCAGCAACTCCCTGACGAGTGCCACGATGTAAGAGATGGATTGGTCGTCGTTCACATCGCAGAGGATCTGGTCCTGCGGGTAGACCTTGCGGATTTCCTCGAGCGCCTTCTGTTGGATCTCGGGCCGTTGGGCAAGAAGCGCCATCGACCATGCGACCAGGGTCGTTAGAGTGTCCAAGCCGCCTGACAGCATGGTAAGGGAGATGGAGATGAGCTCTTCGGTGTTGAGCTTTGCTTCCTTGTCGAGGATGACGTTCGCCTGAATGCAAGGTTGATGGATTCCCTTCGCCATTCTGTCGTCTAAATCATCGTTGAGCTTCTTTAGGTATACGTCTCTTCTGCGCCGCATGCCGCGGGCGTGGGCACTTCCAAAGTTGAACGGATTCAGTCGTAGAAGCGGGATATAGTCCTGCAGATTGCCCGTGGTGGAACGAAATTTGGACACCTCCTCCTCAACGTGCGTGATTTCACCGAAGAGTTCGTCGTTCTGGGATGCCATACGGGTCCCCCAGTTCAAGGTCAATGCTAACGATAGTGAAAGACGTTGAATCATTGGCATCGGATCCACCGGTTTTCGTCCACCATCTCCGTAAGTGAGGAATTCGTTCAAGAAATCCCTTGTCTCGACGTCGATGTGCGGGATATACGTCGCCACACTTGGTTTATTCAGGGCGGATGCTGCACCTTTTCTTCTTCTCTTCAGAGATTCTGAAAATGGCGATGTTCCTATCGTCGTCCCGCTTGTAGAACTCACCACTTTATGAAAAGTGTAAAATTCTGGCCTGGAGGCGAGTGCTTGAGAATTGGCCCCGAAAATCTCGCGCGCAGCTTTGGCGCCGTTCACCACTATCACGGGGACGTTGCCCAGCATAATTTGATATACATAGCCGTACTTTTGAGACCATAGCCGGTATTGCTCTGCTGCATTGACGCGGATTTGATGGATATTACCGATCACAGGCAGCCCCGAAGGGCCATCAAATCCTGGAATGCGGGCTTGGTGTCTTTGGATCTCGGTGATAAGTAAATATAGAAGAGCGGAAGCTGCTGCGAAGTATGCGATGAATGCTATGGGTGATTCTTGGGCATGGCCAATTAGAAACTTGAGCGTTTTGTCAATCATCTTGGTATGCCTGCGAATGGTCAGGGAGAAACAAAAGGAAAGAGAGAAACAGAAAGATGGGGAAGGATGTACACAACTGAAGACTGAACAAAGAGACCTCCGGTATATATCACCCCTTCACACGAAAGATCCACCCCGGAATTCTGATGTGAGGGGGACGGCACAGGGACTGTGGAGAGACACGGCGACCGCCAACCACGATGCTGCCGCATTCCGTGGTGTTTTTGTGGAGAGCGGAATCAACACCGCAGCCTGCAGAGCCGGAGATCATCGCATGAAGCAGGCCCAAGATATGAGAACTCGTTCATTGGATCAGTCTTCAAAGTCCAGCCGAGACTTAAAAGAACGTGGAAGCCATTCCGACTGAAGGCCCATCTCCCCAGGTTGGAATCTGCTGCAAAATCAAAGCATTTTCGAACACAAGGAGTCTGAGCCCAATCCTTTGAAAAAGAGCGAAATTTCCAACGAATTGCGCTATCCTGTCTGACTGGCCCCTTGCAAATCCATGGTGATGTTCGGGAGCTGCAATACCCTGAGCATTCCCAGTGCTCAAGAGACATCCGATGGCAGATCCACTCTCACCTCATTCTTGCGGAAACGATTGCAAGAATTTGGTCCCTGCCACATCATGATCAGTGATTCCAGGAATCACATTGTTCCAGAACAAGTTACCCATGTTCGGCGTACAGAGCCCCTTGTAAAGTCCACCTTCTCGATCGAACTTGATGCCAAACTCGGTTCCCTGCTCGCTACCCTCGATTTTCTTGCCAATCAATGCTTCTTCGTCAATGGTGCCCGTCATGAGGACTATCATGTCGTTCATTCCAATAATTCGCCAGGTAAGGCCGCTTCCGCATTGAGAACAGAAAGACCGGACAGCTGTTTCGCTTGATTGGTATTCCTTGTAGGTTGGGCTCTTGGTGATGTCGTCGACAAGTTGAGACGGGTGGATGAGAAGGTCATGAGAGACCAACGCTCCAGTCCATTTGCGACACATTGTACATTGACAGGTGGCTGCCTGGGGGCCATAATTAGAGCTATGGATCGTACCGGGAGTAAGCATCATACATTCGCTGGCCAAGTACCCTCGGGAAATGTCAATTTGTATCTGATGGAGCCGCACAGACATCCGCCAGAGACTGATTCAGGCTTGGAAGTCATCGCAAGTCACGTATCAATCAATAAGCGCTATCTTGACTTGATAGATGTTGTGGAGCTACCGACCTGTGGCCGTTGATGAATGTCCGAGTCTTGCGGTAGTTGAGGGCCCTTTTATATTCGAGGCGCTTTCCCTTTCAACACAAGCATTGATGGTGCCCGTTAGGCAACGACATTGCTTGCTCTTTTCATGCTTGACGAACAGGTTGGAGCCAAGGAACGCCGTTGGGGCATTTGCGGCTTTTGTCATCCGGACAACTGACAAAATAAAGACCATTTAAGGGAAGATGAACGCATTTGCTGGTGAGACCAAGTATACTGGGAGCATATCGAATGGGCCAGTCTTTGGACAAGGCTTGGCAGTGGCTTGCCAATTAGGCACCCAAATCTTCCACTGCTCTGATTGCTCGAGCCATATAGATCCGGGGTGTAATTGGTACCTTGCCGAAGCGTATCTTGTAAGCAAATGTAACCTGGCCATGTCGATTGGTGCTGAGCCCAGATACGCCCAGCCCCTGATTCAGCCATCTTTACTGTCCGGTTCGTATAATGCTTTTGGCCGAATACGTTGCAAGGTCTTATTTTGCTGCTTTCCGGCTTCTCCTGGAACCAGGCACCGGCTCGGACTTTCCCCCAGAGGACGCACCGTTTGGCACAGTTTTATCGGCACTCTTGTTTTGCGCCGTCTCCTTCTTTGCTGCAGCCCTCCTTTTGGCGCCGATCATTTCCAGGTTCTCGATCTGCTTCTCACTGAACTCCCACAGCTTCTTTGCGACTTCTTCTTTTTTGACTTCCAGTCTCAAAGGCTCGTATTGCCTGCATTCTTTGATCAACTTCCCACCCGCGCCTCGGCCATATTCAGCGTCCATGGCGGCCAAGAGGTAACTCTGAGCACCCTGTATCGGTGACTTGAGAACGAGCCACCATAATGGCCAAGTGATCAAGTACAGGAATAAACCCCAAATTAATCCCCCAGACAACCAGCGGCGCGTGCCGGGCGTGCGGCAATATCCAGGGTCGATTATGAACGATCGAGCATTGTTGAGTTCCTTGTCCGGTCTTTTGTAGGCGTCGAGGTGTTTTTGGAATGCATACGCAAATGTCATCACTGCCAATTTGCTTCGACTGTACGAAGTGCTTCCTGCTTTGGAAGCTTTGTTTGTGGCTTCGAAGTCCAAATTTCCGCCGATGTAGCTGCTACATGTACTGAACAGAATCCTCACGTCTCGATCTGGGGGTTGTGCGCGAATAGCTGGCGAGAGGATACTTAGGAGATGGAATGTGCTGAGGTAGTTAATCATCCACTCGGCTTCCAGTCCATCCAATGTCTCCTGAGGTGTACCGAAGTAAGGAGTCATCACGTTGGCACAGAGAATGACCATGTCCAATCTTCTCGGGGGTGCGTTGTCCACCCATTTCGTGGCAAAGAGTCGTATCGAGTGTAGAGAAGACAGGTCGACTTGTTCGGCATATATCAATTCATTATTGGTAATGGTCCGCATATCTTCAATGTAGTCGACGAGAAAGGGATCCGAAGGGGCATGGTGGGTCAGGAGAATGATCTGGGCTCCTCGTTTAGCCAGTTCTTGCACAACGGCGGCGCCTATGCCTGATGTTCCTCCCTGTACACTGTGTGTCAGAAAGCATGCGAGAGATTCGGGGCCTGTCCTCTCACCGTGACCATGACCACCTTGCCATGCATAACTCGTTCTGATCGACATTTCGCTCCGCCAAAATACAGTTTCAACAACGCGACAACACCTGCTATCGCTGCACCCTTAGCGACCGCCCAGACATAAGGGATATTGGAAAGACCCCTTCCAAAGCCCTCCGCCAGCAGAGGGATAGGCATCGTTTCTGAGATGTTCAAATTGCAAAAATGTAGCGAGTGAATGGAAACTGGGCAGGACGGAAATACCCAAGTTGGGTTGCGAGGAAACTCCGCTCAATCCGCCTATCGCAGGCAGCGGGTGCCTGACAAGTCTTGCACTAGGCAATGACGCCACAATATCCTACATATTTTATCTCTCCACCAAAAACATCTTTGACCCTTTCGACATCTTCCCAGAGAACCATGGCAGAGCAAGATGAAGACTATTACTTGCCGCTCCGAGATCAGCGTGTCTTCGGCGCCGGCATCAGACGCAAAAAGATCGATTTCGTTCCCGCTTCAAAGTCGGATTCACAAATTACCCCTTCGCAATCGTCGAATTCGACAAGCGCAGGGTCTCGGTACCTCTCCATTGTTTTAGCACAGAGCAGCCAAATCCCCGATGGCGGCACTCGTCGAGCTGCAGGCCAAGACTCAAGAGCGGACCAGACTCAAGGCATATGCGCAGTCTGCCATCAACCCATCCCGTCGACCGACAAACCATCCACAAGCCATGAGTCCTCAATCGCGCATCAAGTCTGCCTGAAACATTCCCATCCGCCCTCCAGCCTTGATCGCGAACGTGTTGGTCTGAGATATTTGTCAACTTATGGCTGGGATCCTGACTCTCGGCGAGGGTTAGGTGCAAGACAAGAGGGAATCAGAGTGCCTATAAAGGCGAAGGCGAAAAATGATACAGTAGGTCTGCGAGAGACAGTCGACGAGGACACAAAGAAGTTGGCCAAGAAGAAGATGAAAGTACAGAAAGAGGACAAGATTGTGAAATTGAGCGCGAAACAAGTCCGCATCAAAGACGACGAAGCAAAGAAGCGGGCTGAGAAGTTGAGACAGATGTTTTATGGCCCGGACTTGGAGAAATACCTGGGCCCTAACAATTGACAACCCAACATATTGGACTCGATGAATCTGGCTCAAATTGTGACCAAGACGGGATTACACGACTGTATACAACCACCGTCGCCCCCCTCTCCCTCCGCCCACCGACGCCTCGCTAAGTCACCATCATACAAGCATGCGCTTCTAGTGCTTCTTGAACAACCCTAGGTGTTTCTTCTCCTTGTCCTTTTTCAACCTGTGGTGGCCACCATCACCGGACGGGGATTGGTAAGGCTGTGATGGTCTTGACAAACCAGGGGCTGTGCCCACTCCCGGGCGTACGCCGTTGTGTGGTGCTCCAGCAAGGTTCATGTGTGCCATCGCTTCGGTCGGTGGTCGGGCTTTGTCAGGATGTCTTCCGTTTGCTGGTTGTTGAGGCCTCGGTTGCTGTTGAGCCTGTGGAGGAGGCTCCGACATCCATGCTGGTAGTCGGGGCGCGGCTCTATCCATTGGCAGGTCTAGTTGCCTTCGTCCGGCACTGAGTTGGCTCACTTGCCGCAGGAAGTTTTTAGGTGTTATCATATGGGTTGTCGCAAGGAAAACTTCTTTGCCGGCCATCCTAGAGACTTCGTAACAGGCCCGTGCTTCGGCGTAGGTTGCACCGCCTGCCACGAATACAATGATGCGTTGACGCGGCTTGTTGGATTGAGAGCGTGTTTGAGCCCAGGTAGGTTTGCCTGTGTTTCTCAGAGAAGTCTGCGAGACGCTCATTTGGCTGTTTGGGTCGTTGAGATGTGGCTTCACCGGAGGGAACACGTTAAGATCCAATGTACCCTGGCATTGCTCTTCGAGCACATACCTTAGTGCCGGCTCAAATCGTGACAAACTGACTTCTTCCATGTTGCTGACATCTTTGATCTTCGGCTGAAACAATGGCGGTGGGGTAGGCGTTGCATCTTTCAGCTGTTTTTCGATCCTGGCGCCCAAAGTTATCAGGTTATAAATGATCTCCCCATCCATCGGCGAAAGTTCGCCGTGACATCGTAGCTTTTCGATGTCTCCCCTTAGAATACCATTCCTGTATAGGATGTATAAAATCAAGAGTCGCACACGATCTTCATGAACGACGCTGTCGTCATCAAGCAGTCTGACAACCTGATCCGCTAGATTCTTCGGCTTTTTGGTCTCCTCATCAAGTCCTGTTGCAAGAGATTGCTCGACAGAGACCACATCCAGGAGCTTGTGATCAGCAAATATTTTGGCGCATTTCTCAGCCATGTCGATATGAAGTGAAAATGCTTCTTTGCCTTCCTGAAACTCTGGAAGTCCCGCCAACATATCCTTGATGGTGTTGATGCTCGCAGGTTGTCCCTCGTTGTCGGCAAACTGGGGATTTTTGGCTTGGAATTTCTTGAATTGTTCGCTCAACTGCACAAGGAGATCTTTCATGTGCATATGTCGGTGGTCGACCCAAAGGTTATCTTTCTCCGTAATTTCCACATCTTTCTCTTCCTGGTCTGGCTGACCTCGCCTGATGACGTTCCTGTATGTTACTTTGTCCTCGTCATCTTGTATCGGTAGAAGATCCATCGCCATGGCCTGGTATGTTAATTCGTGAACGAATGGCGACATCAGATCCATGGATCGGTCGGTGATCAGTAGAACCGCTCGTGGCCGGTTAGCCGGATTTTGGGGAGGGAAGTCATTTCGTTGATCACGAGCGTAGTCGTCCAATGCACTCTGTACGAAGCTGGCAAGATGGTAACACAGGACATCGGCAGCATGTCTCTGATGTTCTCTAGGCTTGTAGAATCGGATCAGAGGGTACTCGCCCAGAGACACGCATATTGACACGATTTTTTGGGTTATGCTGTCCAAGTGGTTCTTAACCAGCGAGTCGCAAGCCGGGTGGAAGAGGACATGAAAACTCCAAGGTTCTCGAAACGACACCAGGTTGCACTCTCGGGGGAAATACTCGATGTTCAGTGTCCGAGATTCAACAATCAACTTTGCTCGAGACTCTGACCGGAAGAGTTCTTCTCCAAGGTTTCTCGGTAGCTGGGAGGTCCAGATAAGGTGAGCACGTCGGTATCTCTTTCGACTTAGATCAGCCTTGAGGCTTTCGACTATATGCGGTAAGGGGGAGAGGAGGTAAATCGCATCGGTGTCGGAGAGGGTCTGCCTGCGGTCTTCGAGGCGTTCGATGTTGGTTATGTTGGCGTTCAAGATGTCATCTTCTTTGCAAACGTTGTACACAACCCGTTTGCTTTGCTCGTCCAATATTAAGACCTTCCAGTCTCGCCCGCTGGTAGCCCGGATCGTGCCTAGTATGATGTTCCGCTGAATCTCGAGAATGGAGGTTGCCATGGCGGGGCACGAGGAATTAGAGCGACAGAGATGCTTGCATACTCATGTATATGATATGCCTTGGAGATCTGTACGCACCGCTCAAAAAGAGTGAATGAACACCTGTACGGAGTCTTCATACGGTGATGGGGCCTGCTGTGGGGTGGGATAACTTGTTGCAGGCTGCTGCGGTGACTTTGGGCCGCACCTCAGCCTCGTTACCGGGTGGATGTACCACGTGACGAGGCTGAATATGTCACCAACTTTTCTCAAACAACGTGAAGATCGTGACATTCGCTCTTTTCCCCAAGTTTGTACAATAGCGACACAGGGAAATCTGCATTTGGTGTCCTCCTGGAGTCTTTTTTACGACGCCCTCATATTTCCTTGGGCATGTTCGCTCCTTCAACTCGTCGACCGCAATGCCTCTTCTGTTCATTCCGAACCTCCTTTGCATCGGTGTCGAAACGATATCCTGACAGTATCCGCGGCTACTCTACCACAGCTAGCCGCACAGATCGAAGACAACACAAAGCTTCCCCGATCGCAAGGCCCATTCTCTCCGCACCGCCGAAGTCTCGGCGCCCGGGCCGGCGTCCGATCGCAAAATCGCTGGAGATCTCTCCAGATGCCAGTTACAACCGTGTTCGTGTCAGCTTGTCGAAATTGAAGAAGCGGCTGGAGTCGACAAAAGTGACAGCAGAATCAGAAGTTACACAGCTCGCGGCGCTCGATCCCCGTGGGACGTATTGGCCCGCATTCAGAGAGCAGCTCGAAAGTACTCTGGCAGCGCGGGGTGACTTTGAGAGTGTGGATTTTGACGGATTAATATACGACATTGGTCGTGCTCAGTTGGGTGACTGGGAAACGGAACTACCGAGAGTGCTGCATTTTGGGTTCATTGATTACGTCCTTTTGAGAAAGGCGCAAGATGCTCCACGGGAGGGTTTGGCGCTCGATGATCTGCAATTCCCTACAGAATGGTATACCAATGCTCGACAGGTCCAAAGAGATGTCCATCTTCATATCGGGCCGACCAACTCGGGAAAAACCTACAATGCTCTGAAACGTCTCGAAGAGAGTGGCGACGGGTTCTACGCCGGCCCTCTCCGGCTGCTAGCACATGAAGTATATTCGAGGCTCAAAGCGAAGGGCGTCCCTTGTGATCTTATAACTGGAGACGATGTCAGACTAGAGGACGATCCCAATACGAAGCTCCGTGCATCTACGGTCGAAATGGTCGATATCTCCGCACGGTTTGATGTTGCTGTGATTGATGAGGTGCAGATGATGGATGACCACGATCGAGGTTGGGCGTGGACTCGGGCATTTCTTGGTGCCAATGCAAAGGAAGTCCACATTTGTGGTGAAACTCGAGTACTTCCGCTTGTTCGAGAACTGACAGCATCCACCGGTGACATACTTCACGTGCATGAGTATAAGAGACTGAATCCGCTCAAGGTCATGACGAAGAGTCTGCGAGGAGACCTCAAAAACTTGCGCAAGGGGGACTGCATTGTGGCGTTTTCTGTCGTGAATATACACGCCTTGAAAAAGCAAATTGAGCTGGACACAGGTCGCCGTTGTGCCATTGTTTATGGGAGTCTCCCTCCTGAGACTCGCGCGCAGCAAGCCGCGCTGTTCAACGATCCCAACAATGACTACGATTTTTTGGTTGCAAGCGATGCTGTTGGCATGGGTTTGAATCTGTAAGTTGAGTTTAACATCACACAAAGAAGAAAACGCTAACGTCTGATCAGGAGCGTCAAACGCATTGTCTTCCACAGCGTTTCGAAATTCAATGGTACTTCCATTGTGCAATTGTCCACCTCTCAAATCAAGCAAATCGGCGGTCGAGCCGGAAGGTTTCGAAATGCGCATCAGGCCATGCATAACACCCAGGCCGCTGCCGAGTCCAATGTCGGCCTGGTCACCACTCTCAATGACGAGGACTTGCCTCTCGTGCGAGCTGCCATGGAATCAGAAGCTGCACCGATCAAAAGAGCAGGTATGCTTCCACCTGCTGAGGCCATGGAGGAGCTCGAGGGTCGTTTACCGAAAGGGATCCCTTTTGAATATATCTTGAGACGGCTCTGTGGAAAAGCTGCCCTGCACGAGCGATTTCGAGTATGCAGTATTCGCGACCAGAGTCGCATTTCGCGGGTCATTGAACCTGTCCGAGGCTTGACCATGACCCAACGCATCATGTTGACGGCTGCACCAGCCACTTCCGCCTCGCAAGGAATGGACGAAGTAATGCGAGCTTTTGCGAGATGTGTGGCAGAGCGAAGACAGGTGACGATTGTCGACGTCCCTGAAGTTCAACTAGAGGTCCTTGAGAAGCCGATCTCCGGAGACCGCGCCTACCTGCAGAGCATAGAGGACCTCCACAAGTCCCTAGTCCTTTACCTCTGGCTCAGTTATAGATTCCTCGGCATCTTCAAGGACAGAGAAATGGCCGTGTACGCAAAAGAGCTTGCAGAGGACCGAATCAACACGTGTCTTCTTGAGTTTTCTGCCAACCCCGACCTACGCAAGAGAGTTTTGTCGTACAAAAAGAGAATGGCTCTTCCTCAAATCCAAACCGAAGAGGGTGCGATCACAGATGACGAATCTGAACTGGAGCTACCAGATGAAGAAGGGACCCTCCCTGTGGACTGGATTCGGGGTTCTGCAGCTGTCGAAATTGAGCAATCTCCACCCACACAGCCCTATCTCGCAGCACATGGCTGAGTTTCTAGACCGCTCTCTTTCAGCCGTTGCATGTTCTGTACAGAAATCACATCCCGCCCAAGGCACCTCGGGATTCTCGCTGAAGGAAGCCACCGTCCGCTACTGGAAGTCCCTCTCTCCAGAGACACTCCCTGTTTGTTTGCGCGAGCATCTCCAGAGTCCAACAACAGACTTTTTGCATCCAGAGTCTGATGGGAAGATCTTGAGAGGGAATGGTGCGAGAGGCCACGATGCGCATAAACGAGGACGTCTATTAGGACATGTATCAGTGTACGGTGTTCATTGTGTTGCTAGTGTGCTATCGTGTACCAATGCTATTTCCCACCAATACCTAGGTCCCAATCTCAACACTTCGTTAGGAGACTTGAGGCTGAGTCGGTCTTCGTGCCACTCCAAGTCCTCATTGTTGAGTAACCTGTCTATCCGTGCCGCCGGCCGACGGATTTGAAGCAGCCATTTCGCGAGCGAGTTGGTCTTCAGTCTTTTTATTGCCGTGCAGAATCAGTCGGTTCAAGAAGCTTCCAGGCTTGCCTGCGTCATGGCCTTCCCTCTCTGCGTCATCGGCCTCTTTAGTGACATAGTCCGTGGTTTCTTCATCGGCTGAATCGTGGTCGTCGAAGTTGACTGATGACAAGTTAGCTGCGGGATTGCTCTTCGTCTGAATGGGAAAACACGACGTAACGATGAAGGAGGAAGAGGGTCGATTGGGTGCAAGATGGTCAATCCCAAGCCTTGTAAGAACAACCGTAGAAACTCCCCAAAGAGGATGCAAGGCCAATGGTGTACATACTGTCCTTGTCTTTGTGGCTGAGACGGCGTTTGATCTTTGCTCGAATGCTTTCCATATTCAATGATGGCGATGATAACAGATTGAGCGGGCGTGGAACTCTATGTTCAGCCTGAGGACTGTGAACAGGGTAGTTTGTGGGAGGTGATGAATAGCTGATAGAGAAGAGGCGGGGTGCAGGTCACCATGGCGCCACCACGGCTAGTGACCAGGCAGTCCAGGTTAGGCTAGTTGGAGAATTACTCGCGCCACCCGCCCGCCGCCACCCAGATCGAGCCAACCTAAGCGAGGCGTGTTCATTTGATCCGCAGCCTGCACCCCCCCCCGATTCTCAAAATTTCCATGTCCATCTCCGACATCGAGAAATCACTTGCATCAGGGCCCGAGAACTGGCTGGACCAGTCCCGCCCCTCGCCCTCTCACGATAATTGCATACCGTCTACAGAGGGGCCCTGACTCTAGCAAGCCATGGACGATTTCGCATCCCTCGAACTGCTGTCGCTCGTTTCCAAAGTCACCTCGGAACTGCAAAACCACCTGGGAATCAACGACAAAACTCTCGCCGAGTTCGTCATCGATCAGCACGAAAAATGTGGAGGCAATCTGGACAAGTTCAGGGAGGCCCTCGCGGTCATGGGAGCCGAGTTTCCCAACAGCCTGGTCGAGAGCATCGATCGGCTAATCAAGACGATGCATCCCAAGTACCAAAAGAGCCAGAAACAACTTGCGCAGGGAAATGGCGGTTTGGACATGAACGAGCTAGATGATATCGGACGCAAAGCGAAAATCTTCAAGGGCCTTGCAGTTCCAGATCGCGAACAGCGCTGGACCGACTCTGAGGATGACGTGGCTGCACAGAAGGCCAAGCGAGCAAATCAACGAGCAGATGATGATACCTTTGCACTTCTCGAAGGCCTTGCGGGGAAATCAAAGAATGGAACGAATGGCGCAACCGAAAGGAGCAGGAAGAGGAGCCGCAGTCCGGATCGTGACGATTATCCAAGAGACAGAGAACCAAGGCGCAGATATTGGTCCCGAAGTCCTAGTCCGCGCGAGGAGAAGAGGTCGCGCAAACACCAAGATCAAAGTTATGGAGACCGGCATACGAGTCACAGAGATCGATACGATGAGAGAACAAATGGTCATCATGAGAGCAGGCGGCGCGACTACGATGAAGACGACGATTTTCGAAGGCCGCCCCCTCGTGAAGTCGATGAATACCCCGTCCTTTACAAGGTTTACGACGCAGTGATCAATGGAATCAAAGACTTTGGGGCATTCGCATATCTCAAAGGTGTCAAAGGCAATGTTGGTGGCCTGATTCACGTCTCAGCCATCCAACAAGGCGCTAGGGTCAACCATCCCTCCGACCTCCTGTTTCGAGGGCAACATGTAAAGGTCAAAATCGTCAAGATGGAAAATAACAAGACCAGCTTATCGATGAAAGAAGTTGATCAAGTTACTGGCCAAGATCTTGTTCCATCTCGAAGGATAGCCTCTGGTGCCAACATGGAACGACTCAACGGTATGCCGTCCGACGACCGCTATGGAAATCTGAGCAGTACAGTTCCCGTTGTTGAAGACGGCTACGCCTCAAAATCGGGCAAGTCCCGAAAGAGATTGACGTCCCCAGAACGATGGGAAATCAAGCAACTCATCGCTTCAGGTGCGATATCTGCACAGGACTATCCCGATATTGACGAGGACTACAATGCAACCTTGAATGGCGAAGACCAGTTCGAGGAGGAAGAAGACATTGATATTGAGGTCCGCGAAGAGGAGCCACCTTTCCTAGCAGGTCAAACCAAGTTGTCCCTGGAATTGTCACCCATTCGAGTTGTGAAAGCTCCCGAAGGGTCTCTGAACAGGGCAGCTCAAGCCGGTACGAACTTAGCAAAGGAGAGGAAAGAACTCAAGCAACAGGAAGCCGCCGAGAGAGCTGCAGAAGAGGCGTCCAAAGTCGATCTCAGCGCCCAATGGCAAGATCCGATGATCAACCCCGAACAGAGAAAGTTCGCATCCGACCTGCGACAAGCGCAGCAACAGTCCTCTCGAGCTATAGAAGCTGTACCTGAGTGGAAACGGGCAACACAAGGGAAAAATCAGTCTTATGGCCGCAGGACAGACATGACTATCAAGCAGCAAAGGGAATCGCTTCCGGTATTCAATTTCCGCAAACAATTGCTTGAAGCTGTTGCCGCGAACCAGTTGCTGATTGTGGTCGGAGACACCGGTTCTGGAAAGACGACCCAGGTAACTCAGTATCTTGCTGAGGCTGGGTATGCTAACAGCGGCATGATTGGCTGTACACAGCCTCGCCGTGTTGCAGCCATGTCCGTTGCGAAGCGTGTTTCGGAAGAGGTTGGCTGTGAACTGGGAAAAGAAGTCGGCTATACCATCCGTTTCGAGGATCGGACGTCGCCAGACACGAGGATCAAGTACATGACGGATGGTATGCTTCAACGAGAGATCTTGCTAGATCCGGATCTCAAGCGCTACAGTGTCATCATGCTGGACGAAGCACACGAAAGGACCATCGCTACAGATGTTCTGTTTGGCCTGCTGAAGAAAACCCTGAAGAGGCGACCAGATCTGAAGCTGATCGTCACCTCGGCCACCCTCGACGCAGACAAGTTTTCCGAATATTTCAACCAATGTCCGATCTTCTCCATTCCCGGCCGAACGTTCCCAGTTGAAATCATGTACTCGAGAGAACCTGAGGAAGACTATTTGGACGCAGCGTTGACCACTGTCATGCAAATCCACCTGACCGAACCGCCTGGTGATATTCTTCTGTTCTTAACTGGACAAGAAGAAATTGATACCAGTTGCGAGGTTCTGTACGAAAGAATGAAGGCTTTAGGACCTAGTGTTCCTGAATTGGTCATCCTACCTGTCTATTCCGCTCTTCCCAGCGAAATGCAGAGTCGAATTTTCGAACCTGCGCCGCCAGGGGGTCGAAAGGTCGTCATCGCCACCAACATTGCCGAGACCTCCATTACTATTGATGGGATCTACTACGTGATCGACCCTGGCTTCGTCAAACAGAACGCTTATGACCCAAAACTTGGAATGGATTCGCTCGTTGTTACTCCAATTTCTCAAGCACAAGCCAAACAAAGGGCCGGTCGAGCAGGTAGAACCGGTCCGGGTAAATGCTTCCGTCTGTACACCGAAGCAGCGTACCAATCTGAAATGCTTCCTACCTCCATACCGGAGATTCAACGCCAGAATCTTTCCAACACCATCCTCATGCTCAAAGCAATGGGCATCAACGACCTCCTACACTTCGACTTCATGGATCCACCACCGACGAATACTATGTTAACAGCCCTCGAAGAACTCTACGCCCTCTCTGCCCTCGATGATGAGGGCCTTCTCACCCGACTGGGACGCAAAATGGCCGATTTTCCAATGGAACCCTCCTTATCAAAAGCCCTTATTGCCTCTGTGGATTTAGGTTGTTCGGAAGAAATGCTCACGATCGTGGCGATGCTCTCCGTTCAGACCGTGTTTTACCGCCCCAAGGAAAAACAGCAACAGGCCGACCAGAAAAAAGCCAAGTTCCATGATCCTCATGGCGACCATCTTACGCTACTGAATGTCTACAACGCGTGGAAGCAATCTCGATACAGCGATCCCTGGTGTTTTGAGAATTTCATCCAAAAGCGCCAAATAGCCCGTGCCAGAGACGTGCGCCAACAACTGGTCACCATCATGGAACGGTATAAGCATCAAATTGTCTCCTGCGGCCGCAACACAGTCAAAGTTCGACAAGCACTCTGCGCCGGGTTTTTCAGAAATTCGGCGCGAAAGGATCCACAGGAAGGATATAAAACACTCATCGAGGGAACTCCCGTGTATATGCATCCTAGTTCTGCGTTGTACGGAAAACCGGCCGAGCACGTTATCTTCCATACACTAGTGCTGACAACCAAGGAGTATATGCATTGCGCGACTGTGATTGAGCCGAAGGTACGTACCACACTGCCCTTTGCTACATGCTACATCCCTTTCCACCAGTTCCCTTCGTGACCTCATTTTCCCATTTGGCACGTTGTACTGACATTTCATTACAGTGGTTAGTTGAAGCTGCCCCGACGTTCTTCAAGGTCGCCCCAACAGATCGCCTAAGCAAGCGCAAGAAGGCCGAAAGGATTCAACCCTTGCACAATAAGTTCGCCAGTGGAGATGACGATTGGCGGTTGAGTGCCCAGAAGCGGCAGGGGAAGGCAGGAGGAGGGGGGACCTGGGGTTGAAACTGGTAGGTTAGGTTTGGGCGTTGCAAGTGTCAGCGATGCTGATAGTGATGGTGATATTGGTTCTGCCGGATATTGTGAGCAAGAAGGGAACGAGGTAACTTTTGGGTCAACTGCCCGCAAAGGTGGATTTGGAATAGATGTGTATAGGGAAATACCCGCAGCAACGCAGTTGCCAAAACTCAACAAATGGATGCTCAAAAATTGACACAAACTGCTGTCTGTTGAAAGTGATATGACTTGGGCAAATACATCCACGGTCTCACTTCTTTGCAAAGCAATTTACTTCCTCAAGATTCGGGGGTCTCTTCATCACATTGTCGACACCATCCCGTTCTTCCTCTCGGTTTTATCCTTGAATATATTCTTCACGGGCTTCAACGTAGGCGGCGCAGCCACCACGTCCTGCAAATTGGCCTGCCTGGCCAACTGGCCTTGGTCACGGCGCTTCTTCTCCAGTATCTTCCAAGGATCCGCGGCGTCATCTACATCCCTTGCAGCGCCGCCTTTCCGTTTCTTCTTTTTCGTTGTTGACTTCTTCAGCGTCGAGGAGGAGGGCTGTTTGGGATCGATCCCGGCGCCGAGCCAGAGGATTTCGTCCTCCTCCCTGCGTTCCGCGAGCTCTTCGTCCTCTTCCTCACGCTTCTCCCGAAGTCGCTGGTCCGTGGCGCGCCACTCCTTCTGCATCCGCGCCAGTCGCTTGTTGTGTTTGGTGAGAGGGGTTCCTATCTTCTCCAGGCCTGGGATTGCGCTGAGCCGCGTTCGGTGTTTGGGGAGCGAGGTCAATGGCAGCGATTGGTTCACGCGCTGTGAGAATGAGGCGAGGGATTCGCCGGGGAGGATCTTGGGCATGGTATGTGCCGTCGTGGCAGCGGGAGGATCGGAGGGCTCTGTCGAAGCGGCGGCGGTCGTGGCATTGTTCACCGACGCATCAGGTTTCGACGTTGAGCTCGACTTCGATGTCGATTTCAACCCTCGCTCCTCCTTTTTCTTTCTCTTGGACGCATTCCCGTCATCCAGGCCTGAGGGAATCCTCTTCCCACCGGCCTGAAACGACATTAGCCGTCTGAAGGCCTTGGGCGTATCATCCTCAAAGTCGCCTCCGCTGTCCTTCTTTTTCTTCTCCCTTTGCTGCTGTTTCTTGGCCTCTCGCTTGCGCTTCTTCTCCGCATCAGACGTGAAGATGGATTCCTGCTTCTGGTGGACCGCCAGGGTTCGCGCTCGCGCTGTGGGAGGAAGGTCGAAACTGGAAAACGGAAACAGGTCTTTTAGTTACAGTCAATTCCTGGGGGGTTGGTTCTCCTTGGGGGGCCAGGACGGACAACTTACTTTGAGTCGTCCTCGTCGCGCTTCCGTTTGTGTTTGTGAGGCATCCTGATGACGTCTGCTGAGGTTTATGCCTCATGCGGTTTGTAGTCGACACGAATTGGGGAACGAATTCGCAGGTTGCTAAAGCGCATGCGAAAAAAAATTGGTAAGGCTGAGTGCGGAGATCGTGGATGAAAATTTCCCCGCACCTCAGCCTTGTCGCTCTAGCTCATGCAAGTCGTGCTCCCAACGCCGGGTTTCGTGGCTCTACATCTAGAATCGTTTTGTATTTGATTTAGATTATTCTATTGTTTCTTCTATCCTCACTCTATTTGTGTGAGATGCACTGGTTAGCATGTCAATTGGTGAAGAGATTGACGCCCCATTCGTCAGTATAGTCAATTGTCCTCCCCTTGCCGTTCGGAATCTCAAGCGCATCAAGAGCTTTCATGTCGTCTGGCGAGAGCTCCCTTACTGCAAGGTTGGACTTTATTCGGGCTAGAAACATAATACAGTGTCAGACACCATGATAGAGTAGTATTGAGAGGAGCGAACAAGGACAGCAAACAAACGGACCTTCGGTCTGGCTCTTGCCGAGAGGGACGGTGCCTCTCTGAACAGCCCAACTCTGCAGCAATTGCCCGACATCCATACTGTTTTTCTCGGCAATCTTCTTGACCATGGGATCTTTGAGCAGAGTCTCTCCGTCTGCCTTTTGCCCCGCAAACGGGGAGTAGCATGTTACGAGGATGCCGTGCGCCTTCATGAAATCAATGAGCTCATTGTTAGGCAGCCATGGATGAACTTCGACCTGATTGCAGGATATCGGCACGTCTTCAGCATAAGACAAGATCTCCTTGACCTCTGAAATGGAGAAATTGGAGACTCCGACGGCCCGTGTCTTGCCGGTTGATACTAGTCTCTGCATCGCTTGCCATGTGGGAACGTAACTGCCTGTTTGGCCTGGTGAAATAGTCAGCGACACCTGCGACCCGTAAGTCAATAAGGTCAGTGTTAGCGCAGCTCACCGGCTTGGGCTGCGATGTTGGCGGTGGTGTGTTCCCAATCAATGACAGCTTTGTTCGTGCCGGGTTGCAGTAACATCCCTTTCTCGGCCTTGGAGACGTAGGCACGATTGTTCGCGTTCTCAAGAGCGTCTCTCGATATTGGTTTGAATGCGACGGGCCAGTGTGCCAGGAGCAAGTCGACATACTCGAGGCCCATCCTCTTCAAAGATTGGTCTAGACATAGTTCGAGATTCTCGGGGGCAGAGAAGTGCGGCCAGAACTTGGTCGTGATGAATAACTCAGATCTTGGAATTCCTGATTCTCGGATTGCGGCTCCAATTTCTTCATCGACCTGACTTGGGTCAGTACCAGGTGGTAATCGGGCTTTTCGAAGGAGCACCATACACCGTAGATCCAAGCACAATCTAAATGTCTGTAACCCAGTTTCAGAGCCGTCAAAGTGGCAGCTTTACACCACCCTGGATCACCTTTGGAGAAAATCAGACCGAACCACTAAGATTTTGATACTGCGGAAACAAACCTCCCCCCCAGGTGCCAAAACCAACAGACGGAATTTGGACAGTCTTTCCCCCAGCTACTTTAATGGGAAAATGAGTTGGGAGGGCCATCTCTGAATTGTTTGACAGATAGGCTGTTCAGGATCTGGTGGCAACCCGTTGTTTGATGGTTTGGACAATTGTACTCAACGGTGAGTTGCTCACCACACTGAAGATTCTATCTCAAATTACAAAGCAGCGAGCTCCATACCGCAGCTGATTGACCAGTAAGACGGACAACAGCCTGACCCAATCAGAAGCCAATAAAAATTGATACCGAGGAGACCAGCTCATCAGCCACAAGATGTAAGGCATAGATAGTTTGCAAACGCCAAGCCTTCGCAGAGCCATGTCGAAAACAATACCGATGTCAAAGGGCGCCCAGCTAGAGTCCTGGGCATAAAAGCTTGTCGATAGCTCGCCATGTTGGCGAGTCAAGGGCTCTTTTGGACCGATAGCAGGGATGAAGCTTCCTTCTCGTAGTTGTGGCGGCCCGGCCTAGCGAGGGACAAGTGTATGGAACTTTGAAAAAGCATGACTGCGAGATCGAGGAAGTTCACTAAGATCGGCTCTGAGGCTGGACGTCAGCCTCGTGGCCAGAAAAATAAAAAGGCGACTGACGTAACGATTTATTGCTTAGTAAAAGCAGCGACATTATTCGGCACAATTTCGGACAAAAGATCTTCCTCCTTCCTCCGCTGTGGGCCTCGTCGACGTCCATCTTTCCACATACCACAGGGGCTTCAATTCTGCCATTTACAACATAGTTGCCGCATCTGGCTCATGTACCCGGCTCCAACACTGGCAAGCATCTTCGGCTCGTCGGTGAATGACGTCGACTTGCAGTCCTTCAGCCTGCCGGGAGCCAGAAACCACCCACGCCGATCTCACTGATTAGTGCGCAACATTTTCCCAAAAGGCTGGCTAATCTTTAACGCGTGTCCTATTGGCTGAATCTTTGTCCATAGCCAGTAAGAGGGCCATGTCCCATGAAGATGGAACCTTCCATCACGAAATACATCGCGGTGACGGCGACGAGAGCTCTCACCAGTATGGAAATGAGAATCGAAAAGCATGAGCAGCTGGATTACGAGCCTCAAGTGGCTCAATCAACACGCTTGCCGAAGGATACAAAAAGGTAAGCATCGTCCTGTATTCTACGCAAATGTTTCCAAGCATTGTCGACCTTCCAACCCAACTTATTCAATTGGTCATCCTCTCCAATTCCATAATCACTTTCAAACATGATTGTCGCCGGACCTCATAACCTTTACACCCTTGCAGAGGGTGCCCCTGCTCCCCGAAATGACACCAGTGTCCAAGTCCGCAATAAGCAAGGCGGCGGTCTCGTTCTTCTCCAAGATACCCAGTTGATTGAGACCCTAGCCCACTTCTCCCGCGAGAGAATCCCAGAAAGAGTCGTCCATGCCAAAGCTGCCGGCGCTCGAGGCTATTTCCAAGTCACTCACGACATCTCCGACATCACTGATGCAGATTTCCTCAATGCGATTGGCAAAAAGACAGAGGTCGTGACCCGAATCTCCACCGTCGGCCCTGAGTCTGGTTCTGCCGACACCATACGCGACTTCCATGGTTGGGCTATCAAGTTCAAGACTGCCGAGGGGAATAATGACTGGGTCTTCAACAATCAGCCCGTCTTCTTCGTCCGAGACCCCATCAAATTCCCCTCTCTAAACCGTTCTCACAAGAGACATCCTGCCACACACACTTCGGACGCAGACATGTTCTGGGACTTCCACGTCGGCTCCCCTGAATCTGTTCATGCTTTGATGTTCCTCTTCAGCGACCGAGGTACTCCCGCGACTTTGCGCGGTATCAACGGATATAGTGGCCATACCTATAAATTTACCAAGAAGGATGGCTCCTTTCACTATGTCAAAATTCACATCCACGCTGACGGAGGTGTCAAGAACCTGACGAACGAAGAGGCTATCCGGCTCGCTGGCGAGAGCCCCGACTATTTGACAAATGACCTTTACAACGAGATTGAGAAAGGCAATTATCCTTCTTATACAGTCTCCATCCAGACCATCCACCCAGCCGATGTTGCCATGTGCCCGGTCAATATTTTCGACATGACCAAGGTGTGGCCTCATGAGCAATACCCTCTCCGGCCCGTCGGCAAGCTTGTCTTTGACACTAATCCCGTCAACTACTTCGCCGAGGTTGAACAGGCTGCCTTTTCACCATCGACCCTGGTACCAGGTATTGAACCCAGCGCCGATCCCATGCTTCAGGCTCGTATGTTCGCCTATCCCGACGCTGCCCGCTACAGGTTAGGTGTGAACTACCAAATGTTGCCCACAAACGCCCCCAAGGTCCCAGTCTACATTCCCACCGAGCGTGATGGCTTCATGAACTTCAGTGCCAATTACGGGCCCGACCCCAACTACCTGAACAGCTCCATCCACCCTACGGGTTTCCACACCACCGGCGTGTCGGATTATAAGCCGACCGAGGAGTCGCTGAGTGGCCCTGTCGTCTTCACCTCGGAGATCACGGATGAAGACTTCAAGCAGCCTCGCGCCTTGTGGAACAAGGTGATGGCCAAGGAGGATGGCGCGCAGGAACGCTTCATCTCCAACATCGCAGGCAACATTGCTGGCGTCAAGAGGGACTGGTTGCGCGAGAAGGTCTTTGGTAAGTTTTCTCACCCCTACGTCTCTCCGATACAGTGCTGACGGCTTGTTTTCCTTGCAGAACTCTTCCGCCGTGTAGATGAATCCCTCGGCGATCGCATTGAGGAGGCCGTAAACAAGATGGTCAAGGCATGATCATAATAGAACTTGTGAACCTGCGGGCGACTTCGGCGTTATGTTGGCATTGGAGCGTTACATTATCACGAATCTGTACTTGTACATAGTCGTTGTCCGATGAGCAATTGAGTCTCAATCGTATGGAGCATTCGATGTAGAAGACGCGTCCCGCGTCATTGTTGAGCCATTGTCCCGGTGTTCTGCGCTCTATGGTTGCGCCGGACAGGTGCTACATGATTTCCACAGCCCCAGACCAATGGTGCCCCCTTCCTAACTAGATTGGGGGTCTTGGCGTTCCCCATCCTGGAAACTCATTCTCGACCTCAGCCGTCGGCGCCCTTTGCCTCCTCTTCCGCCTCTTTATCATTCCTCTACGAGGAGCTGGTACCCTCGTCCCTCGTATTCATCGTCTGTGTCTTCCTCATAATCCATAGAGGAAGAATACTTCTTGCTAACAACAGGTATAAAGCGAGGGAGTGTCGAGATGGCGTATAGATGCTGCTTAGGTTTGTAGTACTCTTATTCTGCCCCATCGCTCTTGGGCGGCAGAAGGCCGACGCCACGAAGCTCGTGGTCTTTAAACATCTGCGCCCCAAGGTCATCTCCCTCGAATTCAGATCTCAAATTTCAAGACCCAAGGGTGCCAAGTCCAGGTTTGACATGTTCTTCGAACCAAGTGTTGTCGGCCATTTGTTCTGATACGATATTGTCAGGGACTGGCGTGGATTCAGTCCTCTACGGTCAATCCGTTGGAGGATAAAGGTGGGCGGATGACCGTCGTCGATGAAACAGCGTACGAGCTGCCACCGCAACCTTTCATTGTGCATCCACATTTCTCTGCTCAACCATTCCAATATATCTTTCATTGATCCGGCCTTGGGGGCAAGTATCATGGAGAAATCGGTTGCTCTGTGCCCATTCAGTATCACTTGAGTCTGGAGCTGGAAACCTTGTGCGTAATGTGGCAAATGGCCGCCATTGTTGCTGTCTGGATATGGCCAGGGGATACGAAGAGGGAAAAGGGGAGAAATGACGGCAAGAAGGGACGAGGAAAGGGTCGGAAAAGGTGGTATTCGTCGGTCTGAACTCGAGCAAGGTTGCAAGGGGCCGCGGTTGATTGGGAATATATTGGGTCTTGACTAGACGGGCAAAGGCAGAGTTGCTGAGCTCCTAGATGATAGTCGATTCAAGTCATCAGAGAATTCAACATCAGAGCGCTGGAATGAGGAAGAGAAAGATAGAGAGAGGATACAGGGAAGTAGGGAGAGACAGTCTGGCTGCGACAAGTTTGGATCTCTTTTTGTTTTTGTTGGTTTTTATTTACGAGTTCGCGCATTACTACCCAAGGTCAAGGCTGCAACGTGAGCTACGGCCCACAGATTATACCACACGCACTGTTTTAGCACACAAAATTGGAGAGCAAAAATCATAGCGTTTAGAGCCAGCTTTGTGTCGAGTACCTCTTGTTCCCAGTATTTGAGCACACATTTAACAAGTTCGAACCACCAGGAGGCTACCAAAAACACGAAAAGGACAATGACCATGGGTCTTATTGGCAAGGCCACCGCGTGAATGCATGGAATGGTAGCTACACACCACCCATTTGGTTATGGGCCACACAGGCAAGGCTACCTGTCTGAAACCCATGACTTGCCAGGCAATAGTAGGGAAGTGGTGGGCCTGTATGTTATATGGTTAAATTTGGAACAATCACAAGTGGGTAATTTGCTTAGTTTGTCAACTTCACTACAGGATTACCGGTCACAGAACATGTGGCACCCTCCTGATCGTTGGGTCTTCATAATATACGCGCGGATAAACACACACACACACACACAACAGAAGGTATGCATATATTGAAAAGTGTACTTTCGACCGGTAACAAGAGGATTACACTTTACTTCCCGAGCTGCTTCGCACCAGAAAGGAAAAAGAGAATGAAGAAGGCTAAAACAAGAGTAGAATAGGCCAGAAGCAGTGGTTTTAAAGCACTATGTGGCGAGGCTACTACGCAAGCCCATAGGCCATGGATGGTAAAAAGAGCCGCGTAGAGCCTCAAGCACCGACTTGTTGTCAAAAAAAAAGTGTGTGAAAGAGTTGAAACTCTTGAAATGTGTCAAGACATCAGCAACCGCAAAGCGCTGGAAAGAGCAAAAAGCTAAAGAGTTCTCGAAGAGTTAGAAGGAGGCGGAGCTCGATTTGGGATCCGACATTCAGTATTCACCTTCCATCTGTCACATGTGAAGTACTTTTGTGCGGACCAAAAAAAGAAAATAGACGGCTCTTCACAAAATTAACGCTCCCTGCAGGAAACGAACTCCCAAAAAAGTAATGATAATGGAATGGCTATGAGTGATGTATGAGAAGGAGATGACGGCCAGGAGCACTATTGTCACCATCATATCTCGCAGCCTAAGACTCAGAGCTGTATTAATGGTGTGGTGGGAAGCAAGCAGACTTTGCTTCAAATGTTTGGAGGAATTGCACTCTTATAAAATATATATCAAACATTTCTCAACTTGTGATAGGTACTTGTTTAGTGTTGGGACCTATTCAAATGCAAAACCTTGATGTGAATGCGACGAATGCCAAGACAGAGTCTTGATTGTCACCATCCCCATATTCATTTTCTGGACCCGCAGCCTACACAGAAACAGGCAGACAGTCACGGGAAAATCAGGAGAGCTATAGGCGCCGCTCTCGTTCGATTCGAGCCAGCACCCGATTCCTACTAACTACGAAGGACAAAGAAACTGAAACATGCCAAATAGACAACGGGTCCTTATTGCAAAGAACAAGGATACGGGACGAATCCATAGGATGCCAATCGGGAAACTGCCAGTTCACAGCCCTACAGTCTCACCCGGATGCCTAGGATTGCAAAGAAATGCCAAATACAGCGAGAGATCTTGGAAGGCAGCAAAAAGAACGCTGCATGAACTTCCAGAGCCATGGATGCGGTGTAAGACATATTGGATTTGTACAAGTGCTAGACAGTATGTGGACGTCTGATTTTTCCTGTTCCTCTTCCGGCTCTTCTAAATTTACCACGCACTGCTTGCTCTACTGCCTGTTTCATTAATTGGATGGGGCTTTCGTCCCCCTGCAAGGACTCGGCGAGATCTCGGTTTTCTGCATACTGTCGACGTGAGAGTACGAAGCAGACGTAGACAGACAAAGAAGATTCGCGAGCAGAGATAGTGGATCACCAATATATCTCTTATGAAATCTGGAGGAGTACGGATCGCTCGGTGGTCGCTGTGGCATTCCTGTCCCATTCCAGGGCTTCGTGCGCGCAACAGCAAGGAGAGATTGTCTCTCGATGTAGGAGCACAAACCAACTCAAACACCTTGCAGCCCTACCCATGCTCAATATATATTGGATGACAGACCCGGAGTAGTGACATAAAGACCGGAACTGCGTAAGACGCGTGGAGGCACTTCATCTTGCGTCTGCTACCAAAATTCGAGAACGTGTGGTGTCTTGTGCCCTCAATTTGACCTCATTTTGCAGGAAACCCTGGTGGTTTCTTAACTCAGCCCGCGACCACGGCCTGCAAAGTGTCCTTACGCATTCAGAAGCGATACCGTGGAAACAGACTGCCAATGATTTCGAGCAGCGTTTGTAGGCTGTGGGTGTAAGACGCGGAGAATGGGAGGATCTTCCTTCTTTGCGACATCTCTTTCAAGTTGTTCGCATGACATTCCAGCAGGCGACATCGGGAGCAAAAGCCAGAAAAGGCGACCTTCGAAGGCGCGTATCGGAGGAGAGCTGAAATAGGAAAGTTTGTCTGAAAATAATAGAAGAGCGCGATGCTGTGGAGACAAAGGTAGTGGAGGAGTGAGCAGCAGGTGCAGGGCGGTCACTCAGACCGCAACGACCATGAGAAACCAAGAGTTGGAGTCCTGTAGCGGACTAATCACGAGATATCGTAGTCAGCGGGATACGCATGAATACAGGTAGACTTTGCAAGGAAGGGGGTATGGCCAACGCGAATCTCCTCCAAGTCGGGTGTTGTACAGCGGTTGATGTGTTCCTCCCGCAGGGTAAAAGATACCGAAAAACTTAGTCGACCTCCGCAAGTCAAATAGTTGCAGATGAGATTTGCCACAGAGCGAACTTACTTGTATTATATTGTGGAAAAGAAAAAGCGCAAGCTCATGTTGTACGGCATCATCTTCATGCAGCAGCAAGTTCAACAGCTCGTAGTGAAAATCAATCCAGCAGGAAGAGCCATGGTGCAGCGCATCTGGTCGCCGCTAGGGTTACTGTGCCGTACTGTGACGTGGGGCAGTGGCAGTGGCAGTGGCAGTGTGTAGTGTGTAGTGTGTAGTGTGTAGTGTGTAGTGTGTAGTGTGTAGTGTGTAGTGTGTAGTGAATCGCCAAGTGAATCATCAAAACTCTGCCTCGACCACTTTTCACATGCCAGCGACATTATACCTAGGGTGGGTCCGTTCAATCGAATATATTAATCGGATCAGTAGAATTCCTGTAAACATTTGGAAGCAAAGTCCTGCTTGCTTCCCACCACACCATTAATACAGCTCTGAGTCTTAGGCTGCGAGATATGATGGTGACAATAGTGCTCCTGGCCGTCATCTCCTTCTCATACATCACTCATAGCCTTGTTTGAACCCGTTTTTTTTTTTTGCTTGGTGCAAGACTTCAACGGTTTTTGAAGCGCAGTCCAAGCTATATTCGCATCAGCTTGAATTCTTTTGACCGGGGAGCACAGGTCCGTTTAGATCACGGTTCGAAACTGGGCTGGACCGCAATAACTTTTTTTGTCTCGGGACTTGTGTGTATTTGGGAAGCGTGCCTGTGAATTCACTATTGCTTAGCAACGCCTTGGCTATCGTGACTTTTGTGTGGGCTTGGGTGCGGTAGGTATACCTGTAAATTCACTATTCTTCAGCAGCACCTCGGCGATCACGCGAATTTCGAAGAGAAAACTGTCGACCTCACCATCAAGCTCATTCAAACTTCTCCCGATCACTTTCCTCCAGAGAGATTTTCTTTGACAGACACCTTGGTCCCTTCCAGAGACAGTTTCCTCCACAGACACGTTTTCTCAGAGAGACTTCATCCAGCAGATCTCACAACACACGAAGCCAAAATTTGTCTTGTTCTCTTTGCTCTTGTCGGCATACTCAGTCCCTGCAAGATCAGAAAGAGTTCGTTGCCTTTCTAGAATCTTCTCTCGTGATGGCCGAAAACATGTTTTCCCTCCCCCTTGTTGGGTCCCGCACAAGAGAACCTGTGGCCACACAAGACACCGAAGCCACCAACTTCGCAGCCGCTGAGATGACGAAATTCGAGGTTCGGCTTGTCGAGAACCAAAGAACTGTCACAGATCCTATCTTTCTTCCCGCGGTCAGGTGCAGATCTATCAAGAAACTTGTGATGACTTTCAACGACAAGCTGGCGAAGTTGGATAACCGCACTTGGTTACAGGTTCATACAGGATATGGAAATCTCGACGTCGTCCAACCAGTTCTTTTACTCCAGAGGACGGTGGGCAAGGGCAAAGACCTGTGGGTGGAGGTAGATTGGAATCAGCCAAGACCATACACATCCTGGTTCGACAGAAATATTGGCTCCGGCCAGAACGCAGGCTCAAGCATCAAAGTTGAGATTCATGTGAAGACAGATGGTCTAGCCACTGGAGTGGAAGAATACCTCGGTCAGAAGACCAAGGAGGAGCTGGAGGAGGAGCGCCGACAGGCGGAAGAAGAGGCTTGGGGCCCCACCCACACGCGGGCGTACCAGCGATTTAAATTCCTCCATGAACAAGATGACCTCGAGAAGTTGAAGAGGGAGGAGCACGCTATGAGGTCGGCGATGCCCGCTCGCGACAGAAGAGCGCGGTACCAGCCAAAGGAGCCGGAGTACGCGATCGGCACAAAGGGTTGGTTTGTGGGGGAGACATACGTCCCAGAGAACGAGGTGGGCGGCGACGACGACGACGACGACGACGACGACGATGTCTACTATGACTCAGAAGACGACGAGGTCGTCGCGAAGCCACACGTTAGGGTGGCCGATTTGAATACCGACGTGTATTATGAGGAGGAGAACGAGGAGGAAGAAGAAGAAGAAGAAGGAGGGGGAGATGCTACGGACATCGATGGCTGAAGTCAGAAGAAGGTGGGCTGGGGTGGGCCACCAGGCTGTTGCCGAGAGCCTAAATCGGGCTGGTGGAGGCGCGGCGGATATTGATGACGTCAATGTGGAGCATTGCCATTGAAGGCATGGACGAGGTCTGAGACACCAGAGCACCAGATGGTGCCAGAGCCAACGGCTCCTGAATAACAGCACTTGAAGCGGTCTGTGGCCCTTGTATTCCTTGTGTTCTACTCTATGTCCAACATGTGGTTCCAAGAATAGGCCGGAGTAATACTCGGTACCACTGGTGACTTCTCCTTGTCCTCGTACTCCTCCACCTCTACAGTAGGACGGAATTTATCAGTCGTCAAAGGCCTGCCAAAGACCTAGCTCTCCAGCGCCAGGCTGGCCGACAGATTGTTAGCTGACAGATTGTTAGCTGACAGATTGTCCCCATTGGCTAGGTACACGGGAAGACAAAGAGCTCACCACTTGACCCGGCCAAGCCGTGACTCTCTCCACTGCCACTCCTGTGTGCTGAGGCAATTCTGGGCTGGGTTGTATGTAGGGACCGTGTAGGAGACTGCACGAAGGGTTGGGCCAGACGATGAAGAAACATTCTATCTGCAACGGCAATGCATTCCAAGAACAAGATCCAGGGAAGTCAAGGAGAGGGAAACAACATCCTGAAGGAGAACACAACACATCTTGCCGGGAGCACCTTCATAACTGCGCGGGAAACGTAAAATACTTTCCCCAGAGAGTCTCAGAAGACCTCAAGAGCCGTCGACCCATTCAATGCGTGCATCATATCAAGCAAAACTACCTACCCACGGCGCACAAACAGACGCGGCATCCGAGGCGCTACGTTTGAAGATTTGCACAGCTCAAACCTCAAGCCTCAAGCCTCGAACTTTGCTTTCCAGCCCAGCCACTGGCAGTCAGCAGACTTTGAAAAGAAAGCGCGAAGGAGTATCTACCTATCAAAAACACCATTTGATCTATTCTTGATCTACATATGCAAGGCAAAATAAGACCAGCGACTATCAATCAGCACATACTCGGCATACTTCGCGAACGACAGAGTTCCAGATCCAAAGGGGCGAGACTCGGGCGGGAGCTGAGCTCGTCGCCGCCCCGTGGACGTAAAGCCTGAAGAGGTGAATGAAGATCCATGTGCCAAGTGGCGCAATACTCTGTAATGAATATCGAATTATTCGGACCGAGAGAACTCAGAAAGTGAAAGGAGGAAAGCAGCGAATCCCGGAAAGCCGAACAGGGTCGTCAGTCAGTCAGGCAATCAGTCAGACACGACAAATAGAAAATCCCCTATCCTATCCTATCCTGTCCTATCCTATCCTGTCCTATCCTATCCTGTCCTATCCTATCCTGTCCTGTCCTATCCTGTCATAATACTGTGTTTATTGATAAATCACCCGAGTAACGTACCGAATGCTTGCATGCTTGCATTGAAATTGCATTTCAAAGCTCAACTTTCAAGCAAGATTGAGCTCGCGTCGTGGATACATGATTATCGAAAGAGAAGGGGGGACAAAAGGGCGTAAAGAAGCCTCGCTACGGATGGCTACGGACATTACTAAGGTGGGGATGTTTCAAATTGATCCATGATACAACCCACCCCCTAAGCTCAGCCGAACTTGTCTTATCCAGGAAAGATGTGCATCGTCTGTCGTTCTAGAAGGGGGATGGAAGAATGTGTAACCTTGGTAACGTGTTCGTACAGTACATTTGTGGAACTTTAGCGAGTATATATACGTATATGTACACAAGAGCTTGCTGGAAGGGATGGCAGGTTGATCCGTTAGGTACCAGACCACATAGACCAGGGCGTAAGAATGCTGATGGTCATTTCCGTCCATGTCCAGAGAAGGCGGACACTGCATCTCTTCTGCTGCCCTGAATAGCCATCCTTGTGGCACCGCAGCTGCTTCATGGCTTGACAAGCCTCAAGAAATCCCACGCCAATCCCTGGCGGCGAGGTCGCCGCTCGGTGGACCGGGACCGGGACCGGGACCTTACGACAATGAAAATGTCCCCCTATGCCCCGCCGAAGTAGTATTCGAAGTTTCCACAAAAAGAATTCGTGTCTTGCTCATCTCGATTCATCTCGATTGAGGTGGAGGATTGAACGTCATTGTCGTAGGCGCAACATATCCTTCTCTCTTGGTGCCAGACCCTGCCGGTTTTCGGGCCTGCTCTTCTCGAAATTTGACCTCCTTTTCATCCTGAGCTACAACACAGCAACAACAGCAGATGCCCTTGAGGCAGTCCCCAGCGACGTTCCCAGCTTCCGCGCTCATGGTGTAAGTCTTACGCACTCGTGTATGCTGGATTGCTGCCAGTATCCCATTGACACCACACAGAATGCCAAAGGCGATACAGGACCCATTTACTGCCGTGTATCCCAGCATATTTGTTGGATCTTTCCTTTCGTCTCTCAATCCTAGCCGATATTGGGTCTTACCGTACACGATGCACGGGCAGAACAGTCCGGTTATGCAGGTAGAAGGTTCGGCGCAAGAACAAAAGCTGTGCTGCCACGAGCCGCCTTTTATGGATTGTGGACTCGGGGTAAACGTGGTGGCTGAGAATTGAGAGGGATCGGACGGAGGTGGAACGATGGCCATGTTGGTGCTGGTACGGTTGGGACGCTTGGGAGTTGATGGTCTCAAGGGGTTCGTGTCTGGCACAATAGGCCGTGCTGCTTCGTTTTCGGGGATCATCGGTTGCTTTGCAGGTTCGGGAGACTGTGGTAAAGGAGGCCTGGGATGGTTCATGGGTTGTGCTTGAGGTTGTAGTACAGATACTTGGGTGGGAAATGGTTGTGCGGCGTAAGCGCCATGTTGTAGAGAGGCTTGGAAGTATTGCTGTTGTACAACCGCCGGATTTTGGATCTGATGCGGAGCCACACCACCAGCGTAAACTTGTGGTTCCATCGTTGGCACCTGAGCCTGAGCCTGAGCCTGAGCCTGCGGCGGTGGTTGTTGTGCAGATGCCTGCGAAGGCGCTGGTGTTGGAGTGTTTGTCTCTCTTCGTGCTCCCACCCGATTTTCCTCGTCCGCGGACGTGGGCATCCACGAAAACCGATTGTCGGAAGGTTGCTGAGGCGGTTGCAGGGAAGTGGGAGGACGAACTCGGGGGTATTCGTAGTTTTTCATCTCGACAAGGTCGGGCAGCCCGCCGCCCGGTTCGTGGCACAGCGCCGTCGGACTCGTTCCAAGCGTTCAGCGGTCAGCAATGACGTGGGAAGGGCGGCCTTACTGTTCTGTTCAAGCAATACACCGATCTCTCGTATACATGGAAACGCAGAAAGCTGAAGTCGACGAGGGTGAGGGGGGGAGATAAAGAGAAACGGCAATTACCTTGAGAACCCGAGCATTGCCTCGCTGAGCGCCGGTGAGGGCGAGCCTGGGGGATGCAGGAGCACCAGTGCGTATGCCCTTGTGCCTTAGCTGCCAGTCATCATCACTCGTGCTTGGGTCGATTGTGGTCGACGATTGGACTGCGAGGAGCGAGGCTTGACACTCGGCTAAGTCGGGGCGCTTATGGGAATCACAAAAATAGGAGTGGACAGCTTGGTGGGAGCTTGGTGGGAGCTTGGTGGGAGCTTGGTGGGAGCCTGGTGAGAGCCCGGCGCGAATCGCGGTAAAGCATTGCTCTTTGCATGAAACAAGCGACAGGAAGCTCGCTGCCGCCAGCCAGAAGAGCGATCGAAGCGCCCAGAGTCAGGAGCAGCGTGAGCGATGGAACCAAGTGTTTGCGCAGTTTGTTGCTTGTCACATTTCTCACGTGTGTGGTGACGGTCTCGCTGCGCCCGCGGCAAACCAGTGACTTGGTCTGTCTCCTGCCTCCACCTCTCCTATCACTTGCTACAAGTACCACGTACAAGTACAACCACCAGGGACCACAAAGTACAAGGTACATACTGTACGTCACAGACTGACACACTCCACTCCATCTCCTGATCTAGTCTTCCTATCATCTGCATCTTAGGATGTCAGCAGACGGTTCGTTTATCGGTTTGTCGGTTCCTGCATCTCCGAGCCTCTTAAACTCCATCATCCCAGGCAAGGCTGACGAGAAAATGGCCCCCCGGCTTACCGCACAGGATGGCTCCTAAACGCCCTGTTCCCAGAAATGCAGATGTGTGGTGTGCGTGACATGCCACACATTCGCTGTCGCCATGTCCCCAGTTGCCGTGGAGGGATCATGTCCTGTGAGACAACCAGTGCTCGTTCTCCCCCAGCCTCACGCACCAGATGCACCTTATTTGCAGGTGTACTCGGTGCAGAACTACTGTACTTGTTACAAGTAAATATGTGGGCGTCTCTCAAATAGTATTCGTTACATAACTCGCACATGGCCTGATGGTGGATCCTCGAACCCTTTATGTCCTGATCGCCACAAGTCTGGACTGCCTGGTCTCAAGTCCACGGTAGGCAGTTCGGCCATATGCAACTTCGCACTGCCATACGGGCGCAATTCAACCGGAAAGGCCCTGCCGGTGCAGTTCCGCTGACCGGTCAACGGCGGGTTGGGCGCATACCCATCTTGAAGCTCCCAATCTATCTGGCAAGCCAGTGCCGAGATGCTGACAGGCGGCCGCTCTTCATGCCAGATCGGATGGGGCAGCCACTCGTCATACCGATTGGGATATTCATAGAATTTCAAAGTCGTTGCGTCGATGGCTAAGTTCCAATGGTCCCTTGGAAGGATCGACCAGTCGTTTGCCTCAGGAGGAGCCTCCGTTCCTGGGTAGTTCGCTGGGCGCGACGCAGAGTAGTCTCCGGCGATTGGCAAAGCATATAGCAGAGCGCCATGATATACGGAGACGGTGTCGTTGGCTCTCGCCTCGATTCGAAGGTTCGTACTAAATGAGACTTCGACACGGGTCCTTCCGCCTGGGATCACCACCGTATGCAGGCCCGTGGTATGGTCTGGCGCGAGGTGGTGTCTTTTCCCCCGGTCTACCATGACAATACTCGCGTCTAGCATAGCCCAAGAAGGGACCCGAAACGAAAAGCGAAAAGCGAACCTCGCCTTGATCTCATAGTTGAGGTCGTTGCTGAACGGATAGTTCGTATCGCATCGGATTCGTATTTTGTTTCGTTTCTTCAACGTGGTACTAACATGAGCCGGGCCGAGCAAGGCGTGAACCAGTGTGTCGTCGCCATCCCTCACGAACATGGCTGGAACGAATTTCGAATAACCCTGCATGTTAACGGTGCAGCACGGATAGTTCGGTTCCGTGCCGAAGGTCTGGCCCCAAGGTCCAACATTCCAAAACGGCGGATTGTCGAGGCGGTGGCTGACGGGTTGGTTTGTCTGTGCGATGTATTGATGAGCCCACCAGTGGGGCATCAACATGACAGGGAGAGCGTTATAGGCGGCCAGCTCTGACTTGTCGGCGAATTCACGGTCTCCCACGGCTTGATACAAATAGGTCAAGGAGAAGATTGACTCCACCACGCTGCAAAGTTCGGTACCCCGAACTGGACTCAGCCCGGCCTCGCGTTCGTCCCCGATGATCGCACCGGATGGGGTGCCGTGGTATCGAAAGGTCCAGTTGACTCCATTTCTAGTAGCGTTGAGAAACCCATCATCCTGGACAAGTCTTCTCATCACACCACCCCATTTCAATCCTTGTCCAGCGTTGACGCCGTGGACATAGGGAAACAGGCTCTTGGTGAGATCATCCGGGTAGAGATCCAGATCGCCTTTCAGAAAATGGTCTTCGTGAAACCAATATGACCAGTCGTAGGCCATCTCATACATCTGGACCATGCAGTAATGGATGGCCTTTTCATTACCCATGGGATATTTCTCGTAGAGCCACTGCAGGGCAAGGACCATATCCGCGGCACGGGATCGGCCCCACTGCTCGTCAAACAGATCCCCCGGCCTCCAGACGTAGCCCCGGTGGTGGTCTCGGAGCATAGAGGACATGAGACGAACGAAGCGATGCATTGCGGGTAATATCATGGCCTCGCCCAGCTCCGGCTCTGCTTCAACAAGTTGCATGAAGCCCAAGAAGAGAGGATATCTGCCCCAGAAATTGCGACGTGACGGGTCTTCTTCGGGTCCGAGCCATCCGTCTGCGTGCTGGTGCTCAATGACCCAATCTGTGACTCGGAGAACATGATGTTTCAGCCGTGGATTGTTAGTAGTCCACGCCAGTGGGACAAGCGCGTTGTATGAGTAAGGCCATGCTTCATTCAACCCTAACAGGCTATCAGCAGTGCGAGGAGGGGTCTTTGTCTTTGGGCATACATGAATATTCGTGGTCACCCCCGAGCCAAGGAGCATCTTTGACAGGGCGATAGAATTCATGCATATGGCCGGGCAGACCATTGGCCATAAGGTCCATCTGTTGGCCCAGCCATCCTAGAGGCGTGATAGACCCGAGAGAAAGAGGTTCAAATCTCAACGGCAATACTGGACATGTGAGCGGAATGGTCTTCACCGAGCACTTGTGGCCATCATACATGTGGTATTATAAGCACCAAATTCTCCGATTGACCTTTGGGGATTATCTCGCGAGACGGGTACTTTCCATGGGGACGACTCGAAGACGATGTTTTGGTCCCCGTGCCGCCCTTTGTGATAAGAGACTACAAGTGGGGTGAGGATCTGCAGCAGGTGAAGAGGAAGAGGAAGTGGAAGAGAAAGAAGAAGAGAAGGAGCTGTACCTGCATGATTGTTCGTAGGTTGCAGGGGATCCTGTAGCCGATGAGATGCTTCAACGCCAGCCGCTCGCAGTAGCAGCAAATGTGAAATCACCACGAGGAAATGCCTAAGACATGGATGTAGCATTGTCTAAACGAGCCTGTGCCCGCACAGACCGAATGTTGAAGAGAGAGACACACACGAGATGAAGGGGATTTCCGCGCCATGTTTTTCTCTGTGTCGGCAATTGCGTGCTTCAACGAACCGATTGGATCTTCACCTTTTGGCGTTTGTGCCACCACGATGATAACACGCCACCAACTACATCCACATCCACATCCACATCCACGTCCCACGTCCCCCGTCCCCATCTACAATCCACACAAGCAAGGCACAGAGAAGAGGGATGGAGAAAAGATCCGCGACGGTGAGGCTTTCAACCAACGACAATGTCCCATATCCCCCCTGCTTCGTGTTCTCACGCACCATCCGAATGGCGGAGGCTGATCCGATCAGCAGGATAAGTGCCGATCCAACATCCTCGACTTCCAGATTCCAGACCGACTGTGATGGAGACAACATCCCCCATGTCCTGATGAGAACCCAAAACTCTGGTGGCAGGAAACAGGAAAGGATCAGAATGGACATTGAACATAGGTTGCATATTATGATGCCTCGTATCACTGCCCATCTTCAGCCCACAGCTATCTGATCCTCCGCGTCTCCTGAACCGTATTCACCTAGCAACTCGCAGCTCCAACGATCCTGCAGCCAGAGGCTTTCTTACAGCTTCGTCCTGTGCCTTTTCTCTTGCCTTCACCGCTGTGCTGTTTGCCGCTACCTAACTCTCAACCATTCTTCGTCTGTTGTTGATTAACCCGTGGGACTCTCGCATCTCCAAGCGCTCAAGTTCGGAGAATTCTTATACGCGTCCACCATCGAAGTAAACGCGGCATACAGACCCAGAATACATGTCACAACACTGCCCAAGTAGAAGATCAGATCGAACATATTCCACCAGAATTCTTTTTGGAACCCTCTCCACCATCTCTGGATGCCACTGTCGACATGTTGAACCGTGCCAGTGGCCGGGTCATACACCTCGCCGGGGAGCATGGCGTCACGCTGGCACTTGAACCCCAACATCATGAAAGGAGGGAAAGTGTATGTGAATTGCAAGATGCAGCCCGCACCAACAAGGACAATCCACGTGTTGATCTGAGGCACGGATTGGGTGACCACCCAGGCAAGAGTCCAGTAGATGGGGACGAAAAAGACCCAGATCCATTTGCCTGTCTTGGACTCCAACAGAGGGAGGTTGAGCACGTCACGCCCCAGGTTGTTGTAGAGCACTTTGATGCCAATGTTGCCGTAAAGAACTGCGGCGATGAGACCGGTGATAAGGCCGATAATGTTGCATGCTGTTTGCCAGCCGTAGGGGGAGACCCCCTGGTACGAGACATTGTAGGCATACTGCCCTTGCATGCAATACGTGTAGATTCCGTACACCATGTAGCAAGCATAGATGAGGATGTCTGCGCAGAGAAGGCCCTTCCAGAAATCCATGGGCCGGCGCATCTCAGCCATCAGTTCGACGAACAAAGTCGCACCGCCAAACGAGAAGACGGCGTTCATCAGACCGTTGACGTTGTCAACGATCCCGAGGCCGGGTGGAGCGGAGCCAGAAACCTGGACTGGCGGAGGGTTGTTGATGTCGAAGTCGGGATTTGAAGCGGCGTAAAGCTGGTAGTTTGGAGGAGAATGAGCCATGACGCCCATACTGGAAAGCGGTTAGTGACGAGCTCATTCCAACATCGGCCGGACGAAGGGGACCTACGTGGCGAAAATGATGAACAAGTTCAGGAACACAGCCCAAGAAGCCAACCAGCCGAATCGCTGAAGAGTGCGAATCTGCCCAACAATGCAGCCGGCAATCATGCAGACCACCACACAGACGATGAAGCACAATTGGCCCTTGGAAAGCTGACTGATGGACTGACCACTGCTCAGGATGATGAGGGCGACGTTGAGAAAGAATTGGAACGACTGCAGCAGGTTGCAAGTGTGGCGGAACCAGGAACCGTACACGCGGAAAGCGATGTCGCCGTAGCCTTTCATCGGATAGCGATCGCTGTCCATCTGAAGGTACATCCGCCAGAGCTGATAACCACTATAACCAGCAAGGGCACCGAAGATGGTGAACAGTGTAACACCAGGGCCGAGACCCATTTGAGAGAATGCGTACCCAGTACTGAACGGACCGAGAATGTCGGTAGTGATGAGGTAGAAGACAGCGCCCCTGTGTGCATAGTAAGCAATTGAAGAGTCCGAGTCATCCGGGTTTGCACTACCAAGTAGCCGTTCTGGCTGCACGAGAAGCCTGAACCCATTCCTCATCGGAGATGGTCACGGGCTCAAACTTTTTCTTCTCAACCACAGACTTCTCATTGCCCGAGTCCGACTCGGGCCTGACGATTTGTCCCTCTCCTTGGGCGCTGACGGACAGTCTAGGCTGAGGAACGGATTGGCGACGGTGCTCGACCCGCTTGCGAAGAACCTTCTCTTTGATGAAGGTCATTGTAGGTCCAGAACCTTGGACGAAGTCGCTTCCCGGACCATACAATCGGTCCTCCTCCTGACGAGTGATCTTGGCATAGTGAAGGTACTCCTCAAAGGGGATGCTGGGGTCGTGGAGCTTCTCTATGACCCTTGTAGGGAAAGTGGTCGCGTCAACCCCATCAGCATGGAGACGCTTGTCATCCACAGCCCCAGGGCCAGAGATAGATCCAATTCCAGATGCCATGTTCTTCACTGTGAAAAAAACAGCTCAATTCAAATACATAGTCCTGCAAGGGGAAACAACAGATGGAGAAAAAGCTTTGAGAAGAGGAAGTGGGACTTGGCCTTTCTTATAGGAGATCGACCTGATGTTGTTCGCTTGCAGAGGGGAACATGGGTAGCAAGGTCGTACTGTTAGCTCATAGCGCAATCATTGAAATCGTTATAATCCATAAAGCCTCTAAATGATCAAAAGGTTGGTGTGACGCCACGGAACGCCATGATCCTCGCCTTGCTCAGAGTCCCGCGACTGAGAGCTGATAGGGCAGCAGCAATCAATTGGTGTTTTCTAGAACGAACCCTTGCACGATCGAGGGCGGAGGTCCCCATTCAGATAGCGCTTGAAACGGGGACGAGAAGGGGCTCAATATGAAATCTGAGATTGCGACGTGAACATGCGATTGCCGTTGGTCGACCTCGATGGGTAGCATTGCTCTAGGCGAGACAGGGTCAGGAGGCGATACATACTGACCTCAGAGAACAAGAGGGCTGTTTACCAGCTAGCGGGACGCATTCTAATCCGTAGTAGGGTGGCTGTCAATCATGGGTGATGAAATCATGCGACAACGCAAGACGGCCGAGGTGATGGTGGTCGGCGTAACGCAATCAGGCAGGTAAAATTGACGTCGGGCGAAACGGGCGAATCTCTCTGAGAGGAAAGGATCCTCGTTGAAGGTTATTAGGACCGCCCCAATCGCCACCCGCTTGTCTCGCCCACTCTGGTGCAACCTGATAAAGTCTCTCTGAGAGGTTATTTGATGCGCGCGAAAGTACTCCGTACTCTGCAAGTCCAGTATTGAGGCCATGACACCAGCTGTCCCTCCCTTCCAGTCGTGAGGGTTAGTGATTTGGCCGGTCTGGGCAGTCGGATGATTCTATTGACCATTGGTTCCTGTTCTGTTGGACCTTGCCTGTCCTTCGAGATTGTTGGAACTAGGGCATTCTCGACCAGTCGTACCCTCGTCCGTAACGCCATTGGGGATTCCCCGGCATTTGCTTGGTGGTCCGAAGGTTGATTTCCGATGCAACTTTGTTGGCTTCAAGGCGCCAGAAGCAACTGCTAAGCTTCGCCGCAAAGCTTGTCCGAGGGAGACCTTAGAAGGCTGGTCCATCCGGGGGCTGTTAGCAATTGCCACAAATCTGAGGCGGTTGAGTTTGGCGGTCGCGGGGAAATATTCAAGAGTGGTTAAGCTCGCCCGGCCAGCCGACTCTCCTCCACTTGTGGCCACTCACGGCAACCTGTCTCGTGTGGCCTTTTCTTCCTCTATTCCGCCTGCTCTGGGGGAGCGGGATTCGTAGGCGGGTCGACATGGCTTCATTATGAATCTTTGCGCCCACTTCTGTGAGGTCTCTGATTGGAAGTGCTCGGCAACACAGGAGACGCGTGTGCCCGGTTATCAAAGGCTATCTCGCCTTACCCACAAACATGGAGGTACGAGTGAGAGCGCTGCATTCGACAGAGATTAGTTAGATTTCGGGGTCGGCATTTGAGGGCCAAATGCGGGAGGGGGGAGCTATGGACATGCTTGGGGCATGCCAGCGTTGCATTTTTAGGAAGGTGTCATTGACTATCAATTGAATATCATGATCTCGCTAAAGGTGGAATCGAGGTCCGTAATAATATGGAGTACAATACGGCGGAAATGCCCTCGTTGCGGGCATTATTGGCTGTGGAAGGAGCTCGGGAGGAACCGAGTCGGAGTAGAACGGACATGTGCTGGACAAAACGGAGTCTGCTTCTTGCCTTGTCTTCTCCAGAGTCTGGACGCTCGCTGGGGGTCATCGAGATTGGGAGGCTTGAGGGTGACAATACAGTAGTATTGTATGTACTCGGTACCGAGGACGGAGTACGAGGTACTGACACTCCCGGCACTTTGCCGCGGTGCTTGTGGAGGCGAGTTGGTAGTCTTCCAGAAATATGGCTCAGATTCTCATTCCAATGCATGCCAAGGAGGAAGAGGACTGTAATAGCAGGATGCATAAGCTATACAAAATATCTGAACGAGAATGAAGAAGCGTGGCATACCCGGTACTGGGTACGCAGGACGGCGTGAGGCCCCCAAGAAACGGCCCTCGAGAAGGATGCTGGGAGGGAGGAACATCTGGGGAATGGTTCTTTTGCAATGATGCGAGTCATGGCTTGGCGCCTGCGAAACTGCACCCTTTTGGCCCTTGCACCCTGCTCGCCCAAGCTACTCAAATCATCTGGAAAGCTCCTATCCCAAACCACTCACCCCAAACGTCCTTCTCATCTCCGTCGCTGTGAGAGAGAGCAAGATCACGCCACTGGGGTGATTCCTCGTGCAATAATGTCGCTCTCTAGGTGACAAAAGTCCCCTCCTACATCGGATGAAAATGGCAATACTCAGGCGCATCTTCGGACGTGCGCTGGCCATGCCGCAGCGACCCTTCGTGTCGGGATTGATCACTCTCGGAATCTCATGTGTCGCAGCATACTCATCATGGGCTTTGGTGGCACATAACTGGATTACATGGGATGTATGTTTGCCTGTTCCCGTCACGTCAAATTCACTTGAAATTTGCCAAAGTCTTAGCTAAAGTTGCATATGGTAAACTAGCCGTCTCATGGTCCTTCCATGTACCCGTCTATACCCAGCAGTCTCTCGTACAACATCTATTCTCGCAGATACAAACGAGGAAAGAACATCAAAATTGGAGACGTAGTGGTCTTTGAGAGCCCCATCTTCCTCCGCGGCATGGCCTGCAAACGGGTTATTGGCATGCCGGGCGACTATGTCCTCCGTGATCCTCATATGTCTCCCACTGTGGGCGGCGCGCCCATTCCTGGTCTCTATGAAGGCGATGGATTGCGAGAAGAGCCGGTCATGGTACAGGTCCCAGAGGGCCATGTGTGGGTAGCTGGAGATAATCTATCCTACAGCAGAGATTCTCGGTTTTATGGCCCGGTGCCAATGGCTTTGATTACGGGCAAGACTCTGTATGTTGGCGATGGATATTTCAATTGGACTTCTTTCCGCAAATCGCAATTACAACCAGCTACCGTGTCAGACGTTATATCGCAAACGCCTGTGGAAGGAAAAGTGGCGCTCGAAGACACCCAGCCCGGCTGAGAATGCTGAGCATACAGGAACGAAACAAGAAGGATGTCAACAGGCCATAAAAGACAGGCACCGTTCTATGAGATGCGGCAAATCATAGTTGATATTGTACAACAGCTGCTGGCAAGAGCAGGGCTCGGCTATCTCAACCCCTCATCCGAGACGTGTTGCGCCTCTGATACGGCAGAGGTTCGACCTTCCTCCTCTTGAGCTCCACGTCCGCACCTTCAATGCCTGCTCTCTCCATAACGGCAGCCGTGCTCTCATCCCATTGTGTCCGGAACAAAGAAGCACTAATGGGACTCAGCATATGCCGACTCATCATGCTGCGAACGGTGAATCCATCACGCTGAATCTTTTGCTTGGCAACCTCCAGATCAATGGGAATGTTGTCTTTTTGTTGTAGTATCATGATGGACAACCGATGATATGGGCTGCCTTTCTGCGCGTATGGCGGCATCCACGGTAAAAGAACCTGGGTTTCTGGGGATAGTGCTGCAAGATCTACCGATGGCTGTGTCGGTGAGATGGTGATGTTGCAAGCGAGATAGTGGCATCGAGAGTCAAACGAGTCGGTCTCGACATTCGGGACGTCCGGATCCACGACAGCAATGGTGACCATCTTCTCGCCTCGCTCATAGGATTGTAGAGTCAGGCGGCAGGGACTCTCGCTCATGTACGACTCCACGAACTCGCCCGGTTGTACAATTCTGTTGCCAAACACAATCTTGACATCCAGAACAGAATCCACGTTTGGAATAACATCCGGCACGACCTTCATCTGGGTGATTCGTTGAACGAGGACTTTCCGTGGATATTCTCGCCATTTGCGGTCGGCTAGATACCTGTAGATGGGTTTGCTCAGGTCACCTAATATTGTTAGCAGAAGATGACAACCTCCAGCATCTTTTGCCCACCTGTGCCATCCTCAAACCTTCTCTTCACATTGGGATCGTTGATGTCGGCCAAAATCTTGAGCTTCTCCAGTTCTGCTAGCATACTAGTGAGTCTCCTTTGCTTGTAAAGCTCGCCGCCAGGAAAGGTGCTCGGTTCGACTTCTCGGAGACGAGCAATGCGAGCCCTCTCGGTTTCTATCTTCTTGAGCTTCTCTGCTCGGTCGGCAATGAGGATTTTGCGGGCTTCTTGGAAGCATTGGTAGGGCAATTCATCGAAGGGGATTCCAGGAGAGTGCGCTAGTGCTGCGCGTCGTCTTCGAGATCCGACCGGGAACTGGCCAGTCCTCAGAAGCTTTCGCTCGAGCCGAGGAACGTGAACAGTGGCTGGATCGGGGTTGTGATAGTAGGAGGGTTTTTGGACTTCGACCTCTTGAGAAGTCGAGCTTGTGGTTGCGAAGGTTCGGAGAGCTGCCCTAGACGATGGCGCCTCGATCGCCAACGACCTCAGGGACTGCAGTAGCAGCGCACTGGGCGCCCTTGCAGGTGCCATTTGGAACGAGTTGGGCATGAGACCTCCACCGATAGTGGGAAGCATCAATATTGGCGCTTCTCAATTAATCCGAAAATTGTTCAGAGTGAGTTCGGAGGAGCATAATGACCGTGATATGCAGAGCCATATCACGTGAGTACACACTTCGGGCAATCTTAGAACGCTATGCGCAGCATTCAATAACATCAAGACAAGGCATCCAACCTGTCTTCTCGCTCTGTTTCCGGATTCAAAACCTTGCCGATTGGCCAGTCCTGGTGGCACCGTCGATGCCCATCACTAAGCAATATGCTAAGCACCAAATACGCCAATCCTGAGCCTGATTGACAGACGATCCGACCATCGACAACTTCCTGGGTAAAAGCCTTCGAGAGCCCGGTGTTTCTTCCGCGCAGTCGAAGTAAAGGCTCCCAATCCTCGCTTGACGCGGTGGAGCGTGCTTTGTCTCTAGTTGGCACATGTGTTTTGATACCAATTTTACCCTCTTGAGCAGGGGCACGCCTTAGCCTGGATATCCATTGCGCAGCCAGCCTTAGGTGCGAGGCCCTTTACCTTGAATCGACAACCTCTACAAAAATGTACACCTCTTTGCCTCGCTGAGTCATAGTCTGTCTTCCGTTTAACCGTTTGACCTTCTTGAGAGCGGCCCGTCCAAGTTGAAATTCCTTATGTGAACCCTGACTCCCCAGGGACTTTCGCCCTCCGTTTTTTTGCCCAGGTTTACCACTTTTCGTTCTCAGGAGAACAACAATGTCCGAACCTGACAGCGAGAAATTAGGCACGACAGGGCAAGGAGATAGCAAGACTGCTGCAGACATGACTCGTGGTGTCGGCGCTGTCGTCCAAGATGCAAAGCCCAAATCCGGTCTGTTTAAGAAAATACAGATGAAGGTGAATCTTGATGTTCCGACGTTGTTACTGATGCTCAAGTAAGACTTCCCCATTGTCGCTATATCGCAGCTAAGTGGAATTAGGGGAGGATTGCCTCCAGCCATTGCGCTCGCAGCGTAAGTCTCACACCCTCTTTCCAGACTGTGTCGCTCATAGTCCTAGTTACCAGAGTGATCGTTGGGCCAAACAATACTCGACGTTGGGTTATCTGATTGCAATCACGTCCTTTCTGTCTCTCCCAATCCTTCCACGGGCAAAATTTGTCCAATCGATGGCAATTTCCCTCATTTCGGTCTGCTTGGCTTCCGCTGTGTCCCTGCTATCAATACAATGCGCCGTTGCCGCACGTCAACCACTGGTCCTGACACCGAACTCCACAACCACTGGTTCCTCCGGGAGCAAACAAACTCTGCAATACAGTGCAGCAGCTAATGTTACGGCCTGTGTTTGGTTGTTCTTCTGGCTATATATGGCAAATACCTTGCGAGCAGCTCGGCCCCAGCTCTTCATCGTATCCATCCAGTTTACCATCTTCGTGGTTGTCGCTTCCACCTACACGCCGACGTTTCCGAATATGACGGCCGGCATGCAGTTCGTGGATCGTCTACTGAAGGTTTTCCTTACAGGATATGCTTTGGCTGCTGCTGTTTCGCTCTTCATCATCCCGTTTTCTTCGAGGCTGATCGTAAAAAAGCAAATTGCCGGCGTTCTCGATTTGATGAAGGCTTCCCTTTCCATCCACACAGCGTATCTGCACGGCATCACTACTTCTCGAACTGGCAGCCCCGGGCTTCTAGACGAAAATGGCAAACCCTTGCCGCTGGAAGAAAATCCGGAGGCACGAGTATCCATGAAGACTGCTGAAGAAGCAGCTCAGAAGCTAAAGGCAACAATTCAACAAGCCAGTCAATTGTTCGGGCAGTTGAGGCTTGAAATCGGCTTTGCGAAGAAGGAAATTGGATGGGGAAAACTGCAACCCCAAGACTTCAGCCGAATTTGGGAACGGTTGCAAAATATCCTCCTTCCTGTTGCAGGGCTGTCAACCTTTGTAGACATCCTCCAATCAGTGAAACGTCACAAGGCTGAAGGCGAAAGTTTGATTTCCGACTTGGACGCCATCGAGGCTATCAGACGACTTGAGGCGGAAGAATGGCATGAAGTTATCGTCATGTCACGCATTCCATTTTGGAAGATGAAGACGACCCTGATAGACGGTCTTACCCACGTTGCCTATGTGCTGGAAATCACTCCTCGACCGAAATATCCCAAGAAAGACATCGAGACAACTGCAGAGACCTCTCCAGCCCCAGGAGATCCCGCCTTTGCCCAGTACTTGAAGGATCAGATGGCTATTTTCCAAGGTCATCGACAAGAAACCATGCGAAAGTGGTGCGAGCAAAAAGGCATAGAAGTGCCCACGAAATTTTGGGAAGATACATCCTCTCAATACACTTTTGGGGACACGGCCTCTGTTCATGAGACTGTTCGACAAAAACAGAACCATCAACAGCTGTATCTGATCCTTTATCTCGAATATCTCCTATTCGCTGTTTGTCAAGCCGTGTTGGAGTTCGTCCTTTTCGCAGACTCGAAGGTCCAAGACGGCACGATGAGCAAGAACAGGCTGATCTTTCCCGGGTGGAGACGGATTCGCAAGTTGCTACAGAATGCATTCAAGCAGATGGACGCCAGTGAAGGTCTGCAAGACGGACCGGCATCAGGTATCTACATATGGGTCGGAGACTCCCTTCAGCAACGCAAGGACCCAGAACATCTACCGCCGACGAATCTTTACCAGCGGGTTACAAACCATTTAAGGTCTATCCCAAAGTTCTTGGCCTCAGATGCTTCCCATTTCGGCTTCCGGGCAGCAACCGCGAGTATCAGCCTCGCAATAATCGGCTACATCCGCCAAACTCACTCTTTTTATCTGGCTCAGCGTGGAATCTGGGCCGTCATCATGGTTGCTATTAGCATGGGTGCGCACGCGGGAGCTGGTGTCCAAGGATTTATCCTTCGTATCCTGGGCACTGCCATTTCGATGGTCCTTTCGATTACGGTGTGGTATATGGCCGACCAGAAACCCGCAGCCGTCATTCCACTGGCCTATCTGGTGTTTGTGGGCGGGCTTTATGTGGTACTCAAACACCCCAAACAGCTCATCACAGCAGTCATCTCAGTTGTTACCACCATCCTAATCGTCGGCTATGAACTCCAAGACAAGAAAGTCGGCACGAAAATCCTCAGCAGTAATGGACAGGCGTTCTACCACATTTACCTTCTCGGCCCATATCGCCTGGTGAGCGTTGTGGCAGGCTTGGGCGTCGCATTTTTCTGGACTTATTTCCCTTATCCCATCACCACGCACGCCACCCTCCGCAAAGACCTTGGCTCAACCCTCTACCTGATGGCAAACTACTACTCCTGCATGCACTCGACCGTCGAAACGCGCCTTCGCGCCAGACCCGACCTCTCGACTGACAAGAAAAAGGACCCCCTGCGCAGGCTCGACAAAGCTCGCCATAAGGTGTTTGACAAGCTCATGGTCATGCTAAATCGACTACGCGAACACAGCCAGTTCCTCAAGTACGAGCCGACGTTCGGTGGGAAATTCCCCAAAGATACATACGACGAATTAATCGTGCACATGCAGTCCCTGTTCAATTACATGGCGCTCACGGCGTACTCGACAAACGCGTTCTCGTGCGAGGGTGAGGAGTCCGAATGGCTGAGGGATTTCAAGAGAATCACGGCCAAGTCGCGGATCACGTCGCACGCACTGACATCGACGCTGTGCCTCGTGTCCGCCAGCATCACAAACTCGCAACCGCTGCCGCCGTACGTGACCGTCCCCCGACCCATCGACATCGCCGACCAGCTGGGCGCCATCGACCCGGGCATCCTCAGCATCAAACACATCAGCGAGCCGTGCTACGCGGCCTTCGCCGTCCTGGAGATCGCGAGCATCCTCATCATGCAGGAGATGGTGGCCGTGCTCGCCCGCGTCCGCGACCTGGTCGGCGAGGTCGACTTCTCCGTCCATTTTGGCGCGCCCGGCTCCTCCTTGACCGAGAGCGACTCCAGCTTGGACGAGAAGAAGGATCTGGCCGCCAACGGCGACGACGCCGGGAGGAAGGGCAAGGTCGATTAACTTCCCGGCCTGTGCATGGGGGAGGTGCCCCTTCAGGAGTTGCCGTATGGGTAATTACTTGGCCTGCTCGTGTTGGACGCGGAGGATTGGATCGAATGGTCACTGGATTAATAGGGGGTCTAAGGCAAGGACCGATGAAAACGATGGGTGGACCTTCTTTTCTTGGAGGAACCGTTCACTTGAAATGTATATATCTGTCATGTTGGCGCTTTGTATCACATTCATAATTAGAGACGGACTTCTGAATCTGAACATGATGGTGTGCATACGAGTACGTACTCCCCCCCGTTCTCTTTTTTTTCTCTTCTTTTTCTTTGGCTTGCACGGCGATCAAACTCCAGCGTCAAATCCGCCCTAACCTGGGTATCTCTCAAGAATGCTAAATGCAGGAATGGTGGCTGTATCCATCCCGAACGCCATCGCTCAAGGTAACATAGCACCTGCAGTATAAATAGCAGTGTCCACTGCTTTTGGCCTAGGTCCTGTCGTCGACGGACGAACCGTTGTTCTGTTGTTTTCGTATAACAAAGTGCAGCAAAAAAATCCAGAAACCGCATGATGCTGCGGTAGACCTACGCCCTTTGAAAAGTAGCACGCAGCCATCACACCAGTAGATTGTACAGATGTCCGCCTTTGACCCAGGTTTCGACACACCCCGAATTGGACAGGCCACCGACATAGCCAAGTCAAGCACCCAGAGCTTTTGAACAGGTACGAAAAATTCAGATCCGGGTGCCCTTAGCATGAAAGCATTTGCTCACTTGAACATACTTTCGAAATCGAACTCCATGTTCTCCATGCTCTCCATATTATCCATATTCGTCATACTCTCATTGCCTAGACCAACGTTCTCGTCGAAGTTCATGGCGTTGGCATTTAGGAAATCGTCGAACTCATTAGGACCCAAGGCTGGAAGACCAAAGTCATTAACACTGACATTGGGTAGCTGCTGGTGCTGGATCTGGGTGTTGGTTGCGTTATTGTCGACGCCCATCGCGCCTCGGACGGCACTTCCGCCACCGGCGTTAATTTGAGGAGGTAGCCCATTAGCCGTCGTTCCGGGCATACCGAAATTCGCGTCATCGCCGGTTTGATTCGCATATGATTCTAGGCCAGGCAGGAGGGAGCTTAAGGAAGCATCTTGTTGAACGTTGAGTTGTGAAGCGTCCGCACCAAATCCGTCACCGAGATTGTCAAGGTCGAAGTTCATGTCGTTGTTGGTTCCATCCATCATGTCTGCTGACGGTTCCCCGAACATCGATTCAAAGTTGAAAGCCTCGTTGGCCTCGGCTGGAGTGTCTTGTGGAGTCGGCTTAGGAAATTCCTCCGTGGTTGTCTGTGTCATTGTACTCTCGGGTTGCTGCGCTGTCTCGGGAGGCTTCTCCTGAGGCCTGGAAGCTGGTACGACAGCGGGGTGGGATGTCTTCATGTCTGTAGTCACGGACACCCTGGGCTTATCTGGCGGTTGAGGGGTCTTCTCTGCTGGCCCTGGAAGAGGTTGCGCGGCGTTGGTATGTGCGGCGACCGCCGGTGAAGGAGTTGGCTTCTGCGCTGGAGAAGGCTGTTGGGGCTTTGGCTGCGCTTGCACCGGACTCTCGGGCTCTTGTGTCTTTACGCGCTTGGGGGCATTTTCGCCGTCTGCGGTCTGCGCTGTCTCTTGTGCGTCTTTCGGCTCTTCGCGTTTCCTTTTCGCGCTCGCGGCACTGTCTTCTCTTGCTTTGGCCTCGCGCCGGGCTTTGTTCAAGGCCAGCTGACGCTCGAGATACCATTTTGCATCGAGGATCTGGACCTCGCAGTCATCCAAGGCGTCCTGGAACTTTTTGGCGGTTTCGGCGAGCACTGCTTTTGTTGACTGCGCGTAGTTCAAGGGATCTTTCATGGCGTAGGCGATGCGAGTTACTGAGCCCATGAACATTCCCTCGACCGTCTTCATCGGGTCATAAGGGGGTTTGGCAGTCGCCATGACAAACCGCAACGCAACTTTGAAACAGTATGGACAAGGGAGAAGCGTGAGCTGGAGTTGGAAAGAGATGCGGCGCGCATTTACTGGAGGGGGGCAGGAAGAGTCGCCATCCTTTTCAAATGGAAGGAGACATTTCAGAAATGAGATCAACTCGAATGCCAATGCTTTTTTGTTTTTTTTTCCCCCTCGGTTTTTTGAATGGTATAATGGAAACCAGAAGAAGTTTGGATGTCGCCGTGGGTCAGCACCAGTCGCGACTTTGAAGGGGGTGACCCTTCGGAAAATAGCCTCCGCAGCCCACAGGCCCGGGGGCCCCAAAACGGCGCCTCGGGACCTCTGGGCTCTAGCCGCGAGGCTAAACCACCGCCTAAATCGGGCGACGTGCAGCTACGGGGGGGGAGCATAAAGCACACCGAGCACGAGCATTCTGAATCTGAGGCCGGTGGGCGTAACAGGTTCCCAGGCGCCTAGGCAGCTATCACTGGCAGCTAACAAGCAATCAGTCAGCAGTAGGCAGCCTAGCAGCCTAGCTCACATTACTCTTTGCGGCTCCAGCGACGCCACCCACCACCGAACCTCTGCCTTCGACGCTGCGGATGAAACTCATTCTCTTCCTCCCTCTCCTCCACTTCTCTACCCTCCTTCAAACCATCACCATCTCCAAGTATCCTTTTCTTCCATCTCCTCTTCCATTACTTTTCGTCGTCGTCGTTCTTCCTTCTAGTCGTCGATTGGAATTTGTGCATTGCAAGTTGGGCGTTGGGAAAAGACCTCGAGCGATTTCTTATCTCTCCTTTTCCTACCGTCTTTCTCAGTCCCATCAGCTACATTACTTTTCTGTGTGTGTGCTGCGCTGCGTTGCTCTGCTCTTCAAAGTACTGCTACTCCTACTACTCCTACTGTCCAAAGATCTCAGTCTCCAGTTACTCCTCCTCAGCCGCCTGACATTCGTCTCGGCGCGACCTCTTTTGCGGCCATCTTACCTATCACGCATTCGAGTCCTTCCTCTCCTCCTTCCATCTCCCTCTCCTTCGACTCTTTGCGCTGCTCTACTGGACTTGGTTGGCTTGTCACCTTGATAGCGAGTTGTCTCGACGTTTTCCAAGCGAAATTTCCTTTACCTGCACACGACCCACTTATCGCCATCACTCCCCGCAATAGTCGTACCCAAGTACTCGACCACAAAATTTCAAAAGCACCTTCACGAGCTTCTGTCTGCCATTCCGAACATACTATACCCCTGTTCTCGTTCGAGTCATTTCCGCCTGGTGCGCGCTTGTGATCTCTTGGTCCTTTCAGAGTTGTCAACCAGTTTACTTTGCTCAATATGACGGAAAGCATTCCCCCTGCGACCCTACCGCCACCACCTCCAACCGCAGGCGCCCCAGGCTACGATGGCGCTCCTGGTAGCAATGGCCATACCACCACCACCAGCATGGGACCTCCAGCGCTGCCTCCGGTGGTCATACCGCAGAACAATAATACTGTCCCGTCTCCGGTCACCCCAGGAACTGCCCTGTCGCCCTCCTCCGGCGGCGTCGTTCGAAGAGCGGCTCCAGAACCAAATAAGAGGGCGCTTTATGTGGGCGGCCTCGACCCTCGAGTTACCGAGGACGTTCTGAAGCAAATCTTCGAGACGACGGGCCATGTGGTCAGCGTCAAGATCATCCCAGACAAGAATGTGAGTGGGTCCCATATTGGCGTGATCTTGTCCCCACTAACGTAAGGCCGTTAGTTTAATTCCAAAGGCTTTAACTATGGCTTCGTCGAATACGATGACCCTGGTGCTGCCGAACGCGCCATGACCACCTTGAACGGGCGTCGAGTACATCAAGCTGAGATCCGGGTCAATTGGGCGTACCAATCCAACTCTTCGAACAAGGAGGACACATCAAATCATTTCCATATCTTTGTCGGGGATTTGAGCAACGAAGTCAATGACGAGGTTCTACTCCAGGCGTTCTCTGCCTTTGGTTCGGTTTCCGAGGCACGTGTGATGTGGGACATGAAGACCGGTCGATCTCGTGGTTACGGGTTTGTGGCCTTCCGCGAAAGACCTGATGCGGAAAAGGCTCTGGCGTCCATGGATGGAGAATGGCTGGGCAGTCGCGCAATTCGCTGCAACTGGGCGAACCAGAAGGGTCAGCCGTCTATCTCCCAGCAACAAGCCATGGCAGCAATGGGCATGACGCCTACGACACCCTTTGGCCACCATCACTTCCCGACTCAAGGCATTCAGTCCTACGAAATGGTCGTCAATCAGACTCCCACCTGGCAAACAACGTGCTATGTTGGCAATCTTACGCCATACACGACCCAAGCAGACCTTGTTCCTTTATTCCAGAATTTTGGCTACGTGGTGGAAACCCGATTTCAATCTGATCGAGGCTTTGCGTTCATCAAAATGGATTCGCACGAGAATGCGGCAATGGCCATTTGTCAATTGTCAGGATACAATGTCAATGGCAGGCCGTTGAAATGCTCCGTAAGCACGAACAGGTCCGGTTCCTCCTGACAGCTGCTAACTCCTCCAGTGGGGCAAGGACCGTCCTCCTACTGGTCAATTTGATACCTACTCGCCACAGACCTCGATTGGTTCTGCATCCACTCCCGGTGGCTATAATCCAGCCTCGCCGTACTTTTCACAATATGGGGGTCCCGGACCAATCACACCGCAAGGTATGGTAAACTTACCCGCTGCCGCGCACGTGGCTGATGAGATTCTAGGTCCAAGTCCTGGCGGACGTGCTGCCTGGGATTCAAGCCATCTCGCAAGTCCCTATACTGCATCTCCCCAGTCCGCATTCGGTCAAGTCCCTCCGTCAGCTGGGGGCTATGGACGCGGTCAGACAACCCCAGGAGGAATGTTCCAACAGCCCCCACCATCATTCGGCAACAATTACCCAGGATATCAGGCATAACTTACGAGAGGATGGGGCGTATTCTTTGAATGTGTGCGATAGAGGATGAGGACGGGTTGATTTCCAGATTGGGCATTGTGTTTCCATACTTGGCCCTCTTGTCATGGTGGCCTCGTTGTACACGCGGAGACCGACATTGATGCCACTTGTCTTCATCTGCATGTGCTGGTGACCTCTTCGCGAGTCGGGCTATTGTGATTAATACTAACCTCGACCGTTGTGCGCAAGGGCTTGATGAAGCCACTATTTGCCGTTGTTTAGGGCATCCATTACGGTTTCATTGGGGTTGTTTTCCGAGGGAAAGATACTGCAAATGCATGTGGCAATCATGGTATGATGAGCATTGCTACTCAGACATCGGGGGCCGAATGGAACAACATTCGCAAGAGCAAAGGAGTTCGTTCCCGGGACAAGCATGGGTGCAGCAGAGCAGTCGATCATCCCCACAATTAATTGTAGTTCGAGAAAGACAGCTTCCTGCAGGATACCCTGTGTGGATATGACATTTAATGAGAATCGACCATTGAACTTGCGTTATGATGCTACAATGGACGGACAGGGTGTCAACTTGTTGAAATCGAGAACCCTTCTGCATCCAGAGCCCAGCCTTGTACAGCCTTGTGCAGCTTTTGCTGTTGCCGCTGGTGCTGTTGCGCCAACCTTCATCACGTGATTGCACAACTCGGCCGACTGGTGAGAAGGCTTTTGACGAGCCGTGACCAGCTTCACTGTCACTCAGCTCAGAATCAATCAATTTTAGCCGTCCAATTCCGCTCAATCGAAACCGATTTCACGGCTTCGCCGCAAACCTGAATAAATTAGCAACGGATCGGAATGCTCGAAAAACCAGTCAAAGCCAGCAATTTGATGACATTAGAGACGACCGAATCACTGAACAAACATCCAATTCATCGAGAGGTAACCGTCGCGACAGGCCAAAACTCCGACAGCGCCCAAGGATAGCAACCCATTTTTGGTCATAGCACTATTGACGGCCAGTCTGCAAGCATAGGGTAACACTGATCTCACCAGTGCAGACTCTCTTCTATCACCGCCCAAACACCCTCTTCATCTTCGCGCTGCCATTGTCCTTCTTGTTATAAGTGGTGATCTCTCCTTTTGGACTTATCTTGTGTGTGTCACTCAGCAAAGTCCATCCGCCTTCAACAGCTTTTGGATAGCCTTCCTGGAACTGGATGTCCCGAATGGGAGGGGGTACTGTTCTTGTTTCCAACTCATCCAACTCAGCTTCTAGCCTGAGACCCCTTTCCCGCTCTTCATTTCTCGATTCAGTCATGGCATTCAGGTCAGCTTGTGTTCGTCGGTATGCTGCTTCTTCTTCATCTCTCGCCACAGTGATTGTCTTCAAGGCGGCCTTGGTCTGTTTGTGTGCTTCCTGTTCTTGGTCTCTGGATTCAGTCACTGCCTTCAAGCTAGCTTTGGTCTGGCTATGTGCAGCCTGTTCCTGGTCTCGCGATTGAGTAACCGATCTTAAGGCGGCCTTGGTTTGGTTATGTGCAGTCCGTTCTTTGTCCCCGGACTCAGTCGCTGTCTTCAAGGTGGCTTTGGTCCGGTTGTGTGTGTCTTGTTCTTGGTCTCTGGATTCAGTCACTGTTTTCAGAGTAGATTTTGTCTGATTATGCGCAGCCTGTGCTTGATCTCTCAAGCTAGTCATTGCTTTCAAGCTGGCCTTTGTCTGGTCATGTGCAGTCCGCTCTTGATCTCTCGATTCAGTCATTGTCTTTAAGCTAGCCTTTGTCTGATTGTGTGCAATCTGCTCTTTGCCTCTCTCTTGAGTCATTACCTTCAGCTGAGTCTCCACTTGCTCTAACTTCGACTTGATCTCGAGGAGCTCTTGCTCTCTGTTGGAATGCTCGACTTTGAGGCTGTCTAACTCCAGGCCCTTTTGGTCCAGTTGCGTCTGGGTCTCAGTGTGCGCTTTCTCTTCCGCTCTCAATGTCATCAGGCAGCAAGGGCGAGCTTGCTCATCGCTTGAAGGGTTGCCTCTACGGGCTGCTTCGATTTGAGCCTTCAACTTCAGAATCCTTTGGGGTCTCTGAAGTTCGGCAAGTTCTCGTGACAGACGTGCCTCTTCCTCGACTGGCGTTTCAACGCCCTCACCGCTTGAGTTCGGTTCGCCAGGCATCACGGTTGCAGTCACGTTGGATCGTGGTCTCGAGGCTGTCGGAATTTGTGCTGTCGAGGTATTGTTCACAGTTCAAGAAGCTTAATCGGCAGATATTTCACGGAACTCAGACATACATAGCATCTCGGCACATCTTATCAAATCGAAGTTGGAGCCCCAATTCAGCTGACCTTGGGAAAGATGCCTGTCTTTTGGGGGTATGCATGAGGCTAATGCACCCCTACCCAACCGGCGCACCCGACAATCCGAGCCAGCTAACAACTTCTTTCTTCGAGCTGAGCCCCGACGGTCGTCATCAGGCGGTGTTGATGAAGAAACATGTTTCAAATTTGTACAGAGCATGGCATTGCGGCTCTGCTACCCAGTCCCGAGGCTACCCCTAGTTGGGAAGACTACTTAGGTCCTGGAATCCAAGCTGTTGCTGGTTCCAATCCCATCGCCCTACCATATAACCGTCGGAATCTTCCTTGAAGCCGTCGCATAACCAAGAATCGATGCCCCAGAGCGCCGAATCCATCACGACCATTATCTTTGCCATGCCCTGTGCTTTCTTGATCACCTCAACCAACTTTTGCACCAGCAGGAATGATCGGTATTCACACTGATCAGCCCGATCCAAGATGATATAAACCGGCTCCTCTAAATGGAGTTCGGTAAGCAGATCGCTCAACATCTTGAACATTGTGTTCATAACCTCGTCACCATCATCCTTCCAGGAGGTTCTCCGTGCCAAAGACAGGAAACTTGGGTTTTGTCGCAAAATGTCGGGCTTCCACGCTGCGACCTGGCAAGCAAGGCTCAAGATGGCTTCCTGGACGCCGCATTTCTTGGAGAGAATCTGTGGGTGGCAGGAGTGGAATGCCACGTGTCTGTTGTCGGCAAGCTGACGTTCGGCAACATATATGGCGACAGGGGACAGCCATGAGCACGTGCTTATATTGGTTCGGCCCTCCATGAGGCTGGTGCCGCCCAAAAGTAAAAGGCAGGAGTGGGCGCAATCCAGCCAAACACGGTAAGACTCTTCGTTTTCCAGAACATCCAGGGTCATTTGCGAATACCAGCGAGCGATTTTGCCGGGTTTTCCACCCACCAGCGCAGGGAATGCTCCTCCGAGGTTTCGCTTGCAGGACTGTATGTTTGTATGGTCGCAAGATTCCGGCACACCGACCAACTCGCGGAAGTTGACCAATTCCTTCTGGTCTCGTTGCATCTGTTCCTCCCGAAGGGTTCTGCGCATTCCTAAAACCCCAAACGGCAATTAGTTTCAGAAGACGACGTGGTGGATGTGAAGGGTGCATACGGTCAATCTCTGATCGTAACTCGATGTTGAGATCTTCTAGGGATTTCATTTTTTGGTGTAGTTTCTCGTTCCCCCTCAGCAATTCCTCGTTCTGCATTTCGATATATTTAGCCCTGCTGTGGAGGAGAACGGTACTCTCGAGATTGACTTCCACGAGCTTGTGCCGAAGAGTTTCGATTGACTTGATGAAGTCAAGCTCTTGCTGTGGAACTCCAGCTGCGAGCATTCTCACTAGGAGCTCGGTGTCAGTGATCTTTCGCAACCGAGAATGCGGTAACGACAGGAGCCACCTACAGGAGGTATTCATATAGTAGAGCACGGCGTTTCTGGCAAAGACAATTACATCCCTGTATGCTTCGGCCACCAACCTCTCCATCTGCGCCTCTGGGTAGATGTCGGACAGGAGGTTCAATCGCGGGAATGAGTTCTGAAGCTCACTCAATGCCTTTGCAATCTTTTCGTCGTTTCCCGTCTTGTTGACCACAACCTTGGATACATATTAACCTTCAGAACCTGAAACAGTAAGAGAAGGGCCGTCATTCACAATCAAGAGGAGCGAGAGCGTTCCATATGCCAGATTTCCATATGGAGAGCTTGCATTTTTGACCACTTCCACGATGCCTGAGTACGCTGTCAGAAAGTTGGAAAACCGGGTCACAAATGCCTGGAACGCGGTCCCAAATCGTCTCGAGCCGTTCCGTCGTCCCTGGAGCCAGTTGATGTACGCTGCGTTCGCATCCACTATCTGCCTCTCGACGTCTTCCCTCGTAAATTTCATCTGGGCGACGAGTTGAGCATCGAGGCTCTGCTTGAAGACAGTATCATCTTCAAAGACTGAAATCGCAGGTTCCAAGTTCTGGCTATAGTGGAGGACGAGATCAAATCAGTCTCATCCGTCTCCATGACCTGTGGTGAAGACTTACGTTGCAAATTCGCTCTGACTCTCCCTTCGAAACCAGTTCCTCTTCAGCCTCGATGCCGACAGTCTTGAAGTCATGGAAATACGACTAACGGTGCCATCTTCATACATGATTGTTGGCCACGAAAGGACATGCGATGCTCGCCAGCTGCATGGTGCCAGTACAGATGCACCCCGTGGTCTTCTTTTTTCAGCTGCCAGCAACCTTCATCTTATGCAGCATTTGCCCACCAGGCTGGGCAATCCCATCCGGGCATCATTCGGTGCCTCACAATCTGTCAAGAAGTCGATTACGCCCAAGCGACTTGCGAAGGGAAAAGACTGTCAAGGGATGTGACGACGCCCTGATGTGGGCATCAATAGGAAATGTGTTCCATTGCCATTGGCCATCCTATCAAGGCAGCAAGAATGTGGCTTGGACCGGCTCACTCTCTCTTCGCTGCCGCCAAACTCAACGGGGTATGTCCGTTTTACGTACTTCGAGCTCCTTTGAGATTGGTGGTCTTCCCACTGTGCTTCCCCGTCAATGCCTGAAGAGCGGCGCAGTCCCTACCTCATGCACGCCAACCTCTGAGGACAGCCGAGATGTATCATGAACGCGCAGCAGCTGTCGAATAATCAGCCTCCTCACCTTTGAGTGAGTTTAGTGGACCCCGGGTCCAGCGCCGAAAGGCGCAATCCTTCTGGCCTTTGAGCATCGCCCAAAGAAGATCGTGGATCTTTTGGGACATTCTTCTGGACTGCTCAAGCTTCGTTTCGTCTCAAAGATTTGCTTTAGTTATCTCAGCGTCCTTTAATGCGTCACTTGGGGAATCATCGCCTTCAATCATCCCCAAATTCATAGCTGCAGCTCAGAGGGAAATGGCCCCAAACACATCCAGCAAAACGTCCCAGGTACCACAGGTCTGCCGAAGTGACCATCAGGCCTATAATGACGCACAAAGGATCCTATCGCCGCACCGCCCGCAGCAACTCCGGCACAGGACACCTCAGCACCAGGGCCAAAAGCGAATTCAACGCAGGCTCGAAAAGAAGAGCTAGAACAGAGATACATCAGCCTTCTCGAAAAACGCGTTGAGTATCTGCAAACCCTCGTTGATTCGCACAATGCGGAAAAGGTTGGAGGACTGCTTCACCTATGTGGAAACGGACTTGCGTTGATGGCATTTCTTTCTTTAACTAGGAACTTCAAGCTCGGCTACAGAGAAAGCAGAGTGATAGGTCGGACATCACCCTGTCAAGGGTCAGTCGAGGAGAAAATACCACCGACGGAAGGCCCTTGGTAGCCAAAGCTGAAGAGAGGTCTGAACAACAAATGGTTTGTTCTTGTATCTCACTACGATCTTGTCACGTTGGTGGACAGCGTTTTGTGACTCACGCCGCTTTCACCTAGACCCCCGACCCTCCCGAAGCTTCGAGGTATGCGTATGTCATGAGCAGATGGGATGGTAGAAGTGGAGGCCGCAGGGACATGGAAATCGGTCGCTGGAACGAGCTTGAAGGAAAAGCCCCGACGTCCAAAAGAGCGTTCACTTTCCGCAGAGTGATGGATCTAACTGATGAGAAGAAATTCAAGTATTCCGAGGTGGATATCGAATCTCGGGAGCTTCGTGGCCTACTGAAAAAGGTGATTGGAGACTCATACCCGGGCCAAAGTTGGGAAGGAAATACTATCAATTTGATAGCTCCCTTTGCGCCTGTTGTTCATTACTGGAAAGAGCTCTCTCGTGCAAGCAGAGAAACTGACGTCAAGGACAGCCTCGGAATCAAAGCAGCCAGGAGAGATCTCAGCAATCTCCTCGAGTGCATATCGACATGTACTGAGCTGGAGTCCTACTTCAAAACTCGGGAGTCAAATTTGGAGTCCCACACGATCACTTACCAGACTATCTGGACGTTGTTTCGCCCCGGCACGTTGGTCGTGGCGAGGCCCTTTATGAACCTACCTCAGGTGTTTGAGGTGAAGACGTCTCCAGATCCGTGGGAAGACCGGAGGCTGAACATCGAATGCTGGGGTTACGATTGGAACGGTAAAGAGATAGTGAGAGTCACCTTTGAGTTCCCTCTCGAGAGATTCAGAGGCACCAAGGAGATCAGCTCCCTTTTCTGCTATCCCTTGGAGTTCTACAGAGACGAAAATGGGAATTTCGACCAATCTCTCCGCAACGAGCTGGTGAAGAGAGGTCAATGGTTTCTCGAGCTATGCAAAACAACAGGGGCCAAACAAATGTTTGAATACGACGGTCAAGCGCTTTCTAGCAGGAGGAGCCTCGCCAGGACGAGTGTAAGGCATAAAGTTCAAGGATGCTCCGTTGAAGGGTCTCTTACTGACATCGCATGCCATTAGCCTGATGCTGAAAGCAAAACACCTTCACTATCTATGAAAGATGAGGCGGACTTGTCATTAGCTGCAGAGTATCTCATCCACAAAACTTTCAAGGCACGCTTCCATTCTTTCTCGGTTGAAACAGTGGATTGCTGATGTCAGTCTCTTCGATTTAGGTCAAGGGACGATATATTGTCGATGCAGCTGCCTATTTGCAGTTTGGTATGCAAGTTTGCAGTTGTGGGTCCTGCGTAGAGATAGCTGACAGACGTGACAGGCCCTGGCATTCCATTACTTGGAAAGTATGAGCCCACAGATGTCGAGCCTTTCAGTCATCCCCACGACGAGCAGGGTGTCGGCGAAGATGAGCACCAGTGTCTCCTATATCCACCCCGGATTCTTGGATATGCGACCCAACAGAAGATGTGGGCCCAGTTCAAAGTCCAAGACACGACCGCCGTGCCCACTGACCTCTCCACCGCGTTCGAGGACAAACTTGAACTGGATCGAAATGATAAGAACATGATCAAGGCGCTGGTAGAAAATCATGAAAGCAGCAAAGACGCAAGTCAAGCCCAGGTGAACGATATTATCGAGAGCAAGGGCAAAAACCTCGTTATACTATTGCATGGTAAAATCCATCAGCGGGTCCAGGGCCGATGAACGAAATATGTACTAACAAGTATTTCCTAGGTCCTCCAGGTGTTGGCAAGACTGTAAGTATGTGGAACTCGGTTGGTTTCAAGACCGAGATCGGAATTCGCTTCATGTCCCTAAATATCAAATTTTCTTTGAGGAAACAGAACCGGAATGACTATGTTGCCTGACTATAGTGAGCAGCTTACTGCAGAAACCATTGCTGAGGCCACGGGCAAACCACTTTTGGTCGTCACCGTCGCTGAAATCGGGTTGGACGCGTCAAAGGCGGAGAAAAGCCTGGAGCAGATATTCTATCTTGCCGGAGCGTGGGAGGCGATCCTTTTGATGTAAGTCTCCGAGAGCAACCCAGGACTCCCTGCTCCACTGATACCCAGACATCGTTAGCGACGAAGCAGACGTCTTTCTTGAATCCCGTTTCGTCATGGGTGATCCCAACAGAAACGCCTTAGTCTCAGGCAAGTGATACTCCCACGAGACCAAATGCCGCCGTCGCTGATACAAACCATCAGTTCTGCTCCGAGTGCTGGAGTACTTCGAAGGCGTCATGATCCTGACGACCAATCGCATCACATCCCTTGATATTGCCGTCCAGTCGCGTATCCACCTCGCGATCCGGTACACCGACTTGACCAGGGAGCAAAAGATCAAGATCTACAACATCTTCCTCAGCCAGCTCATCGCCGAGGGTAAGGTGGACACCGATGGCATTGACGATTGGATCAGATGGGTAGGCTGTGAGGCGGAGGTCAACGGTCGCCAGATCCGCAACATCGTGTCCTCGGCATACTTGCTGGCACGCAGCCGCACCCAGAATAGAAACCTGAAGAGGGACGATTTGCAGACGGTCAATGGCATCATGAAGAAGTTCCAGAAACAGTTGGAGACATTGACGGTGGCTGCGAGAAAACAGAATGAGGGACAGTTGCCCTCCTAAGACAGACCTGGAGATATTGGTATCCTTTGACCCCTGGCAATCCTCCAAGGTTCGTTGTTCCTGGGGAAAAATAGCTCACCGATGACATGTTTCGAGGGTGATGCGGCCCTGAGTGATCTTCAGTGTCTTCCAGGAACGAAGTCCCTGGTGTGTGCTGGATCCACGGTCATATTTTGCGCCCTTCCGTATTCACTGATAGTTTGTAAAGTGTGGCTCTTCTTCATTAGTCGACAGGTCACTGGTCCCATGGAGATGCTGCGAGTCTGACGTGAATCCCAACACGATTGTTTAGTCTTCACCCTTGACAGCTCAGCGTCGACTGGCATCGTCAACATCGTCAAGCTCGAGCTGGGATACGTGTTACATCAGAGCATAATGATTACAAAGGGATGAAGCCCAATTGGTCGGGGCTGGAACCCTTCAGTGGCTACAAGATGTTAAACTGTATTATTGTCATTGGCACCATATGCCTCGCAAGCGGATGTTGATGCCGATGGCTTTATCGTCATAACAAGCACATATGCAGTCAGCCCGATTGTCCAAAGGAGGAAAAGGATAAATGAAATGCACTTGTCCTGCCTCGCCCAGTTCCAAATTGGCCATCATGGAATAGTAATCTATCCTGGAAACCTCAACGTCTTACCATGTCAACTACTAGTGAACTGGGGCGAGGCTACTAGCCATGGGCATCAACTCGTACGGCGGTGGGATAGCCTCTTCACAGCACGCACACTCAACCAAAGGAAGTTCTCTCTGTTCGTAACTTGATTGATTCCTTGATTGTCATTTCTCTGAATGATAGTCCCCGAGGACTGTATAAGAAGAACCCTAGTCTAGTGTCGACGCCCCAGCCAATCATAAAGCTATCCACCACTTCAAACTTCTCCCATTACACTAGTACTCGCCCTCTGTTGCAAAGGGTGTTTGTTGCCTGTCCCCATTCCACTCATCTGGCTCTGCCAGGAGGCTTCGCATTCATTTCTCAGCGACGCTTTCGACATGATACTCCCCGCTCTGTCGATGCTGCTACGGCGAACATGTCTGCGGTCAATGCCTCTACGGTTTCGGATGCCATTAAACATGATCATGCCGAGTTGAAGGAATGCTACGAAAACATCCTCCGTACACAGGACACCGACTCCAAGATGCGTTGGCAGAACCAGTTCACGTGGGAATTAGCTCGACACTCGCTTGGAGAGGAGCTTGTCGTCTATCCGGCCATGGAGCGGCATCTGGGTCAAGCGAGTAAGGAGATGGCTAACAAGGATCGCAAAGAGCACCTCAAGGTAGGTCGAATTTAACAAAATCTAGAACAATCTCCGACTTTCACCGAAAGGTAACGTGAAAATATAGGTCAAAGAACTTTTGTACAAGTTCCAGAAACTCTCGCCGTCGGATCGAGGCTTTGAACCGCCCATCAGGTCGCTCTGGTCCGAGCTAAACCAACACATCCAGGAAGAAGAGTCCCACGACCTTCCGGCTCTCGAGAAGACCTTGGCAGAGGGTGATTCGAAGTCTATGGTGAGCAGTTTCGGGCGGATGAAGATGTTCGTCCCCACACGCAGCCACCCTTCGTCCCCAGACAAGCCTCCATTCGAGACGGTTGCGGGACTGATGGCCGCACCCATGGATAAACTGAAAGATCTTTTCCGACGGTTTCCAGAGTAATCGAAAGGGGCGGCTTCTTGGCGTTGTCACCGAGAAACGTGACACCGAGATACCGATATACGATATTCCCATGATGGAAATGACGGAAATGTGGTTGCAACGAGGCTTAGCCCAGGGGTATAGGTGAGGCTGGTTGGGTCGGTCCCTCAAGGGCCCCTCCAACGGATTCCAAATCCGGCGCCAATAGAAAGTCAATTTGTCTCAAGGTATCTGATGCGTCCAATCACCACTCCTATTTGCAAAAGAGAATACCGAATAGTTGGTGGAAGATCGACGATGATTTTCAGGTTGATATGATATATAGAAGACCGGATTTTCATCGTCCGCCTTGGCATATGTTTGGCCATCGTCTGAATCGAGTTTCCGCATGGACAGAGGCAATGAATGGGGCTTGACAGGTCAATTGGATGAATCATCACCACGACGAGTCAAACAAGGGGTTTGCGTTCAAGGGTCGTCAAAGAGAAAAGCAGGTACAAGGCAGGAACATGTCTCACCTCGCCCTATCACCCGGTCTAGCCCTTTATCGTTCCTGTCCAAGAGACCAAATTAGAACAGGCCATCCTCTCCCGGATGATTCGCACAGCAAGACCGTGGGAGGCATCCCTGTGGCGTCCGACACTTTTCTCTTCCAGAAGCAGCAGCACTTCAATTGATCCAAGCTTCTTGAGAGAATCACACATCCCTGTGAGTCCCAGCTACGAGAGCATTGCTAGATCCAACACAAGGCTTGTTCAAAAAGCGGTGCATTCGGCTACTTTGACACAACCAGAGACCTGACCAAGGCTCATTTCTTGAGCAGCGTCGACCTGCGAACCCCCGCCTCCGTCCGCTTTTCGACTGTTACGCTGGGCAGAGAATTCCCCGACACGGTGCACAACCCCAGCGAATTTGCCATCAAGTTCTCAGCAAACTGCCCCTTCATGGCGAGCTCGTATGCGTCTCTGAACTTCGACGGCCCGTTGCGCGTCGATGCCAACCACGCCACGAACCCGCAGTACGCGCCCAACAGCTTTGTGGACAAGTGCCGTCCGGACGCCGCCGAGGCTCCCTAAAAGGTTGGCGACAACACCTGTCGCGCAGGTCGCATTTATTTCACGAAGGCCCCCCTCACCGAGTACGACCAGCCCAGAGACCTGTGCGAGAACGTCATGAGCGACAGGGAGCGCGAGCATCTGCACTCCAACACGGCTGTCATGTTGTCCCACGTCAGTGAGCCAATCATCCAGATCAAGTATTTGGTGCAGCTGTACAAGATCAAGCCAACCTACGCGCAGGCCGCGTACGAGGGGGCTCACGGAGAAGAAGTTCGAGTCCGCCGAAGTCGAGAAAACGGCCGACGGCATCGAAAAGGCAGGACACTACGACAAAGTTCAGGCCCACTCAGGTCTCGGAGAGGTTGGTGGGGTTGCCTGCGACGGGCGTGTATAACGCCGTCTAAAAGAGAGGCAACATGGAGTGACTTTTCCGGGGGCAGATTTGCGCAGATGATGATGAATGACGTGAAGGTGGTGCTACCGCTCCACCACGCAATGCCATCATCTCTACTCAAGCATGCACAAGGCAGATGATATACGAGGAACCTTAACAAGGAAATTCATAAGTTGCCGCCTAAGTAAGCAAAAGAATACTGAGTACTGTACTGGGGAAGCGGAGCAGAAATGACCAAGCGGATTTCTCTTCTCGTATCATAGACCCTATATCTCTTCCCCCTCCCTTTGAGGTGGTATTCTAGATTCTCTCGCCGATCTCGACTGTGGGCGGTGCGTATAAAGTGAAAGGTGAACGTGAGAGGTGAGGATGTCCAAGCGTGCGAGGTACCGAGTAGTTCATATTGTGGACCAGGTGGAGGAAGGCCCGCACGTGAGCTCGCCCGTGACCTTATACTGCCAAGAAATTTGTACCCAGCACGTGGAGACGCGACCTTTGAGGCGGGTTTCCTCACGCGTGGCCTGCGTGTGACTATTTTCCTTCGTTCAACGTGACAATGTAATGCTTCTATAAGCACAGTGTCAATGACGGGTTCTTCATTGCTATACTCTGTAGAAACTCCTGCTTCCTCCCTGTCTTGTCACCTCTACTTTTCATGCGACTCTGTTCCTCCACTCTTGTCGTGCGCTCCCCGACCAGTGCATTGAGATCTCCAAAGTCCTTCGTCAATGCTATCATGCTTGCCCGGGCAGCCAACAGACATGCGTCCTCAACCTCCAACGAGAAGAAACAATCTCCATTGCAATTCAATTCCTCTGCGCTCAATGCTCCCCGGGAGCCTTCATCGGGTCCTCTGAAGAGAAAGCTGGATCGGAGCATGAGCACCTCCAGCAACCTGGGATCTCTCCATCAGCAACATTGGTCCAATGAGAACATGCCTCTGAGCTTCGTTGACCTCACAGATAGTGTCGAAGACACGTCCGACGTCCGATACCCTGACCTCCATTCTATAGATGCTGTGTCTTATCCTTCGCTTCCTCCGGTCCCAAAAGGCTCCGCCGCCGCGCCGGCCAGTAGCACCGAAATCCCGTGGTCGTCGTCCCCAGCGCATCACTATGAAAACCCAACCACGCGAAAACTGCCACAAGATATACCGGAGCCACGCCTAGTGGGACCAAACAAGAAAAGAGCTCTCCCGGCGTCATTCACGTCGCAAGTCTCAGCAGCATCTCGGGATGGAGAAAACAGCAGAGCGCAGAGCAATTTCAATGCCAATGGCGAGAACACCGCCAGATTTGATAGATTCAGAGCGCCAAAACCCTTCCAGAACGCAAGCAGCCGTGACAAGGCGTCCCTAGCAATGTCGGACATGTTAGACAAATCATCATTCGCCCGTCATCGAACAAATACGTCGCTTTCAAGATCCTCATCTGACCGCACGGCTCCGTCGTCCGCAGAGCCTGCCGAAGCAGGAGCGGCAACGTTTGACAGAGTCGTCCCGGAACCTTTCTTAAGTGACGAGCAGAAGGGTGTTATGAAGGCAGTGATTGACGAAGGGAAGAGCGTGTTTTTCACCGGGTCTGCTGGTACAGGGAAATCAGTTCTTATGAGGGCGATAATTTCCAAATTGAAGCACCAATACAGGAAAGACCCTGACCGGATTGCAGTTACGGCGTCGACAGGCTTAGCATCGTGCATCTTGGAGGGACAGACGCTACACAGTTGGTCGGGCATTGGGCTTGGAAAGGAGCCTGCGCCTGAACTCGTCAAAAAGATCAAACGCAACCAGAAATCGAGACAGAAATGGCTCAGGACCAAGGTTCTCATCATTGACGAAGTATCCATGGTTGACGGTCAGCTTTTTGATAAGCTCGAGCAGGTGGCGCGTACTATTCGAAACAACGGTCGTCCGTTCGGCGGTATCCAGTTAGTTGTCACTGGTGACTTTTTCCAACTTCCTCCTGTACCTGACAAGAATTCTTCGGCCAAGTTTGTCTTTGAGGCGGTAACGTGGAACACCTGCATTCAGCATACGATCCTGTTGACCCATGTCTTCCGCCAAAAGGACGAACAATTTGCAAAGATGCTCAATGAAATGCGGCTAGGCAAGATGAGTCCTGCTACTATCCGAGAGTTCAAGTCACTTTCCAGGCCCTTGGATTTTCGTGATGAGCTTGAGGCGACCGAGCTGTAAGTTTTCCGCTGTGTAGTAAGGCAGCACGCTAAAATGCACAGGTATCCTCGCCGCGAGGAAGTCGAAAATGCCAACCAGAATCGCATGCGAAAACTGTCTGGCCAAATCATGACCTTCAACGCTGTTGATTCGGGCATCGCTGAGCCTAACACGCGAAAGGCGTTGCTCAACAACTTTATTGCTCCTGAGGTGTTGGAGCTGAAGAAAGGCGCCCAAGTCATGCTGATCAAGAATATTGACGGGCAGCTCGTCAACGGGTCCCTGGGAATCGTCCAATCGTTCATGGATGAAGGTACGTTCTTCACCTACAAGGATGATGAACCTACATTTCTCCTAGCGCACGAGCCCGGTGACGGAGGCGATGACAGTGATATAAAGGCAGCACGTGAGAAGATCCAGGAAGCTAGATTGAAAAACTCGACCACGAGCGGCGAGCCTAGAAGGTTGTGGCCCATGGTGAGATTCAATCTACCCGACGGAACATCAAGAAGTATGCTCTGCTGCCCGGATGAGTGGAAGACAGAATCCCAGAGCGGCGAAGTCCTTGCGAAACGAGTTCAAGTACCTCTAATTCTAGCATGGGCACTGTCGATTCACAAAGCCCAAGGCCAGACACTGACACGAGTCAAGGTGGACCTTGGGAAAGTGTTCGAGAAAGGCCAAGCCTATGTCGCGTTGAGCCGAGCACGAACAAAGGAAGGCTTACAGGTGCTTCGGTTTGACGAACGGAAAGTCATGGTCCATCAGAAGGTGTTGCAGTTTTATTCCAAGCTATCTAGTCATGAGACGTTGGGGAAGAAGGGGGTCAAGAATGAGTTGATCGATGAGGATGACTTTGGAGATGAGTTTTCGGTCGAGGAGATGCTCGAGGCTGAAAAGCAGATGTTGAGGGCCGGCGCGATGTAGCAGAGTGGCCTGGCAACGTGGAGAGAACTCGACGGAATGGGCGAGCACCCAAAGACGATGTTGACCGGAATGTGCTGAGCAAGACATCTCGTTGTGGCTCAAAGAGCCATGGCACCGACATGAACAAGTCTGTAGATATTCGATTGTAGAGCACAGTCTATGACAGTCTGTGATGAATATCTGATGTGCGGACTATGGACTATGGACTATGGACTATTGACTATCGACTCTTCGGCCTTATTTAATATGCTCGTGTGCGATGATGACGAAAGAGGAAACACCAAACTTGACTTTTCGGCAAGCACAGACTCGAGTCGTCGGGCATTGATTTGCCCTGACAAGGCACTCACACAGCAACAACGTCCTCGATCCTCGCAGGTGCCCCAGGACATCAACTTCTCATCGCTTCAGACGATCTTGTACTTATCGTCCTTACTTTGCGCCATCTCGAACAGCATGAACATCTAGATCTGTTTCACTCCATCTGCTGCACTCGTTCCTTTCCTCCCTTTACCATGGCCTCCGACTTTGTCGGCTACACCATCTTGGTCACGCTGCAGAATCCTCCGCATGCCCAGGTCCAGGGTGTTGTGGCCAATGTCGTCAATCAGAAGCTCTTCTTGCACAATGGTAGGCTTGAGCCCTGTTCCCGGCTCGCTTTGCTGACCCTGCGCGGCAGTACTTCTATGGAATGGCCAGCGGCTCCCCTCATACGCCATTGAGTCCTCCGCCATCGCAGACCTCGAAGTGTCACCTTCCCAACCATCCACCGTCGAAGAGGAGGAATTGACTACACCAGTCGCCGCCGCCGCGGCCGAATCCCAGAAACCTCTATTTGCCTCAGCCCTGCGACAGCAACAAAATGCGCCCGCGTTCGTCGACCCCGCCATCATCAGCTACACAAAACCGCCAGCCAAAGTTGCAACAATGCCGGCAGTCGTCCAGCCCCCGCAGCCAGTGTCTCCGATTATGATTGCTGATGGGGTCGTGAGCAGCCCATCTATACGCTGGCCACGCAATGGCAACATGGGTAACAGTTCCGTATCTAGTATCGCTACGGCTGTCCCTAAAAAGACCGAGAAAAGGAACACTCCCGCCAGTGCCACTCTTACAGAGCCGTTTGATGCGTTGAGTCTGGGGAACAATGTTGCCGGTCCAAAATCGACGCCAGCGGCCATCAATCAGCAGAAGACGCAACACGTACCGTCACAAACCGGCCCAGGCATCATTGACATGAAAGATATCAACAACGGCCCGCTAAAAGGTCAGAAGAAAGCAGGAAAAGGCAAGGGCTGGCGCCAGACTCCATTTGTAGAGGAAGTCCCTCGACAACCTAGAAAGAAGGCTCAGAGGGGTCGGAAACCCGCCGAAGAGATCAATGGCTGGGCTACCGAGGATGCCACCGACATCCAGGATATGGGTGATTTTGACTTTGAATCAAATCTATCCAAATTCGACAAGCGGCGAGTCTTTGACGCCATCCGGCAAGCAGACACCACGGCGGAAGCTGACCGGCTGGTGAGCTTTAATCGCAGGGCTCGACCTGGTACCAATGGAGGCCGAAACCTGCATTTCACCGAAAATGTTCTGGACATTCCAGATGGAAAAGACAAGGATCGGTGGAAGAGCGAAGCTGGGGAAACCGAAGATGAGTCGCTCGGGGGAGAGGGCCATTACAGCAGCGGCCGAGGGTCTAAGAGAGCCGGCTCTCGACGGCCGCTTGGTTCGAGAAAGGGCAGTGTCATACCCCCACACATTGATCGAACAGATTCGCCCCGGCCTTTGGCTCGGATCCAGACCTCATCACCCCTCAATGGATCAGTGTCTGGCATTCGTGGGACCTTCAAACTTCCCAACAACAAGCCGTGTCATTGCCTGTCACCACTGCAGATGCTTGAGATTGAGCAACTCTGCACTTCGGAACTCGGCCTCACCGAAGACATGCTCTCGGAGAATGCAGGACGGAGTATAGCAATGGCGGTATTCAAGATCCCCGAGGTTAGAAGTGTGGTGTTTCTAGTGGGCAACCACAAATCCGGTGCTAGAGCCATCGTCGCAGCCAGACATCTGCGAAACCGGAGGCTCAGGGTTACCATTGTCATCCTTGGGGGCGAGCGTGAAGAACTTCTTCTGGAGGTGATGAGAAAGCAACTCAGCATTTATAAGAAGGGCCAAGGGTACGTGGATCGCTGGGATGAATATCAAACCAAAGCCAGTGCAGGCGGCCCTACCCCCGATGTGGTTGTGGATGCTCTGCTTGGAGTGCACGCCACATTCGAAGAACTGCGGACGGATGATCAAGCAACTGTCCTGGAGATGATTCGTTGGGCCAATCGCAGCTCTCTCGTCCTCTCCATTGACGTGCCCAGCGGCTTATCTGCCACTTCCGGGCTATTGACAGAAGTGGATGGGCAGCCGCTCGTTATGAACAGTAAGCATATCGTCAGTCTGGGGGCTCCGAAGACGGGTCTTGCACATGGAATGGCTCTTGATGGAGGCGTGGAGCCTACCTGGCAGGTCTGGGTAGCTGATATCGGCATAACAGCTGCGGCGTGGCAGAAGCACGGGTCTCGCAGGAACCACGGAACAGATTTTGGGACGGAGTGGGTTGTCCCTGTCAAGTTTGTGGTGGGTGCATAAGGCTGAGACAGAGTAAATGGCGGCTCTTCTTGGTTGGAATTCGAAGTCAGGATGAGAGCTGGAGGAAGTCATCTATGTCTGTTATCTATTCGTTGCTGCGTTCAAGCGATGGGCCAAAAGCATATGGGAGGGGCATAAAGTGGATTGCTTTTGCTTTGGTGAAGACATTGTTCATCTTTTCTTGCTTTTCAGAGCCTGGACCGGACGGGATTTCCTTCTCCAACAAGTCCTCGCTCAAGCAGAAGCGCTTCAATCGACAGCTTTGCTCGAGCGGTCATTCGCTTCCAGGCCCGTTCGACTGTATGAATATAGGAATATATCATTTCTCTCGTTATCGGAATCTTTGACCACCGTCCTTTTCCGAAACCGATCGGACAATAAAAGAAAAAACAAAAATAAATCGTGTATCCTATTCTATCACTACTGGGAATCGGATCAACAGAGAAATAAACGGCACATCCTAACTAGATCAGAGGGCGACTCGATTAATTTATTGGCGGATCGATGAGCCTAGCTCCTACAATATCCATTTTGACGTGGTTTATTTCGTTCGAATTATCGAGCGTAGCATAGCATAGCATAGCAAAGCATAGTATAACATGGCATAACATCGTCATGTGCGGCGAGGGCGAGGCGAGGCGATTTGGGCGATGTACGGTGAGACGAATGGCTTCGGGGTTTCTTTTGTCTCTCTTCTTTCGTCTGCTCTCGTCTCCTCTCCTCCCATCCTGTTCCGTTCTCTCGCCGTTTCTCTGCACAGTCCGTGGTCCCCCCCGGTCCCCCTCTCCTCGTCCCTTCCGGTCCATCTTCCGCGCAAGGCTGCGACTCCGGGGTTCTTGTATACTCTCTCTCTCTCTCTGTTTCTCTTTCTCTCGCGTGCGCGCGCCCGTGTGTCTTTGACATCGTATAATCAATATTTCGCCCCATGTCCCCACAGACGAAATGCTCAGCCTATCTCCCTCGGTCTTGATCCGTTTTGTTGCATTTTCCCTCCGTCCGAAACCTCATCAGCAGGTGATAAATAATTCATTCCCCCCCCCCCCCCCCCTCAAAAATACAACCGCTCAACAATGAGATAAACCGAGCAGTCGGGCGCCTCGAGAGAAAAAAAAAAACCCCCCGGAACCCGTCACGTCACGGCGTAGCAGGATAGCCCAGTTCCTTCATCCTTTGGTACCACATCTCCTTGAACCGCCCGTGGGCCAACCTGTGCGACTTGTCGGTCGTGGCGCGGATGTAGTAGCTCAGCATTTTGTTGCATCTCAACTCGTTGGTCTCGTAGAGGTTGACGATCCAGCCGCGGCCGTCGCTTGCGTCCAGGGCCTTGACGTCGCGCGGCTCGGCGACCCGGATGCTGAAGCGGCCGTAGATGGTCACCCCGGAGCCCGGGTTCGTCAGCGCCTCCATGCCGTCCTTGGTGCGACGGATCGCGCTGTAATAGGTCAAGTCGGTGCTGTAGCCCGGGAGCACGTTGAGTTTGTCCGTGATGGCATAGTGCTGGAAGTCCTCGGTCGCGTACTCGGCATTCAGGTCGACTTTGAAATCCCTGGAGAGAGCCATGTAGTCGACCGCCTTTGGGTCCGAGGCCGGGATGTTGACCACGTTCGTGATCAGTGGGTTCAGCCGGGCCATCAGAACCGGGTCCGAGCACATCTTCAGCGCGAGATCAAAGCCGGCCTCCAGCACATCTTGGGGCGACTTTCCCTCTGGTGGGGCCGGCAGGAGGAGGTCGGTGATCCAGCCAGATTTGAAGGTTGTCTGCATGAAAGACATGGTTTGTCGTTCAACGCCGGATTGATGTCGGGTACGTGGTACTCGGTAGAGCGTGCGCTGAGCACAGGACTCTTTTGCTGTGAAAGAGTGATATTACTGTATGGCCCTGTCGGATGCCAGTTGAGTCCGAGCGAGCGGAGTCCGAGCGCTGCAAACAAAGGGACCAACTTTCGAAGACGAGTTCTGGCACTTTGCTTTGTACAGTCAGCAATCACCTCCGCAGCCCGCGCGGTATGTCGTTGCACAGGAACAGAAGATGTTGACACCGGCCGACAGCAATTGTGAAAGAAGAGCGTCGTCGTCGTCGCTCAGGATTTCAATCAAGTTTATTTGGCAGAGGGATACGAGGTAAGCGTCGGCGATCAAGGGAGGCAACTGGCCGCCCCCAAAGTTCGACCACCTCTGGGGCCACCAACGAAGTCGCTTTAGTGGTCGTGATGGGCGTGGAGAATGTAACGGGTAGTAGAAATGGCGGCGGGGAGGCAGGTCAAATAAAGGCAGAGTAATCTTCTATTATTGTTAACGGCTTTCTGGAACTATGCATCTCAGCCTTTAGGGCGCTTCAGCCGCAGAGGCAACCACGGGAGCTTGAACGTGGAATCAAGGTGCTTATGTTCTTATTTTCGCGTGGTGAATCTTATGGGAGGATGGTGTAAAGGCGCCCCGGCCAGCCACGGGCAAAGGGTGCCAGGTGGGGGATTAACTGAGCAAAAGTGAGATGCAAGTGAGATGCAAGTGAAGTGAGATCTCAAAATATCCCGCTTCTTCCCTCCGCCTCTCGCTTCTCTCTCTCTCTCTCTCTCTCTCTCTCTCTCTCTCTCTCTCTCTTCCCTTTGTCTCCTTCTTTCACTTCTTCTATCACCACTTCTGATACCACCACCATCGCCACCGCCACGACTACTTACTGCCACTGCCTGCGGACTCGTCTATCGCTTCCTTCCCCCCATACAATGGATCTTTGTTCGCAGCGGACAGGCCCTCCTCCAGACGAAACAAACAGCCACAATGGACTCTTAACCACCTCCTTCTTTGACTCCTTTCCCTCCCCTTTGTCTCTTATATTCACATTACTGTTAAGATACAGCTCCTTGCCTTCTAATGCCTTCAATCCTCGCCCCTTTGTTGATCCTCGATACTATTTAAACCTCGAGCGAGCCCACCACCGAAGTTGAGGTCAAAACAAGTAAGCTACCAAGGTGAGGGCAGGACTCGATTCGAGACTGACATCGCAACCAATATCGACCACGCCCTACAAAATGTCTGACTCTGACGGTTCAGCCGGGAAATTGCCCTTGACCTTCGGCATTGAGATTGAACACCTCTTCGGTATCAACATGGATATCATCTCATCCGACCCAGCATATCAGGTGCTACTTCCACAAGACTGTATGCTTGAAGCTAACCGTGACAATCTTACAGGTTACGACCCGAAGCACAAGAGCCATACGGGCCTTCTTCAGGCCGTCAGAATTTTACGTGAATATGGGGCCAGAATCAAGGTTCAACTCTCCCAAGAGGGTGATGGGTCCTTCGACATGTTTTCTAAATGGAACATGTCACACGATGGCTCGGTGAAATTCCCTACTCATCCCATCGAGCTGCGTGTATGGTCCGATGATAAGATCAGAGACATGGCAGGCTGGCAGTTCGCCGGTTTGGAGCTCATTTCTCCTGCGCTGAAAGTCCCCAACCTCGACTCGCTTGGCCTTCAACCCAACGGGCTCGTTGAGCTCGCGGCTTATCTGGCACTACTGACAAAAAACCACCCACCAGATGCACCTTACTTTTTCCTATCCGGTCCACAGGTCGCTGGCGTTCACGTTCACATCGGCTTACAACCACAACCCGAAGGCCAAGTTGAGATACCTGTTGCGTTTCTACAGCATCTCGCCTTTATTTGCCTAGCTTTCGAAGATACGACAACGTTGCTACACCACCCCCACAGACATGGGTACGTCACTTCGTATGCTCGCAACCACGTTGGAACCAATCGGTTCGTGGGGAAGTGGCCGCCCGGTGACTTCCCGCGCCATTCTTGCAACCAAGGGTCCAAGTTCTTGTGCGAAGATGCGTTCCTTCGCATTTTCCGAGCGAGCGACCGCACCGAACTGGTCGAATTGTTGACTACGAGAAATGGCCAGCCTTGGATGCAGACTGAGTTCTTTGTACGCGAATGCTTTGTCAACTTCTCCAACTGTCTTGAGAACCTCGACCGGTCTTACAAGCGCACTATTGAGTTTCGACAGCATCATGGGACCCTGGCCTTTGAGGACCTCTCCCAATGGGTTGTCTTTGTGACGGCTCTAGGTCGGGCGGCCGAGCGTAAAGCGAAGGAGACTCCACGAGATGATGGCACCCAGCCACAGTCAGTTATACAAAAAATCGAAGCTGCTCGTGCTCGTGGGCGTGCTAGTGTGAATGTCGAAGAATCTGGAGTGTTGGGAATGGCGCCTAATGTACCTAGATCTCACATCAAGGACATTCCTCCTGAGAAACTCTGGGAGGACACGGCTTTCGACATTGACGCCACGACAACCATTGTTCAGGAAGCGTCCAAGTATCCCGACATATTCCAAGAGGGAAAAAAGCGATCACTCAAAGAGCTGTTTGATCTGCTTGAACTGCCCCTCGACGTGAGACAGTACTGGTGGCAACGCGCCAAGAAATTCAGAGCCGAATGGGCAACCAACTGGCAAAGCCAGTCGACTTGCCAGCCCGACTATTATTGCTGGTCTGAGCCTGTGAGGGACTGCGAAGGCTGGGCTGACGGTGAGTTGGACAGTCCACCGTGGGATGTTGGTGCCGCTGGTGCTGGCCGTGCTCCTCGTGATCCTTTTCGTCCTCTCCAAGCAGGTGGCTTCCCTATCCACCTTGTAGATGCGGATGTCGACGTCGACATGATGGATACGGAACCTCCGACCACAGGAACCCGGGCAGGACCATCGCGCCGACGATCATTTCCATAGCGGCCGTTATCAATCATGCGTTGTCTCCTTCAGAGAGCTCACCACGGGAAACGTAGAGGATGAGAGTCGATGCGAGGAGGAACCGTGAAGTCGGCTTTGAAGAAGGTAAGTTCGTGACACTGCACGGGGCATGCAAAAGGGCAAAAGAAAAGAAGAGAGTGGGAAAAAGCACCAAAAAAAAGAGCTCAATAAGGGTGGTTCGTTGTCAGGTAGGATATTTGACTACAGTTACTAGGCAGGTTAAATGGGGCGTTTCCATTCTCATGTACCTAGAGATAGATAGCATCTCACCATGAATCGAAATTTCCAAACCCGCCTCCCACTCCACCTTTCAGCTTTTTCCGCACGGGTTCCTCAGGCTCGTCATCGACGAACTCGACAATCTCGCCCTCCTCTTCGTTGTCGTTGCTTTTGCCTTGCTTCGCCAACTGAGAGGCCTTGAGATACTTCCCGACCTGTCCCGGTGCACCGCCCGAATCGACCGTGCCGTCGTCTCGTATCCTCTTCCCCGTCCACGTCGTGCGGTCTTCGTCCACACCACCACCACCACCTCCTCCTAGACCTCGTTCGGCACTTCTTTCCGATTTCTCCTTCTCGCTCTGCTCGGCCTCGTTCTTCTGCTTCCAGAACTCCTCGAACGGATCGATCAGCACGACCGCATCAAGGATCTTGATCTCCTCCTTGGGCCGATCACTGCTGTCCACGGGCGCGTTTTCGAGTCGTTTGAGCGTTTCCATCGATTGATTGTCGTCGTCTTCCACGACGCGTCCGAAGATAGTGTGTTTGTGGTCTAGGTGGCTCACGGGCCGGTATGTAATGAAGAATTGCGAACTGTTTGTGTTCTTACCTTTGTTCGCCATGCTCAGAACGCCCCTCTTGTCGTGCTTCAGGGGCCCCTCGAGCTCGTCGTTGAAGGGTTTGCTCCATATGCTTGTCCCTCCCCGCCCTGTCCCGGTCGGGTCTCCAGACTGGATCATGAAGTTGCGGATGTTGCGGTGGAAGATGATCCCGTTGTAGTAACCTTTCTGCGCGAGTTTGATAAAGTTCCACACCGCTTTGGGCGCGTATTCGGGGTTGAGTTCCAACGTCAGGGGCCCGAGGGTGGTGGACAGCCTGACATAACCTTTATGTTTGACGCGCCGGGGTTTTAGAATGTATTCTTCGTCGGTCATCGTCGCGAGAGCGTTGGAGGTGTGCGGTGTGAGGCCGGTGGAGGTGAAGGAGGCTGCGGCTTGGCCGGTGGTGTGCCGGGTCGCATTGTAAGGTGCTGGTTTCGATGACTGCGCTGTTGAGGTTGTCTTCTTAACAGAGTTCGTCGACATCGATGTCGACAGGGATTTGTCCTTTTGTAACGGCACATTCGCTCGCTCGGCTCTGGCTTTCGCGACCGCCTCTTTCGCCTTCATGATTTTCAGGTCCGCGGCACTACCCAAACTGGCTGTATTGATCGACGCTTCCTCCTTAGGGATTCCTGAATCTTCCCCATCTTTCAAGTACTTGAACGAGCTCAGGTTGCGTGACTCCACGTTCTGCGGATCCTGCAATGTGATCATATCCTTTCTCGAGAACTCCTCGTCCGAGACTAAGTCGCGCCACATCTTGGCCTTGATATTCAATCGCTCGACGGTGTCATACGCGAATACATTCGCCGAATCGCCATGGCGGACCGCAACGATGTGAGTATTGTCCGTAAACACCTTGAATGTGACAGGGTCGACATATTCATCACTGTCATTCTTCGCAAAGTTCAGCTTTATGAGGCCCTGCTGTTTCAGAGGCTTCCCATTCGTCGGGTTCGTGTCATGTTTCAGCAGCCAGCGAAGGATGTTCTCGTGGTCGAATATGATGCCCTCGGGCGTGCATACAGGCGTGGTGAAAGGCTGCAGGCTTAGAGCGCAAAAGTTGAAGGGCAGTCTCTTGAAGGCGGCATGGTGGGAGGTGTCAGCACGCACGCCGGCGCCTGCGCTGGCTGAGTAGGCGTCGGAAGAGGCCCATTCGGAGTGAGTGATCTATTAGAGAATTGTTAGTCCCGGCTGGCGACTTGATGTTCGCGAAGAGTGCTCATACGTAGAGTTTATCGGTCCCTGAAGAAGCTCGTCAGCATGCTGAGGCGAGCGAGAGGAGGCGATCTGACCTTTCCCCATATCCAGTAATTTGACAAGAGTCCTCGAGTGCTTTGATGGGGAGGATGTCGAGTGGCAGTGGAGGGACCGAGTGAAAGTCAAGTGCATGGAACATGGATCGGAGGACGGAGAAACAAATATCCGCCAAAAACTTTCCACGTGACTCGTAATACTCGACTCGTGTTGAACAAAGGAAGAGCACAGCCACGTGACTTCCGCATGCGGTATTGAGGAATGTCCTTTGTATTCAGATAGAATAAATAGGGAGGCCTCCCCAGAGTCATGTGGGAGTCCTCCATCCGTCTTAAATATATCTAAATGCTCCCCATTGGTATATTCAACTACTCGCCGTCTTTTATTACTGACTGCATCGGCCAAATCCAGCACACTGTAATATCATCGATGGTTTCGCGAACAATTGACTGAGGCTATCCGCTGATGCCGTGTCTCGGTGGCTGTCTCAAAGCCGGGCAGGTGGAGGCAACGAGACTCAATCATTCTATTCTATAAGTCTTGTCTAAGTCTATCGGCTCCATCTTGACGCCTGTGATCAAGCCAAGTTCAAGGCAGAGGGCTACCTTGGGATACCTAGGTATTTGAGATACTCCGCCGGCCCAGAAGAATTCCATATGTCCTTTTCGGCTTCAGTTGCAATCCATACAAGGCCCAGCATGGCCGCAGAGTTTGCGCCTGCTCCTCTCTCAAGGCCACTGTGCCTGCGGGGAATCAGGCACATCCATTCCTTGACCAGGATCACATTGTAGTCGGTGCCTCCGCCGGCTTCTTTGTGGCTTTGTTGAACCTTTCTGAGCAACTTTTCGTAGGTTTTGACAAGGTTGTTTGCGTCCGCGTCTGTTGGAAGTCGAAGAACGAAGTGTTTGTAAGGCACGTTGGGTATATTGTCAGTAACATTTACTGTCGATTCAACTGTGTTCGGGAAAAGCTGGAAGCCCAGGTCCTGCTCGTCTGGGTATGGCCAAAATTGCATATGCTTATGCCCTTGGCTAGATCCTGATTCGAAGCCGCAATTGTAGATCACCATATACTCCGTGAAGTGCCTTAAGATTGTCCAGGCAGCTGACAAGTCGTTGCGGTCAAGGCCATCGGACTGCGGTGCAAAATGTCTTGTGATGACTAGCAAACTAGGTCGATAGACGCTGAATTTGTTCAAAATCAGAAGATGTGATGGCCCGACTGCTGAGAGAATCTCTTCGGGATTCGGATTGAGGAATGGATTGTGCCCCTTTCCCGTCTTCCTCTCAGGCGCATCCGATGGGGTGATGGGCTTGCGGCGCAGGTGAGGCACGAATCGAAAATTGAGCTGTGGCTGTTAGGTTCAATCGAATTTGGAAGCGCAGATGACTTGCTATTCTCTTCGTTGGCCTAGCGGAGGCCGAGCAAATCACTTACTTTGAATCCTTGGTCTTCCAGACTCTCGGCCGTTGAAGGCTCGTAGATTAGCTGTCCTTTAGCCACCTGGTCGTCAAATTTTGCAAGTGAGAGTGCTTCTAGGTCGGGTGGAAGTGACGCTGAATCTCTAGCATCGGATAGCGCTCCATTATCTTGTAGACTGCCTTTATCCATTTTATCTCCTGCTCTCACATCTATCTCGACAGTCTGATAGACCTTGTCAGCGGTGTGACCGATGATATCATTTAAGCTATGATTGATCCGCTTCACATGCAAGCTAAGAAGCAAATTAAGAGGAGAGATCCCGCCCCTGGGTCCCTGACAGTGCAAAAGAACAGGAGTCGGCCGACTCGACGAAGCTCGAAATGAAGAAGGGACCTCTGCGATCTGAAGCCAAGTTCTGACAAGGTAATGAAACAATGCCTTTAGAAGCCGTCTGTCGCAGCCCGTACAGCTGAAAGAGTGAGAGCCGACGTGCCTGGCGCAGAGCAAATACTTTGTGCAGCAGTGCGGATCACGGTGAGGAATGAGTAGCTTCGATACTTCATCTCAATTGCACTTTGTGGTATTTAATGCCAAGAATACTTCACCGTACCAACTGATTATCCCTGATTTGGATATAGTCTGGAGCTCTCCTGCAGGCTCGTTCGAGAACATTTTATTTTTCTGGTCCGTATCTCCGTTGATTCCATTGCTTGTATCAACTTCCATCTTTGCGTGCTGCAGTCTTGGGATTTCTCTTCTTTTCCTTCATTCTTCCTTCTTCCGGCGTCGCGATGGCCTTCTCTCGCTCGGTTGTTTCTCTCCTGCGCACTTCCCGGCACCTTGTATCCCCCGCTCGAGGTGTTAACCCTGTCAACAGAGTCTTTGGCCATGACAGATTCGCTGCCAGGGCATATGCTACCGTTTTCGAGCGGACCAAGCCTCATGTGAACGTTGGTCAGTGGCAAGCCTGTTCCTCTTGCTCCGGTTTCTTCCTCTGACCTTTTCTCAGGTACGATTGGTCACGTCGATCATGGAAAGGTAGATTTCTCCCCCGTTATTGTCGAGCCCTCGGCTTATCATCGCGCTAGACAACCCTCACAGCAGCTATCACGAAAAGACAAGCGGACAAAGGCCTGGCACAGTTTCTTGATTATGGCAAGATTGACAAAGCTCCGGAAGAGCGAAAACGTGGTATCACAATCGCAACTGCGCATATCGAATACGAGACCAATAACCGCCACTACTCGCACGTCGACTGCCCCGGTCACGCTGATTACATCAAGAACATGATCACTGGTGCTGCTCTTATGGATGGTGCTGTCGTGGTGGTTGCCGCTGGTGATGGACAGATGTGAGATACCTCCTTGAAGCCCATGCTTGAGATTGACTTTGCGCAGGCCTCAAACACGAGAACATCTCCTATTAGCGCGTCAGGTCGGTGTCCAAAAGCTTGTTGTTTTCGTCAACAAGGTCGACACTGTTGAGGACCCTGAAATGTTGGAACTTGTCGAAATGGAAATGCGCGAGCTGTTGTCCTCTTACGGCTTCGAAGGGGACAATACCCCTATCATCTTTGGTTCTGCGCTCTGTGCGCTCGAAGGCACCAGGCCCGAGATTGGCGTCGAAAAGATTGATGCTCTGCTGGAGGCTGTCGATACTTGGATCCCAACCCCCGTCCGAGACACTGAAAAGCCCTTCCTCATGTCAGTCGAAGAAGTCTTCTCCATCGCAGGAAGAGGCACTGTCGCCTCAGGCCGCGTTATGCGAGGCGTGTTGAAGAAGGATAGCGAGGTCGAGATTGTGGGTGGTCGTGACGAGGTTATCAAAACCAAGGTTACAGACATTGAAACATTCAAAAAGTCCTGCGAAGAATCAAGAGCTGGTGACAATTCTGGTCTTCTCCTAAGAGGTGTCAAGCGAGAAGACGTCAAGCGTGGAATGGTGATTGCCGTTCCCGGTACTGCCAAGGCACACCAAGAAGCGCTTGTGTCGCTGTACATTTTGACCGAAGAGGAAGGTGGCAGAAAGTCAGGTTTCACAGAGAACTACAAGCCACAAGTCTACATCCGGACGGCAGATGAGGCGGCACAGCTCAAGTTCCCTGAGGGTACTGAGGACCCAAGCAAGATGGTTATGCCCGGTGACAATCTTGAGATGGTCTTGAAGACTCACCACCCAGTGGTTATGGAAGCTGGTGAACGTTTCAACGTGCGAGAAGGTGGACGGACGGTGGCGACTGGCCTTATCACGCGAGTCCTGAAATAGGTCGGGTAATTCTCCATGTGCAGCGGCAAATAAGAGGAGGGCTACCGCTAGCACCGACGCCTTGGAGCTTTGTATCAAAATGTGTCATGTCTTCATCGTGTCAGAATTTTGGAATGTACATTTTGCCAGGGATTTCGGGTCACAGACTGGGACGATCATGACCGTGGGCATTGCGACAATTGGGGAGTCCGATCTGGGATGGAAGAAGCTTGCATATACCAACCTCTCTACTTCAATTCCAAAAAGTGTTTAAACATGCCACCTAGTCAGGTAGGGAGATTCCCATCACATCGTCCGCTCTCTGGTCCGTCCATGGCCTTGCTCCTGAAGTTGCTCAATCCCGGCACCGCTTTCAATCATGATCACGTCGATCTATTCTCTACTTTATCTTGACTACCTTCCACTTATCCCTCAGCCACCTTTGTTCTCTTCAGGTGTTAGCATTTGAGAACTCCATCGGCTTGTGCCTTGCTCAGAAACCGTCACGGCTCGCCGCTCAGAGGAGTCGAGGAGCTAACCACTGTACGAGTTTCAGGGTGTGCCTCTGCTTGCGTCTTTGCACATAAGGACAGATTTGCTGTACGGCATCGTCGAACATCCATTGCCTTGATTAGGTGCCTCATGCTGCGTATAATACACATAGGTTAGCCGCAAGCTCCGCCTCAGCCCCGGCAAATAGGGGCCTTCAGCCTCGTCACGTGTAGTAGGCCAGCCGTCGGGGCTCACTGAAATAACTACCTTCGCACAGCGATAGACTAGGCAGATTCTTGTCCTAAACATTCTGTTGAGGTTCGAGTTCTCTCCCATAATGCATTTCGGATTACGCAGCCACCATTGAAAAGGCGTTTAAGCACGACTCAGTTGAAATAGCGAGTGCTTAGGCTTGGGAACATAAATGCGCCTTGAAGAGGCCAGTTTCTAGCTATTGGATGTATGGCTATTACATCATAAAACTCACCGGCCGCCTCAGAATCTACTTCTGTCAGTCTCCGTTGCCGCTTCGCTTGAGTGCAGTCTGGAATGGCTCAATTTTGGCTCAGCCTCGCTCAAATTCTAACGAAGGAGAGGTTTGCAGCCAATGCCAGCTCTTTCAGGGACGTCCTCTAACTTTTATCACTGTAAAGCAGTTTCACATATCCCGACGGCCAGCCATCTTTGCCGTCCTGTGCGACGATCATGACCATTGTACTGTCTCTGGCGACTTTGCCGACAACGCGGTTGCGATCGTCTTGCACTGGTGGTGGGGGAGTTGGGTATTCACAGACAAATCTTGAAACGCCCGGATCCCCGCCTGTTGCTGCTAGGGGTTTGATTGAGATCGACGACGCAGGGACACGTTGGCCATCGACGTAAATTTCCAGGATAGGGCTGAAATCGCCCCCAAATCCTAATGCCGCAGACAGCACACCTTCAATTGACACGATCAAGTTGCCATCTTGAGCTGGGGTTGTATTGCACTTTGTGATTGACAATTTTGGTCGCGGTTCCCGCAATACCCGTTCTTGCTTCGGTATCTCATCCGATTGTAATGGCGGCGTCAGTGGCGGCACAACTCTCCTCTTGCTGCTTTGCTCATATGCATAACCTGCCTGAAGCAGGTTGAAATCATTATAAGCCTGACTTAAGATCGTCAAGCCTATAGGCATCTTGGAGTCCTCCAGGATACCCATCGGCACTGTCACACTTGGTATGCCTACGTGCCGCAATGCACGATTGCCATGGCTATACTTGACACCATCTGTCCAAGCGTGTTTTGCACTCTTGTCGTCAACGTCTGCATCAGCACGAGCAACATCGCCTGCGGCGGGAAAAGCAACGAAATCGTAGTTGTGATCCGACATCCAACGTTCGAAGAATCGAACTCGGATATGCTCAAGGGCGCTAACAGCATCCTCAAGATGAGGAACGTCGTAGATGGCGCTATTGCCCGGTCTGGTTGACTTGGGACGATCGGCAACATAGCTGCCCAACTTCGCCCAATGGACGGCATTTGCTGGCTCAGTAAACTTGACTTGAGGATTATCGCGCGGCAATTGAGGAAAGATCTTTGTCGGATCTACCTGAGTCAAAGATTGGACGAAGGGATCGTGGTTGTTCTGCAGGAAATCTTCCCAGGCATGAGCAATGAGAAGTCCCCGCTCGGTGGCGTTCCAATCGTCCGGGAGATGGGGGAGAGACGATGGTACATTTTGATTGTCGGGCTTGCGCAGCATCTGTTCGTATATACGAAAGACTGGGAGGTCTGGGATGATCTCGACGTTTGCACCGGTGGCTTCAAGGTCCGCCCGTGCCTGACACCACAACGGTTCGATCGCTCGAGAGACATATGGTCCGCCGTCGTGCTGCTTGAGGTATATTTGCGGAACTGCGATTCGCTTTCCCTTCAGATATCCAGGATTTCTAGCAATAGTCAAAGGCGCATACCATGGATATTGTGGAAGCTGGATGAAAGGTTGATCTCTCCAAAAGTCACCATCGGTCTCGGGATCCTGCCTGGTAAGCACATCCACCAGAACAAACATGTCGTCCATGGTGCGTGTATGAGGAACAACAACATCGCAAGTTGGATACAGCGGCCAATTGCCGCGGATTGATATGACTCCCCGCGAAGGGGTGTAAGCTATTAATGCGCTGTTTGAAGCAGGAGATCGACCAGATGACACCGTCTCTTCGCCCATACCAAAGGCCGCAAAAGATGCTGTAACAGAGACGCCACTCCCATTCGAGGACCCGGATCCAAAAGCGGCAGGGAGATAGTCCTTGTTATAGGGGCTCTCAGCTCGACCGTATATCCCACGAAGCATTCCACCATACGCCATGGGGCACATGTTCGTTCGACCTAGCAAGACTGCGCCAGCTTCTCGCAGGGCTCTAACGGTGAAAGCATCTTCATTGGCGATGAGGTTTTCGAAAGCTTCAGAGCCGCTAGCCACTGTCATTCCCCGAACTTTGTAGCTGTCCTTGACTGTGAACGGGATTCCTTCAAGGGCGCTATAGCCCTGTCCGGCGGCACGACGACCGTCAGCAGCGGCTGCTTCTTCGAACACATTCTCGTTGATCAATGGAATTGAGTTGAGGGCAGTGTTTCTGCAGTCATAGGCACTGATGCGGAGGAGATACTTGGCAACCAGCTCAACTGATGTCAATTTTCCGCAAGAAAGGGCTCTCTGCAAATCGGCGATGGTCGCGTCGACAATAGTGTCGTCCGATGACATATTCCTTGAGCTCCTAGGTGGGTTATCTACCTAAGTCTTGAGTCACGAGAGGATCAAGTCTGAAGAGCCTGTTGAAAAGGTCCTATCTCTGCGGAATGCAAACTAAAAGGATCCAAGGACAACACCAATTTCGAAGACATTGCAAGAATCAAGAAAAGGACATCACGCACCTGCGTTAAATGCTGGATGAAGATTGCGAGGCACGCGCAATAAGATGCAACTGGATCGTCTCCCTGAGCTTATTTTCCCATGCTCACCACATGTCCCGCTCTATTGCTCGATAGAGACACACCGTATACGGTATGAAACAGCGATATGGGGTTGATATCCACTGCCTGTAGCACCCAGACTGAATGCTTTTGGGACTTGAGGTTGGAAATTGAGTGAAAACCTTCTCGCTTGGTCTAACCGTCTTCAGGAGGTCCTGCCGACGCAGCCCCTGAATAAGAAATGCTTCGAGACGCTGGACATCTGCGTGGTGGGATTGACTTCCAGCGACAATGCTGCCTTCCAACGTTCCGAAGTGTGTAGAAATGGGTTCTATTTCCGCTGTGCAAGTAGCAGCATGCATCCCACGTCGGCATCGCATCTTGTTCAAAATATACCTAGTCTGATTCTCCTTGCAAATAGAGTCCAATCCAGATCACCCTACCGAACGATTCCTAGATTTCGAGCAGTGACAACAACGATACCATCGAGAATGCCGGCTACCTGGATTTCGTCAGATGTGCCTGAACAGCAAACCCCAAAATCCGCTCAGCAGGGCCGCTTTCAAATGCCAGCGGAAAGCGCTCGCCACTCGCACACCTTGATGGCTTTCCCAAGCATGGAATCCGCAGAAAGCGCAGAGCACCTTGAAGCGCTACAATCCGAAGTGGTGCACATCGCCAACGCTATCTCCCGCTTCGAACCTGTCCACCTCTACGCCCAGGACGGACTCATCTCACAAGCAAAATCTATGGTCAGCGACAATGTTTCGGTTGGGCCAGCCACAGCAAGCGAACTCTGGATCCGCGACAGCGGGCCGGTCTTCGTCCAAGACTTGCCGGCCGGTAAACGGACGGCAGTGAAGTTCAATTTCAACTACTGGGGCGGCAAACTCCCGGCCATTGGTGACGAGAACGTCGCTGCCCAGATCGCTGCGCATGAAAACGAAACAATAGTAACCTCAAAAATCACCATGGAAGGAGGCGGCATTGAGCATGACGGCGAAGGGACTTTCCTCGGCACCGAAAGCTGTATCATCAACGAAAACCGTAATCCCGGATTCTCCAAGTCTGAAATCGAGACCGAGCTCATGGGCAAGCTCGGGGTCAGGCATTTCATCTGGATACCTGGCGTCAAAGGCTACGATATCACAGACTACCACATCGACGCGCTAGCACGCTTCACATCACCTGGCGTCGTGCTCCTGAGCAAGCCTGGCCCTAATGCGCATTCCACCGCAATCGACGTCTACAATTCTGCCCGCTCTATCCTCACATCCGCAAAAGACGCAAAAGGCCGCAAAGTAATCGTCTACGACTGCGAGGAACCGGACGCAACACTACTTGGACCACCAGATCAACACAACGAAGTCATTGGATCGTATGTCAATTATCTCCTTGTAAATGGGGGCGTTATCATGCCCAAATTCGGACAGGAAAGACAGGATATTGCGGCCTTTGAGTTGTTCAAACGATTGTTTCCTGAGAGGGAGGTGGTGCAGGTGCCGATCAACATCTTGCCTAGGACGGGTGGAGGCATCCATTGTGCAACACAGCAAGTTCCGGAAATCTGAAGATACCTCTGCAGAGACACTTGAATGCGAGGATAACACAATATACACATAGGTGCGAAATGAGCAACATGGCGCGTCCGACGGAGATTAAGTAAGAGCTGGAGGGAAAATGGAATTCGGATCTCCCATGCGCTGATGGGATTGTCTAGATGTGTTCCTGTTCATATAACTATGTACATGGTATTTATCTGTCATAACAGGGGGCCCTCGCACTGGAATGCCTCGGTAGCCTTTTTCTCCTTCGGCAGGTGGCGTGATGAACATCCTCAACACAGAAAGCGGCGCTTGGATCTGTCCAAGTAGAAGCCGAACATCTCCTGATCCCCGATCTCTAAACAGTGGCTAAAAGATTGGCTCCACAACCGCCAGGAAACGTCGGCGCCCACAAATGTGCCTAAGATGACACAATCTTCTCAAGTCGTGAGTCTCAAAATATCGCCAACCAGGACAATATTTAAACGCGCATTTATCAGCGTACATCTACGATCAATCACGAAACCATGTTGGAAAAGCTCCTTTCGCTATTCAAGAAGAGAGATTCGGGGAGGAAATCCTCTCACCCAACGAAACCCCGACGTCCATCGGACCCTTACAGCGGTCTAAGTGAGGTGGCTGTCCCCCCACCGATCCAGAATCGAGACGAGTCCGAAGTCTTTCTCCACCACACGCTGGAAGAGAGCCTCGGACGAATCTCGCGGGGCCAGGATAATGAAGCTGAAAGCGGTGCCAGCGGCGACGTCCTCGTCCGTCATCATACGCTCGAGGAGAACATCAAGCTTGCGAGGGAGCTTTCGCAGGAACTGCGGCGGCAGTCGGACGAGCTGAGGCGGCGTTCTAGCGCGAATGAACGGAACGCAGATGGTCAGACGAGCAGTTCTCCTTGATGGCCTCTACACGGAACTGGTGTCTTGTATTTGAAATTGTCAAAAAGCGAGAAAAGGGAGGCCTTGGTCGCCCTTTCCAGAGTATGGTTCCTACTTGGAATTGGAGAAGCTCAGGAGTGACAGTATACAAGCTTTGGGCAGATTGAGCACCCAAAAGACATTGGCAATGCCGTCATTGTTGATGTCCCTGTGATATACAAGTACTCCTCGAAATGCCATTCCAAGCAAAATCGCCTGCTCAGGTACCTACCTCCTTGGTACAAGTACTGTAGGTAAGCGATTGCTTGCATCCTTGTTAGCCAAGGTTTCTAATCGGACTTGTGCGGATGGGCTGATCAGTGATCACACGATCTACTCCGTTCAACTCAACGCACGATATTCCCCGGGTTCCCCCCCGCATCATCGTCGTCATCCATGTACAATCTGGGGTCTGTGGAATGCTACTAAGAGCTGCGGTCCGCCAGCCGAACCCGCGGATCATATTCGATAACTGCGTCAATTTACGAGAACGACGTGTAATAAGCACAAGCTTTCCTTACACTTTATGCCGCCGCAACTCTGAAGCCGTCAATTTCGTCTTGTTCGCACATTGCGCTGGATGCTCCCTCCTTCGGCAGTTGAGCATACGACAATCCAAAAAGCGAGTCAAGTCCATCATACGATCCCTGCGCCAGTTCACCGGCCATACAAAGGGAGCGGAAAAGTGGCACCATCCGCGCATGGAAACAGAGGTGAGGATCGTGTGATACTGTGTCCCGGTCTACCGAGCTATTGCTCGGCTCTCCGTTTGCACGACAAATCAGAGGTCCAACTGGATTTTTTTTGTGGTGTTGGTGTCTGGCCATGTCTTGCGCCGGCATGGTAGCTCAACGCCACGGCTACTGTAAATTGATCAATAATGGACGACACCTTCTTCTAAGTGGATGGGACTGGTGTGCTAGATGAGGTCCCAACAGGGTTATGGACTAGCAAAATGCTAGGATTGCTGTCACCTAAAGACGCCGCTAGTGGTTCAACGGGCTGCTCACTTCGTCCTGCTCAGGAGATTTTATTCCTAATCATGCGAGCCATGCTTCAAACAGCCCATCCTAACTGTTCGATCTATGAAAGAGTCTCGCGAAAAGAATGCGACAAGCACCAGTCCATTGACTTGAGCGCATGATCCAAGACAAGCACGACCTCGTATTCTACCCCGGTCTTTCGCAGGCCCTTGCAGGCAAACTCAGTGGAAAGAGAAACCACATAAAGCACAAGATGGAAGCAAAGCATCTTCCCACGTCCTCCCTCCTTTCTTCCTCGTGGAATAGAACCTCCCAAGAGAATATTGGAAACCTCAACCATTCAAGCAAATCTAGGATCGTTGAAAGCGAAAGCATTGAGCAAAGATGGCGACGAACGGATTAGAAAACGACAATATTACCAATGGCAACACCTCCCTTGAGCCTATCCACCCAGCCGGGTCTCACGACCAACACAATGACTACCTGACTCGTTACGAGACCACCTCCAAGATGATGCCCAGGGATGAATTCGCATCGATGTACCTTACCCCGTACACTGCACGACTCGGTCATCTCCGGAGCACATTCGCAAACCCTACGCCGATGTGAGTCTAAACTATCCAGACGCGAAGCGCAGAATGGCGCCTCTGAGATTGCGAAGCTAATAGAATGGGACGATTTGTAGGCCATTGATGGGATTCCTAATCGCTGCTCTGCCGTTGGGGTGTAATCTCATGGAATGGAGAGGCTCCGGGGGCCAAGGGGCTGCTCTTATGTAAGTCTAGCTGATGAGCCGATCTTCTCGCGTTGTATCTGCTAACCAGATACCTACCTTCAGTGGCACGTTCTTTTTCTTCGGGGGCCTCCTTCAGCTGCTGGGCGCTGTTTTGGAATGGATTATCGGCAACACCTTTCCGTTCATTGTTTTCGCCTGTTACGGTGAGCACGCGATCTTCCTGCGTCTGTTTGGGAAAATGCGAGTTCGATGGACGAGAGTCGCTAACACTGTTTCTTTCGTAAGGTGCGTTCTGGTTGGCACTAGGAGCTACGCTCCAACCTGACTTCAACGCCCAAACCTTCTACCTCACCCAGCCAGACGGCATTTCAGAGTTTTATTCGAGCTATGGTAAGCACTGGGCTTGCCGCCGCCCCACTGCCCATTGAGTCGAATGGTTAGATTCACGCTGACACCGCTTTCGCTACACAGCTTTCTTCTTCCTCGCCATGGCCCTCGTCACCTTCTTCTTCCTGGTCGCATCCCTGCGAACCAACATCACCTTTGCCTTGGTGTTCTTCTTTATCGACCTTGCATTTATTATGCTGATGGCGTGCTATTGGACACTTGCGGACGGCAAAGTGAACACTGCACGTAAGTGCCAAAAAGTGAGTTGGTCCCCCTCAACGTCTCCCCGTGTCAAAGCCACCAGGATTCCCATGGGGACTTGATGGACGATGACATGCATCCTGATGGGTTCAAGAACTCGCCCTGACTGATGTGAAACACAGGCTGCTGGGGCATTCGTATTCGTCTTCTCCATCTTGGGCTGGTACCTCTTCTTCACACTGATACTCCAGTCCGTGGATTTCCCAATCAAACTTCCGCTCGGAGACCTCAGCACGAAAATCCCGGGCGCTTCGGAGAAGAAGAAAGAACCGACTCCCAAAGCTTAGGGAGCTGGTCGAGACAATATCGGAGCAATGGCTGGGTAGGACAACCATGTGCGGAAGAGCTCTGTTGGTCGGGTTGTATTAATGACGTGGTCGGAACTGGGGTCTGGAAGTTTACAAGCTCGAGACTGGTACAAATTAATTCAGCATTTTCTACCTTTAGTTAATATAATCGTTGAAAGACATACCAGGGGAGAATATGTGGTCGGTTTTGGAATGCAATATTACTTGCACTCTAGTATCTGTCTGTGTATGGGAGGCGAAGCTACTGGGGCTGCACCCAGTGTAGCTCTTGAGTAGCTCAGGATCCATCGGAGGATAGATCCTCCTGCACCCGTGCCCAGCCATTCGTGTTCATGCACCTAGGTCGGACGCTGTAGTGGATGTGCCTTAGTGATGACCACATATTCGTCCAGAGTGACCAGGTCTGGTTCACTGAAGATCAAATAGAAATACTTCAGCGTCTCAACCGGCCAGAAGCTCTCCATTCGATCATCCCTGTGAGGTAAGTCGTCCAAATCGGTAGCTACAACATCAGAGATGGCAGCATTGGTGAATCCAGTCTGGTTAATCTTGTCGATCGACCCGAACATCCGCCATACCTTCTCCTGATAGTATTTGTCGCCTATAATTCAGTACATAATGAAGATGTCTTTAATTACTTCAGGACGAAGAATGCAGTGACGGTTATCGATGTCAGCGAGACCAGGAGGAAGTCAATTTTAAACAAAAATGTTGTTAGCATTGCTTTTCGTCGATGAAGCCCCGCGCTCAAGGACAGCCGGAGCATACGTTGCTGGATTCCAGGTACAATTGACCTTCGAAGGGCAGGCGACGAAGTAGGCGATTTTAGGCATGACACCCCCCGCCATGTTTCGTAAACCCAGACACACCCATCCGTAAGCTTCTGGCCGATCTCGACGTGATCAGAGTTTTGAAAACAATTTGCCACCCAAGGCGAATATGCCACCTGCAGAGCACGATAGATACTGGCATCTTAGCTTCTGTACGATGCCGTTATCATCTACGCGGACATTCTCACCGAATAGAGTGTCTGCATCTGTGAGTGTCATTGGCGGGAACAATAGGTATTAAATCCAAGCAGTCATCAACTCGTCATGCAGCTTTTGATATATTCGGTCCCATCAGCAGCCTTCTAATCCTGCCTTGTAATTGGCATATGATTGGGAGTGTCGAATGCAACAAGCAGCCCGCCCACTTCCATAGCCTTGGTCGGCAGCAGGTCGCTACTGCTGAGATAATAAGTAGCCAAGAAGCCTTCAAGATAGCGGATGGTGGGCTCGCTCGACGAGATTGATCATGTCGTCGGTGGGCGTAGAGAAGTCGATATCGACTGCGGCTGAAGCGGCCTCGTTAAATTCGACTTTCAGTCCCACAATCTAAAGAGCACCGAGCGAGTCTATCAAAGGCGCAGCCCAGTCGCCAAGGACATCACGAGCGCTGCCAGAGATAGGGCCAGTTTATTGTGAACCATGTGAAACAAATGGGATAATGGTTAAATTGTAGCCGGAGTAGACCAAGTATTTGACAATGAAATCAACGACAGCGGTCACGCAATAACGGATATCATGTCCTGCGAAAGATACGGGCGACTGGCGGCACAAATCTGGCAGTCGCGGTTAAGTGCCGGACACAAGTTCTGATTGCCACATATAGTTAGTCCGACAGCTCAGACCGGAGAAACCTTGGCGCTGGTGCCAGATAGGACTAATGCCCCGCCAAGCGGGTATTCAGGATACACTACCCCCCGAAGCAGACAGCAGCCCACAACTTCACAGGCACAGCATTCTAACTGTGTCTTTCTAGGAGGAAGACAAAGGACTGCAGTGTCGCGCCATGCCTATTGTTCTTAGCCACGCGTAAGACGTTTCGGTGGGCTGCTATTTGGAAGGCTTGTTTGAGTCGAATAGGGACACTGTGAAACCATCTGCTGCTCACCACTCCCCTTTTCCTTCTTGCTTGCGTCGCCAATATGATCATCTAAATAGATTGCCTCAGCCACATGATAGCAATTTCAAATTTCGAAGGTGGGCCACTGACATGAGGGAGGCTTAGGAGAGCATCAAATGGCGAAGGGGATAGTTAGCCTCAAGGCAGACGTGGGCATCACTTAGCGTCTGTCCTTTCTACCACTTCTCATACAAATCATCAGAGACAACTATTTCGACAGTGAAAATAGCGCTTTCTGTAACTACTGTGACTCCTAGGACTCCTATGACTCCTATGACGTCTCTACTCTTTACATGTCCAGCAAAAGCACAGACTATCCAAAACCAGTGAACCAAGCTCACTGGGAGATTATGTTTATCTGTTACAGGCCTGTTAAGTGGATTGTAAGTACTTGTTCTGCGTCGTCAACGATCATTCACAGAGAAGAAGAAGTATTTTTCGTCAATCCAAATGATCTCCAATGGAAAAAAAAAAAAAACTTTGAGATTCTTCGAGTTGTGTCTTGTGAAGGAAAGAGAACCGTTTGATATCTCACTCACTAATCTCCAAAAATCACGCTAGCTCCTGTATCGGGGAGTTTTTACTCAAATGGATTCCATTTAGACAGATCAGCATTGCTCCTTTCCCCTAGGTACTTCGTAACGGTCTCAGCAATTCCTCTCGGGCCAGTCTCTCAGACCCTTGACTGCTGAATGCTTTTGAACGCAACTCTACCATCCTTGACCTCGAGCACATTGACCGGTACCCTGACCTTGACACTTTCTTCTCCAGGCAGGTTCATGGGCGCAGAGAAGCCCGCGACGTAGGATTCCGCGGCTTTGCATGATGGGCAGACCCATTTGCCCCTTGATTGTGGCTCGGCGGAAGTGAAGCGCTAGCCAATGACGACTGGTCCATTTCGCGGATGCAGACGTTGCAAAACTGGTGGTCGCAAGGGCGGACCCTGTATGCCCGGATTTCGTTAGCAAAGATATAGACTAGCCCTAGCCAATGTCACGGGTTATAGGCTTACACGCAGTCACAAAACCTGATCCCACATTTGCACTGGGTCGCCTGCGTAGGATCAAGCGACGATTCTGGCTGGACAGCTTGATCCTTGTCCATTACCGAGACAGATTTGACGTTGTCGAAGTCTCCGCCGTCAACACGGTTCTCGGGCTGCTCTTCCACAACGAAGAACGAGCCGCCCGCTTTGATGTATCCTCTTGCGTCCGGCGGCGGCGGCGGAGGGACGACATGGGTCACAGCCTCGCAGGAAGCCGGGTCCAGGATGTGGACATGGACGAGCCTCGCAGCTTTGGTATTCCAGATCCATGCTGGGTTATGGTCGCGGTAGATGTCTTGGACTGTGGAAAACGCAGATAAATGAGCCGCACCGTAGTCAACGCAACAATCATCCCCGAAAGTGTGATGGGCCCATGATCTTAATATGGGGTCACTTACCGAGCTTACCGCCTGCGGCAAGACCCATTGCCTTGAGGTCTTTGGTCGTTATTTTGGGTTTAATTTCTGTTTCCACCCGTCCTACTTGCCCATAATTTCCTGTGGGTACGAGAAATCATGACGGCGCAGGGACTGGATGTATCGAATAAGTATCTGCATAGGAGCCGTAGGGGCGGGGAGAGGCGTGGCAGGTTGCAGGCAAGGCTCCGGGTAAGGGCGCGGGTGCTGAAGAGTAGGAGCAACCCCTCCAGGGCAAGGCGGGGGAGGACCAGTCCATGTCCAAGTCGAAGTCGTGATCTATGTTGCGGAAAGAACTGTTCACATAACGAGACGTCTTACCCATTTTCCGGCCCCTGGAAAACTTGATCATATTGCTGTACGCTGCTGTGAACTGAAAGGTCCGATACTAACAATATGTTGCCATAGAAACAAGCAATACTTACTTTACTATCCGCATCTCTCTGCCCTTCCTCAATCATATCCGCCAATGTGCATGGAATTAGTTCAAAGGCTTCCTGTGGGTACATCCTTATCTTGTCACCTACTTCACACCCCAACTGACGCGGTGTTTTGAATTCGTCGAGGCGATCGTACTGGAGACGGTGTTGCAATGCCGCTGCATTTAGAGACTGATCTGCGCACTTGATCCACGTTCGCAGGTTCGTCTTGAAAGAAGGAATAATCTCGATCTGTAGTCCTCCATGTTTCTCCTTTCCTCTTTTTTGACCCTCGACAGTGTAGCCAGACCCCACTCATACCGGTTCGTCAGGCGGATTACTCCATTGCAAAGAGGCAGAGGGACAACTCACATTGCATGGCGACAAACTGCCGGATGATACCAGGTGCCACACAAATCCATCGAGCCAATTTTGGCCCGGGACGACGACGTAGTTCTTGGGTGTCTCCTATGTCTGCCGGTAATGCTTTTGTTCCATCCATTTTCAGTCCAGAGATGGCATTGATGCGTCCAACATAGAACCTTAAAGCATAATTTGTGTCGCGTGGAGCATCAAGGCTCATCCAAAGTGCCTCTCGCTGCCACATGGGCATGAAGACTCCGCCGCCTGTACAATCTTATCGGGCAGTTTGTCAGAATAACCAGCAACACTATAAAGGGGAAAAGCCCTCAGTGATGCCGGCAGCTGGTGAAGCTTGTTGTCATCTGGCATCCTCAGTGTCCGGTGAAACACGATTTGTAATCCGCGAGACTCCGTCAGCCTATCGCCCTTGATGTCGTGGTCTTTCGAATTCTTTTCATCTACGTTGAATTCAATCGGGTCGCTGAAGTGTCGATTTGTGTACTCAATCAGTCTGTCATCAACATGGATAGATTTGCTAGGCTCTGAAAGTGGTCTTGGACCACCGTGATGAGTTCGAATTCATTGAATTGCGGTTTGGTGCGATGAGATGTCCACGTCTCGCTGTTACGAGAGAGCAAGTCGGGACTATGATAACCAAGCTCTACAAACGGTTAACCTTATATTCAGAGACACCTAGTAGAGGAGCCGTGGGAGAACGACAGACCCCGTAGTTTGTCCCATAGCGCTGAGATCGGCGTGTTGCTCGGCAGAACAATGGTCTCTTTGCTAGTTTCTTCGGATGTGGAGGATGTGAAGTGCCTGAGACCCTGGATTTGGAGGCGTACTAAGCCACACGCAGAACCAGATCCGTCATCTGCTTGACTTGCAGCCATGGTCGGTTTACTGGGTAGAGAAAGACTATGTTATCACTTGACATGCATCATAGGAGGAGGATAGTGAAGAAAGAGAATGAGAATTATGTTCTTGCTCGTAAGGCTGGAAGGCAGCGGCTTTTATGGAAGAGGCAGGGGGCCGGGGAGGCCGCTGAAGATTCAATCTCACTAAATGAGGAAAGGCCGAGGGGCTTTGTTTGTCTGTTTGCCTCGTGATACCGCAGACAAGGCTTGGTCCAATGAATCAATGGCCAGTGTGAGTATGCAGGCCAAGCGAAAGGCTTCAGAAGCTGAACAAACCCTTCGTCACCCCCTCAGACCCATCGCCCGATCTTTGTGTAAAACACCAAAGCAGTTGGCAGCAACAAAAGCTCAGCACTTTGAAGCACGTTTCGAACGGTGCTTGCGAAGGTCCGCTCTTATATTGCTGCTTTGGTCTTTTGCGACCGGATCCACCATAAAGCTGTTCCTTCGCTGTTCCTCACTTTTGATGTGGCCCCTCTAAGTTCAGCCTGATCAATTGTCTTCACTGCAATGTCGTTTGGATTACGTTGTGCCCTGGATCGCCTGCGACATGTCGCTGGAGATATATCGACGGCGGCATCAGCATCCGCCTCACGCAACACTAATGGCCGAGAAATGCAACAAGCTCTGGATCAAATGATCCAGAAATGCGCAACCACGTTAGAAGACCTGGACAATGCGACCAAGAAATACCGTGAAGGCGCCAAAATGCCTGATGATGCGGACGAAGCTGACGCTGGCCCAAGCCAGAAAAGAAGGAAGCTCCTGAGGCGCAAAATCGCCTCCAACTGGGCGAAGATTCTGTGGGATATAGATAAAGACTCGTTGAAGATATACCGCGACAGGTTGCAATCACACGTTGATAATCTCAACCTGGTTCTGAATACCTTCCACTGGTGAGATTCCCAACCCCACATCGTCCCAAGATTCCAAGCGGGTGTCGAAGATCTAGACTGGAAGCTGACATCAGTCCAGGTCAGCGACAGAAAGGATTCACGCCCATAACAAGCTTCAGGAGGAAAGGATGCAAGAATTCCACGACAAGATGGTGCAGTCGAATTCTTCTCTTGGGCTTCTTGTAAAAGGCATCCATTCAGTGCTATTGGAGCCAAAGCAGACAGCATTCCCATCGCTTTCGACGGACATCAAGCCTGAGATTGAGGGTCCTGGTGGATGTACAGCCGAAACCTCCTCGACTGGAACGAACGATCTTGCTTCAATGGAAAAGAAATCGATTGCCGCTCATCGTATCTCCATCGTCATGCTCAACGCGATATCTACGAACGCGATGGCAGACATTGCAATGCCTTTCGTTCCAGCTAGCTGCGCCGCTCGCGCTTATATGCGTCCTCCGGCTGCATTAGAGGCCACAGAACAACCGTCTGACATTAAGTTGGGAAAAACTCGAAAGGAGCTCCCACCTGAGATTGTCTCTATCAACATAAAGCGTCAAATTCAAGGTGCCAAGGCATTGGCAGACCTCAAACAGAGCCTCGCTCCAAAACCCCGACCATCTTTCTTGGAACCAGCTGTTCCGACTGTCGCGCAACTCGCAGAAGGTCTGGATTTTCTCTTCAATCCATCGCCGCAAAGCAATGGGCAGCAATTCGAGATCACAAGACAGACCCGTGTCAAAGAGGTTAGCTTATGGATCCAATCATTTGGTCATCTGGTCGACTCTGTGGCGGCCGCTTGTGCCGAATCTGTAGGTGGAAGCTCCAAGACGGCGGTGTTTGAGCAACGCAGCGACCTAATTAGCCTCTTGTCAAACATAAACGAGGCGATTGAGAGCTCGAGTGCGAATATGAGGGATATGTTCTATGAGGCATGCTCTGCCATGCACATAGATCAAGTCCTGGACAAACTTTTGTCCTTGACAAACTCTGTGAGAGGCATGAAAGAGGTCGAAGAGTTTATGGAAGAGAGGACGAATTGGATGGACGAGCACTGATCCTTACCCTCCATTTATAATTGCTTATGGTACCGACACGGGGTACGTCCCGTCCCCACCCACTCTACTCTCGGCCAAGTACAGAAGCGAGCATAGGCAATGATCAGGCAGGACCCAGTATCAGAGACCCAAGCGAGCAAACTGCATGCGAAGGACACTGGATCTCCCTATAACGCCAACCTCTGAACCTTGGTCGGACATTTTGCGGTGGGCGCCATCATCTGGTTGAACATGGCGGACCAATACGCTGGAGTGTCTTCACAAGATTGATATTGTTGCCATATTAGCGCACACAGTAAGTTCCAGGCTGAGCTGGACAGGAAATGCACCGTGCTGAAACATACTCTAGCCTAGAATTCTTCCAGTTCCAAGCGGTCGGAGGTGATTAGGAAACATTCGGCAAACGCCCTTGCCTCATGCTTGTTTACAATGGAGCTTAAATCGTGGGTACCATCGTTCCATGGACGCACGGTAGGCTCGCTAGTCCTTACCAGTTCAGCCATGGGCAAGAGCAGATCTATAGCGGGCCGCGGAGAAGCAGCTCTCATTATTAACTTGCAATACCATTCACTCAAAACTGCACAGTCCTTCGGTCAAAAAGAAAGCCCCGAAAAGCTGCCTACATAGGTACAAATGCTTCTCAAATCCTGGAGTATCATTTTCACGCCTCGGGGCTCTCAGAAACGCATGTCATGGACACCCTTCTCGATCCTCCAGACCTGGAAGCTGCTCCCGGCAGAGATGGGCATAATATCTCTCAGACCGCTTGGAATCGAAATGTTTTACGGATGGAGGACGAAAAGCATGAACAAAAAGGCAAAGCGTCCGACAAGGCCAGCCTCGGTACACAACAGCTTGAGGCTTCCCCAGCAAATGTGCCCCTACTCCAGGCACCCGAAGTCCTGCCTCCCCCCGACGGAGGCTTCATGGCGTGGCTGCACGTTGTGCTGTCACATTGCGTCTTTTTCAACACCTGGGGTGTGACCAATAGCTTCGGAGTCTTCCAGCAATACTACGAGCAGAGCCTTGATCATCCACCATCCGACATATCCTGGATTGGGAGCGTGCAAGTCTTTCTCCTGTTTTTCGTGGGAGTGTACGCTGGACGGGCGACCGATGCAGGGTTCTTTCGACATGTCTTCCTGTCCGGTGTCCTATTACAACTCTTGGGGACGTTCCTGACTTCTCTTTGCACGGAATACTGGGAGATCTTTCTTGCACAGGCAATCTGTGTCGGTCTGGGCCATGGATTCGTCTTCAGCCCCGCCATGTCGGTCCTGTCGTCGTACTTTTCAACCAAACGTGCTTTGGCAGTGGGATTGGCCGCGGTGGGTGGCGCCACGGGTGGTATTGTGTACCCGGCCGTCGCGAACCAGCTTCTTTATCACAGTGACATTGGGTTTCCCTGGACTATACGAATCGTTGGCTTTATCATGCTTGGGACGCATGTGCCCTCGCTGCTGTTCTTTCGACCACGACTTCCGCCGCGGAAAGCCGGCAAACTGATCGAATGGGCAGCTCTTCGGGAGTTACCTTATACCACTTTTGCCGCGGCATTCTTTTTCAATTTCTGGGGTCTGTATTTTGTCTTCTTCTACCTGGGCACTTTTGCTAGGGATAAGCTTGGGGTGACCGATTCAATCAATCTCGTGGTCGCTTTGAACGGCGTCGGCGTCATCGGACGGTTTTTGCCCAACTTGGTCGGCGTTTATTGTACAGGGACGTTGAATATATTGCTGCCCTTCACTTTCACCGCGGCACTCTTGGTCTACTGTTGGATTGCCGTGTCGTCGGTGAAAGCGCTGTGGGTATTCACAGCTATATACGGCATTGTTGCTGCTGGGACTCAGTCTCTCTGCTTAGCGACCGCGACAGTGATGGTGACAGATTTGCGCAAAGTGGGCACGCAAGTAGGAATGGTACTGACCATCGTCAGTTTCGCGACCTTGACGGGTCCTGCCATCCAAGGAGCGTTGATCCAGCGAGATCAAGGAGGGTATCTGTATGCCCAGATATTCAGCGCCACCTCCATCCTCATCGGTGCTGTGCTTGCGGTCGCGGCGAGGATTTCAAAAGTCGGGTACAACCTAAAGGTCAAAATATGAGGACTTCACGGTATGCGACAGCTAGGGAAGCAAAGATTTCTGCAATATCTTGCAAAGCCATCGAAATAGCATCCCAATGATCCGGGACTTCCTGTCTCATCTGATGGAATCTGGCCGCGAAGACGGAGACACATTGGGGGAATAAACGAGCCTTGAAGACGAGAGTTCTCTCAAGTCCGACTGCGCTCAAGAACAAAGGAGATTTTTGAAGCCTTCGGTTTCTCGCTGCACGGGTCCAGCAGATGACATGCCATTTTACATCATCGTCCACATAGATGCATAGCCTAGGATGACGTGGTGGACAAAGAGTAAAAATCCAAATCCAAGTCCAAATCCTCTATTGATCGTGGCTACGACGCGCGGAGAAAGTTCATCCTGTCCCCACCGTCGCGTAATAGCTGGGTGCTGCTTTAGGGAGTTCTCGAAAGCGGCGGCATAAACCCTCGTCTTTTGAGGCATGGTGCCGAACGCCCTTGTTTTGGCTCAAGCTCCCAGCCAATTCGTCCGTTCAACCAAGTAAAGGGGCCTTCGCATTCCGCAAGACGCGGAACTGAATCCGATCTTCTTGTGAACTTTCAGGCTTGACATGTTGTGAGAATGCTGGAACTTGGTCTCGTGGACTCCTTTGATCTCGTTTCTCCTCGGCTCCACTTGGCTCCCTCTCATTCATGGCCTCTAAGTCGGTTAACCGTCATCATTGTTTGAGATGTGGATAGTCCTTTTGGCCGTGGGATCGGATATTTGTCGAGCCGCGTCAAAATACAAGACAACTCGCGGTAAGCAGCACGCAATCGCGATGTCGATCTTGGGTAGATAGACAATCTCACTTTCGAAGCAACTAGCTTTATCGTCAGCTGGGTGGCTCGTTATAACTCCGTGAGAAATCTCTGTTGTTTTTTCTGGTTTGAAAGACTTTTGGGGGCGAATAGGGCACGGTTTCCATCCTACATCGTACATTTCTCCACCCAAGAATGGCAAAAGCACAGCAGAGTGAAGGGAGGAAGATGGGCAAAGGCGTGATTGTGAGAATGGTCTCGACCTTCTCGTGGAAGTCGATTATCGTCTCCCGAACCTCGTTCGTGGCTGCTGAGATGGGCGCACATGTCGTTCCGTCCCTGACCTGGCTGTAAGCGGTGGATGGGTAGATCTCAAATTGGCCCACATGTCGAATTCTATGCTGCTTCCCGAAACGGAGGCAATACGTGCCGATATCAAAGGTATTACTCCGGATCGTAGTCTCAATTGTTATCTATCCTTTGCGAGTGGATGCTGAGGCGTCTTGAAGCTCTCCTTGGGCCAAATGGCAGCGTCGCGATTTGCATCTGTAGGCTGTTCCTGAAACGGAAGGTCAGGGTTTGCATTTTCATCCCTGAAGCCCTTTACTCTATATGTGGCCCCTGTGCAGGGTGTGTCGATGAAGACACACACCCAACACGTCGCCAGAGTGATTGAGGATGATATAAACGATCACATAAATGCCTCTGGAGTGCGCTTCTTTGACCAGGTCTCGAAGATGTTTTCGGGTGCTTAAAATGCCTGTCCACGTCGAGAACGTCCTGCATGCCACACCCATGACATGTCCTGTGCGCCTCGACCTGTTTGGAAATGGGACCGACCCAGATGGCTGTGACGCCTAACTTCTCGAGATAGTCAAGCCGGGTAGCGACGCCCCGGAGTGTTCCTCTCTCCCAATACTTCCCTACCTCATTTCAACTGTTTCGTGCGGTCTCGTATCCCATCTGCTGGATCAGCCTTCAAGCCATTATCTTCATCCCGACTTTGGACATAAGGTGTCCCTGTCTTGTCGTCAGAGAACCGATCTGCAAACCGGAAGTAGAGAACCTGATCTTCCCAGTCCACTGGAGATTTATGAGGCTCCTCGGTTCACGTGGTTTCTTCTATGTCCCTTAAAACTTTGATGAGATTTACCTCTTTTATACTGGGGTAGCCAGCTGCTGAAGGCATATTGAAATGAAAAGATCCGTCGGAGCTTTGAAGTGAAGAAGACGCAAGAGCCTGGTTTTAGAGGGAGATTAGAGGGGATTGAATAAGACAGTGGCGGGCAGCACTCAGTTGAGCAGCAGTGCCCTGTGTGTCGTTGCAATATACGAAAGGCCTAGGGAGGCTGAACGTTGCTTTGAGCCCAGGCTGGCGCCCAGACTTTGGGCAGACATCTCAAGTCTTGGGCGCGGGGTATACGATGCCATATTCTCAGAATTGCGATGTATTGGTGTTCGTGCAGGTGGTGAAAACGAGAGACCAGCGTCGGAGAGCTCAGCAACCAAATCAACAAGTCAGCCTGATAGGATTGAGGTCGCAGAATACTAAGTGCGAGACATCCCGTCGTACGTCGAGCACGGTGTCACCGTAATCAAGTGTCTCCTCCTCAGCTCTCATCCAATGCCTCGACAACTGAATCGATAGTCCGTGTGGACCCCGCCTCAGGTGAGGAGCAGGAACATGCTCAGCGCATTGCTGAGCGCGATCATGTCCACGGCGCAGAGGAGGATGTTGAGGATGACGAGACTCTATTGGAGCAGCTGATCTGTTTGGAGGGAAGAAATGGTTGAAAGACAGACATTGACGATGAGCGAAGGGTGATGAAAAGGAGGAAGTTGGTTGGGCTGCGGCGTCGATTTGCCTCGGTAGTGTAGTAGCGAGGAATGATATGAGGTGCCTCTTCCGTGCCCGCCTAGTAACGGGATTGAAGGTGCGTATTACCCGCTGTTCGAGATACGGCAGTTAAATCCCATTACATAATAAATCTTCAGTCCTCTCCCCATCGACGCGACAAAGAGTCTCTTCTCCCGCCAATCAAGATATCTAGAAACACGGGTTTAGAACTTGACAATCCCTCTGTTCCTTCACCCAGACATACCGCCTCCTGCATAATGGAAGGCCGCTGCCAATGCGGTGCCGTTCGCTTCCGTACACCTCAAGAAAAGCCCATAAAGTGGTACATCTGTCACTGCCACGAATGCCGCCGCCAAAGTGCAAGCGCCTTTGGCATCTCAGCCATTTTTCCAAATTTCGACCTCCTTTCTCAGACTTCAGCAACGGCGGACCCGGAACAGAAGTCGGCTCCGGAAGGCGGGGGTTCAAGCGAGGAGAACGAATTGATCGGAATTTATGAGCATTCCAGAACGACCTCTGGCCGTCCAAAGAGGTGCTACTACTGCAAACGATGCGGAACGCGGATCATGAATGTCAGCGTTGCTCCTTCGGGCAATCCGAGCTACGTCGCTGTGAAAGGGGGATGTCTGGAGGGGATTGACGGAGATATTTTCAGCACAGCCACGCATATCTGGACCAAGAGCGCTTTGGTGCCCATTCCAGAGGGCGCCGAGTCGTACCCTGAAGAGCCTCCACCTAGAGCATAGTAGGATGGTACGAGAGGAGAGAAAGAGGGCCGGAAGAAGCGACGGAGCAATCAACACATACTTCCCAGCGGCACGGTTTTCCCTGACAGTTCTTCGGTATGACCGAGCAAGACTCTTTTTCCAACCTCATCTTCCCACTTCTCCAATTGTATCAGGCACATTGTTGGGGACGCCGCAAGCGCACTGTCATGCAGAAAAGGGACCTTCGTGTCTCAGCACCAGAGGCAAATTGGAGAGCCGACGAGGATGGATTGATTGATGGTCCATTTTTGGAGCCGTATTTACTCCCTGTCATCATGGCTTTTGAGAATGCTGTATACGGCATTGTCATACAAAACGTCGTGGCCCTTTGTACAATAGTAGTGTGGGTGTGTGTATGGTGTTGCGGCTCCTCGCTCTTAGCTTCCTTTAACCTCAGCAACTTGCCATCAACAGCAAGTCCCTAGTCGATTCACAACCACTGCTACATAGCTCTGCATCATTATTCCACCTAGCTTTGTTTTAATGTGTTCAACTCGTCGATGCCAGCACACCTGCGGTCTCGGCGGGAGAAGCAGCAGCTTCCCGTTCTGCCCTCCGTCGTCTCTTCTCAATTATAATCTCTTTCCGCTGTTGTAAGAGCTTGACTTGTCTATCCTCCACGCCTGTCAACCAATAACCAAACGAACCCCCGATGCTCGCGAAGAGCGGGTATACCCATAACGTGCCGCGCTGGAAGAAAGGTCTCATCTCTATGCCGAGTTGGGCGAAGCGTGTGGCAATGCCTGCTAGAGCGTCAAAAGGAAAGTCCTTGGACGTGTTCCGTCAGTCTATAGGGAGACTGATGCTTACCGAAACCGGCCCAGAACAGGATCTTGTGGACCATGATCGAGTGTGTATCGCGCCTTGGGCGCGCCGGGACAGTGTTTTCAGTTTATCACTTGAGCAGAGGTAAAGCTGGCGCAGCGACTGGGAAAGAGGTTGCGGCGAAGGTTTCGTGGAATGAGGTTGTTGTCGCGGTCGTGGAGAGCTCGGAGATTGGAGAACAGCTCAGGTGGACAGAACCCTTTCACGCAACTTTTGGATGCCAAGTTAGAACTGCACTCGGAAGGCCTTTCGCCCGACCGCAGTGCCAAGATCAGGGAGCGACAGGGATTACCGCTCGCCGCCCACTCAGCCTCGTTCGATCTGGCGAGGCTGCCACATAGCCTCGAAATGACATAACATAGCAGCGAGTACTTCGTATTCTCTATGGTACCGGAGCTACCCCATGATCAAGGCATCAGAGTCTTGCCTGACGCAGGAAAAATCACGTGGTGATCCAGCCAAGCTTACGAGGAACAGGATGCCAGTGCAACCTCTCGCTTTTCTTGGATAAATTAAAGGACACTGAAATGGGGAAGAGCTCATGTTCTCTACCCCTTTCTCTCCATTTCTTCGTGACTTTACCCTGCTAAATGTGATGTTGATGTTGGCTGAGCCCTTGCCCATGGTCATGGCCGTGTCCACTCTCCTCATCTTGCACCAATTCAGGCCAATCCTCAAACCCATCTGTCATATGTCAGTTGTAAATTCCAGGTAAGACATCCTGATATTGTTGGATTATGTCACCTTCGAAGACAACTGCCGATTTATCATTGATGACCTGCTTGTCTTCAGAAGATTTCATGATCTTCTCCCACTTTTGCATTTCGGCATCTGTCAACAAGCATTGGTCGAATTCGGCCTTCAGACCGGCCGTGTGGAGTTTCTCGCCAATGAACACGATTTCTTGTCGTCGGTCGCCCCAGGGTTCGGCAAAGTCGGCTTCAATGCTGGCGCGTGTATCGGGGTCGATAGGCCAAAGGGCTTAGAGGCATACTAGGTTAGCGTGTACTAAATGTACCAATGTTGCCTACAACCAAACCATTGCGAAATGAGCCGGGAACGGGGAACGGATTCGTACCATCATCGAGAGCACAAAATATTGGTAGCGGCTTTTTCGAACGAGAATGTCTTGGTGGCGATGACTTCTCTGGCGTCGACTTTGGAGTAATTGGATTCTAAGACTTTTGCGGCAGGGTTGAGTTGATGGATAACGGCCCTGATCCGAGACTTTGTCGCCTTGTCCACGCTGTCGGCCTTGTTGAGGATGATGGTGTTGGCGAATTCACTGTTTGTCACGGACTGATTAGTTATGTCGTAAGAGCTTAGCCTGACTTGTGTCTTCAGACAATATACCGACATCTGGTCAACCATCAAATCCGTTATAGTACGTTCGTCTTCTGGATCAACACCTTCCTTTCCCCATCGGTCCGTAATAAACTCTGTGGTCGCAAAATTGTCCAAGAAATTGAACGCGTCGACAATGGTAACAAGGGCGTCTAGTTTGGCGACATTTTGCAAACCATCCAAGTCTGCCCTGTAACACCATTTTAGTTGCGCATCATGAATTTCTTGATTGGAGGCTTGTATCATACATCTCCTTTAAGACCATCTCATCATCTTCCCGGCCCTCCAGTGAGCCGTCATTCGCTGCCTCGATCATAGCCTGCGCAAATTCTTCTGTAAACGTTTCGGCTACTTACATTGGCTCGCTGATGCCTGTGCTCTCAATAAGGACGTATTCGCACTCTCCGTTGCGAGCCAAGTTCGCCAACTCTTCGAGCAAGTCCCCGCGAAGTGTGCAGCAGATGCAGCCATTCTCCATCTGTATCAGACGTTCCTGCGTCCGTGAGGCCATGTGACGTTTGATGAGGGAGGCGTCGATGTTAAGAGCGGCCATGTCATTGACAATGACCGCGACCTGCAGAGAGTGCTGGCCAGAGGTGCGGATGTGTTTGAGAAGTGTTGTCTTACCACTCCCTAGAAACCCAGAGACCAAAGTTACCGGGATTGGTCCTCGCTCAGCCAAACCTCGACTGGATCTCGCTCTCTGCCGGGTCATTACAGCCATACTTTGGAGAATAAGAACGTGCCGGGAATAAAGAACACGGCCAGTCTCAACCTCGAGGGACAAAACAGAAGGAGGGGAAAAAAAGATAAATTGGCATGGATCTCTCGCGTTTTGATGGAAAGAATTCCATAGAGTGGATTGCTCCGACTATGGGCAATGCGCCCAGGTGTGGATCGAGGACCTTAAGGCTGTCCGACAATCGCCACCAATTTTTCTCTTCACCACCGAAGGAAGCAATGACACATCTCAATGTGCATTGCTGAAAGTCACTTTTCTTGCCGCTGTCATCTAAGAGCGGTCCAATTAGCTGAGAACGTCGAGCTACACACAGCATTGTCGAGGAACAAGGTATGCCCCTCGGAAAGGCTCATTTGACCGAAGGAAACAACGCTGCCCTGGTCGGACCTGCCGGCGTGGTTTTGGCCTTATACGCAGAAAAGCATACAGCGCCCCACGGTTATATTGTCAGCAGTTTAGGATAAAGAGTCAGGATCAAGGTGCGCAAGGTGAGTGCGAAGGCGGGAGGGAGGTTGTGAGCTTGGGGACAGACTGGTCAAAGACTGGTCTGAAAGGTCTAGTTCGGATTGCGCTGCTCAGGCCCTTCACTCGACCGTAGTGCCAAGACCGGGGATGACAGCTCCGTCCGCCTCTGCCACAGGGCCTCGAGAAGACAACCATGAATTAACAACGATGTACCAAGTCCTTGTAGGTGGTGGAGGGAGCATTCTCTGTGGTAACTACCCATCACTAAGACGTCAGAGTCTTCCCTGACGCAGAAACAAAATCACACTTCGGTCGGGCCAATTTAGCAGAATGCCAGTACAACCTCTTGCTCAGGCACCGAGTCAGGGGGCGAAAGATTAGACTTAGGTCCCACTTCTGCTGGGCATTCTTAAGCTCAGAGTCTTTGCGAGGCTACGTCTTGTCCCCTGTTCGTCCGTCATCTCAATATGTATCGTTCACTCTCTGTGATGGCTATTTGATGGGAAAGTTTGCCGAACTTGACCATCTCATGATGATGGAAAACTGGAAGCTCGGATATCACGGGGGAGAAGGATGAGCCGACATTCCACATCCGTCCAGGTACATCCGTGCGTTGCATAGGCCTAACTGCTGACACAGTCTTGCCTAAATAGGCTCGACTTTGATGGTCGAAATGAGAAATCCAGGGCTACTCTGGCGACCAGAGCGTCATCAAGGGCGTTTACAAAGCTAAGAGGCTTGATGTTATAGGGCTTGAAATCATTGTTGAGCCTTGGGCAAAGATAGAAATAGGAGTAATACTTCCGCACCGGCTTCCCATTGCTTCCTCGGTCGAATTTCCCTGGTTGCTCCTGATGACTTGACTTGGCGAGTCGGTTGGCGTTGACTAAGCAAGTTTAGTTGGTGAACTCTCAGCTGAGACTAACAAGTACAGTAAAGCCGATTCACCGAGGGCGTCACAGGGATTCGCCTGCCTCGCTCGCCTCGTATTACTGTACAAGGCGCAGCCACCAGAATTAGCCGCACGCACCCATCAGCTTGTTTTTATCCAGCAGCCATTGGAAATATCACATCTTTCTCTGTTTGTATCTCTCACCACCTCGAGTGCTGGCTATGGATGACAGCGAGAGACGAGTCCAGGCTCCGTTATTCTCAGCGCTCCATCCATCTCGACACGCTCACTCCTGTGTCGGGCCCACCTCCCAAGCGACTTGACACGAGCTGCGTGCCCGCAATCTCCAATTCGCCGCCGGCTGTTCCGCTTGCTCCGCTGCCTCAGTTGACAGGCACAAGATGAGGTTCCGCCTTCATATTCGTGAACAGCTATGTCTCGTCATTGGCATGACGAGTCTGTTGTCGCTAACCATCCTCGCTGTCTCTATCTGGTTCCAGACGGTGCATCACCTGAACAGTGCAAAATGGGAGACTCTCATGGTCACGGCGAATCTGAAAGCCACTCAGGTGGCCCAGGATATCTCTTTGATGGGCACTTCGGTGCAGTCGATTGCCACCAGAGATATTCTTCAGGATCTGCTGCGCGACTTCAATAATGGCAACCATACGCAGGACCTCTACGACGCCATACAGGTTGGGAACGAAATGGGCCTGTTTCTGAAGCAGAATCGCTGATGTCGATCTAGTCTAACCTCCAGGACGCTTTGTCTGGCGGATCCGACGACGCGGTTCTTCTGCAAGCTGCCATTTTCCCCCGCGCACCCCGGCCCGATCAAGGTGGTCGTGCACTTAGTGGCGCGACCGGGAGGGGAGCAGCCCGCAAGATCGTGCTTCCTTTCACTTACCAGAATGGCTCTGCAGTCCTTCTAGGCGACAATGGCAGTGGGTTTCCGCCTCAGCTCTACCCTAACCTCACGTACGGTAACGAGCTATCTGATCCGATATTTGCCATCTACGAAGATAAACTCTTGTACAACAACTCGACGCTATTCCTCGGTCCGCTTTTTCTGCATAGCAATTCCTCGCTCATCTCATACACGGTACCCGTGAACAATAACACGAGTCGTACCGATGTGCTTGGGTGGCTCACTGTCGTGGTTGATGGAAAGGCATTCTACGATATCGTTGAGTCCCGTGTTGGGCTGGGAAAAACCGGAGAGGTGGTGATCATCGGTCCTGCCCGCCCCGACAACCTCTTCGCCGACCAGGTCGATGGTTGCTCAGAAGCTGAAAATGCCAATGTGCCGCTTCAATTTGTTCTGCCGCCGTTCAGTAATCGACATCCGCTGCGGGCCAAAGACCCCTATCTGCCTTTTCCCATGGGAGACTTTCCAGCAGTGCTTCGCGTTTGGTCTGACAATACGGAGCAGATCAATAATGCTGGAGCACTAATGTCGACCCACAATGAGGAAAATCAGAAAATATCAGCTGGCTTTGCCAAGGTATCTTCCCCCATTGTTGACTGGGTTGTCGTCTTTGGTCAGGCGCACAGCGAAGTCGTTGCTCCTATTAATCAGCTACGGAATACTGTGCTGGCATGCATTTTCAGTGTGGTCGGTGCTGTTCTCATCGTTTCCTTGTGAGTGCATTAGGAGCAAGATCTGGCACCCTCACATATACTGATCTAGAAGCAGTCCGCTCGCCCACTACGCCGTCAAGCCGATCATCGCGCTTCGAACTGCGGCTGAAAATTCAGTGACTACGTACGAAGCTTACGATCCCTCCGAAAAGTCCTCCGACACGGACTGCGAAAATGCCCTGGGAAAGGCGGACCTCGTCCAGGAGAAGTGCATGGTCCAGAACGTCTACAAACGGTCTGCCAGGAAGAAGACGCATGTTCGGCCCGTGCGAGTATTTAAGATCCCTGAGCGCGTGCCCGAGCGTCGCCACGTCATCTATGACGAATTAACCGATCTGACTTGTACCTTTAACGAAATGACTGACGAGCTCACAATTCAATATGCAAGACTTGAGGACCGTGTGAAAAAAAGAACTGCGGAGCTCGAGCAAAGTCGAAATGCGGCCGAAGCTGCCAACGAAAGCAAGACCTTGTTCATCGCCAATGTATCTCACGAGCTACGAACACCACTGAACGGGATTATCGGCATGTGCGCAATCGCTATGCAAGAGGAAGACGTTGCCAGCGTCCGGCAGTCCCTCAAAATCATCTATAAATCTTCGGACCTCCTCTTGCATCTTCTCAACGATTTATTGACATTTAGCCGCAGTTCCTTTGGCCAGAACTTCGCCATCGAGGAAGACACATTTCGCTTGGTGGACGTCGGCTCACAGCTCGTGTCCATCTTTGAGAAGCAAGCTCGTGAATCTGATATAAGTTTGAGAGTGGTCTTCATCGGGACCGAACCAACTGTACAAGGGGATACCGATCATGATGCTCCAGAGGACGCCATTGTCGCTAGACAGGATATGACTGGTGCTATCCAAAAGCAGAAGACGAATGTCCTAGCCAAAGGGCCTGCAGACCTTGGACCTCTGCGGGAAATAGGATTGAGAGGGGACAAGAACAGGATACTACAAATTCTGATGAGTAAGTCCGGATTTCGCACTGTCTTTCCCAAGGTGATTATGTTACCCATGGCTTCCTGGTGTATCCTAAATTTTGATCTCGTAAATTGTTGAGCTATTGATGGGACTCTATTGACTGGCGTTCAGATCTCATAAGCAATGCGTTGAAGTTCACGCCCGCTAAAGGCGTGGTCGAGGTACGGATACGATGCAAGGGATTTGTGGAACCCGAAGCCATGCCCGATGTGGCATACTCAAATACCACAGCTTCGCCGATCACAGCGGTTAAGGCGTTACAACGACGCGACACCGAATTCGCCCCGCCAAAATCGTCCCTGAAGGGACTGATGTTCGACTTTGAAGTTGAAGACACCGGCTCGGGTATCCCGGAGCACTTGCAACAAGATATCTTCAAGCCCTTCGTCCAAGGTGACTTGGCTCTAAGCAAGAAACATGGCGGCGTCGGTCTCGGGCTGGCGATATGTTCGCAGCTCGCGGGCATGATGGGCGGCACTATCAGATTGAAGAGCACTGTCGACATTGGCAGTACATTCACACTTTCTCTGCCATTGCGTTACACGAAGGAGGTCGTACCTTCTGTTTCTGACTCTCTAGCACGACCAAAGCCCGGAAGTATATCCAGCAGCATACAGTTTGAGAGCTTCAGTACAAAATCTCGCAGGTCGAGAGACACACGACAACCTGGACAATCGAGACAGAATTCACTGTATTCCACGCAGGACAAGGATTCTCAGATGGATGTGCCCCGCCTCGTCGGGTTCTCCCAGCCCTATCTGATAGACGCGAATGCGAGCTCAGAAAGAGCGGACGCGGTAGTCCAGCAGCCAAAACCAGACAAAAGGCAAAATTTACCCCACCCAAACAACCGATTGGCATCAATTATGTCTGTAAAGACACCGGATGAGACGAATGACCCGACAGGGATGAAACTAGAAGAGCAAGCAAATGGCGTGAACACTGTGGAGAAGAAACCAACAGCTCTATCCCCAGCAGCTGCTGCAAAAACGTGTTCCCTGAAAGTTCTTGTCGCAGAAGATAATCCGGTCAATCAACAGGTGATCCTTAAATTACTCAAGCTCGAAAAAGTGAATGACGTTACCTTGGCCGAAGACGGAAAGGAGGCTTTTGACATTGTACGACGATCCTTCTCTCAGGTGGAGAGCGAGAACGAAAAGCCGCAGCCTTTTACTCTTGTTTTAATGGATATTCAAATGCCCCGCATGGACGGAATTGAATCCACAAAGAAGATGAGAGAGCTAGGCTTTGATGCTCCAATTCTTGCGCTGACAGCTTTTGACCACGAAATAAATCGAACAGCCTGTCGGGAAGCCGGTATGAATGGTTTTCTCCCTAAACCAATCAAACGGACGGCTTTGAAGAAGATCCTTGAACAATATAGGACTTCGAATGAAAACAACACGGATGCCGGAGAAAATAATGAGCGAAAAGGCGACAAATGAGAGCCTTAAGAAGGATTTCGGATTCAATCAGACAACGCATGCCCACTGAAGATCCAAACATACTCACTTCCGAGTTCAACTATGGAGCAATGGCTCTGCTGGAGTGATCCAGTTCGAGCACGTTAGGGAGGCGGAGACAGAATTGCAAGCATTCAGTCAATTATTTGCGATGACCAGAGTATTCAAGGGCCGCCACAGACTACGCCCGAATCGCCCGCAGCCTAAGCCGAGGCTTTTTGGATCTAAGCGGCAAACACCGTAAAATCAAGCGTGGCTATAGCGAGCTTCGAGGAAGCGAATGCTGGGGTTTCAACTGGGGTGGAAGCGCTTTTCTTACCCTCCTCAAAGAGAGAGGATTTCAAGGATATACCTATAACTCCAGCACCAAAACGACGAAGACTGGAAGGCAGAAGGCCAGGCTTCACATCTTTTGATGTGAACCGGCGCCGGATTTGAGCCGGTTGGGCAGCAATCAAGCAAGGGCATGGAAAATTTATGCTGTACAGTATCCGTCCGACGGGGAATAAAATCATGCTTTCGTATCTCGATTTAGATAGATGTTAGCCGCGCTAATGAAGATTGGATTGGGCAACCAGTTGGAAACTTCACTATAAGCTGCCACCACGTATAGTGGCAGTAATAATGAAGGCCACTGCCTTTGTCTAACCATCACAGTCCAGTAAAGGGCAGATGCATACATCTGTTCTTTATTTTGACTCGGTAGATACCCGTCAATCAATCTATCTTTCCGCCAGAGGGCTCAACTCAAGGCCGAACTAGAATTGAAGTATGGAGCCGTCTCGCCGTCTCGGTAGTGCGTTTTAGGAGTCAATACCTCGCCGTAGCATTAAATCTTGGCACGTGAGCGGAACCGAACGCGCAGTTCGCGTTCAAGCTCAAACCAGGGATTTCAACTTTCACAGCAACTTCCCAAGAAATTCTCTCGAGCCGTTGCAAACAAGCGTTTGGCAACATGGCCGATACAGTCATGGCGGACGCACCGCCGGTTGACTCCTCGACTCCGTTCTCATTACGCCCTCGTTTTAAGATCTCCGACCTCCCTCTCGTCAAAGACCAGCGATCCACCATTGATGCGCTTCTTCTCAAGTTCAAGAAGAAAGGCGGCTACGACAGCCTGCGAAAACAAGTGTGGGCTTCCTACAATACCTCCGATGCGAAAACCGCCCTTACGGATAAGATTCACGCCATTGCGGAAGCCGAGATTGAGAAAGACCCGAATTTACTCAGTCGAGAGCGGGGCAAGGCAGCTACGCTGATACAAGGTGCCGTAGACCGAAGCGGGATATATCAAGATGTAGAGTCCAGAATCGACCAGGAAATCGCGAGGCACCTGAACACCGTGCTGGATGCGGTGCGTGACATTCGCAGGGAAGACGTTGGGGCTGACCTTGCAGCTGAGGAGGAGCAGCGAGGGGCCAAGTCTGATGAACAATATGCGGCTGAGACCCAAAACCGAGCTGCTGAAAGAGAAAGGAATAGAGCTCGGATGGAGCAATTGCTGCGGGAGACTGCAGAGTTGAAGGCCAAGATTAAGCAGGAAGAGGAACGGAAGCGGAAGAAAGAAGAAGCCAAGCGCGAGGAAGAGGAGAAAAAGAAACGTGAGGCAGAGGTAGAAGAAAGACGAATCGAGCGCGAAAAGAAACGCAAGGAGGAAGAGGAGCGGGAAGCCGAAAGGATCAAGGCCAGGGATGAAAGACACAGGAAGCGCGAAGAAGAGAGACGGGAAAGATACGCTCGGTACGAGAAGGAGCGTGAGAGAGAAAGAGACCGCGACCGTGATCGAGATCATGAACGAACACGCCCAAAGAGCACTGATCGGCGGGATTCGATTGCTGAATCCACAACTGTCAAGGACGTTCAAACGGACGAGAAGGATTTAGAGGCTACCGCTCTTGAGCTTCTCCTGAGCGAAGGCAAAAAAATGGCAGAGAAGTCTAAGCAGAGACCTGAGTACAATTTTGACAAGTCCGAAGTACACGACAGCTCGCGGAAATACATCACATCCGACCGATATTCCCGAAAAAGAGAGAGATCTCGAGAGAGCCACAAACGGGAGCATGACCGCCGAAGCAGATCCCGTGACAGGAGGTCGTCAATTCAGGAAAAGGAGAAGACAGAACCATCTCGCCGCCGAAGCCCAAGCAAAGACCGCGAGGAAGGCGAAGCCCAGAGCCAGCGCGATTCACCGTCGCCTAGTCACGAAAGACGATCCGTCCGAGAAAGAAGACCTCGTTCCGCATCGCCATTAGGTATCGACCGCTATGTCCCTGGAGGTGGTGTTCATCGTACTGAAGTTGAGCGTGAACGTGATCGGCAAAGACGTCGACCCCGAGATTCAGAGAGAGATCGTGATCGAGAGCCGACGAGAAAGTATGACAGTCATCGCAGCGATAAAGATCCAGACCGGGAGGGAGAGCGAAATCGTGACTGTGACCGTGAGCGCGATGGTGGAGACCGAGATCGAGACAATGACCGGAGAGACCGTGACCGCGACCGGAATCGATCAAAAGAGAGAGAAAGAGACCGGGACCGAGACCGAGACCGAGACCGAGACCGTGATCGAGACCGTGATCGAGAGCGCGAGCGAGATAGGTCACGCGATAGGTATCGAGAGCGAGATCGGGACCGGGACAGAGAGCGTGATCGAGATAGAGAGCGAAACCGAGAGAGAGAGCGAGACCGCGATCGAAGCCGCGATCATGATCGTGACCGGAATAGGGATAGGGATAGGGACCGTGACAAAAACCGCTCGAGAGATCGAGACAGGAGAGATCGAAGCCGGCGCCGCGATGATCGAAGAGATGATCGAAGAGGCGAGAGAAAGGACGACCGCCGCGATGATCGACAAGAAGATCGGAGAGACGATCGAAAGGACGACCGACGCGACGAACGGCGCGACGACAGAAGGCGCGACAGAGACAGAAGTGACGCTCGCGACGCTCGTCGAGACCGCGATCACGTACCCATTGACCGATATGTCCCAGGTCGATAACCCGGTATTTAACCCTTATTTTTTAAGTCACTGTTAAAGCGCGTACAGGCGTGGATCGCCTCATTGTCGATCCCACACTCACCGGAGCATGCAAGAATGGCACTTGCGCCTGAGATTGTCGACCTTGCAATTGCATGTTGTGCAAATCCATCTTGTCTGCATGCCTCCGGTAGTTGAAATCGGTGGTTGACTTGGGTCTGAGATTGGGCGACAAGCCGGCGAGAATGGCGCGCTCCATTAACATGATACTGCGCAGATTATCACCTTTTTTGGTCCATATTGATATGTGTGTGACGTATTGTCGAGGCGAGAAGGACATTCCGAGGATATGGTCACGTTCTGCGCAACAAAATCATCGGTGAATGATCACCAAGATCTCTACAGACCGTGGAATCGAGGTTGAGACGTACCTTGGGCAATGGCAGCCTGCAATTCTCCACCACAGCACAACAGACATATCTCCTCCCAACACTTTACATCTCTTCCTTCTTCCGGACGTACTCGAATCAACCACCGCCCACCCCTTCGGTTCTCCTCGTCTTCCCACAACGGCTGGACCCCGGAGCGGAATATGTGAATACTGTCTTTTTGTCTGATCTGAGACCAGGGCAGGTTGTTAAAAATGCGGTAGAAGGTGCCGATGTCAGCGACCGAATCGACCAACATTGTCAACTGGTATGAATCGAGTAATTGATGATTATTGCTGCTGTTGCTGGTAGGCTGGAGCTGGGACTTGGAGTGCCAGACGGACCAGAGGTACTGGAATGGCAGCGGGCGGAGTTTTGCTATTACTTGTTTATGCAGGGAAGAGGAGCGGCGTGGTAATGAGGGCCGAACAGGCTCAGTGGCACTGTTGGCGGCAGAAGTCACGGCTGAAGTGATGGCTTGAGGCATTGTTGCTGTCATGGCAAAAAGGGCTCTAGTTCAGCAGCAGCAGCAGCAGCAGCAGCAGCAGAAAGCGGCTGAAAGCCTTGTCTCAAGCGAGCAAGAGCAGCGATAGCTTCAAGGGACGCTCTAGAAGAATAAGAATAAATCAAGAAACAGAATAGCAAGCTTTCGATTCGCCGCGCCTGAATGAAAGGGGGGGTTTATGTATATCAACAAAGGGTTTTTTCTTTCCGCGCATTTATTTTTAAAAATACAGCAGTCTACCTGCCTGCTTGACAGAGATACATATAAAGAAACATCTTCCTTGCCTTGCCCTGCATTGTCCTGCCTTGATTTGGGCCGGAAGTGAGTGAAATCCTGCAGTCCAATCCTGCAGGCGACCCAACTCGACCCAACCCAACACTCGAAATAAAGTTGACCGGCTCTGTGACCTAGCCAGGGAGACAGGAAACTACCCGCTGCCTATCTAGGTTCCTGGTACATGGTTGGAGCTTACCTGGTCAAGGGCTGAGAGAATCGTCGTCATCCGTCGTGCATAACCGAGCACGGAAGAACCGACCAGCGCCAGCGTGCCCCGGCCTAGAGCAAGGGCCAGACCAGGGGTAAGCCTATTTTTTCGTCGCTGTACGCGCCAGATCGGCCAGATCGCGAAATCCTGTGCCCATGTGGTCAGTTGGTTCGTGTGTTGTGTCTGAGTTGCGAATCCGTGTGTGCGTGTGTGCGTGCGTGTTTCAGCTGTGCGTGCTCGCAAACCTGAAACATCACCCGCCGGCCGAGGGGTGGAAAACGGCTTGTGCAAGAATGAAGATGTGGAGGTTTGTCCTCTCTTTCTAAGCGCCTGGGAATGGAACGCGTGCCACCCACTCACCTACATACTCTCTCATAGAACAGTAGGGAGTACGGAGTACGTCAACATAATCCACCGGTGTAGCTGCATAGCTGTGCCCTCCGGACGTCATTGGCTGGCTAAGAGGATAGTACCTCGTGGCTGTGGACATGTGTGGTGTGGATACGTAGTGTGGGGCTGGCGTAATTGGACAAGGCTGGGGCGGTTAGGAGAGTGGACTCGGGCATTGGGCGCTTAGGGACACAGATCGATAGGTCGAAGTCATGAAAAGTGCAGTGCAATGGAATGCGATGCAATGAATGCCAAGTAAAGTAACGCAATGAAACTCGACGCAAGTGAACCGGGCGCGCTGCGAGGACAGAGGTGAGAGAGAAGGAGAAGAAGAAGAAGAAGACAAAGATCGGAAAAGAACAAAGCAGCGACGTCAAGTACAAACTGCAACCGCTTTCCACTTCCAGAGCCCTAGCGAAGGATAACCGCACTATGGGGTTCTCGACGTTTGTCCAAGAGGATGCAGCCTCCATCCAGGAGTTGCAAACCAGTCTCCACGGGCTCTGCGCTCGGCGATAGCCAAGTCGATGCGGTCCTCGTCCTCATGCAGCTAGATGGGTCTCCTTCGCGCAGCTGCGTGAGCCTACGGCATTGCACGAACTCGCAGCAGACGCAGGTTTGCAGCGGTGGCCAAAACAACTGGTAGACGGCGTTTTTGGCTCCTTGTGTCAATGTGGATATCAATGATCAGCGCGTGCCAGGCCCTGGGGTTACCGGTTAAGGAGTGAGGCGTGACAAAGCAGACTGCAAAGTGTGGTTGCGCCGTACCCACCCCGTCCACTGGTAGCTTATTTTGAGGACAGCATGGGCTATACGGCCTCGTCTGTCTGAGAGAAATACCAGGAGCCATCAAGGTAATTCAAATAATCCTGCTTTTAGAACTTGTCATTTCCAATTTTCAACCATTTCCATTCATATCTTAGCTTTCTAAGTGCTGACAACTACCTCCAACCCGGCCGAAAGCGCATTTTACTCAGTCCTCCTTTTCTTTCATATTGGCCATTTGTCCAAACATACCGCGCTAGTTTCCAAGATTGTCATGCTCAGGCGCTTCGGGGTGGATGCTGGCAACCTCAGACGTCAATGCAGACAACGGAGCATGGAAGAATCCATTCGCATATCTGTCTCCTAGTTGACCACGTCCACCCTTTTGGCTGTATGTTCGAGAATAGGGTGGACAAGTTTGCTTATCGGCAACATGGCCCTTACCGCTGGAGACGCCGGGTTTTTCGATTTTGTTTCAAAGAACCTCACCTCAAAAGCTTGGTTTGCCGCTCCAAGAACAGAATCTTGGGGCGATCTTCCTCGATGGTCAACTCTTTATTTGCTGCGGTGATTTCCAAATCCAATGGTCCAGCCCGAAGTGTCCACTCCTTATCGTCACTCCCCTTTTCCGAGGACGGAGCGTGCTCATACCATCGGTGCCGTTGATATGACTTCTCCAGAGTCTGGATCATGACAGTTTCCAACACGCACCATGCACGTTTGTAATAGTCGTCGTCGACGAGGCTGATGACCGCATCACATTGTGCTAGCAGCATTGGAAGGGCGGCTATCCCGGGTGCTGGATTATCTTGGTCGATGCAAGCGTAGTCCAGCCAGATACCCAGCCCGTCAGGCTCCACGGTCGGATTGAGATCCAGAAAATCTCTCGTGGCCTGGACCATACGGTGGTACTGCGAGTTCTCTGGATCGTCCGGAAAGACCTGATGACCTCGTTTATGAATCCATCTGTGCGAGAAAAATATTATGAACTCGGCAGCACGTCCTTGAGGCGCTTGAAGCTCTGCCGACAACTCCTTTATGAAGCCTTCACTGTACTGTGGGAGTTTACCCCAGCGAACGAAGTCGGAATAATGCACATACTTCAGCATGTCAAACCTCTGTGTCATAGTTTCTGGTTTTATCGCAGTAAGTGCCGCAGCGTACACGATGCGAAGATTTTTCAGGGTATCGTCACCCCCTGTCAACAGAACCGGACGCATCCTGTCGTGGAAGAGTTCCCGATAGCCCTTTCGAAGCCTCGCCTCGTACTGGCGTTTGGCAATTTCTGCGTCAATTTCGCCTTTCAGTGTATGGCGGAGCCCCTCGATGACAATCGCTTCCATTTCCGTGTCCATGCCGAATACCGCATAATCCAATGCCGTGTAGCCGTACTCGTCCACGTGCTCCATGTCGACGCCGACATCGACCAGCTCTCGCATGTACTGGCGATTCTCCTCAGAAGGTTCTTTGCATAGCGCGATAGCTGGTGTGCATGCGACCGACGGATTGAAATGCTCCATCGCTGCTGCTCGCTGTCCGTCTCGTAGCAGCGCGCGTCCGTAGAAGAAGTGCGACATGGCGGTGACGGTGAGATCTTCTGGTTCAATTTTTATCTGCTGCGCCTCTTTCGTCACAAGTACTGCTTCTCTCGTGTTCACCTGAGCGGTGTAGCACAGCGACAGGCGGTTCAAGCCTACCGACTCCCACACTGAAGCGTGTTTCAGCCTACCGAATTTCTTTCTGTGGTCCATTTTCTCAGCATTCAGAGCTTCTTTGATGCTTCTGGCACGGTCGACTCGTTCTTTGAGCTGCTCAATAGCGAGGTCTAGGAGTGCGTCATCACGGTACAGCTGGGAAAGTTGATAGTTCGTCATGCCCACGTTTCCAATAGCGCGACACGTTGCCCGATCATCTCCGAGGGTTTTCGCCGTCTCGTACTGGGTCTGAAATGTGTCTCTCGCCTCCATCAGTTGATTCTGAATACGGTAGACTGTCCCTAGCTCGCCGGCCGCCTTGACTCGAGCATAATTGAGGCCTGGATCCTTGAGAGCTTCTTCCAAGTGTTCTTTAGCCACGTCGTATCTTCCGAGACATCTGTTCGTAAAACCGAGCTCTCCATGGACCAGTCGAGCGTAATGCGTTGCGTTTGGAAGCCCAACGACGGTTTTGCACAGGGATAGCGCGCTGTTGAAGACGCGTAGGGCATCTTCCATTTCGGACTGCCGCGCATGCCATTTACCGGCATCAAACAATAGCTCCCACGAGCGAACCGCATGTATATTGGCAGCAACCAACGCTGAGGTGATGTCCGTTTTGTCTGAGTGCGGAACTTGGAGGTCAACATTCTTGGGGCCAATGATGCGTACATCTGTCTCAGATGCCAAGTGGACTTTCAGCAGGAAGATTCCGGCGTGCAGTGAGTCTGGTGCCACCTCCAGTGAGTGCCACGTTCCTGGTTCGATGCGGTAGCTCATATTGATTGTGTGACTCGATGAGCCTGTTTTAATCGCACGCACCGACCGCCGACTATCTTGAGGCATTAGATGGTTTTGATTTCCATTGTTCTGCTCAGCGAGGCCCTCCACGATCCGAAATTTACTCTGGATTTCGGTGTGCGTAGCGAGCTCGGGGTCTGCCGTAATCTCGACGTTGAAAGTACTGTACTTTCCGTTGCCAGCAAGGATCCAGCTCTTGATAAAAGCTTGGTAGGAATGGACACGAAATTGTGGGTTTCGTTGGCTGTCAGGGAGCCAAATCTGGAGGCGGTACAGCTCGTCGCCGCTGCCATTCTGTCCTATCAGGCCGCAGAGTGGGATTACGAAGAATCCCTGCGCGCTGTACGAGACAGTTGAAGCTTGAAGAGTGAGTTGTGAGCTGGTAAGCGCATTGTGGACAAATTTCCACAGGATGGTCAGATCCTCTCCATTGACAGTCATAGAGTGGTGAGAGCTTTCTCGTAGAAAACTAATAACAAGTGCAAGATTGAGAAGATGTCGAAGCTCCATATCGTTGTCAGAGAGTAATGGGGCTAATGCGTCCGACCAAGCAGAGAACCAAGACTCAGCACCCCTATTGATGTGAATGTGTTCTTCCGCATAGTTAGAGAATATTTCAGACGATTGGGACGACAAACAGCGTTCGAATCTTTCTACGATGCGCTCAGGCGTTCCCGTGGCGATACAAACGCCGCGGAGAACTTTGACGAGGGTAGATAGCGTGATATGGCTGTCAGATTGAGCAGCCGCGCCATAATCTTCAGGATGAGCTGGATATCTCAGCGTAGTTGTCTCCATACCCAGTAGTGTCTTCAGTCTTGACCAAGGGGAGAATCGTGCAGGCGGTCTTGAGGCCTTGTCTCGATGCACTGCAAAAGGACCATATCAATTAATGAATATGTACGTAATGCATATGGATCCCATACAAAGAGAGTTTGTGAAAGAGGATGGGCGCCTAGTGCCACAGACACCTCGGCGGATAGACAGGGTGACACCACTTCCCAACTAGGCAGTCACACCGAGGCAGGCAAGGCACGTGTAACAAACCTTTGCCCTTCACCGTCAGCCTTATTGTTCGACAGCCTGCCTCGCTGCCACTCCATCCCGCTTAATAGATTGAGACTAACGAAATCTGCGTCAGTAAGACTACCATTTATCAAGAGTCTCTTCAAAATCTAACTTGCAATTCTAAGCAAATCCGCCGTCCAACCAACACCAAGATGACTAGACAGATATCGCACTAAATACTTTGTTAGTGAACGTTGCTCGACGCCCTGATTCGGGCCGATTATGGCAATTGAGAGGCAGTGGGCTGCGTGGTCCTGATATCTATCTGCGGGGACTGGAGCGGACGCAAGATCCCCGGAATCAGGCACACGCCACATTTGAGGGAGCCGATTTCCCACCTTCGAATGCGGTTATATGGCGGTTCAACATTCAGAATCTGGGCAAAATGCTCTGGAACTACTAGGCAAAGTCAGTGTTCGATAAGACTTCTTATTCCTGGGAGACCTACTGGGTGAGCAAAATTATGTATGTGACAGATATCGATTATCAGGCCACCGACTTAGCGGCCTGAACAAACAGCGCACAGGACAACTTGTGATCAACGCCAAAAGCGCACAGGGCAATAGCAGAGACCAAGTGATGTCATGACTATCTGCTCAGGGCGACATCATCATAGATGACGTTAGCACGGAGAGGCTTTTTGCACCTAGGTCAAACGTCTAGACAAAGAGACGAGGGACTGCTGAAATGGTAGATAGGCAGATATCTTTGTGGATAGACCAATGCTATCAACCATCTGGGCAGTTTCTAGTTTTACACTATCTATGGAGCAGGGAACTTTACTGACTAGGTAAGTTCTTAGTTCGGAATCGGCGGCGCGGTGGGTACATGGTTAACTACCTAACGATATAGCGCGTGCTAAATACCAAATGATCCGTGCCATATCATGGACTATGGAACTGCCCATTGAAAGAAATCAGATCTGTAGGCTGTGCAGTAGAACCGAGTCAGCCATTTGCCAGGAGTTCGTTAGACGGCGTTTGACTGAGTCTGGCAACAGCTTGGGGCCCCATTGACACCATCAAGTAATCTCGAAGTAAACACCGTACGCCTGCAGCATTTGACCTACTACAACGAATCCCCCAATAGCTGGCGCGGAGAAGAAAATCACCATGATAAAGTTGACCAACTCCTTGGCACGAAACGTAGCAGCCCGACTCACGTTGGGAGGATAATATTCATTCCGCCTGTATAACCCCAAGATCACTCCAAAGTAAATACCGAAAGCAAGCCAGGTCATTGTCCAAACTCTCTGAGCAGGAGTGCTCACTGTCCCTTGCTAGAAAGACGACAAGCCCCCGATAACAGCGATCGGTAATGACAGGAAGATCAGAAAAGGGAAGCCGAGTAGATAAGCGAATACTATTCTTGATCCTAGAATTCGTCGAGGGCTATCAGCCGAGCTTGAAGGCCCTCGCCTCTCAAGAGTTGCATGATTTGCTGCCGACTCACGGACAGGGCCTGCTTCAGGCTCATGCTCGCCATTCTCTTCGTTGTAATGATCAAGACTCCTGGGCGAGTCTCTCCCACCAGAGACTATACGGTCCCATTCGGGGTCGAGACGTCCTACCGTGATATAGAAAGGCTTTGGCTGCGAAGCAGTTTGCTCGTAATGAGCAGCGTCTTTGAAATATACCATTATATCTTGAGATGTTCGATCTTCGTCTTGAATTCCTGGATCTCCGAGCTCTTCGCTTTTGTCAATGGTCAATTCAGCCTGTTCCCGACCATTCACATGTGGTTCAGTGGGCGCTTTGTCATTGAGCTCTGCATGTGGGGCTTCGGGCCTTTGCCCATGGTCTAGGGTCTCTTCCCTAGCCGACGAAGTGGGCCCTCTATCTGCTGCTTCTGTGCTTGGTCCGCCTAAGACAAGGTCTAGCGACTTTTGCTGTTGAGCTTTTTCGAGCTCGTGCATACCGCTGACGTCGGCTGAGGCCATGGCGGCCGCGTTCGATCAAAAGATAGAAGACAAGAAGATATCCAAGGAGGAATCCTCTGGAGGGGCGAGGAACTCTTGCATTTGACTGATCCCCCGCTGTAGACATGACGGTTGTGGCTGGCTGAAAGATGAGGTTGTTTGATGGCATGATCCTTGCAGGAGGGAGTTGGGGTTGGTGTTGAGTGATTAAAAGGTTGTCCTCCGTTATTCAGTACGGGGACCACGGTAGATATATAGACAGTACTGGGTGGCTGGGCTGGATCACGTGACTTCCCAACCTTTTCAGTTTAACAGTTGGAGGGCGAGGAGGGCTCTTCCCTTAGCATAGCATAATACAGAAATCACATCGAAATGCGGCAGGTTCAAGTGTGGCATGACTCCTTCTGGCCATAACGGCCTTTTCTAACAAAGGAAAGGGTCTCCTGCTTGTTGTTTGTGTTGGTTGTGGAAGGTGTTGGAAATACCCCGACGAGGTAAATCAATGCCAAGCTCACTCACCTAGGATCGGGGACAAGGCTGAGGCAGCCCTGGTCCGAGTAGTCGCCCATTTCTCACCATGAGCAATTTACAAGTACCCTAATGCATTCAGTTGGCAGAATGGAAGCGTTGATTGTCTGCAAATAAAGTGAATGAAAAAGTTTCGCAGCACATTAAGTTATTTTTGTGCTAATCGATCACTTGATTATATCAATACCAGATTCTGGGAACCCACCACGAACGCATCATTTCCAAATTTCCGACTGGTTTTTGTTCATCAGATATGCCAGTTGACAAATGCTTGTCAGCTTATCGGGACGCTCCTTCCCTTGCACCTCCTTCAGCCGTAATGTCTCTCAATGCGTCTCCTCCGCCTCTTCAAACTTTCGAACATGAAGGGAAAACTTGTTGGCGCCATATTTCTGAAGCCATCCAGTTATCTGCATGGTCGCTCCTGTCGCATGGTCTGCCAGCGCCGTGGACAGCTTTGCGTATGCGCCGGCCTCCGCGTCGGTTATCGGTTTTGGAGCTTTCGCCTCCTTATCCCACAAGATCTGGTTGGTTGCCTGGAATGGCTCGAGAACCAGATCTGGTCGCGTCGCTGTGCCAGCCAGTGTCAGCTGGTCGTCGGCACCGACACGCTTTTTGGTCACCACGCCGGAAAGCGTCATCTCGATCCCGCGCATGTCGTATGCCTTATGCACGATCCTCTCAAATTCGCTCCGCCACACGTCAATGTCGGGGAGGATGTCCCGCTGCAAGTAGACGAAGGCGACGGAATCAATATTGTTCGCCACCGGGCGGACGACCTCGATATCGGTTACCTGTTGCAGCGCATCGTAAGCCCCACTCCAGCAAGGTCCGAGGCCGTAGGGACAAAGAGGCGTGAGGCCAACAACGACGGGTGGTCGGGCCTGTTCGGCGATGATCCTTTCATTGTGCTCTGAAAGGCTGGGCTGAAGCTGTTTTATCGCGGTGGCTATGTGCTGCGCAACATCCGCTACACGCGTGGAGGGTGTGGGCGTTCCGGCTGGTGCTGGTGCTGGTGCTCGTGCAATCCGGACGATGGGGGCCATGGATGGCACACCCTGCTTGTTCAACACAAAGAGCATGTAATGACCCGGTGGTGCAATGTTGGCGTTAGCAGGAGCCCGCACGGTGATCTTCGAGCCATTCGGCTTGAAGTCCAAGAACATGAGTGACTGGTTCATGTTGCGGCAATGTGTGACGGAACCGAGCCGCACCCAGCTTATCTTGTCGATCGAGTCGTTGGCGCCGACGCTGATCTCGAATTCTTTACCATAGCTGATCTCGGGCGGCACGCTTGAGATGGTGGGCCGGGGTCACTTGAACAGGTAAGGTGGCTCGAATAGTTGCGCATTCGTAAGGCAGTCGTCTGGCGTAATGCCGCCGTATTCACCGCCACCTGCTGAAAGGACCCGGCCATCGAGCAGCAGCAGCGCGATGGAGTGGTAGCAACGATCGGCGCTCTCTGCAGCCATTGGCGTCCATGTGTTGGCAGAAGGTCCAGAGGGGTTCCAGAGCTCGGCTTCGTGCACTGGACCGTTGACTCTGTCTCTCAATTCATTGAAACTTGTACCCCGAGTACCTCCAGTCACCAGCACAGTGCCATCAGGCAAGATAGTGGCGTTGAACTGTTTGCGTTTATTGTTCATGCTTCCCGATGTCGTCCATTGTGGTGGGTTTTTGTTCAAATCGATCAACTCGGTTTCGTTGGTGGGTCCAGTTGTATCAGTCCCACCACCAACGTACATGATCTGACCGGTCGCGTACATAACCGAGGGGGCGTAGTCGCGGAACTTGGCCTTACGCGCCGTTTTTGCATCTGTCCAGGTACCGACAGTCTTTTGAGCAGTTTTGTTGTCGACTCCTTTAGCATTCTTGATTTCCTTTTTAATGTCGACTCCATTAGCGTCTGTGATATCCAGAAACCATGACTGTTCCTGCGGCCCTGCCATGAAGACGCGGCCCTTCGGATCGAGATGTAGCCGTGGATAGAGAGGCAAAATAACGTTGACTTCCGGGAAAGGGTCTGTCACCTCTATCCAGCCATTGGCGTTCGAGACCTCTGTAGGCCCGATCTGTGGGATGTTATTGACGTGAGAATCTCCGAATCCATCAATGCTGCCGGAAATAGAGAGCACACGACCATCGGGCAGGGTCAGCGCGGAAGGGTACCAGCGGCCCTTATTCATCATGGGCTTGGTGAACCAGGCATTGGCTTTGAAATCGTAGACACACGCCTGGTTGACCCCAAATCCATCTTTGATATGCCCGCCGACAACGAGCAGGTTGCCATCGGGCAGAAAGCAATGGCCGGAGCAGAAGAGATTCACAGATTTGCCATCCATGCCGAGTGGCTCTTTTGCGATGGGCTCGCTCGCGTGGGTCAAAGGATCCCAGAGGAAGGACTTGGTAAAGAGCTGGTCGAGCGACGCTGGATTGGTGTCCTTGGGATTGGAGCGCCGACCCCAGTAGAGGACCTTGCCAGTGGGCAGCAGGCTGGCATGAACGGCGACATTTTGGAGGTTGAATGGGACCTCCGGTACCCATCTTCCTTTTTTTTTCGAACTCTTTCTCCGCCATCTCTGCCTTAGAGCGTGGGTATACCTACTGTAATGGAATTCGAGATCAAGATTGCTTGCGTTCAAGGGCGAATCTAGGAAAGACGGAGTCTTATAGGAATAAATGATAGATATGGTCGAGAGCTTTCTCATAGGTCACGCTTTGGTTAGGAGCGGACTCGAAATATTATGCATCATGAGCTCTCCCATCGTCCATTTCGAGCTCCTCAACCCCCCACATATTTTCAGCTCCTCAATGCTTTAAATCGGTGGCCTTGTCATGCTTCCAGCTATTCTAGCTCCATGTTTCAGTTGTACAGATCACGCAGAGCAAAAACAGAACTCAACCAAACACAGAACTCGACCAATGATTTTGGCCGCCCATAGAGCACTCAAAGCAAAGATCAAGCGACCTCGTGTTCGCAATGTAGGTTTGTGGCATCTCCATGGTTGACTTTGAATTACACGGTCAAAGAATCCATGTCTTTGAAGGGTAGCTGAGGCCCCTTCCTCTTTTCGTAGCGAATAGGGGCAGCATCTCATAGAGAGACTAACCTAAAACACGGCTTCCACGGCCTATGTCACATAGGACAGCTGAAAAGTGTTGCTTCTTCGTATCGGTCTAGACATGATTATCCGAAGTCAATGCAATTGATACATCCGATTACACCTTCTCGATGCGCCACCACTGCTTCAAGAATGTTGAGTAGGTGGGCGTGAGTACTGGATCCGCGTTCTCGATTAATTTTGTTGACAGCTCTCTTGATCACACATGGTAGTCCTATTCGATTGGCAGCTCAGCTGAACAGCCACAAGGATATTATAAGAGCTGAATATATGTTGAAAGTGGAGTGGTGAGCTAGTATTCAACGATATAGAAAGAATGAAAGTTCGTAAAATTGGTCTAGTCGTCCAGCTAAACGGTGTCATGAGTTGGTCTAAGTGTTGAACTGGGAACTCTTCACTACACCACACTCCATTACAAGCTTCGTCCGTGTGCTCAGCTGCGGCGGACTCTGCATTATCGTATCCGTTGCAACGCCGGATGCTCTCTGCAGAGGGTCGGAAAGGCTGAAGGGCATGTTCTAGACAGGTCTATGCAATACTGCAGCCTTCGCAATGTGCAGCCAAGTCAGAAGCACCACTCTACCGAGTACATCCATGCAACAAATTCCGTTGTCCGTTGACCAGTTCACCTATTGCAGGAAAGGCTGAACCCGCTTCTGAATGAGCAAAAGTGCTAGCGGTGGAACTCGAAATCCCCTAGCTTACTTCGTTTGGTATTATAAGCCCCCCTTCAGTTCGATTCTACGTCGAATTTACTCCACTTCGCTTCGCTTCGTTCGCTCTCCCGTTCTAGAACTGTACGTAAAGATCGCATCAGTTTTACTCCATCTCACGACACAACTCAATTCCTCTCCGGGCAAGCACCACATTCTTGCATCAGCTTTTGCGCGTCCTGCCACACACCCATCACGATGTCATTACCACATCTCTACCAGACAAGCTGCGGATTCCTCCCGCTTATAATGCGTGCCCATCATGTTCAGGCGCATAGAGTTACTCCTCAGCTTGAAAATTGCCGTTACAAGACTACAATATTGTCTGCTTTGAGGTCGGCGCAATTGATGATCGAACACGCACGATTGGCCAGACTAAACCGAAACTCAAATCAACCATCAGGCGTAAGCTGAAAAGCGTTCGAAACTCAAATTGATTGATCCGTTTTGGTGAAGGTCCTTCAAAGCATCGATCGACGAGGCTGCTTTAAAATGGTTCTGCGTGCAGCGTAGATTACGGTGTGCAAACAACAAACTTCCACGCAACAACTACGGCGGTCTATAATATATCTATAGTATTAATAGACTCCTCGCCATTGGTTTAATGTATGAGAGTGAAGATACTAATATATATATATATATATCCTTGATAGCAATATCACTCCGTAGCTAATTCAAATAAGATACGCATACCCAGTATGGCGGTGATTTTCGCTCTCCACTGTATCCCCCGCAGCTGAACGTGGCCTCATCTAAGACATGTCAGTGACAAGTACTGCCCATCACGCGGCGAAAAGGGAGCGGGGGAAACGAGCACTTTTGTGTGGCGTAGCCGAGAGCAGATCGACGCATACGAGACACGAGGTACATGAATTATGGCGTAGCTGAAAGCACATTGACACTTGGTTGACTCGACACTTCTCGCGGATCACTGCTGGCAGATACAGTAACAGACTAGCCAGCTAGAAGTTCTGGTCGACAGATACAGAACTCATACGCTAGGCCAGAGGGAAGGTTAAGCTTTTCACCGCCATGTTCCTCAAGAAGCTTGACCTCTCAAAGTTGCATTTGGTCCTGCTCGGACTAACTGAAAAATGTACTCCTACCGCGCCGTCTCCTCCCCTCCCCCCAGCCGTTGTGCCCACTAGCTGTAGCAGTCCCACATGCCGCAAAGCTTGGAGCAACCACATCGATTTGAAGAGGTTTTGCCCATCATCGTGCAAACCAAGTAATCAGCATGCAATCAGCACCTGGAGCGCATAGACTTAGAATCTCGCTCTCGTTCAGCTTCTCCGCCAGTAAGAGGTGGCTGCAATGATCTGACAAGTCCGAAGGGGATCTAGACCTCATTGCCCTGCTTCTCGGACTTGTGGCTTAGCTGAACCAGAAAACGTGCATGGGCCCGCACACATTCACAATATCATTTTGCTGCATTGGTAACGGCGTCGGATTCTCTGCCTCGAGAATTGATGTATCCTTGGACACTTGCGTCTCTCCAAATCATCACTTGAGGCAATTTGGATGGGTCCACAACCTTAAGGAGAGTCTCGTCGCGGCCAAACGGGGAGCGGGATGGGGTACGAATGCCGCATTTGTCGATGTGGGCAAGAGACCATTTGGTCTATACGTTCTCCCTCAAGTCTTCCTTCCAAACTTTGCCACCTCAGCGGGTACTGAAGTTCACTACACTCAGCTGAAAGCAAAACTCTTCCTCAGTTCATGTGACTTGCACTTGCAATGGCAGCTTGATAGGTGGTGTCTAGGCCGTTCGAAATATCTCAGTTGTGATTACCCCAAGTTTAGTCACTTGACGGTACACGCTATGGCATCTGCTGGATGAGACCGAATACAATGCGCCTACAATCAGAAGCTGGGGCTGAAGTTCGAATAGAGGCAGAAACTCCCCTCTCATATGTGCTTGATAATCACTCGTTCATATCCGAGCCAGCTGAGTGCCCCAGTTGGGAATTACTGTAAGTCGTAGCAGGTCTCTCACCACTCCAACTCGTCTGTCTCACTCAAGTGGCTGTCATGCGCATTCAGGTCTAAATTTACATGGAAAGCTGCAAGCTACAAAACCGCTAGTCGAAGCAAGGCGCAAGAGGATTGAGTCAAACCTGTTCACAGAATACGAATGGTCTAGACGTGATGACCATGCTGCATCAGCAGGGGACCCCCACTAATATGGTGGAGAAATGGAATTCTCCCTCAAGACCGTGGTACCGTTTGTAGATCGCCCATCGACTGGAAGGATAAGAAGACAGTTGTTACCGCGTTCTTCTCAAATGTACGAAGCAAATTCTCTTTCAAAAGAATCAGTCTTCTCACTTTTCATCGAGAAACTCAACTTGCAACCTGGTCAATTCTACACCTCGCGAGCTTTGAACCATGGCTAGCGAAGTCACCGCGGACGGGCACGTACTAGCTCCTCTGAACATCACAGCACCTGCTCCAATACTCAACCTCAGAGGATTCAAATGGGACACCGTGGACGAAAAGATTCACGGCTCACAGTCCAGTGAAGATCACGAAAGAGACGCACCCCAAGGCGTACTTCCTGGTCATGGACAAGTTTTAACGGAAACTTCGATGGAGCAGGAGCCCCTGGTCGCTGATGTCGCGCCTCCTTTTCAACGCGCAGCCGCAGTGCCGCCCCCTGCAGTGCTACCAGCACCGACGCTGTCGGACCAGCTAGCGCAGCAGCTATCTCCACCGAAACCACAAGACTCATTTGCTCCTAGTTTCCCGCTCGAACAGTTCCAGGGCACCTATGCTGGTAACGGGTTCAATATGATATTTCGCCCACGATTCCGAAATGATAATAGTTTACCCATCAAACCGGAACGTGATGGGGGCCCTGGTGACAACATTCTGGAGCTGAATCTCACGAGGGAGCAATTGACGTTTGGACAAAATCTCGGCAAAATACCCAACCGCGGATTGGGTGACCAGCCAGACATTGCTCTCGCCGGCATACCGTATCTACAGACTGTTCAAAGATGTTACGAACCGTGAGACTGGAAAAGGCGACCGTCTTGATGATCCTCCTACTGGTATACATTTTGAGCCCGGCGTATGGCTCCACGTTCCGGCGGCAAATTTCCAGAAGAAGGGTACACCAAGCGTAGTCCGCATGGCGTCCATACCCCATGGCACAACAGTCAACGCACAAGGCCTGATTCCAACTCGTTCCAATACCACTCTAGGCGGAGTTTCTGGTCCCCCCAGTATCGACGATATTGACACTACACCATTCACCATTGGGGATCCTAAAGATAGGCTAATTGGAGTTTTCAAATCCATGGATGCAGACAATCAGAAAACTTTCAGGGTTCCACAGAATCTCGAAAAGTTCAACGACAAGGGTACGCAAACAATTACAACCGATATCATCAAAAATCCAAATTTGGTCCTTAAAAAGCCATCAAAGGGCAGACCATCACGGAAACCATTAGTTTCGAAGTCTCCACTGGACCTCCGTCGGCTGAGCTCAACGGCGGCGGAACTGCAAATATATCCTTCCTTGCAGGCAAACAGGACCCTGTAACAACCGCCGCTCCAGGCAAGAACGATAGTCCGATCGCTAACGCAGACTTTATGAAGTCTAAGTATTGGATCGAAAGGGTGGCATATCAGGTCAACGTTCAAAAGTCACTGAAACAAACCACGATGCTACTGAGGCCTACCATGCCGAGCAACTCTACTGCGCCTACTCCTGTTTTCGCAATTACGACACCACCTAATGGTGTCCCGAACAACACAACCATTACGGTCCCTGGGATTCAGATTCAGTCCTCGCAGACCGTGAACCTGAATTTTATGGGTTTGACTTGGCCACACGTCAGTGTGTCGACGCTCGTCCCGACGACCCCACAAGCATTCCGGATGACATGATAAGAAAGTGACCACTCGAACAAATCTAGTTTGAATTGGGATCTGTGGAATGCAACAAGTTACGGTGATGCAAATGCTCTTGGATCCGTGATTGGCTGGAGCTCTGTGGATGTTCGATCCATACGCAATAGGTTTGAAATTAGACTGGTCTACATTCTGCTGATGAACCGTCAGTCGCCGATGGATCGGAGGATGGCACGATTGACGATGATATTTCGGCGGAATCTCAAACTGCCTTTGTTCTGAATACACTCTTTTCGAGCCCGATAGCTTCTGAGCTCTCCGAGTGTAGAGCCACAGTATTTCATATCCAGCATGGCCGTCCCTTGCAACTTTCAATTTCGTTCAGACGTATAAATGATAGCCTTACTGTGCTGTCTTCATCCCACGAGGAAGACTTACTGCCTTGGCCGGTTCAAGACGGACGGGGATCCTGGGAAAGTCGACTATATGCGTAGGTAGTCCCGGCTTTGCCAAGGCCATATTACGAGCTGGCCCTCAGTTTTAGGGAAGACAGACCCATCCCGTTTTGCGTTACGCGGTACAGCCCGCCTCATATTATTCGAACGAGACTCTCCGTTTCTCCACTCCACCTCTAGGCCTCTAAAAAGTCTGTCGCCAAGGCACACAAAGACAGGCACATTTAACAGAGCCGATAGCCGAAACCTCCTCGTTAAGCCCAGAGTGTTGCTAACTTAGGTACTTATACCCGACGTCGTAGACAATACTTTCAAGCCCTCTCCTCGTCGGAAGGCGGTACTCTGGTGACTCCAGTCTATAATCGTACGAATCCGTGGACCGAAAGCGCCGCTCCCACATCAGTCAGACTCCGGCCAATCATACGCGTCCAACTCAAGATGCCATCCAATGTAAGCATTCTGCCCCCCGTAGAGCAGGCCTTGCAACACCTCGACCTCGCCGGACATTTCATCCCTCTCTGCGTGCGCATCCTCCAGCTTCTCCTGGAGCTCTTCTACCTCCTGTTCTAGGTACCGGACGCGCTGCTCCAGCTCTCTCTTGGCTTCCAGCGCGGCAATTGCAACCTCGTCTCTCAACCATAATTCGTCGTCCATTGCGCGCTGCACCGAATCCCACTTCATGACCATCTTTTCTCTTCTGACGATGAATCTGGCCACAGCCCTCCTGACCTCGGTCGCGTCCAGCTCCAGCTCGGTCAGCTTCCTCAACACACCGCCAAACCCTTTCTGATTCTTTGCGCTCCATCCCTTAGGATCGAGCGGCGGCCTCTGGTCCGTCTCGTAGAACAGCACCAATTTCGAACTCATGTAGTCGCGAAGCTCGTCTAGCCCGTACTTGTCCGCCACGACGAAGACGTCGAGGTCGCGCTCCACGTCGCTGAACAGTGGGTCGGTTGGGCGGTAGATCTGAGTCACATCTAGCGTGTAGAGGTAGCGAAGCATGGCTTGAATGGCCCTGGGTTCGTCGTCGGGGAGGACGATTTCTCGCGTGGTGGACTCCTATACGAAATATGAATATATTTTCTCTCTGGAGAATTTCCATGAGTCCCCCCCTCAGGTGGAACATCCAATTGGAAAAGATTGAGGTCAGTTTAATTAAGTAAGACGCACACACCGTGAATCCGTTTTCGCAGCATGCCTTGAGGAAGGAGCAGCGAGAAGTCAGGAGGACCTTGTCGCATTGCCAGGCCCACCGGCCACATCGAATGATGACATCTCCGCTATTATTGGAGTCGAGGATCCTGGTTTCAACGACGGGGGTTAACATCCAGGAGCTGATATTCACCAAAGAAATGAAAATAAAAACACAACACTTCCAAATACACCAGAAGAAAAAGGCAACAAACACACCATTGCGCTTGACATACGTCTTCTAGGCCATCATCGCCTTCGCTCTCAATCAGCTTTGGCATCTTGCTCTTCCGCATAACCTCCCCCTGACGCTGTGCCTCATCATCATCGTGGTCTTCAATTTCTTCAAGTTCAGCACGTGCCCTTTTCAAAACCATGGCCCGAGAGACAAGGACGCTTCCGGCTTCATGTCCGGCAATTCAAGTTACTAACAAGAAAGTTCTGCCTGCGAGGAATGTGTACGTGGATGTCGGGAACAGAAGCTGCTCGCAGGGACGAGGAGATGGGGCGGTCAGGAGGTGAGTGGACGAGTCGGAGCTAGCTATGTTAGTATATCGCTAGTTTAATCTCAGGGGGTTGGTTGGGTTTGTTGCTATAAATATGGAAACAAGCAGATAAATAATACGGGCAAGCAGAGAGTGCTCCAAAGAGGGCTATCTGATCCGCCGTACAAATATTCCCGTTGTCAGTCGCGGTTGAACACGGTCGTGATGCCTGTAGCTCCGCCACAAGCACGTAGTTTATGCGCTCGGGCTTGCGCCCTGGCGCTTAAGGAACCTCCCCTCACCTCAATGACTAATACTCGCTCACAGGGCTAATTGTTGTTTCAGAGGCCTGTGGCTCCGTCAATTGCGAACCAGCAGGCAACTTAAAAATAGGCGCCAACGGACAACGAAAGCTAACATACTGGGTACAGCCTCATCATAAACCTGCTACGAAATTGCGTGTCAGTCAACATCCTATCTTCTCGAGGATTTACTGAAGTCGTATTGACGGTAGATTGCTTTATGTTAAACATCACAATCAACTCTCGGATCTAGTTTCCGAGCTCCAGGCAATCTTGAGGCGTTGAACACTTCCGCTACTTTTCGGGAGAGTAGATCAACCGGCAAGGCTTTATTTCATCCTTAACTGCCTAGCAAGCAAAGATGGCGGCCACTCCACGGTCGAGCTATAACACGTTTCCAGCAAGTGGTGGCGCTTCAAGACCTCCTCGACTTCCTCAGCCACCTCCTCCGCGGAGCACCCCCAGGGTCGTCTCTAGCCAGGCACAACCAATTATCATTACCCCCGGGACAACAAGTCGACCAGTTTCAGAGCCAGTAAGTTCGTTAACGACCGAGCCACCTCCAACACATGGTGCTGAGCCTATGGCAACACCACAGCAAAACCCAGCGAGACAGCCGGCTCCTGCTTGTGCTCGCTCAGCTTCAGCTCCACAGAGGCAACCGCTTCGGCAGATCACCATTGAACCTCTAAATATTCAGACAGCGAGTCCAAAACCGAATGCACTTCCCCCTCCAACTCTACTTAAACACCGTCTCCGCAGATTCATCTCACAATGGAACAACTGGTGGATTCTTGAGATCGCGGCTGGCATGCTGAACATTGTATGCTTGATAATTATCATCATCCTCCTTGACCATTTTGACGGCAAACCTTTAAGTAGATGGCATTCGAGGATCACACCCAACGCAATGATTTCTGTCCTGGCCACTGTCTCAAAATCCTCGGTGCTCTTGCCAGTAGCAGAGTGCATATCACAACTCACCTGGCTACAGTTCCAAAGGCCACACTCCTTGCAGCTGATACAGGAGTTTGACGAAGCAAGTCGTGGTGCCCTAGGATCATTCCAGATACTGTTCTCTACTGAAGCTATTGCAGCATGGTTTGGAGCAACTATTACTTTGATGGCTCTCGCATTTGAGCCTTTTGTGCAGCAAGTATTATTGTTGCAGACTCGCCAAGTTCTCCTCAACATCACCAACACCCAAGTGCCGGTTTCGTCTACATTTAATACTGGCAAGACCTTTCCTGCGTCATTTCCTGTGAATTACTACCCACTTGGGGATGAAGCACATGCTCTTGACTCCTCTATTCGAGCTGCTGGGTTTAACGGAATCTACAACGGCGCCATCGAACCGCCATATGAGTGTGGATCGTCAAGCTGTCGCTTCGGAAGCTTCGCTTCGCTGGGGATATGCTCATCATGCACGAATGTTTCGGATGATCTGAAAGACAATTGCACAACTACAATTGGTGGTAGGTGTGAGAGTTGGGAATACACAACCCCTGCAAACATCAGCGTACGTGCCCGGTATGATTCTGGCCAGTTTAGCAGGAACAACTTCGCTACACTCTTCAATAGCTCCGCGACTAAATGGAACGAACTTAGCATGCCATCTCTGGCACAGTTCTCCACCATAAAATTTATCCTGACCACCGATTCATCGGGCCTCGACACTCTCGTACCCATCCTCGCACACGATTGCTCTCTTCGCCTATGCATCAGGACATGGGCCGGTGCCACATTCGAAAATTCCACCTTCACAATGGAACCACCTGAAGAAATTAATTTTCAGAGAGTAATGGCATCTGGTCCATTCTCAATCCTCGAGCTTGACCCAACTGTCAATGCTACAAGATTTGGCACCTACAAGATCAACACTTACGACTGGCAGATGATGGCCTCATTCCTGGCGGCGACCTTCTCGTATCAGGGTAGCGATGTCCTCTCAGACACAGATAACCAAGGCGTGCCAATCATGCTGTACTATGCCCGCGATCTTCCGGCCATGATACAGAATCTCGCCAACAGTCTGACGAACATGATTCGCACGTCGCCGGACAGCACCCTTGTCGCAGGCGAAGCCTTCCGGAGCGAGGCGTTTATCAAGATCCACTGGCCGTGGATATCGCTGCCTGCGATTGTGGTCTTTTCCTCAAACAGTCTATTGGTGATCATGATGATCCAGAGTCACAGGAAACGGTCCCCGATCTGGAAGAGCTCCGTGCTGGCGCTTCTATTTCACGGATTGAAGCCGGGTACGACCAATACCGCAGATGAGCATGTGACTTCGTTGTGGGACATGGAGCTCTTGGCTGAACGGAAGAAGGTGAGGCTTGATGGCTCAACTCCCGAAGAGCTAATCTTTGTTCCGTCTTGAGAAACGTGATGAGAAATCATTATTGGAGTGTTCAGGAGAGAGACAGGCATGTCACTGCATTTAAGGATATAGTTTAATTCTTTGCATTTATCTATATCTATCATGCCGAAACACATTGTCTTCCAGAGTCCGGATCTCCTTAGTCGCCTTCAATTGTACCTATCTTTCTACTCAAGCTTGAGTTTTCTTCACTTCTGCTCAACGGCTGCAAAACAAGAGGATACGCGAGCCCCCCAAAAATGAGATTTTGCCGGCTGAAATTCTCGAAATATATTCCATTCACGTACCATTTCAGGACTAAATACTTCCCTATTGACCGTTGTACCTGGAATTCATTTTGTCGTGTATATACTCTGCCATTCACATCACTAACTGAGTTAGATGCCTGACTACCGCAGCTCCTCGAGGACTCCATTCCTATAGGAACCGTGTCGGCAGCGTCGCCAGAAGTCAATTCATAATCAGTCAATGTATTTATATAGACGTTACTAAGGGCTATAGATAGGTATATCAGGTATGAAGTAACCCTCCTAGCGTACTGGTCAGGGAATGCCCGGTCATGCTGAGCGAATGGCTCATTCAAGGATTAATGCGTAAATGGCAATTGGATTTTCCATTCGCGTCTAAACGGGGAAGTTACACCGGGACACATATAGAGTATTACTGTATGAATATTTGGTAGTTAAATCAGCACAGTTTAGTCAGGTAGTCAGTCAGAGAGTAGTCGGTAGGGTACGCCGTAGTAGGCTACCTACCCATCTCATAATACCTTCCCAGTCAGCTAGGTCCTCGCAGTCAAGTTTGGTAGTGCCTCGATCGGCCACCAAGTCGTACAATCCCTCCAACTCCTCCACCACCACCTCCCTCTTCTTGAATTTTCCTAAAACGTAGCCATTCCCGCACGCTCGCCGGTCGGTCAGTAAGTCAGTCATCAGTTGACCGACTGATAAATTTACAAATAATTTCTCGAATGCAGCTCGGTGCCTTTTCGCATGAAGGCCTTGCCTGCACCTGTGTGTGAAACGTGGATTGTGTGGGTTGTGATGATTAGTTATCAAGTCATATATACGATGCGACGATGCGGTATGACACGACCTGATGTAACTAGTGATTGGCCAGAGTTTCAAACTACCTACGTATCTAACTCGCTAACCCGCTAACTCTGTCGATAACGGGTCGACTAGACAGTTTATATGGTGTATTCCGTTTGCAATTGGTGGCGAAGGAAAAGCCCAAGAGATGATTACATGAGCTTCCACTCTCTTTCTATATGAGGCTGAACTCATCCGTGTCACCGTCCGTCTGTCTTGCCTCGTGCTTTTTCCGTTTTCACAAGTGAGGGAAGCCGAAAATCCCTAGACCTCACCGGCGCAGCCACCCTGGATCGATGCCCACTCAATGAGTGTATTTGCTGCTGGAGCACTCCTCCCTATGAAGAATCTTCAACGGCGACGTGCTGTTGCGTGGCCATCCTCCTTCGAGGATTTGAATTGAGGACTGCATGGATGTCAGCCCTGCACGTGGACTATCCGTCCCGGAAAACCAGCGGGGGAACCAATTCATATCAGAACTGGTAAATATACTGGACGCCTGAAGGACGACATCAGCTTTGCATGATTTTTGCCGCGGTCGTATAGATCAGGGAAATCTCGGCGCGGGCTGACTCTGACTATTCATTCGTATGCTTGGCGTTTGAAGAGGCTTGGTGACTGATGCTATATCATATCGAAGCTGCTAACGGACTGGATACGAGGGTTGCCTGAGCTGAACTTCTTTGGCTATACATGACCTTTGTACCGAGGAATCAAAGATGTATATAGCTGCGGCTCTGTCAGTCGCCCGCTTGGCTTTGTGACACTTCGAACGCAAAGTGCTCTCGAATTGAGCAGTACACATCACCGCTTCCTTGAACGTGCACCAATGGGTTCTATAACGCCACCCATGTCGCTCCGTGTTATCGTTGTGGGTGGCGGCATCTGCAGCCTCTCCGCTGTCATCGCTCTTCGCCGGGCAGGTCACCATGTGACTGTGTATGAGAAATACTCTGCCGACGCAGATGCTGGGGCCGGGGTTGTTGTGGGCGCAAATGCCATCAAGGTTCTCAAGCAATGGGGCCTTGATATGGAAGGCTCCGGCTTGCTGAAATACAAAGCCGGCTATGTCTCGGAGGGCAAAACGCTCAAGATATTGGACTTTGTCTATGGAGAGGAAAGCACAGTAAATGACGAGAAGAGCAATGACGAGTCGAGTTATATGGCCACAAGGCCGGACTTGAGAGCAATGTTGAGAAGGGAGGTTGAGAGACACACACAATGGAGGTCGTGGACTATGACCCAGAACTGCCGGCGATCAAATTTTCCGATGAGAGCTGGGAGGTGGCCGACTGGGTAGTGGCGTGTGATGGCGTCAAGAGCAAAGCCGTAAGAATTGTCAGCGGGGGAGAAACCCCACCCAAAGCAACTGGGATGTCGGCCTTTAGCATGGTGATTCCGGATGAAAAGATGGCCAGTGTCAAGGAGATGTTCAAAGAGAACAATCTAATCCGCGAGAAGTTCAACAAGGACAACGGTACAGTTTGGTTTATCCGCGGAGGGGACAGGCGACTTGTCGTGTGGTGGACATGTCGGTTTGGCAAGATTCAAGCGTTCGACATGCTCATGCCGGACAATGAAAAATATGCCAGCAACGAGGAGTGGACAGCCAGATGCGATAAAGTAGGTGCTTCTCGATGAGTTCGGGTACTGGCATCGCCGACGATGATCCATTACTGTGGAAGGTGTGTTCAAGAGTGCCTCCGGACACTCTCCACAAAGGCAAACTGTGCATGCTCGGGGACGCATTGCATCCGACGCCTCCTTTCCGAGCTCAAGGAGGCAGCCAATCTATCGAAGATGCCGGGGCGCTTGAGAGGATCGCCACCAACATCGTCGACAAGTCAGACCTGCCGAGACGGCTGGAAATGTTGGATAGATTGAGAGTCTCGAGGTATCCCTGTGCCCAGATGATCTCATCAGTCCGTCAGGACGACCTGAACTTGGACGAACGCTATATTGAGGTGCCCAGCCAATGCCGAAAATGGTTTTGAGGGAGAGGACCAATCTCACCGTAAGTCGGTTTTCCTGATGCCCGATGAAAGGATCGGCTCACTAACAGACACAGTGCAAAACGGGGCGGCTTTCCAACAGTGGCTACACTCATACGATGTAAGAGGCGCTGTAGCGAGAGCCGTTAGCAAAGAGGCGTAGCGATGATAGCAAGATAGAGGGTGCAAAGGGTAGAATAGTAGATGGCGTTGACAGAGGATCTTGACCCTTTTCGGCGCGCCAAGAGCCCGCAATTTTCTGTCTTTTGAAACTGGAACAAACGAGAATGTGAACCGCCAAATCATAGAATATCTCACCGAAATATCACATGCTCATAATCCCCTATCGCCACAGCCAAAAAGTGTTTCCTCATCGCCTAGAGTATTGCAGTCATGTCAGATCATAAAGACGACCGCCCGACAAAGCAGCGACGAATTCATGGAATGCCACTGCTCGACCAAACGAGTCAGATTGACGACGATGAGGATTCTTCCAGCTCATCCTCATCGTCTTTCATGACCTTGCCGACAGCACGGCTTTCTCATCGACTTCTAAATGATGCCGGCACATTGCATACAGAAAACTCTTCCGACAACGAAGAAAGCGAAGTGCAGGATGAAGAGGAGACAACGTCGTCTTCGGATTCTGAGGATTCAGACGGTGAGGAGACGTCAGAGAGAGAAGAAGAAGAAGAAGAAGAAGAGGGAGGGGAAGACGTCGAGGAGCCTGTCCCCCCGAGAGGCCCAGGAATCCCACGTTTCACCACGCTGCCCGCCCGAGGGTCGGATCTCAAGTCTCGTGTGCAGAATTTCCTACCACAGCTACAACGAGCAAATGCGGAGCTCGAGGACTCCAGCCAAGTCTTTGACAGAAGGATTGACCATGTATCAGACGACGCCGACCATTATATCGAGATGGAGGTGGGCCTCGGTGTGTTGACTGCACAGAAGGACGACACCACCCGAATAATGCTGCCGCATTCGCCGTCTAGCGTGGAAGAGGATCGCGCCGACGAAGATGAAGAGGTCATCAATGCACATGGTGGGTCGGAGGACGGCGCCTTGTCTCGGGTGGTTGGCATGGAAGGGAGAAAAGGAACAAAGCGGAAAATCGAAGAGCTGGGATAATGGGGATGGAGTTTTGTATGGGGTCTGGGCATGGAGTATAGAGGTATCTCCGTACTCCTACTCAGCACATAGTACGAAGTAGTGGGAGGTAGGAGGTGCTCGGTAAGGGGATCTGGGGTATCAAGGGTGATACGTGGCGAGGGTGGTACATACCGAGTACCGGGTACATAAAGGATATTGGTGATAAGCGATAAGAAGCGGGGGGGCAACCACCGTCCGGGGCGCGGCAACGTCATTGTTTGGATCTAACCTGAAACGGACACCAAGGCACCGCAGTTTTGGCGCTAGCCAACCCACCGCAGCAAAGCTAGCGCTTCGTTAAGCTGCTAGATGGCCTCACTTTTCTTTCATGTATGTTTCCTTACACTGCAGATATCGCGCTGTCATCCAAGAGTGCATCCATCTTCTCAATAGAGCTTCGACTATGGTGCCGCCGTCACGCGCAACCACCCATGACGCACGATCAAAGACCCCAACACACTCGACCGCCTCAAGTCCCTCTCTCAGGTCCAAGACGCCTGTGAGTGTCTCCATGACGCCCACCAACAGCAGCATGGGTCCTGGCGGAAACGTCAAAGTCGTCGTCAGAGTCAGGGGGTTTCTTCCCCGCGGTAAGTGTACAATGGCCTCTCAATCAGTCGAAGCTAATAATGTTTGGCAGAAATCGAGAGAGGCGCACAATGCCTAATTGAGATGAACCCTCGCACCCAGTCGACGAAGCTGTTAGTTCCTCCTTCGACTGATCCCGCAAATGCAAGAGCGCAGACGAGAAAGGTGCTGGAGGAGAAGTTGTTCACATTTGACAATTCATTCTGGTCCCACAACACAAGAGATGAGCATTATGCTACACAGGAAGACGTCTACAATTGCTTGGGAGAGGAATTCCTAGACCACAATTTTGAAGGCTACCACACATGCATCTTCGCGTACGGGCAGACAGGCTCCGGCAAGAGTTACACCATGATGGGCACTCAGGAGCAGCCCGGCTTGATACCACGAACATGCGAAGACTTGTTCCAGCGCATCGAGTCCAACGAGAGCGCCAATATCAGCTACAGCGTCCGAGTGTCGTACTTCGAAGTCTACAACGAGCATGTGCGGGACTTATTCCAGCCGCGAACTGAACCTCCACAATATCTCAAAATCCGAGAATCCCCTACCGAAGGGCCATATGTCAAGGACCTAACGGAAATCCAAGTCAAAAATTACAATGAGATCCTGAAGTACATGCGGATGGGCGACAGCTCCCGAACCACGGCTTCGACCAAGATGAATGACACGTCCTCCCGGTCTCATGCAGTCTTCACCATCATGCTGAAACAAATCCATCATGATTACCGCACAGACGAGACAACGGAAAGATTGGCACGGATACGGCTTGTGGACTTAGCGGGATCTGAGCGTGCCAAAGCAACTGAAGCGACTGGACAGCGACTTCGAGAAGGTGGAAACATCAACAAATCCCTGACTACGCTGGGGAGAGTGATTGCTGCGCTTGCAGACCCCAAACACGCCCGAATCCACCATTCCAAACGGACAAATCGTGACATTGTGCCCTATCGTGATTCAATCCTGACCTGGCTGTTGAAGGATTCACTTGGAGGAAACTCGAAGACTGCCATGATTGCTTGTATAGCACCGTCAGATTACGATGAGACCCTCTCAACCCTCCGATATGCAGACCAGGCCAAACACATCCGCACAAAGGCTATTGTGAACCAGGATCACGTCTCATCTGCAGAGAAAGACGCACAGATCAATGAAATGCAAGAGACAATCCGAGCACTGAGGTGGACGCTGAGCCAGCAGCAACAGAACGGTAGTGCCTCTGTGATGAAAGCTGTGCAAGAGTCCGCCGAAGCTCAATCTGAGAAAATTCGCGAATTCACCACCAAGTATGAAAACATGCTGCAGATTATGGAAGAGAAGTTAGCTATTTCAGAGTCCAAAGTGCGACAATTGGAGGAAGAAAAAGAAGCGTTGAGCATTCATCTGAAGCTTGTTCTTGATGAGCTCAAAAACCCCATCGTCATCAACAAAGAAGATACCGAATCTGTCGACGAGAGGTCTAGGGCGCCAACGCCAGACATGATATATGAAGACGACACGGCCTCTAGCGACGAGGTAGAGACGGAATCCGAGATCGATGATGAAGCTGCTGAGATGCAGGCAGAGATGGAAGCGCTTATCTCGGACTTGGGATTGTTCAAGAAGAAGATTGCGGCAGACCACGAGATGTTTGGCATCAGCCTTGCGGCATGACTCGAGAAAAGAGTTGGACGAATGTGAACGTTTTGGCATGTTAGCGAGGCGTTGGGTCTTCGCGGTCTATGGAGTCGTTAGCTACAGGAACTTTGGTCTGCTTGATACCAGGAAAAATGCCGAGACTGGGGAAACTCGTATGCAGAGTCAGCCTGAGCCTTTCGGGCAGAATGCGAAGCAGATGCACGGACCACTTGTGGCTCCTTATGACAGGCACCTTGTCTCACTGCTTCCAATCGTTTCTCGCTTGTACCACGTCCATCTTGCCCCAGCCGTTCATACAGCCAGCCAGTTCACCAAATGTCGAGCCAGCGAAGGAGGTGAGGCACCAACTACGCACCAGCCTCTTCTCAAGAAATCGCCTTGTGAGGCTGAAAAGGTTGCCTTCCCGCCAGGGAATGATCCATGGGCCTCCCTCCGACAGGAAATGACCTTCCGCACCACATCCTCTCGCTTTTTATCTTGACCACATTCTAGATCTATTGTCTAGAGCAGCCGCCGGGGAAAAACTAACGACAGCCTCCCTGATCTCGACACTCAGATCAAGCTCGTGTTGTGCGAGGAAGCCCTGCGGCTATCAGCAGACTCCAGGGGCCTTTAACTGCCGCAACAAGCGAAGTAACTGTCGCAGCAGCCAACATCGATTTCAATTTCACTCTCGTCAAATGCGAGGTTCCCAGAGAATACCATGGTTTTGAAACGTCCTATCCAAGAAGCGTAAGGAACAAGGAGAAACAGGGTCGATACACATCACCCCCAGAAGCCTCGGTGCTCTCTTCGAGGGTTTCTGCAACTGTTGACAGGGTCGCGAGAGCACCACTGTGGCAAACTACCTGAGACGCTAGGCGTGTCACCAACTGCGCAATCTGTCTCAACCTCGTTGCTCTTGCGAACCTGTGATAGGATGGCGACGGAATAGGAGGTTTCAGGAATGCTCTTCAGGTTACTGGCCAAAGTGTATATAAACAAGCAGAGTCTCTCTGAATAGCCAGAGGGACAGAACACAATCAAGCAGATGAATCCACTCTCATTCTGTGTACAACAGCAACCCCTCCCCAAATTTGATCAAGGCCTACGGAAGGCGTGTCTCTGAAATTTCAGGGCTTCAGAAGGAAGAGTCCGGTAGTGTCAAGGACAGTATTTTTGATCAATATACTGGGGTCGACGGCACCTCAATATGGGCCGCAGTGACATCCTCTTTTTCCACGCTTCTCCTCTAGCTGCTTACTTGTATGCTTGCCCGATTCTGGTCCGCTTCGGAAGCAGTCTCAATGTGGTACGAACTGGTCAAGGAGCGACGAAAAAGCATTGCAAATCGGTTCGTGGAAGCAGGAAGGGCACCCTTTGCTACACTCGCCGCCGCTGCACAGGCAGACATATCCCGGTCCAGTCTTGCTAAATGGGACGGCAGTGCGCGTGCCTGGCTTCGTTTCGCGGACAAAATTAAGCGTACCGAGCAGGATCAGCTGATGCTCATTGTTGCTAATATCAATGTCCCCATCAATAATGACATGAGCGTCTTTTCTAGCGTCTAAACCGCCTGGAAATCCACCGTTGTGTCAATGGAAAGCCTGCTTATATCGACTGGTCCTGAGCTTGGCTTGCATAGTCCGAATTTCCAGACTGAGTCGACCAAGAGTGTCTTGAACGCCTGGCTTTCTCTTAAACTTAATTCAGGGTTTCTTGCTCCCTAAAACGTATAATGATTGTTCATTTTGGCGAAGTCCATAAGATTCCCCTTTGAGGATGAACCTGTCGACATAGAATTCAGGATCTCTCGAATGCTCTCGAATGACGGATAGATGGTGCTGCAGGAGGCGTGCTGGTACTTGTATTTAATGCTGCAAGCGGAGGCTAGAAAGATGGTTCACTGTTCGACATGTTTGTGCTTGTGCCGCAGATAGAGCACCACGCGCGACTTGTTCCAGCCGAAGGAAGAGCTTGATTGCTGGGGGTGAGGCTTCTTGACGCTTGCTGACATCAAACGGTGGGCTCTGTTTCAATGACTTCAAATAGTACCTACTCTGAGACTTCTGGTTGCTAGGTCCTCTTGTCACCTTTATATATCGTGTCTTGGCCAGGGAGTACTGACATTTCTGCCTGCGATCTACCAATAGGCAAGGTCAGCATACTGTGTCATTTAACTTTTTCTGCTTATATTGTAACAGAGCACTTCAGGGTTCGGCGTGCACGTGCAACAACGCACAGAGGCCTATCCAGCAGATCGGGAATCGAGAACGCGTTTCTAGTTAATACTGACAACAACACCACCAACACCACCTAGAGAGGTAGCGGCTAGGACTACGAATACCTAGTATAGCGGGGGCATCGAGGAACAGAACAGAATTAATAAAACACTCAGAAATTAGATAGATAGCGCTAAAAAGCCATAGAATTTATAATACTCTGCTCAAACTCGTAATGAATGGCACACTACTAGCACTATAAACTATTCCGTACCCTCTTCTCTGCTAGCCTATTTAGGTTTAATATGTGACCTAATAGATCTCTGCCTACCACCGCTCTATCAGCCCAGTATAGCCCATTATAGTATAGTCACCTCGCCTTATTATAATAACATCAGCAATTTTTCCCGCGACTCACAGTATTCTTATATGCTTAGGGAGCCCAGGGAGCTCACAGTCGCTCACAGCTCTTATATCTAGGCTATGAGCTCTTATAGACTATCTATTTTTAGTAACTTTTATAATATACTTATTATATAATATTATTAAATTTAAAAAGGTCTTTTCTATTTCGGAAATAAGGTTTACACTAAAAGCGGATAACTCGCTAAGTCTTTATCTTAGTAAATACTAACGTTATTAAGCTAATAATTTAAGATTTAGTTCGAAACCTTATATTTTATATATATCTACTTTAATTTTAGTATAATATAGTAATCTTAGTTAGTACTAGTTTAAACGACTAGTATAATTATATATTCGTAAAGTTATAAATTATTATATTAGCCCAGGGCCCTCTTAGAGTAGCCCATGAGCTCTCTTAGAGTAGCCCAGCGAGCCCAGCGGTCTCATGGGCTGCGTAAGACGCAGACTTACCTTGACAGCCCAGGGTAGCCCAGGGCTCTCAGAGTCGCGCGGGAAAATTTGTCGATGAGATATCTATTAGCGAAAAGGTGGTTATCTTCGATGACTTACTAGAAGATAGATAACCGAAGCTCTTAAGCTACTTAGTATAGGTCAAATATAATCGTTCTCGCTTAAAGATAAATACGCGATAGGTTGCCTGATAGCTATATAGATGGAGCCGAAGCATCGTGAATAGGAGAAAGACGTCCACATATTAGAGATTTTATCTAAGCGCTTTAGGTGGAGAAGAGAACCTCGATCGTCCCGGCGTGGATCTTCGTTCTTTGTGCACTAAATTTAGTGAACGCCTTCTCTTGCCCCTCCACATCCTCTAAGAAATTTCTAAATATTTGAATAGAATTGTGTCTTACTAAAAAAGAAGAACGGAACAGGAGTCGGATAAATGCCCTGCATAGCATAAAGAAGTTTCTTGTGTAGTTATAATTTGTTCAACAAAGACATCATCCAATCCAATAAGGCTCCGTATACAAAGTTCATTCCCAGTCTGCATCACATCAATCCACCCGAGCTTTACGAACCATCACCGCATTACTCGCATATTCTCACCACCACCGGACCATGTCGCATGGTCGCAACGGCCGGCCAGGTCGGCTGCGACGAGAACAGAGTGTTCCCTGAAGACCTCAATGACCAGATCATCCTGGCGATGGAGAACCTGGCTCGGGCGCTTGAGGCCGCCGGCGCCTCAGTCAAGGATGTGTACAAGTTGGTCTACCACATTATCGACTACGATCCGGTCAATCGTATCCACGCCAAACACCTCGAGGCATTTTTGAAGGGCGGGGGTGGGCCGCTCGGATGCGATCGGACTTCAAGCATGGAGGCCAACATCTTCGGTTTCTTGGAGGTGAGTATCAAACCGCAGCAGAGCCAATTCAGACTGAGGTGAATGCTGATAAAGTTGTCGACAGGCTCACAGTCAGTGTCGCTTGGGCTGGCAGATTTGTTACACGCCAACTCAGTTGTACTCAGCTCTCCTGTATTCCGGATCGCTCAATCTCCAGAAGGTGTCTTCGTCTCCGCAGCTCGCGGCGATTTCTTGTGCAAACGTGTTATTTTCTCGGTCCAAACGATTTTGTACAGGAGCATCACGTTCGATCCTCCACTACCTCCAGCAAAGCTCGAGCTTGCAAAACACAGTGTACAGTCATTTTCCTTCAAGCACATCATCCTCTATTCAGAACCGTGATGGCGCAATGCTGGTCTCTCTGGGGCCTTCATGTCATTCAATGGGCCCCTCTCCACTGGTCGGGACACGAGTAATGACCAAAAAGGCCAATTCTCGTTGACCTGCTTTGCCAACGGTAATCTCGGACGTCATTTGTCCAAGTATCCAAAAGCAGAACGTACTGTAACAGAGCACTTCAGGGTTTGGCGTGCACGTGCAACAACGCACAGAGGCCTGTCCAGCAGATCGGGAATCGAGAACGCGTTTCTAGTTGATACTGACAAGACAACACCACCAACACCACCCAGAGGGGCAGCGGCTAGGGCTACAAACACCTAGCACAGCGGGAGCATCGACGAATAGGACAGGACTGATAAAAAACACTTAGGAATTAGGTAGACGGCGCCAAAAACCATGGAATTTATGATGCTCTGCTCAATCTCTAATGAATGGCTCACTGCCAGCACTGTAAACTGTTCTGCACCCCCTTCTGCCAGCCCATTTAGGTTTGACATGTGACTAGACAACTTTTCCTCTCTGCCACCGCTCTACCAGCCCAGCACGGCCCATCACAGCACAGCCACCTTGCCTTGTTACAGTACAAAGGCTAATTTTGGCCATATTCAACGGATCTTTGGTCCCTATGTGAAGGTACCAGAGCCCCTTGCAGTGGTTCAGCGCAGTTGGAGCAAAGACCCATCGTCTCGAGTTTGTACTGTGCCTGTCGCACCACCAGGCATTATGACACTCCATGAGCATTCACTTAGGACTCCACATGAGAAGATACACTTTGTTGGCACAGAAACTACCTACGCATGGAAAGGCTATATAGATGGAGCGGTGAGATCTAGTGATCGCGGAGCGAAGGAAGTCATCCAAGCGTTAAGCCAACCAAGCGAAGTTGTAAGAAAATACTGTAACAAGGCGAGGTGGCTATGCTATGATGAGCTATACTGGGCTGGTAGAGCGGTGGCAGACAGAGATCTATCAGGTCACATGTCAAACCTAAATGGGCTGGCAGAGAAGAGAGTGCGGAACAGTTTATAGTGCTGGCAGTGTGCCATTCATTACGAGTTTAAGCAGAGTATTATGAATTCTATAGTTTTTTAGCGCTGTCTATCTAATTTCTAAGTGTTTTATTAGTTCTGTTCTATTTCTCGATGCCCCCGCTGTACTAGGTGTTCGTAGCTCTAGTCGCTGCTCCTCTGGGTGATGTTAGTGGTGTTGTTGTCAGTATTAACTAGAAACGCGTTCTCGATTCCCGATCTGCTGGATAGGCCTCTGTGCGTTGTTGTACGTGTACGCCGAACCCTAAAGTGCCCTGTTACAATACTAGGTAGGAAATAGTCTAGGTCTGAAGCACTTCATAGACTCTTATCTGCTGGGATCTTATAGCTAAGCGTTCCCGCGTAGCTTTGTGCTCTTCTACCGAGAACTTCCGCTGCCGTTTAGATTCACCCTTGCAGCCATTCTTGTTGCATCGCTTCGACCTCTTCAAGCACCGTCGTACAAACTTTTCCTCCAGATTCACTAGTTCCATGGCCTGTAGGAGCAGCAGTCAGAGATTCGACATAAAAAGTCCACAACGGGTGACTTGGCCTGGCGTGGAGTCTGGAGATCTTCTACTGTATGTATTCGCAACAACTTCCTTGCTCGCTCCAGGTCGTCTACATGGGTACACACGATAGAGGCATAGTCTAGCTTTGAATCAATTAATAATGGGCTTGCATTTGGAAGAAACAGCATTGAGGGCATTGAGTCTGGGAGAAGAATAATCTTCAGATCCTTAGTTGTGTGACCTACCCATATGAGGATTTATTTTCCTACATTGAGTTGATTGGGTACTTACGAAAGCCCCACCCCCTGGTGGTGCATCTCCACAGCTCAACGACTGAATGGGCTTGTCAAAGAGGTACGCTCTCCTAGATATGAGCCTTAATCTGGCCACAGAGAAGCTAAGCAGCGTACGGCTCAAAACTTGAGAGGTGTGTCATAACGGGACGATGTGATGATCTCCAAGAAGTGCTTCATCGAAGCGCTTAGTGCTTATAATGAGTGCTTGCCATTGAGGTCCTAGCGCGGCAATTAGATGAACGCATCATGGAGGGTTGCGTTGAAGGCGTTTCCAAGTCTCGCAGGAGTCATCGGGGCGGAGACTTGCCTTCTTAGCCTTCCGTTTTTTTCTTGCCCATTCATTCGGATCATTACCTGAGGTTTCTGTTGGTTGCCTACCATCATTAGAGCAGATAACTTCCTCGGTAGCATTCCACGCCAATTGCCGGTGTGGAGGGGCGTGGCAACCACCAAAATCCGGTATGCCTCGGGCTTTGCGTCGCGGATCAGAACCTAAAAACATCAGCATCCGCCAACATTTACAAACACGAGAGGGATTCACTCCTAAGTATGTAATTGAGGTTCAGAAAACGTACTGCAATAAAAAGGAACTCGACAGCCTGTTGAAAATCTCAAGCCAAGAGAACCTTTGTTATGTGACATGAGGTCGATGATATACGGGCAAACGTAGAATGCCAATGGCGACTTATTAAGAAGAGCCTTAATGATCGACTGCGATTTGGAGTTAAATTCTTCGTGCAATATGTCATCATACCGTAACAAAGGCCTCCTTTCGGGATAGCACTGGCTTTGAACAGATAGATGTGGCGGAACAGTTACCTATGGCAAGTGAGGATGAAGACACGGAAGGCTTCCATGAGGAGATAACTCCAGTCCAGGCCTGTGTCTATTTTTCAACTACGTGCAAGTAGAGCGTGGCCAAGTACGAAGGGCGGCAAAGTGGCTGCTCGAGAACCCGGGAATACATCAATTCAATACTGCTCTATCTCGGTGCCTGATCTCCTTAGAGGGTTGGGATGATATCCTTCTACCTCTGGAATCATCTGTGGTTAGAGCAAACTCCAATTGGATTGCTAGGTTGGCCGCAGTTGGCGTCCTTGGCTCATTTTCCGGGAGGGCAGTGAACGCACAACTGTTCTATATCCTCTGGATCATTTCTGGAATCGCTGGAACTCCAGACATCCGTAAAGGATCTAGTGGGGAGGTTATTATATATTAACTTGCCCAAACAGGCTGGACGTATCGATATCGCTGTGACAGGCAGTCTTGAAACAGGATCAACGGCGATCAACAGAGGGACCCTTCTCCCTCATTCCTTTTCACTTCCATTACAAGCGCCGATTTTGCCGAGCGCGATTTCTGCAGGGTTTGGTGTCAATGTTCTGCGACCTGAGCTATCTCTACCTGGAGCTTCAGTAGGATCGTTCTCGAGTGTTGCTACCCAGTATTTCAACTATTGCCTTGCGCGGCTCATGACGGTGAGGCGGTGGTACTAGGGATGCTCCAGGGTCACCCGGCACAAGTTAATCTTCTGAAGAGATTAGTGATATGCTTTTGATATCGATCGATCGATTCAGCCTACACCAGGAGGATGCTTGATCCGGCCACCAACGCTAGAATCGAAAGTTTGGGGATGGTGTTACCCTGTAGCTCGAGATTTATTGATGTACTCTCCGCGACCATATTCTGCAGGCTTGAGTCTAATAGTCACCTGCATGCCCGAATCAATCTAGATAGTTATGTAACTTCTCGGCGAAGCCCGCTACTTCCCTCAAGTCTCTCACCCACCACACGACCCGCTTACTGCTTCCCTCCCTTTGTCCTCCCCCGCGACCAGCGACTTCTTTAAGATACCTATCCGACGAGTCCAAATCAAGCCTCAACGCCTCAACGCCGACCCGCTCCAGACTCTCCTTCAACGCGGCCTGGCCGCTGCCCATCGGCTCGTCACGCACACAGATGCCCACATCGGCAGCGAGCAGACAGTCAAAGTCTGTGGGTGAATCGCCCACGTAGAAGACAGGACCATCTTCTTCATTTTCTTCTTCTCTATCTCGCAGATTTTGGAAAGCGGATAGTTTATCGGCGCTGGTCCGGATACTAGCGGGCTCCGAGATGCCGTCGGTGGTCTCGCAAGGGAGGCGGTTGGAGAGAATCGGGATAGCGTCTACTGCGCCTTTCATAAGTGATATAGAGTCCCCGAGCGCTGTTGATAGACATGCTCTTATGAAGGCGGTGCTCCAATTCACGCTGATGATGGAGACGGGAGATGGATGTTTATCTGCAACTTCATCCCTAGGATGGTGACGCGCGAGTGAGAGAACTTCTTTCCACCCATCTCGGAGTTGGATCTCATTCCTCTGTACTGCGACCTCTGCTCCCACGCGGACGTCCTGCTCAGTGACCTCCGCGAAGATCTCAGCGTCTAGCACCCTGGTTACACTTCGCATTTCGACATCTCTCAAACTCGCCAGCCATGCGCTCTCCTGGGCAATCTCCCTGCGGTCTTTCTTCGCCGGGCGATACGAGGCCTCGTGCTCAGTGTAGTCCGACAGGTAAGCCTGGACTATCTGGTCCCATGGCACGAGATCACGATGCCGATTGCGCCCATAGCCGATCGCGGCGACATTGTGCAACGTGTCGCGCTTGGTAAGTGTGCCGTCCCAGTCAAGGACGATGCGGACATGATTGATTTCTCGTCTTGTAGGCATGAAAGATGCAGATAGGTGTTGGATTGTACGTGTAAAAAGTTTGCGCATTATCCTCGTGTTGATAGAGGAATTGAGGAAAAGTGTGGTTCCTATGTGGGCGTATGATCCCGCTTGCCGCTTTAAACAAGTACCCCATGAACCTTACCTAGCAGCTTCTCCACTTCAGCCTCGTGTGATCTTCCCTCCGAGTCTACTCGCCGGATTGTGCTGTGCGGAGTAATCCTTGCAGACTTCCAAACATTCGCACATGGAAACCATAGAATTTGATCTATTCTGACCACTTACTGATTGGCTCTTGACCTGGATAGTCTTCTGCATCAGCAGCTCAACCCAGGGAGACTTCTATTCAATACCTGGTGGCGCATCATCACAAATGCAGAAAGGAAAGCACGCACCGAAAAACGATTTTAATAACTCCATTGTAAGGAATGACGCCCACACAGTGAACCCTGGAAAGACAAGTGACCGCTCAGCGTGCAAGTCACGGTGTATCGAACAGTGGAGACAAAGCCAAGAGTGTACCCAGAGCTATCGACCTTAAGAAATTGAAGGGGAATTGTAACGAATGTGAAGAAACCCTGTTGGCTGGTGTTGTGGAGACCGGTGAGTGAAGCTACCCAGTGGCTTGGGAAACTCGCACTAATCGGTCAGGAAAATCAGATACGACCATGGATGATGTCGGACTTGATCTTTCATGATCGAGGCTCTCGAAGGCATGACTATTCTGCCTCCTCAGCACTCAGAGCAGTTCCAGTATGGGCTACTCACCAAACAATGCATGTCAAGCACCCCTTCTCTTCGGACTACCTGGCACCGGGAAAGTGCATCTTTGCAAGAGCCATAGCGCAATGCTGAAGTGTCCACGTCCTTGAAGTATCAGGCGCCGATGTGGACCAGATATATGTCGGTGAAGCAGAAAAGTATGTGCGAGCAATATTGTCATTGTATCACGAATTACGCCCGCGCATCCTCTTTATTGATGAGGCAGAAATGGTAGCCAAGGTACAGAAATCCAGCAAGGAGAGTGGAACTCGAATCGCATCGCAGTAGGTGAGGCTTCGGATATTATGGATAACCCCTTTGGCGTGATATTGGGTGGAAGATGGTTGTTGATCAATAGCATCGGTTAGTACTCTAGCTAGACTTCCTCCGGTTGTTACTTCAGGCTCGGTTGGCTGGTAGAGTTCGACTTTCTGTGTGTTTGAATTGCTACAATGGGCTCCGAAGCAAGAAACCCTCCACTCTGGATGATGCCACAAGGGAACTCGTTGCGTCGCTTAACGCCCTTACCAATCAGATTTACGAGAATTCGAGGGATTACAAGGACTCCTCGGGCCAGTAAGGTCTGCAAGACGCAGTTGAACTCAAACCAATGACTGATTATCCAACTAAGCGATCAATTGGGCAACAGACCACGACGTCCGCGTCATAAGCATGAGTTTCGACTTTAGAAGAAGGAAGTACAACGCTCGAAGATGCAATCACCAGTGCATTTCGCTAAGATATTGTGGTTGTCTGCAGCACATCAAACCAAGGCACGAACGAGGAAACGACATATGCTGCGCAGTATTACCAAGACGTTTCCGCCATGGCGACTTGCGACTCTTACGGCAGGTTCACGAGCTACAGTTCCGTCACTACAGCGAGTTCGCGTTTGTAGGGGGCAAGATCATCACCCGGGGCAACGGGCAGCAACCATCGCCGCAGGTGTGGCGTCCATGATCCTTACATGCAAATGTTTCACTCAGGACGCAATTGCAGCCAACTACCTCCAGGGTGGTGCTGCGACCGCTCTGACGTGGTTCAGAGGAGCAGTTATCGCCAACATCTGACAAAGCATGACAAATGGTCTTTACAAGAAATATATGAGGTCGTCATTGGATGCCAATGGCAGGCCGGGGGCCGGACGAGGTGTTGAGCTGGATCCAAGACAAGTTTGGGGATTACGTTTTTGACCTTCAAGACTCGGTTAGTTGATACTTTGTGGTCTACCGTCGATCCTGCTCGCCAGATCCGAGTAATGTTTAATCGCGGAAGGTAGCCTTGTGTTCACTGCTTGTATAGAAGGAGCACATATCTGCCCGGCATCCAATCAGGTCTGTCACTGTACAGCCAGGCACATAAGTTTAAGGAACCATTCCTCTTCCGTGATATACTCGGAACAGAGGTCCTTGAAATTTTGCAGAGCGACCGGATCGACGACGGGGGTATCGTCGTCGTCGCCGCCACTACTGCTGTATGTGCTGGGTGCGCCAACTCTATGTGCACGGCCCAGATTGTCTTGCGTGATCTTTGTCCCGTTCACGATCCATCCGGTGTATTGTGGGAAGGCGGTTGCAGGCGGCGTCTGTGGGCCCAACTCTCCCTGCTTGACGCCACCGCTAATGCTTGTCGGGTGCTTGGTGCTTCCCTCGACGCAGTAAGGCGAGGTTATGACGTCTCCCACACGGTTGGAAAACGCAAGCTCTGCCACCCGGTTCCAAAGCACCGTGATGTCCTCGATCATCTCCGGAGTATACCAGATCCTGCAATCGGCAGCCTCGTAAGCGAAGTGCAGGGGAGTGTTGTGCACCTCTCCCATTCGATAGGCGTTGAACGAGTTCACCCGTAGACCATCGGTCCCAAAGCGATTTCGAGGCCCATAATCCCAGTGCTCGAATGTCGGATCTCCAGATCCAGGGTGGGCATCAGTGTGATTCAGATATGCCGCCACCATAGCTTCCAACCAATCGCCGTTGAATACTCTGCTGCCTCTGACTCCGCCAATCGTTTGCATAGGACCTGTTTGTGGCCGTCCGCCAACAACGATGCTCATTACTTGGAACTTGTTTTTCAGATACTCGACGAATATCGAGCACGCAGACGCACAGATCCTGTAACAACTTGTTAGCAACCATCAGCAATTGGGGAGTGGCTGATGGAACAAAATTACGTTTCACAAAGGGCAAGGTAGTGCTCTGCACAAATTCTTACCCGTCAGTCAAGATAATCATATTTTCCGGGCTGAATGGCCACTGTGCTCCAGGAGTTGCTTGTGTGATGTTCATCTCCGTATGTTCAACCAAAGAGTAATCGTTATTTGTATAGTTTTCCTGGAAATAGGAGGTGAAATATCCCGGACCCTCGCGGTAGGGGCCATAGAAATGATTCACACTGTCAAAGTTCTTGGATACGGGCGACATGACAGCCTGGTAGGCAAAAGGCGAGTACCACTCCTCGGCTTCGAGTTCTTCCTTGTCCAGTTCGGTGGTGGGATCCTTGTCTTCGGCAATCTGGGTCATTTCGCTGTAGTACTGAATGACAGCTTGCTGAGCTCCTGAGGCCCTCATATTGGACTTGGTGTCGGGTGTCGTATCAGGAAATAGTTGTACCATCGTATCCAGGCACAATTCCACCGATCCTCCTCCATTCCCCTGCAGGTCGATTATAAGCTTCTTCTTGCCGTTCTCTGTGGCAGATGCCAGAATTTTTTGCAGGGCTTTCTGGAACTTTACATCCGAACTACCATTCTCGCCAGGGGAAAAGCTGGAAATGACTATGACCGCGACATCGGTTGGCACACTATCGCCCCAATACCCTTTGATGAAACCGCTATCGTCAGAGAGCACGTCAGGCGCAGGTAATTGCCGCTTCATTCTCGGTTTCGCATATGCAGACGCTCCAGACTCATCAATGGAATCTGGAACTGCGAAAAACCGCTCGTACATTCCATACCCATCAACAATTCCGGTGAGATTTCCCTCCCATTGCGCGTAGTTATTGAACGGTTTGGTTGAGCCATTGTGAAATGTCAGGTTTGTATAAGGTCCAGGATAAAACTCGGGACTGTCGAAAAGCAGTCCATAAGGATACATCAAGCCGTTATACAAAGCATCTGGGTCTTGTGATGTGCCGGTCAATGATTCGATCTGTATATATTCTTGAACATCAAAGCCATTGATCCTGATAATTGGAGAAAACTCTGCGTCTGATCGTAACCATGGGTGATCATCATCATCTCGATAGTATCTGTCCTCTGTTTCGTACGTTAGTGCCCGTGGTATGATTCTTGATGGGGATATAAGCTCATCTGTGGGAAGATGGAGCCGGGAAAAGTAACAGATTGCTGCCAGTGTTGAGACTACGACAACGATCCCCCCCTGGCGAGCTTACCAAAAAGATATACCAATGGGTTTTGTACTCCGTCTTCAGACAAGGAGATTAGGGACGATGCGGCCCGGTGAAAGGTCAGTGCGCCCAATATTGGGCCTTTTGTGGTAAAATGGTCGTCTTTTCCCAGCAGTGCCATCGTATGCAGATCAATTTGCAAGTCGTACTCGCTTGAATATTCATTTTTTGCCACCTTCTGTTGAATTTGACTCAGAGTATCAATGATATCAACAGGTGGGAAAAGCCATCCGGAGGGGGGGAAAGCTAAATAGTCAAGAGTGCTTTGGATCTCGAGATAGCCTCGAAGGCTATCAACCAAAGTTTGCGCATCTTCTTGTTTGACGGGTACTGAGCTTAGGCATTCGTACGCGAGTTCTGGGCTGAGTAGAAGCACGTCACCTAATTTCGTCAGCGGAGAAGGGCACAGCAGTCTAGATGATATACCATTGGAAAGATCGTATATGTCTGCAATTTTCGCGCAAGGATGGACATATCCCACTTCTGATCGTACTACTGCCGTCAAAAAGTGTCCCACCCATAATAACTGGGTAGAGACCCACAGCGGGAGGGCCATTATATGAGAACGAGCCAGAGATTGTCGCACATCAAGAGACGTCCCGTCTTCAGATCCTGTTTCTGTGAAAGATGTTTTCGAGTAGAAGGGTCACAAAGCCAGCAGGACAACGAGAAGGCGGAAAGAAAGCATAAAGCAAATGCTTGGGGGGAGGAAGGGGCGACTTTTGTTAGCTTTTCAAGATGGACGGGAAAAAAGGAGGATGATCACGTATCTGGGCTGAAGATGGGGCACCAGCCCGTCTTTTGCTCAACTTTCAAGGAGGAACAATCCTACGATTGACTAGCCAAGGAAGCCGCTCTGGGGCTAGCTCAGCCGCAAATTGGTAGGAGAAATTCCACCTTCTTTTGTGAACGAGTCGCTAAAGAAAGTAATGTGCTGGCTGGCGCTGGGAGAAGAATTGCCAGTACACATCTGCGACTTCTGGTCTGAGCTTTTCCATGTTCTTATTTATGGATATTTTGCACTCAGTCTGACCATAGAACATTGAAGTCGGAAGGGGAAGAGCTGAAAATTGTTCGTATTCGGGGCCATAGGGCGGAAATCCATCCCTTGGCAAGGAGCCTGCCAAGACATAGACGGAGCGCTTTCTCCACAAATATAGAAATCAGATTCAGCTCGATGGGCAGTTGAATGTAATCTGGAGGACAGGGCTAGGTCGGTTGGTTAGTCTATTGATGGAGAAAAAGCTATCTGGAGTGGCAGTGAGCAAGAACGAGGTATTCAGCTGTCGAGCTATGTACCCAGTAGGTGAAGGGTCGTCGCAATGCCAAGACCAAACAAGTCTAGCCGAATTAGGCTAGCAGCCTGCCAACATGGGCCTCTCTACCTGGAAGAGCAAAGAACTGCATTTCCGCTCAGTCGAACGATGCTCTACATGGACTCTGAGACTGAATGTTGTTCTAAAATGAAGCCTGAGTATTGCCACATTTCCAACGACATGTCAAAATCATGGGGTCCCTCAGTTACGTTCAAGCAACCAACAGCGCAGCCAGAAATCCAGTCAGGAGTCCACCCTCTGCATTACTAAGCCTGATTGTTGGAGGAGCAGCAGATTTTGAGGTAGATGGAGAAGCCGAAACCGATGATGTGGATGGCGATATTGTTTGGGTTGAGGAAGTAGAAGACTGCGTTGTAGACGGCGTTGAGGACGCAGAGCTTCCACCACCCTCGATGGTGTCAAATGCTGGATCGTCTGCATACTGTGCAGAAACACCCGATGAATTGCTGCATGCAGATGAGGGTGTGCCCATTCCTGCGACAAAGTTCGCGTGCATGCACTAAGGTTTCGAAAAGATCAGTTGAGGCAGTTCCTTGTTTATTCCAGCGCGCAAAATTCACACTCTAAATGCATCAGGGGTTGAACACATACCTGGAAATGCACGCCATCCTCTGCATCCTGGATGACTTGGAGCAACCCGGGGGATCCTGCCCAAGAAGCCGGTACTGTGAGGGCAGGCTCGCAGAAACTGTTCAGACCGAATTCTTCGACGATTGGGATTAGGATAGTCTAGTTGGGTGTGGTCAGAGATGTGCCCAACAAGGCACGGTAAGCAAAATATGCTTGTGCATGAAGGGTTGTGAGGCCGACGGCATCACCTCCGACGTGGAAATCTGTTATATTGTCGGAGCTGGATGGACTGAAGCCGCCGCAGGGCGATTGGGCTTCATTATTAATGTTGTTTCCGAGAGGTGGCGGCGTTAGAACAATGAAGTGAGAAGCACAGATTGGCGGGGATATGAGGGCGAGGAGCGAGGTGACTTTGGCGTTTCTCATGACTTCTTGCTGGCTGGCAGTTTTACTTTAGCTGTACGGTTTGGAGAAGAAAGGAGGAAGAGAACACCAGAGGGCAAAAAAAAAGGGCGACCGCTGTCTCTCGTAGAAGATGTGATGTCGAAACACATGGCAGACTGCATTGGTAGCCGAATATCCGTGTCTGCATGGCTCTTCTAACAGGGCTGGTGTTGGGAGGAAACTTGCTCAACTTCGGCCAACTTCCGGCTTGGTGCTAGCCTCGCAGACTAGCTTCGTAGACGACCACAACAAATGTTCTGTTGATAGGTTTAGGGCCCATGTGGCTTGCAAAGAGTCAACGGACCATCGACTCCTGTCACGCTCGACAAGCTTTTGCGTGAAGCATTAAATGAGCTTGAGCAAGATAAGCATCCTGATCATAAATGCTTCGCACCCGCCCTTGTGGAATGCATGATAGCAGTTCATCTTTGACAAGAGTCGCCCTCAGCTGCAACCCATTCGATTTAATATTGACAAGATGCGGTCTTCAATGCTCTGTCTTGGGATCGCGCCCCTGATTTCGCTGGTGTCTGCACACACCCAAATCTGGTATCCTCAGTGGCGCGCAGACTCTTTCGACCTACCGTTTTCGCAGAGGATCTATCCCTATATGTGAGGACTTTTTTTCACTAGAGCACGACCCAGGGCTCACACAGACTTCTTTGGTTTCTAGGTGCCGGGATATCTGATAACTCAGCAACACCTCGAACTGAGTGGCCTCTCACCGGAGGATCTCTCAATGTCACTCTCCATGATGCTGCCGCTTACATCTTCGTCAACCTCGGCTTCGGGGCGAACTCGTCAGATTTTAACATCACCTTGTTCTCTGCGCCGCTCAACGAGACCGGGCCAGGAAATCTTTGCTTCCCCAAGCTGACACTACCGCCTGGTCTCCCCATTCAGGAGGGGACGCAGGTGTCGATCCGATTTGCAACAGCCGGTCACAATGGTGAAGGCTTGTACAACGTATGCATAACACCTTATTCACCCAGGATTGCCCCAGGCTCTGGCTGATTGATCTTCAAAACAGTGCGCCGACATTACCTTCACCAATAACGCCACTCTCTTGCCTTCGGATCAGTGTCAGAACAGCTCAACTGTGAGCGTTACTACCTTTGGTTCTTGCTCGTCCCCATCGACGAATTCCAGCTCTGAGTCGAGCTCCGCCACAGCCTCGAGCTCATCCGCTGCGGGGACATTCGTTCCCTCCGCATTGATACTTTTAGCGAGTCTGTTTGTAGTTGTGTGGTAGACTTTAGTACATCACAAGCGCCAACAGGAGGGAATGGAGGCTGGAATAGGGGAGGTACGGCGGCCACACACGCAGAAAGAGAGAGAGAGAGAGAGTGTGTGTGTGTGTGTGTGTGTGTGAGCACAGGGCTGAGGAAGAGCAAAGGAGACTGGGGACCTCAGGAGCTAGAATTTGACGCCAAGACGCTTATATAATGGCGCTAAGTCGATATTGGTCAGATTGGTTCACTGAAATTGTGACCTCCTGGCCCTGTTTTGCCCGTTTTGCCCGTTTTTCCCGACTCGCCGAGTAAGAATCTTCTTTTCCTGCATAAATCCTCCATTCATGAGAGTCCGACATTCGAGATATCCATGTCGCCAATCGTTTCAACACCGCAATTAACGACTGTTGAGCTAAGGCTAGGGCGATTCTCATCCTATGCACCACAATCCTGCGGAGTTTTCCAAGAACAACACAAATGAGCACGGGAGCTGATGCCGAATTTCACTTTGAGGAACAAATTCGCACCAGCCCCTGCCGTTTTTTTCGGGTATCCCAGATTCTGAAGACAAACCTGCAGGCTTGAGTTGGTCCAGAATGCTATATTGCTCTGCAGGCGTCTTCACCAGCGACTGTCTCTCCAGATGACCCCTTGTGTCTCTCCATCATTACAGATAGAATCAGAATGCAGAAAAATGAGTCCTGGGTTCAGCTAAGGCAGTCTACACTAACTATTGCTTCCTGATCCCATTCTTCACTTCTCCAAATCTGTCAACCAATCGATATGCCGCTCAGCTTAACTGGCGAGAAAATGGAGCGCTCGACACGCACGAAGCAGCCAGGAAGCCCCCTCTAAGCCGTTGTGACGACGAGCAGGAGATGACCCCGTCAAGATCATATTGGGGTTCAAAGACGTCACCCACAAACCTAACAAAATGACCGACTAGAGGCCACGCTTATGCGATGAATAGCTGCAAGGAGAGCCACGGTACCGCATCAAGGCGAACCGCGTGAATCGAAATTCAATCATGCCCTACTGCTACATCGATATCTCTAAAGAAGCTAGAAATGGGGATGGCGCAGTTCGTTCCCTCTCTCTTTACCATGTCCCGTGGGTCTTGGTCTATCCTCCAGGATCTCACGCGTGTTTGTTGCTGGGCTCGCAGCGAGGCGTACAGACCTTCCGTCTTCGCTTTCCATTGTCCGCTGGCTGCATATAATATATTACGGTCTCACCGGCTAGGAGTGTCATTTGTCCTTCTGGAGTTCGAAGGTCTGTGCCTATAAATGGCAGACATTTGCTGTCAAGATACTCTGCTAGTCTCCGCCTTGTGCGCTGATCCCGAGGTAGTTAACCGAGGCAGAGTGGGGGTGTTTATGTCCTTCCTTGAGGCCCCAACAAGCTCACACGACTTTGAGGAGAAGCTCCAAATAATTATACTATCGGGAATTTGTTCGTAAACACTGAGTATCCTATCATCACTTCCATGCTGAAGGCGGATTGCCGCGTTTCATGGCATCAGGAGTACTCGTGACCCGCACCATCAATGAGGCTTCCGGCCTATCACAAGTCAATTCCGTAAGCTATTTTCAAGCCTCACCGAAACTCCTACGATAGCAACTTCATCCTCATCATTCTGCCACTTTTTTTTTTCTGACCTTGTATAGTCAAACATGAGCAACTCAACCCAGACCAACCATTCAAAACCCCAGAGCTCTTCGGGCATACGGTTTATTTCGACAAAGCCTGTGAAGAGACGAGCCTCGCAGGCTTGCACCCAATGTCGACATCGAAAAGTCCGCTGTGACTTTATCTTCCGCCGTCCAGCATCCTGCACCAACTGTCGACTAGATGGAATGGTCTGTGAAGTCCCAAAGAGCAAACGTCGCAGGTAAATGTATATCCCTGTGGATTATGATCACTGGCTTGACGTAATCCTAGATCCAGTTATGTTGAGACATTCTGTTCAATGACGCCAGCTACCCTTCTTTCGCAGGAAGTGGCTGCAAGCACACCATGGCATGAGAATACGTCGCCTTCCGATGATCAGGGGAATGAACCTCAAGGTGGTTGCCCGGAGAAAGGTTTGCTAGCCGCCGCCAGATTTCGCCGCTCTCCCGCTCATTCATCCCACAGAATCAGTCCAGGAGGTTGTGGCGGAGCCCGAGGGGACTCTTGAACCGGCAGATGATTCCATCATGTGGACGATCATGTCCAACCAGTTCGATCCGTCATGTCAAAAGGGCCAGCCCCCTGAGAAAACACCACAAATTATCCTACCACATTATCTTCGCCCAATTCCGACGCATATCTCCAACGAAGACCTCGACTACCTCCAAAGGAAAGGAGCTTTTGATATCCCGGCGACCATTCAACGCAACGAGCTGCTTCGGTGTTACATCCAATATGTGCACCCTCTTTTACCCATCATCGATCTCCGCGACTTCCTGCGTGCCATTGACAGAGACGACCCTAGCGACACGATCAGCTTGATGCTACTTCAAGCAGTCATGTTTGCGGGCACCACGTTTATTGACATGAATTACGTTACGGGCTACGAGAATCGCCGGGCTTACCAAAGGGGATATTTCCAAAAGGTCAAAATGCTCTACGACCTGGACTTTGAGGAGGATCGAGTCACTATTATACAGTGCGTTTTACTAATGACATACTGGTACGAGAGCCCCAACCATCCCAAAGACATTTGGTACTGGGTTGGAATAGCGGTTGCCTTTGCGAGATCCGTCGGTCTCAACTGCATTCCCCAGGAGAGTTCCGGCACCGTCCAGGAGAAGAGGCTTTGGAAGCGAATATGGTGGGGCTGCTATATGCGTGATCGGCTGGTCGCAGCGGGGATGCGGAGGACGATGAGGATCAAGGAGGAGGAATGCTGCGTCGAGGGACTGGGCATCGAGGACTTCGAAGCATGCACCTCCCTGTCTGATTTCGAACACATGATTGGGTCCGCCTGCGCCACCGGCGATGGGCCAACTCACGCAAACCTGGTCCGGCTCTGCATAGCTTTGGTCGAGCTATGCAAAATCGTTGCAGATATTCTGACATTACAGTACGAGACACCATCGCAGAAGATCGGTGGAACTCACGAAGCCACTATGAAGCTGCTGCCCAAGTCGCCGTCCTCCGCAACCGAAGTGGGAAGGCGCGATCGAGACCTCGAAACGTGGTACGAAGGATTGCCCGTGGAGGTACGCTATTCGTTTTCCGAGACGCAACATGATTCGAGTCCTGTCGGCGACCGTGTTGTGTATCTGCACAGCGCGGTGGTAGCTAGCGTCTATATCGCCATCACCAGTACCCTGCATCGGCCGCTGTGCATGATCGCCTCCGCAAAGCATCTGACGGAGACTCAGAAGGGGTCCAAGATGAAGGTATATGATGCTGCAAGCAAGGTGGCCTCCCTGTATCGGGACATCGTCGCCCGCAACATGACCGACAGTGTCCCCAATACAAGCGTGGCCGTCTTGCTCCCGGCCTGTGTTGTCCTTCACGCAGATGCCCGGTCAACCACCTCGGCAACGAGTCGAGAGTCGCAGGAACGCCTTCAGGATTGCGTCAAGGTCTTGCAACGACTACGCGAAATGTACGCCTCGGCAGATTTTGCGCTGTTGGTGCTCTCTCAAGCGATCCAGAAATTAAATCCTGCCTCGCGAGGTCCTGTATCTCAACAGGCAACAGCTCTAGAGTCCAAAGCTGGCCAAAGCAAGGTCCATTCTACGTCGCAGCAGGATCTAGGCCTGACGGACTCTCCTCTATCATCCCAAGAGAAGCAGTCTCTGCCTAGCTCCAAACCACCTCATTCTCAGCCTTCGTCGATTTCAGTGCCGACGAGTACGGAATGCGCTCACTTGACGGAGCCACATTGGCAAGTCAAAGAAGCCGCCCATAGAGAGAGTCGACGTCACCAAATGCACAGCCATCATCAGATTGACGGCGTGAATGATTTGTGGTGGGATGATTTAGTAAATTTCTAAGCCTCTTACAGACAGAAGAACGACCAACGCGTAGGCAAGGCCGAAGGCACCTGCAACGTGTCTGGGCGAGCGGGAAAGGGCATGATTTCCCATATGTACGTGTAGCCGAAGGCGTTCATGATGACGCCGCCGCCGACCTGGGGAACCAGCATGACTCAGATCTCGACAGAGTTGTCGGTCCGTTTCTAGTTAGCCCAGAAGACACGCTTCAGGATCGACAAATAAAGGTGACATAATGCTGCCCATGATTGTGAAGATCGCGCGACGCCGGCCGTAGCTGTCGAACCACTACCGGAGGAGTTGCACAGAACACCAACCACCAGGATCGCAACCTCTCAAAACAATGTCCTCGGCAATCGACTTGCGCGGGAAGGCTTGGGAGCACCAGATCAGCTCCCTCTTTGCTCTGCCCTGATTCCTGTTCATTCGCGGCATCAAACGGTGAACGAGGTCTGCGTGTAGAAACATGTGCGTTACAGGCTGGCAGTCTCTGGACCTGGAGTCATCAACAGAGAAATTTTGTGGAGCATCGAGCATGAAGCGGACCTATATCAATCTGGACTGAGGAACGAAGAGGGCCAATGTCTCGCCCATAATCCATATGCCAGTGTCGCGAAAAGCAATCCGACCACGAAAAAAGGTGGCGAAATCTACCTCGCCGACCGCAACGCAGCTGGACGGGTTCCAAGACCTGTATGAACAAACCTGCCTGTGCTCAACAGAAATAGCAGGACGGCGCATGATCTGAAAGGGGGTGGTCGCTTGGCCAGGCCTGTCGAAAGGGAAAAGGGTGACGAAGTCGAAGCCCTACAGACTCGGTTTCGCTTTCCGGTGTTTCCGTTCTAGGAAGTTGGCCGCGGCTACCCCCTTTCAGTTAGTGTAGAGGGGTGGAAAAGGGGACGTCCCAAATAGCTTTAGGGCGATGGCCAAGACAGCGCCTTGGCGCGCACGGGCCACAGTTACCATACGAGGCTTGTACTGTACTGGGTAGAGTCTCCGCTCAGTAATTAGGCCGTGCGCCAAGATAACTAAATGGGGAAGATATGCCAAGTTTCGGAAACTCCCCCTTCATTGAAAAGGGGCGTCTTCCATAATAGAATAGGACCAATACTCAATGCGGAGGGATGGAGGGTGAGAAGCTATCGGTAGAAGGAAAAGTCCCCAAGGGACAAACTGCGATGATTTTGATCTACCTTTGAACCGCCCTTTTGTCGAGATCCGGCTCATCCCAAGCGTATCTCATAAACCAAGGCACTGAGACTCCTCACCTCCATCTCATCCCTTGAAACCCGGCACTGAGAACCCTCCATCTCATACGCAAATTGGCAAAGGAAGTATAGTCCGCCATTGGCCAAACCCCCTCAGGCCCCTGCTAGCAAACTTACATTTTCAATCAGTTCAAAGTCGAAAAAGTTCTCGATTCCATAAAACAGGTCCTGGCCGCCTAATTCAAACACCGATCCGAACGAATCTCGAGCGGTGCTTAAGGAACCGACGGGAAGCTGATGACCGGGTAGTTGATCAGGAACGACTCCTTCCATAAAGCTGGGGGTGGCACATTCGTTCGTGAATCGAGACCGGCCCGAACCCGAGGTGCCGCTCGGAGATGCAGCAGTATACTCCTGGCTAGCTGGGGTAGCCGAAGAGCCTCTGGCGGCTTGTACCGCGGATTCAACAATCCGTGTGACGTCTGTGGCCGCCTCATTCATTTGCCCGAGTTCACGTAGGATCGTCAGACAAGTGTCGAGATGCTCCAAGGCTGAATTGCGGATGAACCCTCCGGTTGACCTCGCGTCTAGTAGATGGACAAACACAGCCGTGCAGACCGTGGCTATGCCAGTTGTTGGCATTGAAGGCGTCAATTGTTGCTCGTGCAACGCTTTGTGGATGGCGGTGATCTCGGATGCAGCTTGCCTGACTGACTTGGTGTGCCCCTGAGCATCCAGTGCTTCGTTATCTTCAAGCCAGTCCTCTCCGTTCTGTAAGCACTTCGTCCATCCCGAAATTGACACTTCACTCTTATGCAGCATGATCAAAGCCATGAGTTGAGTCAAATGCAATATCGACATGGTCATCTGCAATGACCTATCTGCATCCTCGGACAAATTCAAAGCCGTATTGAAAGATGTCAACTCCATCGGTAGCTGAAGACGCCAATCTTTCAATTCTGACTCAAGTTGCCAAATCCTGGCATTCCGGTTGCTTTGGCAACTAACAAAATCATCACTGGAACAAGAAAGTCGTAGGATACGGTAAATAATAAGTGCAAGCTTTGCCTTCTCGATCCACGCCATCTCGAGCCGCCGTTGTATCCACGGATCTCTTCGAAGCTTTCCGGTTTCCGGGAGATGTGAATAGTTAGTGGCTTGAGACTTGTTCATGAATGCCTCGTGTTGGAGCAAGGGCGTCCGATGGGGTGAGATTCGGGGCGGCCTCCCCAGGGTCAGGCAGATATCGCACTCTTTCATGATGATAGTCCACCAAATTCTCTGGCGCAATAGCTGATCGTTCTTGGGAAGGTTGGCGTCACTTTCGGCTTTATGAATTTTCAGGGAGCATGCCTGGCTGATAGCAATACCCATCCAATAAAACGGGTCCCTGGAGTGTTCGTTGCTACCCCAGCTGATAAGTAGGAGGGCTGCCTGGCATGCTACTAAGCGGTCCGCCTCAACATCCATGTCAAATAAGACCTGAACACAAAATTAGGCATGCCATTCAGAATGGGGTCTGCTTTCCAGGGCGAACCTTGGCTTTGGTGTAATACTGTTTCCTCGCTGCGACTTTCGAATCGAAACCGTAATCAAGAATTGTCTGTATGTCGACAGCGGCTAAGCCAGCGCACATGACCGCATGATACAGAAGTAGAGATATCTTCTTCTGAAGATCCCCAAAGACGACGTCGACAAATTCATCAAAGTCGAGAACAGGGACCAGTGGGTGGATGAATTCTGCATATCTGCGGATGACGATCTTCTCCAGGTCTGCAGGTAGAAATGTAAAGCAATGACGCGCCTTTAGATAATGCAAATCATCCACATCGAGGTGGGATGGGAGAGACTTGATAAAACGGGGGAGATACAGGTCCGAAAGAACATCAGCTCTGCCAATGGATCTATTGGAGGAAGCGTCCGGGGAAGTTTGAGGAGTGCAATCAACCTCGACAGGCACTCCGCCTAGTTGAGCTGCCACGCGACCGCTTTCTGTGGACTGCATATCTTCATCTTGGAATATGTCATTGTAGACATCCATAGACGTTGCACTTGTGGTTATGTCTGGCGATGTAAGGATGATTGGCGCAGTCAAGGCCATGTTGACTGTATCATATGGTCTGAACTAGGTCAGCAGGGCTGAAGGGGATGTTAAGTCGAGAAAGGAGAGGGATTTTACCTGCGACGTTTACTTTTCGGCACCTCGCAGACGACGCTATCTAGTCGACAATTTGTGCATGATGCTGGTGACTTCAAGACAAAATCGCAGCGAACCTTTCGATTCCTGCACTGGGTGCATGCTTGGGAGGCTCGCTTTTTCACGGGCTTCGTCGGAATGAAACGGACAGTTGAAGAGTCCTGTGCTTTGGAAGCCTTCGTATGAGGCGACATAGGGGCGTCTGTAGCAGCGCGACAGATTTGCGAGAGGTGTGCAACGTGGTGCTAAGGTGGAAGTTTCAGCTGTTGGGCTGGAAGGAAGAGGCGGAATATCCTCAGTCGAAGGATCGGGGAGGTCGATGCAGTAGGCGTCGAGTGAAATTCGAGTACCTAGGCATTTGTCGTTGTTTTAGCAATGCCCAGAAGTGGTCGCTGAGGGTCTCGGCCTGGATGGTCTCCGCGCACATGTGTGCTAGGTACTAAGTCTGTCCATAAGGCCACCGCTTTTTCCTTCGTGGGTCGACTCCCCGTAGGTTCTCCGCTCGCCCGGTAATAGAAGGCCAGCGGAATGTTCCTTTGCCGCGGTTAACTATTTCAGGACCAATGAGCATTTCGCCTCAAAACAGACACCACTCCGCTCTCTTGTCATTCTCGTCGTTTCCCACACCAACGTGGACAAGAAAGGTTGCTGTTACCCCTTGTACGCGAATTTGATGTCTTTCGTCGAGGCCTCCTGGGTGCCGAATGTAGAGCAAATGACGCACAGCTTTAAGATACGTGCTTGTTAGAAGTAGCTGGGTCAAAGCTATCATAGCCTGGTCCCTGACGAATCTGGAACAAAAGAGTAGTCCTCTAGTCATCGAGGGTGAATAAGACCGGCAGAAGGCCCAAATCTGGAATCTGGTATGAGTGAGAGCTTCAACAATACCCTTCGATGGGTTAAACTGGTCCTTCACATCACTGGGTAGGTATACAGCAGAAACATTCCCAGGCGAAACAGAATTGTCGAATACCGCAGTGATCAGGTCAACTGCATGCTAAAGCGTCCAACTCTAGCAGCTCTGACAAATGCCATGCAATGGCATGGCACCTTCAACGCTGGACACTCTCAGATTATCTTGATCCTTCTTCGACGATTGAAGTGTGCTGGAAAAGCGGGAGGCGGGACGGCATAACCAGGTTGGCTAATGTGTGAAAACATTCCGACGCGATAGAAAGTGCCACTTTGACCTTCGACGGGGACAAGGACAAGCCCTTCTTCGCAGATTTCCTCTTCGTGGGTTCTTGTTGGACCTCTCCATGGGCGCTGTTCGACCTCGTGCGAAAGCCTCCGGACCAGGCCAATGCGTATCTCAAAGTCTCGTTCCATCCGAACATCTGGCAAGAGAGAGAAAGTCTCGTGAGGGTCCTGTGGATGGCACACATGGGTGCCAGGAAGCTTCTTTCCCTTCAGATTTCTCGGGTAGTATGTGCGTATCAGTGGCAGCTCTATCTCAAGTTGATACACTTCAAGCTCTGCTGATACCTGGTTCCTGTCAAGTGATGGCTCGTAATTGACAATTGTGCAACTTGTGAATATCTTCGTCATCCTATCAAATATCCGCTTGTTGAAGGTGGTATAGGAGGTATCAATCCTTCCGTCAATGGTCATCCACGACCACGTGGGTTTCTTCCTCGCAGCCAAAGGAAGATAAGGTGATGGCTTCGATGACATATGTCCGGATTTTTTGAGTGTTCGCCGGCCTTTGCGAGCAATAGACAACCATGGCAGATTCTGGGGCATTAACTCCTTCCAGTGCCCAGAGACTCAGGTCATGCCCGTCCGACGCTGAACCAACGATGCTATACCTGCAAGGGCAACGGAGTGATCGCATTTGAAGGTCAAATTAGCATTTGTGTAGGCGTCAACCACAGAGTTCCAGCTTTTGTTGATCTCTTCTCCCACTCTGGGTCGAGAGGTAGAGCGTAGCGCAGTGGCGAATTGAATTTTTATCGAATAGAGGGAGTCGCTTTCCGGCTGGGCATCTCTCGACTTGAGGTCTAACCAGAACTCTGAAGCATTCTTGGAGCAACATTGCCAAACTAAGCCTTGTAGACCAAAATAGATGATTCGTGGAGACAATAGTCTTTCTAGGACCACCCAGGCTCGTCTCAGGAGGGGAACCGTCCCAAGCCCTACGAGCGTTTTCGTGTCTTTGAATACTTCTTTCGGAAAGCCAGTGGTAGAGTCTGACGAAAGCAGATTTTCCAGTGTCACACCCAAGTGTACCCTCGAGTCGAGCAAAATAGCCATGGGCGTAAATCTCCTCGAAGAGCTTACAAGGTCGTCTAGCCATCGAACATCTTTCAACAAAGCAGGAGACATCACCGTGTGCTCCCACAGCTGCTATCGTGCAATCTGACCGGCCGTAGACATCGGTCATTTTGGGCGATTCAGCCAGCCAATCATCCCTAGAGTCTTGAATTATGCAGAGCGAGTCAATCCAGATGAATCTGTATCCTAGATTTCGTGTGATTTTGAATGCCTGACGGATATTCAGAGACAGGCCTTCTTCCGGTATAGCATCCTGCATTTTGACAAGATTTTCTTTCAGCAATCGCACTCTGGGAACTTCACCCCAGCAGTGACTCAATGGTAGATACCGAGGGTCGAGAGAGGACAAGTCACCCCGGGCTTGAAGACGGGCCGGTTTACTCGACACATCGATCAATCTCGCAAGCCGAAAATTTGTTGGAGCGTGCCCGCCAACACTGGAGGAGAACTCAGTGCAAGCTTTATGAAGACTGTGGCACGCCTGGATCCAATCTTTGACGAGGGCCATAGACTCGGGGGATGCCGTAGTGGTCGAGCACTGAGCCGGATGTGCGGTATCTGGGGGCGGTAATCTAACATCCGGATGGAATTCAATATCTTGTTGCGAAGACTGACACAATGAAGAGACCAGAATAAGGAAACCCACCAGTACTCGCATAAACTGGAATTATGCAGATTGTTAATGTGGGTGCTGTGGTTCCGACCTCGATCGAGCAGGCTATGGCGCCCGAATCGCCTCTTATCTCGAACTTGATACGTGTTTCATTTGGTGTGACAGATGCACTCTTTAGACTAGTCATGAAACTATCGTCTTTTGAGTGTATGCGATCTCGAATGATAGCACAGAAGTGGCAAGTTTGATCTACTGAATGGAGGGGATTGTGGACTGTTCCATGGTAAAGGAGTTCTTGTGCAATCGAGAGAGCTCGTCCGGGACCATCAGCGATATCATTGGGTGGAAGGAACGGCAGACAGTATTTTGACGGTACATCCTTCAGTGTATTTGACTGCTCGAATATGGAGGGGCAAAGAGCACAGAACTTGTGTAGTACGGCCTCACTGGCAGCCATGATCGCGTCGTCTAACCCGTGCAAAGCAGGGAATATGCCTGGTTCAGCGAACCAAGCCAGGGCAGTCAACCTGTCTCGTTAGTGATCCAGCCTCGACAAGACACATCGCCTCAGAGACAGCCACTTTAGCTGAATCGGTGGTCAGCTTGCATAGCCCGGTACGACGTTAGTAGCAACTATGAAGAAGCGGGCTGACAGTCCAACGGGCAATGCGTTGAGACTGTGGCAGGAGCACTTGCATGACTGCGGCCCCGTCTGGATGGCCTCGTCGACACTGGAACTCGGTTGATATAATATCGATGGAAGTTGGGTCGCTTGGTCGAGGACGGGCCCAAGTCAAGAATAAATGGCACGGTCTGGTCAGACGAGGAGTAGTTGATGATGTTCTTGTGATGTTCAAGGATGTTCAAGGATGTTCAAGGTAAATATTCTGTCAGACCGTGTCACTGATTTTTCCATGCGGCTTGGTGTGGAGTCGCGATTTTGTGCTCCATCTTGCGCGCCCCGAACAGAAAGAATGACTCAATCGCACCACCACTACGGAGTAATACCTGATCTCTCCTCTTCGCTGACTTGATTCTCAGCAACCCCCTCCCCCCAAAGGCTCGCGCTTCTAACTGTTTGAAGATCTCGTGACCAAGCAGTCCGCCAGCAATGGCCGAATCAAAGCCAATTGCGGCTAGTGGGAACATCCTTCTCAACCCAGAGGCCGCGTCTTTCACTATGCCCTCCCCGGGAGGAGAGACCCTTGTGAACGGAACAACTCAAAATCCTCAGCCGACGACGGCGAATGGAAATGGACAGACGAAAGATGCAAAGAAATCGAAACCCCGGCCCGAAACGGCGCCTCGAACGACCACAGAACAAAACGTAGCCGAAGCAGGAGCTGGAGCGAAATTGACCGGCGCGCAGTTGAAGAAACAGAAGGCAGCCGAAAAGGCAGCGAGAAGAGCAGAAAAGGTCGCTGAGAAAGGAGCCCAGGCCGTGGCACAAGCACAGGCCCAGGCCCAAGGCCAGGCTGGATCGCTAGGGGGAAGGTCAGAAGCGCAAAGGCGGCCGTCGACCACGAAGAGAGAAAGCGACGCAGGTCCGCATCATAAACGGACACTCTCAGGCAAGATCTTGCCCATACGAGGCGCCGTTCAGCAACAGCAACAACTGCCTCAAGGGCCAACGGGTCCAGAGAAAGAGAAGCGTCATGAACTCAAGCGTGTGCCCATGTTCTCTCACCTCTACCCCAGAGAGAAGAAAGCCACCTTATCCGGAGCTGGACGAGAAATTCACCCCGCTGTGATCTCGCTAGGGTTGCAACTACGCGACTACGTTATCTGCGGCGGCAATGCGCGCTGTGTGGCCACCTTGCTTGCCTTCAAGAAGGTTATCCAGACCTACACCACTCCTCCTGGCGTGGCGCTTTCGAGACATCTCCTCACCCATCTCAATCACCAAATTGCCTACCTCCGCAATGCGCGACCTTTATGCATGAGCCAAGGGAACAGCATCCGATGGCTGAAGAACTTGATCTCCACGCAACCCGTCGAAGCCACCGACAGCGAAGCCAAGCAAAGTCTTTGTCAGGCCATCGACTTGTTTATCCGTGAGAGGATCACGCTGGCCGACGAAGTAATCGCCCGGGAAGCCAGTTCGCGGATTCAAGACGGAGACGTGGTTGTGACATACGGGAAGAGCAGTATCGTGGAAAAAACACTCCTCGCCGCGCATCAGCAGGGGAAGAGCTTCAAAGTCATTGTCGTTGACTCGAGGCCGATGTTCGAAGGCAAAAACCACGCGCAATGCCTCATACGTGCAGGTTTGAAAGTCCATTACAGTCTACTCTCGGGCCTGGCAGATATCCTTGACAACCGATCTGAATCCGTCACAAAATGCCTTCTAGGTGCCTCGGCGATGCTAGGCAATGGGCGTCTACTTTCTCGTGCTGGTTCGGCCATGGTAGCCATGATGGCGAAAGAATCAAACAAGAACAAGGGCCGGAACGTGCCCGTTATTGTCTTGTGCGAGACAGTCAAATTCACGGCGAAGGCCGCGCTCGACAGTATCATTATGAATGAGCTGGGCGAGCCAGATGCACTGGTTGAGACGACTGAAGCCGATATCTTATCCTCAATGAAATCGCTTGCTGAGACCAATACGGCGGGGAAAAGCACAAATAAGAAGCCGAACCAGCATAAGGATAAACAGGATGAAGACGACGTGGACGAAAGGAACACTTCTTCGAATACTAATGGTTTGGAGGACTGGAGAGATCAGCCGAACCTGTTTCTATTGAATCTCATGTACGATGTAACGCCGGCGGAGTTTCTGGACCTGGTGGTATGCGAATTGGGCAGTTTGCCGCCTCGAGCGGTGCCGGTGGTCAACGGTGTACATGGAGATGATCAAGCTTTAGCTTGATGGCCTACGGGGGCATGGCTCCTTTTTTTTTTTTCTCCTTTCTCGGGGCTGTCTGTCTATGTCTTTCTGGGTTCAATGGCAAGATTGTTCAGTATGCCGGACGTGTGTGTCTTCGAAAAGCAGACACTCCTATCCAAGCAGTGAAGGAACGGATGAGCGTGATGCCTCTAGCGAGCGACCGGAGAGACAGCTGCAGTATGGGCGGAATAGCACATCCCAAATCAAATCTAACCTGGCTCCGGCCCGACCTGAATCCCTGATTGAAGAAAGGCGGTGACAAGCAAGAATAGGATGTGGCATGAATGGTGAAGAAGAAGGTTGACAGAAAGGATTTTCCATTTCCAGATCAGATCAGATCAGACACATGTTATGTCTGTTTGGCTGTAATCCGACCCAGTCTGTTTCAGTCCACCGTCTAGCACGTACGTATGTAGCATGCCCTCTTTTTTTTTTTCTTTCTTTCCGCCAAATGCTTGCAATAGGAAGCAGCGACGACCGTCATACTCCCATTGATGATAAAAAGTCATAAACCCCCTTTCTCCACGCATTGGTGAACCATCTAGAGGAGTTCTCTCCGTCACGCTGGCTGTCTGGTAGCATGTGATACAGGCTCACTCCCTCATTCCCTCAGCAAAAAGCCCCACCCCCTCGCAATCCTTCCATACTATGCTCTCCTCTTCGGCGAGGACCTCTCGTGATCACTTCCGTCATCAAAGCATCCATAGAACTGATTCCTCGCCAGCCCAACTAATTCGCAATTTTTCGCCTAGGATTTATCGGTGCTATTCCAGTGGGGGTGCGTATATTAGCCGGGGCATTTTTTCCATCTTTGAGGTACACATTGCACTTCGGGGTCCTCTATTCACAGGCAGAGAGGGGTTTCATGCACATACCTTGATGAACCCGATATCCTGGCTTTTCTCCCGGAAGCATTGACGGCAGATGTTCAGGCCGTATTTGCGGATCAGACCGGCTTTGTGGGTGCAAACGCGGCTGTTGAAACACAGACGGGTTAGCAGGGGTGTGTCTCTGAGGTACCAAACAGCATTATAACTCGGTTCAAAACGTGGGACGCTGGGATGTCGATCGCATTGAGTTTCTGATGCTTCGCGTCGTGCATTTGATATTGATTGTCCCGACGATGCAAGAAGGATCAAATCTGCTGCCTGATAATCGAGAGAGCCTCTTCCATCATATTCTAACAGACCACCTCTTAAAAATGGCACAAATGCATACAAATGTTCCCTTCGGAGTTGGAGGACGGTTGAAAGCACGTACCAGGCGCGAGAACCCTTGCCAAAGTTTCGGGGCCGGGAGTACCAAACGCTCTCGTGAGACATGATTGCGGATTTGTATCTAGCTCTCTTGCAAGGAGGATCGGAAAGGATAGCGTTCTGTCGGGGGCTTCTGGACGTGGAAAATATGTCAGAACTTCTGTCGCAGGCACGTAGGCAAATCTGATGGGAGGATCTTGGATCTTGTTGATGGTGCGCTGACGGTAGTGGCCGGAGCGCATTTAAGGGAAGGAAGACTCACTGTTCAAGCTGGCGACAACTGATCGTTTGGTGTGTTGGAAGGAGCCTGCAATGTTGGAGTCGTGAAAGTTCTCGATCGGATTTCAGAATGTGGGTTCCGCAATGCCAAGGAATGCCTAGTCACGTGCTTTTGTCCGCCAAGATCGGATGCTCATTGGTCCAACTGAGAAGACCGCTTCGCTCGCAGCAGCCCTACCCAATACGAAGTAACGAATACATATTGTGCTATGTACACGGCCTTATCCCACTCGCTTCGAACTTGGAACTTGCATTAGTGGTGCCAGTCCATAACCTGCAAGCTCCTGGTTCTCAAGCGGTGGTGTCTCTCCGCATAATGGCCCTGCATTGCTCAGTGCACGTCTGACGTGCCGTGGAGAGTGAAAGCTCCTGACTCCAACTCTCTCAACACAAGCCACTCGTATCCTGAACTACACCCGCGGTAAGTCTTTATCTCGGAGACAGAAAAATACGGCCTGTGAATCTGTTTCATCATCGAGATCATTATGCCTGGCCTAAGAGTTGCCTTCACAGGTGGCTCGGGCAAAGTAGGCCGACATGTGATCAAAGAACTCCTCCACTATGGCCACCAGGTCATCAACCTCGACCTCGTCGACCTTGCATCCTCCTCCACAGACATGCCTGAGCTGAAAGACGTTCATACCATAAAATGTGACCTCACCGACAGCGGCCAGGTCTTCAGCAGCCTCAACACGCACATGAAATTAGGTGAACCGTTCTCTGCGGAACCGCCTCGACCTCCAGATGCGGTGATCCACTTCGCCGGGATCAATAAGCCCATGGTTGTCTCTGACGGAGAGACATTCCGGATAAATGTTATGGGGACGCACAATGTGGTCGAAGCGGCATGTAAGCTAGGGATCAAGAAGATCATCATTGCAAGCAGCATCACCGTCTACGGCGTTGCCTTCGGCCTGGGCAATTTGGAGTATGCCTCTTTTCCAGTTACGGAAGAAGCAGATTGTAATCCGACGGACCCATATGCGTTATCCAAGCTGTGCGGAGAGAGGATTGCACGGAGCTATGCTGCAAAGTTCGGTGTGGATATATACTGCCTGAGGATTGGGAGGGTGTTCGAGCCAGATGAATACAACAGCGACATGTTCTGGGGATACGTCAATGAGCCGGAGAAGTGGTTTCAGCACGGCTGGTCTTACGCCGATGCTAGAGATCTGGGTCAAATGTGCCACCGTGGGCTTGCGAAGTCAGATCTGGGGTTCCAGATTTTCAATGCCGTGAACGACACCAGAACCAACTCCGAGGGGGATACGAACGAGTTCCTGCGACGGCTGTACCCGCATATTCCGCACTCGAGAAAAATGGACGAGTATGAAGCGCCGATCAGCAATAGCAAGATACGACTACTGTTGGATTTTAATGAACAGCATAAGTGGATGGCTTATTATGTTGCGAGATTGACTAGACCTAGCGTGTCGGCAGGCCGGGTCGAGTGAAGGTCTGGGGCTTTATATTACAAAATGCTCAAGAGCATGGAGAGACCTCGCAGGTGATCCTTCCGCGGCTTCATTTGCCCCCTTTGCGCAAGCCATTCCGATAACTATTTGGCTGTGCCCAGGTCATCCCCGAGCACCCAGCAGTCTCCGTCGAACAAGAGATTAGTAACAATGTCTAATCAGTGTGTAAGATGGGTATCGCCGGTCAGTCCGCCAGGCTTGTCCGTTGAAATAAACTGTGAGATTTAGTAGTCTAGGATATCTTGCAAGTTACAATCAGAGAGAGTAGTCATAGACACCGAGATGCAGATGTTCATGGCCGATTACTACCGGTTTGTCAAGGGGACATTACAAAAGGCCATAAGGATGCGTGTCAATGGAATTACAATTCATATCCGCTAATACAAAATTTCATGCTCCGTGCGTGTATCCCGCCAGCCCTTCCCCTCATCAATACATTAAGAAGAGGAACTATGGTACATTTGTTGCCGAGTAGAAACTTCGTTTTTCTGGGGGTTTCAGATGGACCTTTTTAGATGCCCCTGGCACATCCATCGGCGGCATGGATGTTCAGAGGACCCTTGCACATCCACCTGCTTGGGAAGCCATCTGCAATCCACCAGATTTGGTAGCTGTGGATTGCGGCGAGGGTGCCTGCTGCATCCTGGCACGCGTAGAAGAAGTTGCGGCCGTGGTTCTGCAGAGATCCGTTCCAGGTGAAGCTGAACTCGTTGGTGCGAGTGCCGACGGGTGCAGAGCCGTGTGGTGGGCTGAAGCCGATGGGTTTCGACTGTCGAGGCACGACGTACATGTTCTGCCAGCCGGTCGGGCTGCTGTGGATGGACTGGAATGTAATTCTGTCGCTGCCGCCCCTGGCACCAGAGACGATCAGCGGCTCTGAGTAGGTTTGGTACTTGATCTGGCCGATGTAGGCGGAGCCGTTGGCGTAAAACAGGCTGTAGGACTGTAGCTCGCCCATGTTGAAGCGACCACCTCCGATGGCGAGATCATAGGTGTTAGGGTCGCGAGCCTCGAGGTCGCTGACTTCGGGGGCTTCAACAGGCGCGGCTGTTGTGAGGCCGAGAAAGGCTGCAGCAGCAGCAAGGAGGACGATTGGTTTCATTGCGAACGATTGGAGAGGGCTCAGTGTGTTACGAGTGACCACTGGAGTATACTCAGTGTAGAGAAGGCGAGTGAACAAATCTTGTGGATTTGATTGCGAGGAACATGCAGAGAGGACTGGCCAGAACACGGTCTATATATAGACAATTTGTTAAATGCATGGGCTGATCTGCTTTCTAGTACTGTCCACCCATCTCTCTCGGTATGTGGGCTTGGGCACGGGGAATCTGAAACATGAGGAATCAGAGAGCAAGGAATTAACCAGCGTGCCCCTTGCAGCAGGGTCTACCCCAGCCCAAATAGTCGTGCCTGTTGAGGGCATTAACCATGAGTGACCTCTCCGAAAGGGCAGGTGAGAAAATCATGCCATGAAAATGTACTGGTACTTGACGTGGGAAAAAAATAGTAACAAGTAGCTCGGTACCGTTGGATCATGGCCATATAACACCACTTAGCCTTGCCTTGGAGATCGAATGCTTTTCAACCGACTGGTATGTCTCAACATAGCCTTGGTCGTAGCCAGTCAGAGCCCGTCGCTGAAGCGCGGGACAAGCAGACTTGTCGAGATGGAGGCAAAGAGTAATGTGAGAATCGGGAATGGCTTGGCAGTCACGAACAGAGAGTGGTGGGATTCCTGCTCCAGGATCGACAGGAACAGGTTTTGCAGAGATACGCCTGTGTGGAAAAAATATCTCAGAGCAACAGTCGATGTGGGAAGCGAAGGAAGTTGGCGGAAGCTCTTGACGACTTGCGGGGACCGCTAGTCGGGTTTGGGAAAGGCGGCCTTTCTCTTTGACGATAATCGCACCATAATCGAACCACCTCGCTCGGTGCCAATAAGAGACGCCTCCCATCTTCCAGTCGACATCACACGGCATCATACGTGGTGCCACTGCCGGATGGATACACAGCCCCTGGAAAAACCGAAAAGATGTCTTTGAAATGGTGTCTCGGCATCTTGTCCTCCTGTGGCCCGCACTGGTATCCTGTCTTGATTTGCGCTTGGCCAGCATCACATTCTCGTGAAGCTCACGCGACCTACTTGAAGGGCTTCTGGCCAAAGTCCGAGCTACCAACGGCAGGATTCAAACCCGTGACCTCCTTGTACGCAGTACTTTAATAGGCTGGATCTCACATGATCCCACTATACAAGTCTGCCCTGGTCCGGTTTCCCCAGACTACTTGGTAGATGCCAAAATCCCTTAGTCTTTAAATTATCCCAGCCCAAGTCAACGCCTATCGAAAATATTTCGATCCAGGTCGCCCATCATCTAACGAGACTGAGTGAATATTAATATTCCCAAGGTTGAATGTCGACGTTAAGATGGACACAACAGTGGATGCAAAATCGATTGGGAAGATGATCCATGTGGCATGCAAACATCACCACTGCCGCAAGCACGCCAAGCAACATGTGCCCGAGCCCACACAACTGCCAACCACAGCACCAAGGATCGGAGAGGAATGGCCTCCGGAATTCTTGCACTGTGGAATATGGCCACCTCCGCAGAAACCGCCCTCCGAGCCAGAAGCTGAGATCAACGTGCGCCCCAGGCCAAAGGTCAAGGTGCCTAAAAAACAAGGACCTGTCGAAGTTTATCCAGATAACATACCAAACATCGACGGGGATGGCAGCGACAGTGAGTCTGAATCAGATGGATCAGAAGAGAATGAGGATGGTGACCAGGCCATCACCCCTGCAGAGCCATTGACGGTGGGGTGGACGGAGCTTTCGGAGGCGATCGATACCTTGAAGATCGTCACAAATGGTGCCGGTAAAGATGGAGATCAAAACGGAAACGATCACAGTATGTAAACTTGTTGTGGTTGCCACAAGTTTCTCAGTACCGCTCACACATCATTTTTACAGGATTGACTAACGTCATCCATACTCTAGTCAAGGCTCCGTACTCTGTGCTCAAGCTTGTCGCCAGGCACGGCAATGGCGAGGGGGCTCCTCGCCGAGCCAACGATGCCAACAAATCTCCACGGAAAAAACTCTTCGACCAAGAGATCGTCGCCGAGGGTCAGGCTCGCGTGGAGATAGCTGACTATCTTGACAGCTTGATCGACCATGGAGAATACGAAGAAGGCTACGGGTGTGTATGGCCGCTCGAGGACTACCGTCGGGCGGGATGGGCAAAGGAGATGGTCGCCGCGTATCCGGTCGAGTGTGCCGAGTTTGTACGAAAGGTCCATCAGGAGTGCCACAACCGCCACCAAGCGGAACCGGAACCAGATTGTCTATGAAAAAAAAAAAAGACGGATGAAAATTACGACATTCCTGCCTGTCATTTAGCTAGCAGCAAAATGAACATGGTGGTTCGAATGTGGACGGGGCAGTGCATGCCGGCCAACACGGGAATTCTACAGAGGATGGACAACATCTACGGAGTCTAACGGAATACTACAAATGTATCAGCATTATGGAATTTTTTTTCTATCTTTGGTCCAGCGCGACCCCTCATGGGAAGGACAAAAATTTCAATGTCCGAAAGATAGGGGAGCATATAGGGGAGATAGCACACGTCCACAGAACCTACCAACCGAGCTCTACCTGTACTTAACTTGTGAAAGCTACCGACTGCCCTACTCTCCAGCAAAGTGTCCTATCTCTTGCTCTCCAAGATAAACCCCTTCGAATCCGTGTCGTAACAGTGCATGTATGTAGACGATGAGGTACAAAAGCAGAGGGGGGGAGTCGCAGTTTGGTTTAGATGTGCCTAAGTGATTCTGTCCGCGGCAAGGCTGAGCAAGGCTGAGCAAGGCTGCCGGTTGGAAATTGTGACGCAATGAGGCTGAGATATTTTTCACCTCACGCTTTGTTTACAGATCCTTGCATCGGCACTTCAACGTCTTTTCTCGTCTCGTCTCCAATTACCTACTCGCACGTCCTCCTATTTCCCCCTCCTGTATCACATATTATACACAGCCTGTAGTCTGCGGTTTAGCTCGGCCTCACGAAAAGCCCAAGCAATGGTATGTCCACTTGTCCGTCCGTTTGAATCTGCCCCGATCCCACCACACGCCCACCACCTTAAGCCTGCAGAGAACCGTTAATTAATTAAACTGGTTTGTGTGTGGGAGAGAAAACAGTCGCGCGATTCCTCCGCATCATACGTCCACATGCACGCGTCGCGCCTAGCAGACGTGTTCGAAGAGTTCTGCCGCCCACCGACCTCGACCGTGTTCGCGCTGTGCGGCGCGCACGCGGCGCAGTACCCGTTCCCTTCTTCTTCAGCACAACCCGGCGTCTCCGGGGTTGGAGGCGCGAATAATAGTGCGGCGGCGCTGCCCATGCAAGGAACTATTGCCGACGGCAGCGGCATGACCGCCCTGCCGGGCCACTACCTGCCGTTCGAGGAGATCACGCTCGCGCCGCACCTCATGCCTGTCAACCCGGAGGACGAGGACGACGTGGTCCCGGACATGCACGCCGCCTTCGGCATCAACCGCGCCTTGAACCAGAATCAGACCTCCGGCGTCATCGTCCCGGGCTCGGCCGCCTTTGCTGTGGCTGCCGGCGCCGGCGCCGACGGTGGAGCAATGGGTGCGGGCCAGGCCACGGGGGAAGCCAGTCAGGCGGGCGTCGCGAGGGATCCGGTATGGAGAGATTTAGGCATGGAAGGGTTGGTTGCGGATGCGTCAAGAAATGGAATTTCTACCGTCGGCAGGGAGACGCCGGGATATAGAAGAGAAGGGAAAAGGACGGGTCTATTGCTTCTCCGGTGACTGATGGAAAAGGCCAAAACGGGAGCATTACGCGTTATCGGGCTTACCGTTCATGAGAAACATGACATGCATTACACTAGCAGCATTGATACCCCAACTTTTATTGGTATTGTCGAGCAACGGGGGTCAGCCCAAGGAAAATCTATGTCCGGAACATCATACGGACAGTCATTATATCCTTACAACATCAACCCTCGCGCGTTCGAAAACATTATGGGCCACAGTTCTGGCCGACTTTTCCTCCTCTGATAAAGTGCGCGGATGCAACGAGATCTGGGAATACGTTCCGGCAGCCTTGCGCTTGGACAGTTGCCCCGGATTGATCACCATGACGCTGTCAACGACCTGTCAAACCATGATTAGCTCACTCGAAGTCACGAACCCTGGGGTTTGATTGGCTGCTTCGGACATACCTTGACGGAAGGAGTCAACATGCTCGGTAGAATTAGCACATCGGGCTTGACTTGCATCCATTCACCAAGCTTGAGATATCCCACATCCAGACATGCGCCCGTGGGTTTCACGACTCCATTACTGGAGAGTTTGTCTCTCGACATGGGCGGGAAGAGGGGGAAGAAATGCCGCTGCTCGATCAAACATCCAGGCAATCTGGTCAAGAGGTCTTGCCCCGGTCCGTGAGACAATTGCTCTCGACTTAGTTCGTATAAGATGTCTTGTGACGAGACTCCGAATACAACCTCGTTTAGTGAAATAAAAGACGGATTTGGCATCATCGTAACTTGCTTCGGCAGACCAAGGTTCTTCTTCGTCAGCCTTTCTTGTGGCCAGCTGACGTGTTTGCTCATTAAGTCTCGCGTGCTCGGGATCATGACCACCGCGATGCCGGGGACAGCGGAGCAAAGGCGCTGTAGAGGGTTAGAAATCCAGAGTCGGAAGAGCGCGACCAGACTCGCCTCCTGATCCAGCCCTCGCACGTCAGGTAAGTCGAAATCACCTGATGCAAGCATTGGGTGTTCAATGTCGAGAAAAGGTCCGGCAAGGATGATACCGTCGGCCATTGCTTCCTCGGCTTTCTCGCACAGGGCCTGAAAGGGTTCGAAGTCCAAGTTGTCGTCCGCAGTGAACGGACCAGATGCGATCATGATATTGAGTGGAGGAGGGCTAGAATCCTCTGAAACCTCGAGCCGCTCATTGATTCCCTCTATTCTGCTCGGTAATGAGGAGGGCATGGGGAGCTTTGGCACCGAGAGTACTTCCTTGACCGTGAAGTACAGCCCGGATGCATTTGCGCCGCGCAATCCAACGATCTGACCAGGGAAGAACTGATAAGATTGCAGACCATCCACTTTCAGAGGCACACGAAGTCCCGCACCCATTCGTCTCGACATCTCTAGGACGAGGGATGCTGCATTTAGCTTGCCATCAGCCGTATCGCATGCGATTCTCCCAACAGCAATGATCTCACTAGTGCTCTGTGCGGCGGCATTTCCGAATGCAGAGTCTTCGAGATTGTGAGCTTCCTGGATGAGAGCCAGGAAATCGTTGATTCGTTCATCCAGCCCCTCTGAAGACTCTCGAAGGCGCATTGCCATCGATTTGTACTCAAACTTATTATATTCCGTTCCCGAAACCAGGCGTAGTCGCGCTTGAGAGAAAGGAGCCATGGGCGCTTCGGCGGCGGAGAGATGTTCATTCAGCGTCTCAATGATTTGACCTGCATTCGGCCGTTCCGGGAATGGTATGCCTCTGTTCAATATTAGAAGTGGACATTTTCATAGCTTTTTAACGGAATGACATACGCGAGCGCGTCTATCTTTCCAGCTTTTCCTGGCGTTCTATTTGTGGTTTCCTGACGGCTGACCTTCCTGGGCACTGGAGAGTCGAAATCTGCCTTTCTCTTGACACTGCCGTTTCGTCGGGACATGGCATTCGGGGTGAGTTCATCCAACCTATTTCGCAGCGTCAGCATCTGGTTCACTTGACCTAGTGATACGGGCATTGTCGCAGCATACATCCCGAAGACGTCCGAAGTCCCAACGGCCCTAGGTGTAGCGTGAACGAGACTTTTTCTTTCAGACTTGACCGCAGACTTCGGGGCAGTCTGGTGTGTCCGCTCGCCCCTCTCGACGGAATCTTGCACGTCCTTTGCGAACATGCGTGCTGTCTCGATGTCCAGCTTCGTCTCCTCGCTTCCCATTTTCAGGCAATACACCTCCCATTTGATAAACAATTCGTCTGGCGTGAGGGAGTGGACGCCCAGGATCGACTCCAGGACGCCTAGGATGTCCGGGGACAAGCCGTTCCCGGCGGGATCGAATGCTGCATTGAGATTTTCCTTCATACCGGCCATCGTAACGGAGATTCTTGGGTTGGGCAGATCGACCTGATTCGGGCGGCTCCTGTTGTTCTCGACCCTGGGGAAAAAGGACTACAGACGGTTGAATTGGAACGCGACGAGAGACGCGTTAATTGATGCCAAGATTTGGTGTTGTTACCAACCGCTTTTGGAATTGGCAGACTCGGCAGGTTCGGCCAGTCTCGGAGTACAAATCAGACAAAGAACCGACTTCCAGCGTCCATGAAAAGTTGGGCAAATTCATCTATTTATCAGCCGATGGTGTTGGTTCGACAGCAGCCGCATCGTCTATTACTATCTGCATCGTCGGCCTAATTTCCATTCTTCTCATTACTATACCCAGCTCGATCGAAGTTCGTTATGCTCGTATCCCTGCGATCAGCCATGTCGTTACGGCGCCATCCCGAAGACCCATGTGCAACGCCAGGCTTTCCCTCGTACATTGTGGTGTCCCTGTATCCTTGTTCGCCCCTGTCCTGTCGGTGGCATTGTTCAAGGCCCAGCCAACTCCAACGCCCTCCCCTATTCCCATCCTGTTCTTTTCGCTGAGGTATTCATCCATCGTACCTCGCGTGCGAGTTTCGCGAAAGACAGATCATCAAGCTCCATAGACCTTGTCGGCATTGACATGTCCATGCCCAGCACCGCCTTTCTCCTCGAGGCCGTCTACAAGCAAGTAATGCAAAATATCACTCAGACTCAATACTCCTTTCAGGTAATTCTGCTCGTCCACCACCATCAATCTATGGACCCTGGACTTCTTGATCGTTTCGAAGATGGTATCTAACCCATCTTCGAGTGAGCAGCAATATATGCCTGGGTGGGTAGGCGATCGGCAACTGAGAGCTTTGCCGACAGTCCATGTTAAGTTGCCGTAGTCGCCAGATTTGAGGATCTCGATTACGTCGACGGCTTCGAAGACGTTCAGGAGCATCCCTGTCACAGTTCAGTCAGCATTGTCCAAATCGAATCAAGGAAGGCCATGGAGCTGTTGAGGTGCATCCGTGACATACCCTCAGTCGTAACAACCGGCACACTGCTGATATTCTTGGTGACCATCTCATCAACCACATCCAAGACTGTGGTGTCCATACTACATCGCACGATGCCAGTATACGTGCCCAATTTTATCATCTCAAGTGGCTTCCTCAACATGTCCGTTTCTTTGACGTTCATGGAAATAAATTTGAGAATCCGGTATTGGGTTATGACCGAGGTGACCATGGTGCGTTGGGTGTCGCTATCATAGCTCACCAGGGGTATTCTCCGAGCGCGCGAGACAAGTTGTTTTCGGAGAGCGTCATAGAGGATGGCTTCGGGGGACGCGGAGACAGTTTCAGGGGGCTTGACGTTGAGGACTTTCTCGACATCTTGTGGAGAGTGAGTCTTGGTCGCTGTGTAATGTCTTGGATAGAGAGCATGTCCTCACCTTTTAAGTCGCTGAGCAACAATTTATCCACATCTTTCAGCTTGTCGGCATGGACATTGTAGTATCTAACGACGTTGAGGTAGTCGTTGACGGTCAACAGGCCAGCGTACGTGGAAGTATTCGAGTCCCATAGCGGTGCAGAGACAATGCCTAAACAATGCCATCATCAGTACAAGTTCCATCCGTCAGGCGTCGTCCCAAAGGCGAAGGCATACCACACTGGACCATGATCTGTAAGCTCTCTTTGACCGTAAGGCCGACATCGAGTTCGATCAGACGAAAGCTCAAGGGCAGCACGTCGTAACATTTGCGTGCTCGAAGGAAGTCCCGTATTGCCTGCAAGCCAGCTCTTTCATCTCGGTCTATGGGACGCTCAGATTTCGGTGGGGCAGGAGATGGTATGTTACGAGGAACCGCCTTGGGACGTAGGAGGTCTGATGGCCGGATGAAGGTGGCCTCTTGGGCGCCGTGATTAGCGGCAGCGGAAGAAGGAGGAGGAGGAGGAGGAGGAGGAGGAG